GGGGGGGGGAGATACCGATAATCGACAGTGACCACGACGCACTTGGCCCGCGAGCACAGATGCGTGCACACCGTATTCTCGGTGTCGATGTTCCCCAACACCCATCCGCCTCCATGGTAATACACCATCAACGGCCATCCCTTCTCTGGTCTCGTACCGTCGGGGGTGAAGACGCGGAGCTTGATGTCCGGCCCTGAGGTCTCGCGGCGGGGGATCGAGATGTCTTGAGTGCTTCCCACGGGCTGTTTGGGACCACCTCCAGGGATCAATATGCCTGACGTCCGCGACGCCTCGACCGGCTGCAGATGGACTTGCTGTTTGTCAATAACATGCTCGTTATAGAACTTCACATATTCAGCATCTAATCTATCCTTAACTGACTCGTGCAGCGGATAAGGAGGTTGCGGACCCGTGGAAGCCATGATGATGAACTGCTGAGCTTCGGCTTTGAGGAGAGATGCGAGAGGGGGAGAATGAAGACATCTTGAAGTCCCTCTTGTGCCACGATGTCGCTTTCGCTAGATCTGGTGACTGGTTGGACTCACTTGAGTGTGTATCCCGAATAAGGTTTGTTTTGTGGGACGACGATAAGCAGAGTGACGATAATGGGATCTGAATCCACTTTTTTGACAGGTACAGTCCGGGGTGATAGAAAGCTATACAGTATTGGGCAAAAATACCCCAGGCCTCGCCCTCTCGTACATGCTTTCTATGAATCCATCTAGTCGTTCTACTCAACGAACCGTGGTTTTATATCTTCAAATCGGCCAAATATATCCAGTGACTGCTGTAGATGAGCGGTGAAGCCTTCCGCGAAAAGGAGAGTCAAGGCATGTATCCTAGTCATGTTGTATATTGCGTCTTCGAGCCTCTCCCACTCTCTGCATGACCCCTCTTCCTCCCACTTTTCCTGCGCCAAAAAGGATCACCGGCAGGAATATAGGCTCTTGATACCCGCTGTGGGTTTCTCTTCCTAGCCCGGAGATCCCCTGGCTTCGTCTATAGATCTCGAAGATCTCCCCTCGAGCATGAATGAAAGAAAAGGAAAAAGGCGAGTCGAGCGAAAGAACAAAAAAAATAGGAAAAAAATAGAGAAACAACTGGATTTCCTCTTTGGTCACTACGAGGGTCGAACTCGCGACCTTGGCGTTATTAGCACCACGCTCTAACCAACTGAGCTAAGCGACCAATCACGTATTTCCTGTGGCAGCAGGCTCTTCAAAAGCATCTATAGAGCACAATTCCAGACGCCCGAAACAAGAAAAAAGAGAGGAGCAAAAAAAGCAAAAAAAGCACAAAAGAGAAGGGAATGTGTGTTCCGTTGCTGGTCACTACGAGGGTCGAACTCGCGACCTTGGCGTTGCATCTCTGCATATTAGCACCACGCTCTAACCAACTGAGCTAAGCGACCAATCAAGTTCTTGTGATTGCAGGCTCCTCAATAGAACTCATACAGAGCACAACGCCAGAATGGCTTGAAGCAAAAGGAAAAACTGAAGCAAAAAAATATTTGTGAATAATGGTCACTACGAGGGTCGAACTCGCGACCTTGGCGTTATTAGCACCACGCTCTAACCAACTGAGCTAAGCGACCTGATATGGGAGGATCCTGTTTGTTGCTGAATTCCAGATAAGAGGCATTTAGTAAATGGCTCCAAATAAGCAGCCATATGACATGTTGACCAGGTCCTTCTCAGAGCTTAATAAAGTGACAGCTGTATCTACGTACCTTTGGTACTTGCTTCGATTTCTCAAGACCAAGTTAATATAAGCTTACGCGAGGTTGTGGTGTTGGAGCTGCTGTTTTCAGCAGGTTTGGTCGCTGTATTATGCTGCCTCGAACCCCGAGAAGTCATCACGTTCGGAAGAGCGGACCCTGCGTCTGCTGATCATCAGGAGCGAAGGACGTCCAAGGACTACCGTAGAAGTCGAAATCCATTCCGAGGCCCTCATGAAAATGTTATTCTGGTTCCTGGATGAACCCTCCCTCGAAACAGGGGGCCCTCCCCACTTCGTCCGTCATCATGACAGTCACTCTTCTGGCACTTCGAGTTCTCCTCCCATTATACATATCTGTATGTCCTCCGTATACCCTCTCTGCTGTCGCATCTTACGACCACAACACCCTCACCTTCTGTACCTGTGACTCCCCATGACGGCGGCGTGGTCAAGACCACCCTCTCCCAAGGCAGAACAAGCTCATCGTCCTCATGGCCCCGACACAGTATGCACCCGTCAATCCACGGCTGTCACATACCTCAGTGCTACCTATCTGCTAAATCGGTTCTGAACTTCTGATACACCCGGCCAAGCCATCGAAATTGGTCGGCGTGACTCTGTGTGCAAACTTGGGGCCAGACCTTTAATCGCGGCTCCCTAAAACCAAGAGGCCCAAGGTCTCGTCACCTTCCACGTCGTACGTTGGCGTAAGGCTTTGGCCATCTGGATTCTGGGGTTCCCACCTCCACAATCCTCCCCCAAGTGTCAACCGTTGGAGTCCACGAAGCTTCAACAGCTGCCAGACACCTGACGACTCGGCGTTAATAGGGTCTGCATGTGGGCGGCCTCGGCAAACAACCACTGCAAATTTAGAGATAGCATATTGTCAACCAAGGCCCCAAATGCATCGTCGCTGGACCGAAGGACGGCGTACGCCGCTTACCGTAGCCCAGGAATTGGAGGACCTTCCAGATCAGCGATCCGTACACTTCCCGGAAAGCATAGTTGACCTGGCTAACAGGAATGGACATGTTTATCGCTGGCAGATGCCGTGGAAGTCGCGACGGACTCCATGATGCGACCCAAAATCTCTAGCACACACAGAGCCAAGAGCAAGCCATAGTAGCAATAAGTTAAAGAAAGATAGATATAAATCAGCGTAGCAAGGACAACAATTACCGTGGCCCAACACGAAGCGTTGAACGAATCGGAATAGGGGTCAATGAGAAGAGAAAGGAAGAAGAGGATGGGCAAAATAAAAGGGCGACACAGCTTGCTTTTATGCACTTGCAGGAAAAGCAACTGGGTACACCGGGAAGATGTAACTATTCACATCTTTACAGCTTAATAACGAAGGCAGGTATATTACAGGGGAAACTGTAGTACAAATAAACTTATGTGTATTTCAAGTGTCGTATGCAGGGTAGGTAGAGACGCTTTGGCCACTACTGATAACCGGGGTGATGAATGGGGGATAAAAGAAGAGGAGAATGGGGAGGAGAGGTTTGTACTGTTGTAGAGAAGAATCGATGATGAAAAATATATATAGAATCAAGATAAATCAAAGCTCACCAAAGCCAGAAGAACATGGCAGTGCATAAAAAACACAAAAGCGAGAAAAACTAATCACGCAATTATGATTGATTGATTGATTGCATGATTGATAAGTCAAAAACATGACAGCATGCATGTATTAAACAGGTAGTACTTCAAACCATACCTAACTGTCTTACTCGCCCACATATAAATCATAGGTAGGATACGACAAGTAGGTAGTAGAAGCACTAGTGCGCGTAATAGACCTTCTCACTACAAGCTTCAGGAAGAAGGAAGGAAGGAAGGAAGGATTAGGATGACAGGTAGTAGACATTTCGAGATCCTTAACATAGACGATCTAAGGTAAGGTAGACTGTATGAATCATGATCGATCGTGTGATCCTCTGGACTGGACTGAGAAAGTGTTGAGGGTATTCACATGTACATACTCTCTCACCTCCACATGTCATGGACCTCGACAAGACGGGAGGACGTCGCACGTGATACAATACAAGATCACCGATTACCTAAGGTACGGCAGGCGTCAGGACCAACACGGCCACAACTCCCGGTTCCGAAAGCACGCTCGCTTAAAATGCGAACTCCAATGATCCAAAGACGCAAAAAAAAAAACAAGAGAAAGGAAAAAGAAAAAGAGGACTATAGAGGGAAAGAAACAAAAGACAAGTAAGCCGAACGAACACCTCTCTTCCTTTCCTCACATACATACATACCCCTGTGATATTACCCACCCTCTCTGACTTCATGATCTCCGCGATGATGACGAACCCCCCTGGTCGGCAAGGCAAACCCCATCAATCATCCATCCTTCGATCAGCGAGCTGCTGCTTCTCAGCCAGCCAGCAGAAAAAAATCGCCCGGAGGAAATGATCATTGATTGATGATTATTGCCATTCTGCCTTTTTGCTGACACTACTAGGTACGTTGCCCCGCCCCCTCCTCGACCCCGCTCCGCACCCGCTCCATTCGGCGGGGGATAGAAATCTGATTGAATGGTCGGAGATGAGACGCGGCTCGGTTGTTGTGTGTCGAGAGGAGAGGTGGAAAATAATATGGGGACTATTTGCGGGATCTAGAGAATGAATAGGAAGAGACGAGAAGAGCGGAGCCGGGGGGAGGGGGGTTTGGCTTTTTCGGGTCCGCTGGTTCGGGCGGGAAGGACACGCACGCTCGCTCGCTCGCTGGAGCTGGAGCTGGAGAACTGATTTGATGTGAATGGAATGGAATTGAATTGAATGATGAGGGATGGAATGAAGGGATGCGGAGAGGGAGAGGGGGGAGAGTGGAAAAATTTCAAAAGGTCATCTGGAAGGTCAAATATGTGATAGATCTAGAAAGGGGCAGATTTCTCCCCATCCTATCCCATCTCAGCCTTATAGAGATTGAGATTGAGATAGATGTGTCTTGTGCCCCTTGTTCCCATCCATGATCCATCCCTTTGATCCCATCCACATCCCTTAATCCCCTCACTCATCGGCTGTCTTCGCCCGTCCGTCGGTCGCCGTCCACTACTGTCCAGAAACGTTTACCCACCCGGCTTCGAATCGAGGGGTTGGAACTTGGCGGTTCCGATCGATCTCTCGATTTTGTTCAGGAACGAGGCATCCGTTCCAAACTTTTTGCATCCCCCGCTTTCTTTATCTCTTTCCGATTTTTTATTTTTGATTTTATTTTTTAATTTTTTGATTCTGTTTCTGTTTCCCGTTTGGTTTTATCATTAGTAGATAGGTAAGGTTAGGTAGATCCCCAGAGAAAAGAAACTCTGGTAAAGTAAAGCTCCCCTCATCCGCCCATCTATCTATCTATCCATCTATCCATCCTACCGAGATCTGTCCGTCTATCTCTATCTCACCCTCCTCTCCTTCCTCCCTTTCTTTGCCTGTAACCTACAAACCCACAATAATTCCCTCGCCATCCCATCCCTTCCTCCACCCATCCACCCATCCATCAACAACCTACCTAATCATCTCCCGAGTCCCTCTAAAAATCTAAACCATAGGCTGTTAAACGGCCCATCACCCACCCACTCCATCCAACAGGCACAAGTTCACAACCGACCCGTAAGTTCGTAACCAAACCCGGCCTCCCCCTGGTTCCGATCTAGAGCGCTCCATCTTTTCATCTCCCATCTATCTCCATTATTTCTTTTTTACCTCCCGAGCGAGTGAGAGTTGTTGGATTTTACGCGTCGCGTCGCGAGGTGCGTGGGTGCAGCGTGCAGCGTGCCTTTGTTTGTTTGTTGGATGACATGTGAAAGTGTTAAGGTAAGGAGGTGAGATTAGGTTGGATGGTTGGGATTGGGAAATAGGAATTGAATAGACTCACACATCGTATCTCATCGCATCTCACCGCCGTTCTTACCTTACTGTACTGTACCTACTGTACTGTAGTACAACCCCCTGCCCAGCCCAGCCCAGCCCAACTCAGCTCAGCTCAGCTCAGCTCTGCCTTGCCCAGCCCAGCCCAGCCCTGTAAAAAGCCCCAACCAGCAAACAAAGATTAACAAACAAAGATTAACAAACAATCCTAAATCACATCACCCACCCATCACAATCACATCACAAAATTTTATGCAATCCTTTCCCTTCCTTCTCTCATAACCCCTACATATCTATCTAACGTGATGGAAGGATTTAATTAATCAATCCCACTCACATACCTTACCTTACATATCAATTTTTACAACACCTTGCATACCTATATCCTGTCAATAATCACATCACTCTCCACAAACCCGAAAAGAAACGGAGACAATGAAATCTTGACACCTGCCTACCTTACCTGTCTACGCGTGATGACGACAGATAATGTAATGTGTAGGGTTGTTTTACCCCTGTAACTTAACTTACCTTACGCTGAAATTTGTTACATGTATCTAAATTAGCTCGGAAAAAATTGAAGGAAAAAAAGGTGAAAAGGGGGGGGGGGGAAAGAAAAAGAAAGAGACACTGGATAGAGTAAGGTAAGGTAGGTAGGTAGGTATAAGAGGATGATAATTATTGGGTTTGGGGAGATATGTGAGTGATGATGATGTAAGGTGTAGATGCGGTGGGATGTGGTGGGATGTGGTGTGAGGGAGGGAGGGAGATGGATGGATGGGATGTATTCATGAAATTTGTGACGTTGTATTTGTAGTTGAAGTGCCGTACCTTTACTCTGTATGCGCACAAGGCACAGGATCCACGGCGGTTGATTAGTTTCATCACTTCACACAATCACTTCGCACAACCACATGATACATGAACATTTTTATTCGTTGCTGCTATGGCTATCGCCGCTATGGCTAACTTCTTCTCATCCAGACCAGCAAGCCGCGCTGTCCTCACTGAGCTCAGCTCATCGCCTATCATAGCTCCATCGTGTACAGGTTTGCACCTCATCCCGTGAAGGTGTGGTGAGAAAAAAGAAAGGTCCATGGTATCATCCCAACGCCGCGCCAAGTTGTCAAAAACAAATGTCGATTTTTCCAGGCCGTTGCTCCGGGGAGACGAGAGCCGGCCGAAACGCCACTGGAACGTGTATGGCCATGCCGTTCCTCGCAACGCAATGATTGGAAGCAGAAGGTAGAAGAGAAACTCGCTAAAGGGCAAGAGGCTGATGCTGTTCCTCTGCCATGCAATAATGCCGATCCGTTCCGTGACCACGCCAGGTAGGCCCCATGGGCCGGTGAATGCTGTGGGCTGTGAAGCCGTGTAGGGCTGTAATGTACTTCTCCCGTGTATGTTCCGAATGTACAAGCTGCCAAACGTATATGCGTCGTAAATGATCCTCGATGCGCAGGGGTATCAGAATTAGAGATGCGTCTAACACGAGGGGTAATATTGGTACACTACCATCCCTTGGAATGGTATTCGCCGAGACCCTGACTGAAATATTGGTTCCATCTCTCGTTCTCCTCCTTGTCATCCATGTCCATGTGCACCTTCTCGGGGTACTGCTTGAGGTTTGCAACGTCGTGTGCAGTGTGTCTGCGCTTGAGCACGGCATTGGCCGTCTGGGACTTCTGCTGTCGCTCCCAGAGCAGGTGCTGACGCAGACTGACTGTCAACTCGGTTGCCAGCATGTTCCGGCGGGTGGTCCGAGGGGAGAGAGCGAGCTGGTACGGAGTGCTGTTCGCAGTGCGGTGGATGGGTCGGGGGACCGATCGAGGAGGATTCTCCGAGATGGGCTTGAGAGTACTCTTCATCATCAGAGGGGTACCCTCGTCGGAGTCGGCTGAGGCCGCGAGTGACGGGCCGTTGGGAGAGGATGTTCGCGAGCGCTGCAGGCTCGCGGTAGATCGCGCGGCGGCCTCTGCGAGGGCATTGGCGCGGTCGTTCTGGTGGAGCATGGTGGTGATCAGCGACCGGCGGGAGGTCAGGTTGGGTCTCGAGTCGACACGTTGGAAGAAGGTCTTCTCATCGATGCTGGCATGGCCACTGTCCTCGTTGGAGTCCTCCCAATCCGAAGAGTCGTCATCATCGTCAATGGCGCTCTCGTCAACATCCTCCTCGTCGGTTTCAAAGACGTCATCGTCAAATGGTCGGTCCTCTGATATGGTCCTGGTCGCAACCTCCTCTTTAAATGAAGTCTGCTTCTTAGGCTGACCCTGGATGCTCTCTGCCAATGCACTCTGTGGCTGGACTCGCTGGGGGAGGGAGCTCTCGTCCTCGTTAGACGAGCCACCAAAGGTGAAGACGGGGTTCTTCTTCTTCAACTGCGCAGGTTGCCCACTTCTGTCTACTGAGTCGGAACTCAATGAGTCCTCACCAGACGATGCACCGAGGTGGAACATGCCTGGCCTCTTCATGAGCGGTGGGTTGGCGGTGTGGGCAGCAGCGATGTCGGCTTCGGGAATAGAGGAAGGGGCGCTGAGGAGAGGGACGGATCGATATGAAGAGCTGATGTGAGAAGGCGAGAAGCCTCGGACGACACTGGTCGTACTCCTCTCGGAGGTGCCGCTCGCAGAGTCAGATGTCGTCTGTGACGAGCCCCCAGATGATGCCGAGGCACTGCTCTCGCCCAGGGCGGATGTTGACTGAGGCGTGCTCACTGCTGGCTGCGCTTGCTGGGTCTCCTCGGGCTCGGGTGCGGGGGGTGCGATGCTGAGCTTGAGCGGCTCCAGATCCTTCCGCTCTTTGATCGTGGTCACCATCTTCTCGAGGTCATCAGGGGTGATGTGCCGTTCGCGGCCCCGGCTCCGGCTGTTGACGGAATCCTGGCGTCTGATGTGCGGACGGGAAATATCCAGCGGGGTGGAGGTCGAGGCGGTGTTGTCGTTGTCGAACTCGAGGGCCTCCTCATCCGCCACGGAGCCGGGGCTGCTGGAGAGATCGGGCAGGTCGGCGGGGTATCGCCCGTCGGTGCTCCTCTCGGAGATGGAGATGGCCGGGGTGGTCGCGTTGGCCTCGGAGACGGGAGCGCAGCAGAAGGTCTCACGGTTCCATAACCGCCAGCTCAGGTTCTCCAGGCGTCGCCCTTCCTCCAACGATCCGGCACATCGGGAGAAGACTACAAGGAACGTTAGTTGGGTCGCATCTCCGACCCGGAATGCTCACCTGTCCACATGCTGAACAGATTCTCAACATTGCGCGTGTCGACCTTGTGGATGCGGTTGACGTCGACGGTCAACACCGGGGTATCTAGCGTTGCAGGCATATCGTCTCGACTCTGCTCGATTGCACGAGCTGCTGTGATGACGGAGACACGACTGCTGAGGGATGCTCGCGATTGAATCGCGAAGCGGTCTGGGGGGGAAGAGCGGGAGATGGGGGGGAGGGATGGAGGTGATCACAAGTCGAGGGAATCCGCTCGTTCTTTGCTGAGCACAGATGGCGTAGATATCTCGCGGGGTTCTGATCGTAGTATAGCAATCGATCCGCGGCGGCGGTTTGCATTAACTGGCAGAGAGCGTGGTGATGGGGAGCGAGAGGTGGGGGGGGTGGGAGAGCAGGATCGATGACGATGATGTATTGTATGGAAGTCGTGGACGTAGCGGTGAGATCGGGAGACGATGGGGATAGTCGTCGACAAGCAGATGGATCGCGGGTCTCGAAGTCGTGCTCTGGGGTGGGTGAAGAAGAGCAGGGAGAGTTGGCGCGCGGAGGGCTGGTGAAGTAGAAGTATTAAACGGTGTCGGGGCGGGTTTGGGCGTGTGAAGGGGGTGGGTCCCAAATAGTCGGTGGGAGAGAGAGAGAGTCGGGGAGTCTGGGACGTTGGCGGCGGCCCGAAGAGGTCAAGCCTCTTTGGCGCTCGCAGCGTGGGAGAGCCAGGGATGCCCAGTCCGGAGGGCCCTTTTGTTTGTCCGGCCAGCTCCCGCGCCTGGCTGGGAAGGGTTAGTGCGAGAGGAGCACGCTAGCCCGGAGAGGCAGTGTTCGGGCCTCAACGCGTGCGAGGACGATGCCCCGCGTCTAATCCACATCGGGCATCATGTCGGCGGTACTAAGACTGACGACGCCGGGCGTCTTCCGATGGGCAGCTGGACAGGACAGCAGAAAGTAGGGCACACTACGGCGGACGACAGCACCCAGGCCGGCCCCGGTGATTATTATGGGCCCCCCGCGGCGCAGAGACTTTTTACTTGCTGGGCGCGCGTGTCAGTCGGGAGTCGGGATTGGGAGGTGGCAGTTCAGCAGTTCAGCGCCTCGGGAGAGCCTCGGCATCTTGGACCAGACACTCTCAAGAGCATCACGGCTGTGGCTGACTCGTCTCTTTGTGACTGGTCACGGGGCGTTATTGAAGGTTATTTGGCTCACTATCAGACTATCAGACTATCAGTATTGGAGCATTCATATTGCCTGGATAAGTCGATGGATGTATTGGATGGGCTTTGCGGCTGCAGGGCATCAGTGCGAGAGGCACGAATCAGAGCGTGACAAAGCCACACGGCTCCAGGAACCGTCCACGTCCAACTGCCCGCCGTCCCGTGCTCGTCACTGTCACGGTCGACGCTGGAACCGTATAATATTCGCAGACAGCAGAGAATGCGATGCTCTGCTCTTGCCGAGCTCCCCAAGAACGGTTGAAGCGTCTGCCGAGGATGAATAACCTCGCTCGTGACTGGCCAGCCGTGATCCACCGCGAAGACGTTTTTCCTTTCTCCCTTCTCCCGCCTGCCAGCCCCTCGCCTACGGGTATAACTGGAAACACCCAGCCAGGTCCTTACCAAAGTAACCACAGAGGCCCAATGCCCAAGGCCCACTCCCGACTCCACCAGCAATCACGATTTACCACTTTACCAGTTCTCCCTGCCCTGGCCCCCAGCTACTGATCAGTAGTGACCAGTCACCAGTCCCGGTCCCAGGAAATCCCATCGTCCCCTCGCGATCCCTATTCCCCCGACCCAATCAGCGCCGCCGCCCACGTAAGAACCGTCGCTCGCCTTACCCCCTCGGCCTTTTCCAGAACCGCATCGCTCCCCCGAGTCATTTGCAGCAGCCCCGTCGCTCGCATCCATGTCGCCACCCTTCCCGGCCCTCTGGGACTGAGCCTGGCCATTCCAAGTTCCCAGTGCCCAGTGTCCAGTGCCCAGGCCCAGCAGCCGAGCCCTGTTCCCGCCGGCAAGACGCCGTCGGAGACATGGAGGGAGGGGGAGGACAGGGCAGGGAGATTGAGGGAGGATGATGAAGGATGATGGAGAGAGGGTAGCAAATCAGCAGCATTATTATTATTTACAGAGGGACAGGACAGAGGACAGAGGACAAGGACAGGCACAACAGCACCGTGTAACGCGCGCCGTCCCGAGGTTCAATCAATCCGAAAGCAGATGACATGTACTCGACCCTGGGTGAAAAGGGCCGTCAGCTGCCAGCAGGACAGGAATGATGGAATGGGCCAGCTCGCTGGGACCTGAGCGCAGTTAGCCACGCCGAGGTCAAGCGCCAAACGCCCCGCGATCTGGTGCTACTGCTGCTGCTGCACTGCTGCGCTGCTGCTGAGGAGGAGGCAAGAGGTTTGAGACTGAGACCCCCCACTGTCGCCTCACGAGGCGTGCATAGCACAGGCACCGAGGGCAAGAGTGATGAGTGGCGCTGTGCTGTCCATGACTCCATATCGATGTCCTCGTGATCTTTGAATCCTCTGAATTCTCTGTATCCAACGTAAATGTCAAAATCTCAAATCCAGTGTCTGCCAACCGTCAAGTCACCCAACCATCAAATGACGAGATCCGAAACTCCATTCATTCATTCAAACCCGCAATCCATCCATCCCGAACCCCCCCCTCTTCCTCCCCTTGTCGTGGCGTCCATGCCATTCCATTCCATAAAATCCAAAAATCCAAATCATGCCCCCTCGCGCATGATCCTCTATCCACGATCCCATAATCGACCAACTATTTCAAAACTAATCCTCCAGCTGGGAAGCCCAAAAAACGACAGCTCTCCTCCCGGCTCCCAGCTTCAACTTCCCCGTTGCCTCCCATCCCCCCTTCCCTGGCGTCGATCCACGCCTAAGCTCTTTGGATCCGACCTGTCACTTTTACATTTACATTTACATATACATTTACATTATACATTATACATACATATGTACCCTTACGACGCCGCCGCGATGCACGGTGCCCTTTTTTTCTTCAAGACAGCAGAACATCCAGCTGGTATCTTCTTACAATTAAACCGTCCTCTGAAAGGGGTACAGTACCTTAGTTTTGCATGCATATATGCGATTAATAAATCTAAATTAAATCAAATCCAGGGATCTGGAACCTCTGCTTGCTTTGCTTTGCTTGTGAGAGAAAAGCCACCACCACCACCACTACAACCTATCTATCTATCTATATCTTAGATTCTATAATCCCCCCCCCCCCCTTCCCCCTGATTCCCCACATATCAATACCCTAGGTATGACAGAAAGTTCAGTTACCCATTTTCCCTCCCTCCCTCCCGTTCCCGCCCCGTCCGCTTTGCCTCTATGTAGGGGCCCGCGCGAAGAGGTTCATGTATAGTATGTATGCCATGGAAGAGGGACATGGAAAGGAATTCCAAATTCCAAATGTATGGTGTGGTACCTGACATAGATACATACATGCATACATACTGCATACCTACTCTCGACGACAACCCCTAAAGCCAACCCAACGCAACACAACTCAAATTCAAATACAAAACAATAAATCAGCCTCCCTCCCTATCTCCTTACCATCGCATACCTCACCTCACCTCACCTAAAGTCTCCAAATATTCATATTCATTCCTATAATCTTTAAATTCAAATTTCCAAATTCTAGACCCCCCCCCCCCCGCCCCTTCCCCCCCTAGATATTCTTATCATCTTATCATCTTATCACTTCGTCTGATCTCATACGAATTCCAAATTTCAACCTCTAAAACTTGAAAAAAAGAAATATATAAGGTATTTATTTATTTATTTATTTTATTTATTTGCCTAGTCAATAAATCAAGCAAGCCAAAGCTCGCTTCTAGGTAGGTTAGGTAGGTAGGTATAATAGCACAGCACGAGTATCGAGACTGCGTGCGTGTGTGTGCGGTTGGATAGGAATTAGGAGGGATTGGAGGAGATGGGATGGGATGGGATGGGATGGGATGGGATAAAAGGCAACGACAGACAGCACATCTAATAAGATAAGCGCGCGGTTCAAAGTACCCCTCTTTCCACCCCTTCCCTCCCCTCCAATCCTCCCCCCCTCTCCCCGAAAAAATAAATCCAAATAATCCAAATAAACCTCACCTCACACCTCCCAATCCATCCAAGAAATCCAAACATATCATCAGACCAAAACCCAGATGATGATGGATGATGGATGGATGATAAGGATGATGGACAACGCAGTATGTCTCACTCACTCACTCTCATTCGCTTTCGCTAAAGGGATGCGCTGTCATAGGTAGGTATCATAGGATCGATCGATCGTGATCTATGATGGATGATGGATGATTCATAAGAGATGAGAGATTTGACAACGCATCAAGGTAAGGTAAGGTAAGGTAAGGTGAGGGATATAGAAGGAAAGTAAGAGGAAATTTCCTACCTTACCTTACCTTACCTTACCTTGCGTTTACAGCACGGGACTACCTTAGGTATTGTTACACATAAAAACCGTCATCGAGGTAAGGTAAGACTTGCTTCTTCTACCCTGTATACATTCATTCCTCCTCCTTTCCCTGAAATATAAAATTACATATAATAATAAATAAATAAAAAAAATCAAGAAAGAATTCAATATTCGAGACTAGATGGTTGGTTAGACATAGGTGCATGAACTACCTACCCTTACATAAGATAGGTAGGGAGGTAGGTAGGTAGTTTTGCCTTGAATGTAGGTAGGTTTATTTTATTTTATTGGTGAGTTCATTTGAGATACCTAGCTACAAGTATTTAATACAGATAGATAAATAAATAAATCACAAGTACAGTACAGTACAGTACAGAGTTGTGTTATACATAATTACTATTTATAGACAAGGTACGTAGGTACGTATGTGCAGAACAAACAAACAGGATTGACTTATTAGATACATAAGAACAGAGGTTCAAACGATGACATGACATGATATGACAATGATATACGATCCGGGCCTTGGCCTCTTTGATTCTTGGACTGGACTGGGCGTGGGGGAGAGCGGCGGCGCCACCCCGCGTTTTGGTGTGGTTGGTGGTGGACTGGACTGGGCTGGGCTGGGCTGGGCTGGGATGGGATGGGATGGTTTTATGGTTTTACCCCGGATTAGAGCAGATCAGATCAGGATCAGGATCAGATGATGGGGAAAAGGAAAAGAAGAAAAATAATGCCAAGTTAAAAGAAAAGAATTAAATAAAATAAAACAAACACCCGAAAGAAGGGATGAATGAGAGTACAAGAATAACCGCCTCGCCGCACGCATCGCACCGCACAAGACCACATCTCAAACCCTTCGCCACGCGCGAGGTAAGGGGGGGGGTTCCTCGAATTACATCACATTTTTCTCCCCTCTCTGCCCTCTCTCCGCCTCTACCTAGCATAAATCGCAGTCGACCTTGGGACAAATAGAAATAATTGATGTGATATATAAAAAGAAAAAAAATATGCAACGTATAGAACTCGGCGGTATTACTTACATACGCCTACATTCCACGCCTGATCTCTCGGTGGCTGAGGTGAGGCGCGGTCGCACTTCGGTGTGTTAACAGTGTTGTGTTGTGTTTTGTTTTTGTTTGTGCTGTGGTGAATTATTTCTCCGTGTGCCAGCTCTGTGCCGGCGATAAATAAAGTGCTGCCTGGGGAAGGGAGCAGGAGAGAGGGGTAATAGATGGGCGAGTCGTACTGTACTGTAACATATTGTACGTACAACAGCGTCCTCTCTCTGCGTCTCTCCCTCGCCGTACAGACGAACATCGCCGACGTGACCGCTGTACGAAAGAGGCAATAGACACCACCAAAATAATAAATGAATAAATAAAAGAATAAAGTATAAATAAATAAAGCATAGACGTAAAACATGCATGAAATCAACCGCAACCTAAACGCAATCCGCAAAGCTTAAACGCAAACTCAAAATCTGCTGTGCGCTGCGAGGGAAGGCGGAAGGGCCCCGCAGAGACGTAGCGCATGTGAAACACTTGTCGGAGGCGCGAGTCGAAAATAATATCAATCAGCATGCGGTCATGGATGGTCATGTGATGTTATGCCTCTGTATCACGATCACGGTCCTCAGCTTATGCCATATGGTAGAGCAAGGTAAGGTGTACCCAAAGCAGTGATTATTGCATTCCTGGTGCCATAATAATCCAGGACGATCGCTCGCTCATCCAAACAGGTCCCGTCTGCCGCCTACCCGAGGCTGCGGTAGCGTGGCACGGGATGCCCCCTATTCTGTGCTCGCTTCCTCGCTGCGTGCAACAGGACACCGGTTCTGAGGAGCCCGCTGAGTCTGGACAGAGCTCGTCAACAGCGCAACTGACTCAAGATGCGAGGTTGTCGGCTGAGAGCCAGGGGCTTGGGACGGATGCCGGGGGGGGGTTGGTGCAACGTGAGAGCGTGGGATCGGGCGAGGGGCGTTACCGAGGGCGAGGGGGGACATGGAGGGGGAGGGAGAGGAAAAATAACAAAAATAATAAGAAAAATAATAAAAATAATAAAGAAACAAAGAAAATGACAAGAAAGGAGATTCCCCTGCCTCCTGACAACCTACATCAACAAGGGCGCCGCAAGAAACCCGTTTAGGGAATCACAACATCACAGCGCTGAGCGCCGTCCTCATCCGCGGGACCTTCCCGAGCACGCCCGCTCCGCTCCTCTCCTCCACCATCCCAATATCCATATCCGCATCCACATCCACATCCCTAGAATCGCGCGGTTCGACTGTAGTGTGGTGAGTGGCTTGCTGGCGCTGGAACTACAGCACTCACAGCAAACCACCCGTCCCAGAGATCTCGATTCGAATCGCGACCCTGCAGCGGGCATACGCTTGGCGTCGAGACCTACATGCTGTGCGCAGTACCCCTCGATCAAAGTCATGACTTGAAGCACCTTATCTGCGCCCAAGTGCGGCGGAAAGGCTCCCCGGGCCCAGCACTCTGTTCCATAATCCCAAATCACTGTGCCCATCTTAAATTTCCAATATAGCATCAAGCCACCTGGCGATGATGCCATGCGACGATGCGGGCCATACCAAGCATTGATTAAATTTGATTAATCAATGCTTAGCTCTGAGGAGAGTAGTCCCGCGAGATGTGATGTGTGAGATGAGCAATGAGATGATGACCCACGAATGATGAACCACACCCAAGCCTCTGGATACAACATCAGGATCCCATCGCCAAGTGCCGCGCCGATCGCTGCCCAGGCGGGCGGTAGGGAGGAGCGCGCCGCGCCGAGGGGCGTTGCCGGGCGCGGGAGGGAAACGGCGCGAGTCAGGACGGGGAGATTATTGGGACGCGTTCATGCACCGACGGGAGTATCGATTTGATCGATTGATATGTGGTTGGGCGCGGGTGCGTTCCGGACGCTTTGCACTTGGGTACCGGCTACTGCACAGTAAGTAGTTCGAGATGTATGTATCATATGTTATGCTTTGGCTGGATGTATGTATGTATCATATGTATGCGAGGAAATAAAGTTTCGATTCTTCGACGCAGGGAAAGCTTACCTGCAGTACTGAGTCGTGCTTCCACCGTATCATGCTATCATCCTATGTATCCCTCGATTCCCTCGATTCCGGACCGAGAGTCGTGCAGATCGATAACCCCCGCCGTGCGCATCTCATCTGGTCTGGATTACTTCCTCTCCTGGCTCCCCGGGCATCACGGCGTCGTATTATCTTGCCCCTCGCCCATGATCCATGACCCTCGACCCTCGATAACACCGGGATGCCTTCCGAGATTACCTCCTCGCCCGCGGAAATCCAGCAGCGTGTGTGCCCCCCCCTGCAGCACCCACGAGAGTCTGAGGCTTCACCCACGGTCCCGGGTACCGCACCCGCAACGGTGCTTTCCCGACTCTCCCTTCCCTGTCGCGATCCAGGGTCGCGCGCATGGGCAGGCCGGGCATGCCGTCAAATGAGAGCGTCGATCAGGACCCGAGACATCTGGGTCGTCGCCGGGTCTGAGCGTACTGCAGTACCGCGGATGCGAGCCGGAGGAGATGGCGGTGCCTGTTTCTGCTGGTGTGAAGCAGTGTAGAGGGGTTCGTATTCAGCTTCAGTCTGTCGTTATGATTCGGGACTGTGCTTGTTGCGAATTGGTATTATTGCAGTGCTACAGTCCCCTCGGTGTTGTGTGCTTTACTGCTTCACGAGTAAGCGATACAACTCCTCGGTTCATCACCCCCCCAACCCCTCCCTCGTGGCTGTTTTTCCTCGCTAAAGCTCTCGATCAGGCACTAACACGCATCCGTCCAGGATCCCTCACCCGCTGTTCCCGCACCAATCAACGCCGTCCGTCCGTCTTCTAGCCGCCTTCCACGCATCTTCCCCCTCCAGACGGCTTAGTCAAGACCGAGGCTACGCCGATGCCCGCCGAGGTCGCGAATCAGAGACCTGCCCGAGGTTGTCTGAACATTGTACGGCGCAGTCATTCATTCATTCCCGTTTCATGGCGTTCTCTTGTGCTTCAGAAAGGGTACGTCCTCTATCATGATTCAAAGGAAAAAGAAAAAAAGAAATCAAAAAGGATATTGCATGTGATCCTTCTCTTCTCCCCAGAATCCATGCATGGTACCAATTCCCATTCCTCATCCTCATCAATCATACATTACCTACCTACCAGAGACAAATACGCCTACGCCTACGCCCGTAACCATAATCATCCATCCATCCATACCTCTATGTCCCCTCGTACAGAGGAACTCAAGACAAATTCATCAATCAATCAATCAATCAATCAACCAAACACCACGAGCAGCCCCCCAGCATCCATCCATCCATCCCACTCACTCCTTTGCGACCATGTCTCATGTCTCAGCACTCAACCATCCCACGCGCTCGCCATGTGCTGTCGTGCCAGTATCAGTATGTGTCAGATACGGATCTGGAATCTGGATACTACGTGCCATCGCGAAACAGGGGAACTGCCTATTTGAGAACAAAAAACGAAGGGGGGGTAGTTCTCGTGGTTTGTTATTTTTATTTTATTTTATTTTTATTTTATTTCACCTTACTTTCTCTTATTTTGTGATTGGTTCATTATATTCCAATTCTTCATTTTCATTTTTTCGTTCTCGTGAACAATTAATTAATTAAATTAATTTGTATGATTGGCTTGGATTGCCTCTTTTTTTCTTTTTTTTCTTTTTTCTTTTTCTCTGTCACATGGGCATGCGTGTGCCTCTCCGCGCCTCTTCTCTCCGCGCCTCCGCCTCATCCCGTCATCACATCAATCAAACAAATACCCCACGCACGTGCAAAACTCGCGACCAGGGCCGCGACCTTCTTATCCAGGAAGGTTCCAGGTTCTTATCACTCTATCTTATCCCTCCCCAGCTCGCAATCCTGGGTCATGTTTCGATTTCGATTTCTGAATGTTTGCTTTGTTTTATATTATTTAAAAAGAAATTTGGGGGGGGGGGGGGAGATTTATTATTATTATTATTGGTTTTTTTTTATCTGGTTCGGGGTTGAGGATGAGGATATATGTAGGTTGAACCTTTAAGTAAGGTAGAATAGAATAAAATAAAATAAAATATAGACATTCCATCGATATACACACATACCTCTACAACAGAAAGAAGAAAAGATTCACCATCAATTCTAAGCAAAGTGTACGATACGATCTTATCATGTGGGAAAAGAAAGGGGAATAGGGAGGGGGGTAGTGGAAAGGGACAGGTGGGTGAATTGGGGGGGGGGGGGGGATTCATGATGGGAGAAGGAGAGATGAGATGAGAGAGACATGCACGGGCTGTGGATAGAAAGACTATTACCTAGCAAGGAGCTGAGCTGAGGTGAGGTAGGTAGGTAGCTATGTAGCTAGGCTCTGGCTCTGGCTCTGGCTCTGGCTCTCTAGAAAGAAGGGTGTTATATCGATATCATACATAACGAGCCATCCTTCAAAACCCAACCCAACTCAACTCAACTCAACTCATCAAACAGTTTTGATCTTATCCCCCACCGGTCTCCGGAACTTCCTCTTATCCTTCCTACTCATCCTCACCCGATCCCTCGTCCCCTTCCCCCCTTCCCAGAACCCCCCTCCCCCTTTCTTCCCCACCAGCAGCATATGACACGCCCCGCAGTCCTGCGGTCTATAATTGCCCTCCCTGGAGCACCACCCGCAGATCATGCGGTTCGCCCACTCGTTCGGATGCGCCTCCTTCTCGTCGTGGCACTTGTCGCACGCGTACACCTTCTGACAGCAGCTGAACCGGAACCAGCGGTAGCTTTTCGAGTAGTGCCGGCAGCGCCCGCGCCGCGGTAGTTCGGTGCCCGGAGTGATCCCGAGCTTTTCAGGCTTGCGCCGAGGGCCCGAGGAGGGGGGGAGCCGGGAGGAGGTGATGTGCAGGAAGCGGATTTGGGGGATGGTGAGGGTGAGCTTTTGGTGACAGGTGTGGCAGACGTTGCGTGTTGTTTCGCCACGGATGGTGACTATTCCGGGTAGTGGGAAGGGGGTGGAGCATTGGGAACAGGTGGGGATGAATGTACTAGGAGTTGTCAGTATGGGAGAATGATGGGTAAGGATGTAGAAGGAGAGAAAGATATGGGAAAAAGGGGAAATACCTAGGTAGCATATCAACAACCACACATCCCTCAAGATCGAGAAACCCAGCTCGTACTGCATTGGCGTGGACGAGCTCCCTCCTATACGTCGCTACAAGCGCAGTCGCGCATTTCCTACAGCTCTCAGACTTTGTGATCCCGTTCTTCAACCCGTTGATCTCCATGACCTCCTTACACCTCTCACACTTCACCGACAGATTCAACGTGACGACCTCCAAGAGCTCAATGCCGTACAACTCAATAAGCGGGAATGAGATTGCTGTCCCCCGCTCTGGGTTCTGAGGGGTTTGAGAAGGTTGCTGATCCTCGGCTTCAACTTCAACCCCTCCCTCCGATGACTCTGTGTCATACGAGTAGTCGGAGTCGGAGTCGGAATCTGAGACATCGTCAGGATCGACAGTCCATTCTGGTGGTCGAGTGATATATTGGATGTGGCTTCGTTCGGGATCTTGCTGTCCGTCGACTTCCTTCCCCTTGTTGGTGGGAGCGACCTCTGCTTGTGCCGGCTGAACAGAGGGAGGTGCCGGCTTCTGTTCAGATACCAGAACGGTCTTTGCTAAGATGTGCATATTCTGGGCGAGATAGTTGATATGACCCATCAGAGTAACATCTTTCTGTCCCGCGACCCTCTGTTCAAACCCCGTCTCAACAGGCTTTGATTCAGCGGGGTCGACCGCATCCAGGCGGATCCGGCATGGTTGCAGAGGGTACAGTAGTGGGACGAACAGCTGCACTGACTTCACTGCCTGTAGAGCAACTGGGAGTTCGGAACGTCGTCGCGGCTCAACGGGGATCGTATAAGCTATCCCATCACCTGATTTCTTGAACAGGGGTAACCGTCCCATCCGTGCTTCCAGCTGCCTGGTCTCTGCCTCCCTCTTCTGTGACGCTTGCGACTTCTGCTCTGTCGTGAAGACCTCAGCTGGTTCCACCCTCGGCTGAGCTTCGACCTCGGACGCGGCGAGTTTCCCCTCGATCCGGGTTGGACCTGCTACTGGCTCCACGGACCTTGAAGGGAGGGCTGATAGATGGCGAGTATCTTTGTTCGGCACCAACTTCACCGTCTCCGCTTTTGGGGCGGACAGGAAGACCTCTAGGTTCTTGTCCAGAGCCTTCATCAACTCCAGCAGGGTTGCCTCGGGCTTGTCCTTGACCAAGCCATCAAAACCAGATTCGACGTTGAGGGCGAATCCCCTCGGGATGTCCTTGTTTCCAACCCTTAGCCATGGTTTGGACACCGGATATCCAGTGGGTACAAAGAGCTGGCAGTTGAGCGCCGTCATCTCGAAGGGGAAGTCGGGGTCTGATGGGATGAGGTTGAACCTGAGCAACGTTGCTTCCCCCTCGTACCCCTGAGCGACCTGCTCCGAGGGAGAGAAGCGCCTCCTGATCTGCCCCAGCTGGAACTGGCGAGGGTCCTGTGCCTGTGCTTGTGGGACGGGCTTTGGGACCACACGTGACGCCGGGACAGGCTTGGTGACGGCCTGTCGCCGGTCCTGGACCATGCCATGCTCATCGGGAAGCGCCCCTGAAGAAGCCGAAGCCAGCGCGGGCTCTCCCTGCGGCGGCTTGGTGGTCGTCACAGGCGCGCCGGGAAGGCGGGAGGCATCGTGCAAGAAGGGACAGTCATTGCCTGCGCGACACGCACCTATCCCTCGGGTCAGCTCCTGCTACCGTATGATGGACCTGTCCTCGAGGATCTGGATCTCTGGAGGGCGCGACGGGGACGGGAGGGAGAAATGACGTGTGTGACTGGAGGGAGCTCAAGGGATCGATATCATTGAATGCAGCCAGACGCCCGTGATGCGCAACAGAAGCCGGCGCGAATCACGGGATCCACTGGCGATGCTGCACGACACAACATGCATATGCGACGGGGCGTCTGCCCTCCCGTTGTCGCCAATGAAAATATTCGGGAATATTCGAAATATTTGAAATATCCAGAATACCCAGAATATCCCGAATATTCCAGCGTCGCGGAGAGCAGCGAGAGAAGGCCAGTTCACCTACCTGCTTTGCTGAAATAGCGACAGACCCGGGGTTTCAGCGGCGGCGGGTGCAAAGCGCGTGAGACGGCATCAGGATGGATTGGAGCTGCCAACGCATCAGTCAACGGAGCAGATGACCGCCGCGGGTCCAGCCATGTCGATGCACTGCAACCTCGCGGAGAGGGCGGTGAAGGGGCAACGAAAGTCATACCTGGTGGATGAGTGGGGGATGTAAGGCTGGACGTCATGATCGTTGCGGAGGATGGAGGGGGGGGTTAGTCGTGTTGCGTGGGATGAGAGATGGGGGATGGGGGATGGGAGATGGGGGAGTCCGCTTGTCGTTCAACCGTCTTTCGGGGTATCTAGACAAGGCTTCTAAAGAGGTTTTTGAGAGAAAAAGAATTGATAAAAAAAGGCTTTAGAGAAGAAGAAGGGTGTCAAACTGAAGCTCAAGAGAATTAGTTGTTCTGGTCACGGGAATCAAGTCACCACCATCGCGGTGCCGTCGTCGATGCGTCGAAAACCTCGGACTTGCCACTGACCATGGTACACGGTACTGCAGAGTGAGTCACTGCAAGGCACAAGGCGGGCTGAATGACGGGTATTCTGCGAGTTATTTTTATTTGATTTTATATTTACTTTTGTCTGGCCCTTTTTCTTTGTTTCTTTTTCTTTTTTTCAATTTTTACCTTCATCGTATTGCACTTTTATATTCCAAATATATCCCAACCCAGACCCTCGGCAAAGGACAGCAGCTCCAACGCCATCCATCTCCCTCCCTATCGCCATCGCCACATCGCCACCTCTCCACCTCCCACTCCCAATATTATATTAATATCAACGCCCCCTCTCGTCCCAAACGAGGCATTACCGAGTCCTCGTATCCCTCCCTCATCAACCCCCATCCAGTGATGCGGGTGTTGTGTGCGTGTTCATGTATGTGTTTTCCCGCCTCCGGCTCAGCCCCTCAAGAATGCAGCATCCGACCGGACCGGTCCAACGGCTTCCTTCTTGTCGGCCCTATCTCTCTCTGCTGCACATCCGATCGCCGTGAGGACAAGGTTCCTGACGGGAAATCCCCCGGAGATGGCACCTCGGGTGATTTTCCGATTCTACAGCGCGGCAATATGCTTGTCTATATCGCGCGATAGAAAAAGTATCAGGAGATGTTCGGAGAATCGGATTCCCTATTGACGCGCTCTGTCCTCGATCCCCTTTTTCAAATACCAGTATGCGGAAATCAGAGTCGGTGCCTACCTACCTAGTCAATGGGATTCTGGGTTGACGGATCTGGATGTCTCGTCGTGCAGTATCTATGAACAAACCCTTGGGCCAAGTCCCCCCGACGCATTCATTCCTTTGCTTCGTGCTCTCCTCACTACCGCATCCAAGACAGCTCCTGACTGACGTACAACCACGCAAGCAAAATTCAGATCTACAAAGATGAACTACGCGATCCCTCTCTGTGGCGCAGTGTTTGAGCTTGTCAGTTTTCCCATGATAATCTGACTGACGTGCCGAAACTGGAATATGATGATGATTGAGATGGGATGGAAAGGCGGGCAACCAACAATGATACTTTCATAATCCAGCAAGACCAACATAGGTAGTTTTCCGCATTACATTCACATTCACAAGTCTTACTCCAGCTATCATTTCCCGCCCTCTGTTCATTGATTGCTTAGATCATAAAAATCGCGAATAGCTGTCATGATATAGCATGGGAAGTATATAGTTCGATGTTGCGTTTAGTCAATTGTAGACGATGATTGTATACACCGGAAGGCTGGTAGATATACTTATGTGTATGTAGCCATTGTGTTTGGCTACCCTATCTTCTAGATACGCACATCTGTGGAAGGCTTTAGTATAGGTATTGTCTAAGGTAGATGCTGTACTGCTGAATATACACATACATACATACACCTCTCTTTTCCCTCTCTTCTTCTTCCCTATTCTTCTCCAAATCCCCTCCATCAACCCCCCCCATCCCCACTTCCCAATCCAATCCAACCCTCTCTCTATAAAATCCCCTCCCCTCAACCATTCAATAACCCCAAATCTCAAGAAGAAGAAGTGCCTCATTGCGAATCGCAAAGCCAGCCAGCCAGCCCCACATAACATACCTAACATAACACCAATTTGCACCAAAATCCCCCCCCCCCTTCCTCTTTTTTTTTGCACAAATAAATACCCCAACAACCCCTCCCATCCCCACCTCTCACCAAACAAAAACATGCAAAAATCTCTCAGCCCGCGTAGCTCAATCGGTAGAGCGTCAGACTCTTACTTAAGATTCTCTTCAGTAATCCATATAAAAATCTGAAGGCTGCGGGTTCGACCCCCGCCGTGGGCTCAATTCCCACTGGCTTGCTTTGAGTTTATTCTTTTGTTTTAATTTTATTTTTTTCTAGGATTTCTTTTTGCGACTCGCCCACCCCGGGGACCCAACCAATTCCTTCACAAACAGCGGATACATACTCAAAGTGTAGTATGATGATCTGCTGGATTCTCTATCTATCTCTGTGCTCTTTTTCTTTTCTTTTCTTTTCTTTCTTTTATATTTATTTTTTTCTTTCCTTTTCTACCTAAGGTATATATACTAAATCCAAGAGTCGCCTCTCCCAGAATGAACCGGGAAAGGGCACGCGCAAGTAGAGGGCTCGCGTATTAAGCGAACCCCTGGATTTAGATGCTGGACGGTAAGTAAAGTGATGAGGCATCAATCAGCGTGGAAGGAGATAAACCACAAGACTCCTCAGTAGCATATGGAAATCGAGGGCAGGATTTCCGTGGATAATATACACTTTGGTACTTTGATTACAATTTTCTAATTAATTGACACCTTTTTGTCCCCCTTCTTCATCAATAATCCATGCATGCGTCTAAGAACTTCACTTTTTTGTCGTCCTTCCAAATTCATTCATTCCCAGCTGTTGTTGTTTGTTGTCCTGACAATCTATTGCACACACACTCCGTCCTACCTAATATAACAATTTTCGCAACGCCAATGCACCACCACCGAGTTAAACAAATAACACCGGGCGGTCTTCTCCGCTTTCAATTTTTTATACACTCGTTTGACGAGCTTTTTGAATATAACAGACACCACTCCAACTACCTATCGGCTCCCCAAGCGTCCGAAGACCTTCCCGAAGATCTCCCGGCTCTTCATCAGATTACTGACCCTGAATCTCTCATTATCCAGATGGGCGGCGTCGCTCGCTTGTCCACAAGGGAGATGTGCTGCCGGCGCATTGAATTCCTTTTCGAGGAACCTGATTGAGGGGATCGAACCACCTTCACGAATGTAGAGGGGCTTGCGGCCTCTGGGTTTGGTGGTAGCGGAACCATTCGAAAGGGTGGGGACGGAATCAGTTGCGGACGATTCTGAGGTGCTTCGGATAGGGAGAGTGGGTTGGGAAGGATTAGATGGATCGGTCTGCTGAGGCGGATGCATCGCGCTAGCCAACGACATATAATCGCTTCCCATCGTCAACGTCGACGTGGTGGTAGGGTTCGGTTTCAAGCTAGGGCTCTTGGTCGGGGTCGGTTTCTTTTCCTCCTTGCTCCGAACGCTAGGGACACTCGCTCTTCCGGTGCCTTCGCCAATCGGGCCCCAGACCTCCATGACCGCTTCCTCGAGCGTGCGGAATATCTCGTTGTCTGGATCACCAAGCCATGCGTCTGCTTGGTTGTCGACTGTTATCGACAAGCGATTATGCGTATCAAGGGTAGCGAAGGCGTCGTTCAGGAAGGTGGTGAGGGATTTGATCACATCATCTACTTCTTGATTAGGGACGAGACGGACTGAAATGGCGGCGCTGGCATGGCTTGAGACTAGTGAGCCGTCGGGTCCTGAGACTTTATATCTGTGAATTGTGAGGTTGGGTTCTCGCCAACGCGCCATGAGGGATGCCTTCAAGGTTTCGGCTGGACCAAGAGAAGGATTGCGTCGAATCAACATTTCAGTAATATCGTCGTAGCGTTCTTCTTCCGCGGGTGTCAGGGGCAGGATATCGTCGTAGAAGCCAGGGATTTGGATACGGTTATGTAAGCCTTTGAGTTTGGCTAGAATAGCAGTGAGATCGAAGAGCGGTTCGTCCATCATAAAGCTTCCATCTACACCTGAATGGACATCGGGATGATTGCTATCCACTTTCACCGTAGCATGCAAAACACCTCTCAGGCCATAGGTCAGACAAGGAACTTCATCGTCAAGCCAATAACTGTTGGCCAATATTATATAATCGATTTCACCGATCAGGTCTTTATGTCGGCGTACAGCTTCTTTGAAGCCGCGAGAACCAGATTCTTCTTCCCCTTCAATGAGGAACGTGATGTCGGAGTCGAGCTCTTTCTTGTGGACGAGGTCTACGACCCCGTAGAGGGCAGCCATGATTGGCCCTTTGTTGTCGGAAACCCCTCGGCCGTACAAGTAGCCATTTATTCCTCTCATTTGGAATGGGTCGACGATCCATTTGCCTTGCTTATCATCGGCGGGAACAACGTCATCTGTTGGGTTTAGCACTGGTTTCATCGAGAAGATAATGAGGGGACATACAGTGACCATAAAACAGGATCTTCTTCCTTTTCCCTGCTGTTGCTGGATTGCCCTTGAATTTGGCATACACTACGGGATTATGTTGATTCTCTGTGTTCAACATCTCGGTCTGCGCACCATGCTTCTTGAATAAGGTCCGCAGGAAAGTTGCACCACGTCGACAATCCTCCGCATGATCTGGCCTCGAAGAGATAGTCTTGAACGAAACGAACTCTTGCAGCGATTTGATCAGCTGGTTGTCAAGAACCTCTGTATTGCTATAAGAACCCGGATGACAACCCGTGATATTCCAAATCGAAACCGAGTTATCGTTGGCGCCTGTGATGTATAGCTGCTGATTGTTGTATGTGGTGACTGCCGATGCCAGAATACGACCTTCGTGGGCCTTCCATCGAGTGACGCATTGGTACTTTTGGTTGAAGTTCGACGAGGAGCTTCTGTATTTGCCGTACTGTACCGTGCTGTATTTCTGGGATGTGTTAGTATTCTTAAAACAAGTGAAGCTCGAGAAACTCACTCTCGCATATCCAGTGGACCCCGCACTCCATAGATATCCCCAGCCCATTTGCAATGTCATGACGTCCCCTTTATGCGCCCTTATAACCCGGAGCTTCTGTTTGGTATCCAGATCCCACAGCTCAATGACCCCTTCAAGCTTGCTGCTGTACAGGAACGAGCCATCCAGTGCCATCGACAACACGGACTCGGCATCATCCTCACCAAGACACGCGACCTCCTGAATACCTTGGTTTTGATCGTGGGAGAGCTTCCAAAGCTTAATTGTCCCATCCCCTCCACCAGAGATCAGCATATCATCCTCGGAGTCCACCAATCGACTAACAGATCGGACCAACAGCATGCAATAAACGTATCCAAAATGGGCATACTGAATCATATGCGCCTTGTCAATCTCCAGAACGTTCCCATCATCTACGGGAATCCTCGTAATTTGGGGTCTCGGCGTTGAAGTTCCACCCGCCTGCGCTGAGTCGAAGAACCTATGGTTCCTCCGATCAGGATGTCGCTCCGGATTGGGCGTCGGTCTTGAGGCAGAGTCCTTCAAACTACACCATTGTATGCTCGTGTTTTGCGCCCCCATATATACCGTCTCAAACTGCGCCGAATACACCACGCTGAAGACGTCGCCGACATCGTACGTGCTGTAAATGTGATATAATAATTTCAGACTGTTCGGGCACCACGCATTGACAATTGCATCTCCAGCGCTGGAGAAGAGGAGTTGGCCATCTGCGGAGAGGAACAGGCAGAGTACCGCGCGTGTATGTGCTTGAATTCGATTGATCAGCTCAAACGAAGCCAAAGACCAGACCAGGATATCCCCATCCTGTGTGCCTGCATATATAAAGTGCTCCCCGACGGCGAGGGTGAGGATGGAGCTATCGTTCTGCAGATGATGCGCGAGTTCGGGTCGCCTCTCGCCAGGCTCGTCGTCGCCATTCGACACGCGGTTCGTAATCCCAGTACTGAAGGGCTCGTCGTCGCTGGGGTCTGCTATTCGTCTATTAGCACGGATGGAAGCCACAGCAACAGCATCCTGCGATGCTAGAGCTCGCGCTCCAAAAATCGAAGCCATTTGATGCCAGGGAATGTACAGGGCGGGCGAGCTCTAGAGCTGGGCGGGTGCGGCAAAGCTAGCGGGTCTTGACTCTCGAGGGACCTGAGCGAGCCTCGCCCTTTGTTTCTCTCTTTCCCTGCCAAAGAAACAATGCACGACAAAGATACAACTGAAGATTTATCGAAGGGGACGAGGGGGTGCGAATTATGGATGACAATGCTCAATCTCAATCTCAACGACGCGGCTCTTACAAGAAGTTACTCACCTGGCGTTGCCCACGGACTCTGATCGTCCTCAACCGACGACCAACTGGCGGGATCCTCGTCGTCGCTCCTCCACGGCGAACCCTGGTTGCACATTGTGAAGGCCTCTGGGAAGGAGATTCGAGTGGCTGCACAACCATTCCAGACGGCCAGTGGGAAAGGATTGTTGTCCTCGAAAGGAGTCCTGTTGATCCACGCATCTTCCATTTCGGCGCAGAGTGGCGATAATTGCGCGAGACGGGTCCATGATCACGTCTTCATATATAAAGGAGGTTCCAAGACACTGGAGACAGAGACAGGCACAAAAACAACAAAACAAATAAAATAAAATCATCTACACGGGGGGCAAATGTATAGGCCGATCTATCCACATGGCCCTGCGTGCGGTGGGCGGGTGCTATGCTTCCCCGCGGCCACTACAGTCTCGCACATTTCTCTCTCATGCAGGTCCTCTTCCTCTCATCTCGTACGTGTCGTCACTTATTTACCCACAGTCGTGCCCGCGGCTGGCTGGATGATGCGTGGCTGAATGGGATTGTACGTCGTGCAGAGCCACACCGCTCGTGCTCTGCACATACATCCTACATACTGTGCCATCATACATACATACATACTGTATACATCAATCATCGAAGCCCCGAAGGCTCTCACAAACGGATCAGATAACCTGCTTTGCCGTTAGTAGCGGCCGCGGAAGCTGGGTCTCCCAATCGGCCATGATGGAGTCATCAACGCCAATTCCGGGGCAATCAGTCTGATCTGCCCCAGTACGTGAGTCATGTTTCTATCAAATTTCAACTTTCACAAACATCATGTGATTTCAGGACTTGGCAAACATCGACAATCATGCTTCCTGATGGGTATAAATATCTGCATCCCGACTGTCGAAATCTGACCTTGGATCCTCATCCACCATCACAAAGCGTCAGTGACTTTCTCCAACATCTCATCTTCCTGAAAAGATGGCTCTCAACGTCAATGTTGATATCCCCTTCCACCTGAGAGATTGTTTCAATAGAAGCCATGGACAGATTGCAAATAATGCGACGCTGGTAGGCGAAGCAGGGAGGGTGCTAACATCGAATAATCGACCCTCCAGGCGCAATTCGGGAACTGAGTCCTGCGATCAGGACACTGATGCTGTTCTAGTACAGCCCCTTGCCGAGGGACTTCCAGCCGGAAATGCCACCCTCGAGAACATGAACAGGACTCTTTGCGGCATTGCGGAAAGCATCGAGTTGATGTGGTATGCAATTAGGGCTCGTCAGCAATTCGATGACCGGCCACGCAACGATGACCGGCTACGGAACGATGACCGGCTACGGAATTTCCCTGGCATCTATCACCTTCATGACGTCCAATTTGGGGATCTTCCAAGATGGGCTGGACGGGAGAGGGAAAACCGAGATTACAGACCCGGAGTCGACCTTCATCGCGGTCGCTCCCCCCCTCGGGCCTTCGGATACAGTCCGGAAAGGCCGAACAGGAATCCCGTTAGATCACCCGAGTTCAATGCTGCCCGTCCTGACACAACGCCAGCTGGAGATGCCGGACAGAGGATATGGTAATGAGCAAATGATGCAGTTTGGTCAAATGACCAGCGCGCGTCTTCCTTTGGCCTACTGGCCGCGCTTATGTTTTTTAACCTCGACATGCAGAGGGAGTGTCTAGATAGCAGATTACCTAGGTAGTAACCTGAATGCAAACAATGTCTTGATTTCAAAATCTCCATCTTATGCAACCAAACCACAACAGACACTCAAACTCTATGAAGCACCTGCCAACTCTCCATGTAAACCTTTCTTCGTCCCCGTTATGTTATTCTTCCTTACCTATCTATCATCATCAACATCCATCCATTTCTCACCCTCTCACTAGGCTTCGACAAAATGTTATTATTCTAACAGTGGCCATTCCTGAATATGCTCTTCTTAAACTCTCCGCTGCCCCCGCGAATTCTGGGCTTGCTACTAAAGGAGTTGTCGGTACGGACATTCATTCCTATTATCTCAATCCCCAACCCACCCAAACCCTCCTAACCTAATCTAACAACTCGAAACCAAGCTAGGTAATTCACCCACAGCCACAGTCCATAAACACATCTCCTATGCTTCCCTCCTTCCACCTTATCCGAGGCTACCCTCCCTCCCCCCCTCCCCCAAACAAAAACGTATAAATTCAACCCACAATCCCCTCCCCTCCCATCTTCCTTTTCCAATACCAGACAGAGGTCCACCTCGTACCACAGATCCTCTGTGGGCTTTGGACTCTCTCACCTCAGGAAAGCAAATGAGAAATCAAGGTCTCATATCTACATCGAGATGTCACTTCGACGCGTTCCAGGACCTATCTGGGTTGATTGATGCTGCGGGGTGGGTGGGGTAGGGGAGGCTAGGGAGTGAGTGAATTGAATTTTGGGTAGGAGTTTTGTTGTGAAAGGGGGTTATTTGTCGTTGCGAGAGTGGATTTATCGTTGTGAATCTCAGATATAGCACCGCCTTATTATCTTATCTCTATCCGCCTCCTCCTCCGCCTCAGCTGTCAAGAGCCGACGCCGACGTCGGATGCGTAATGTGCGCATCGCATGGTCCACAACTGAGCCGTGAGAAGGTAGCCGAATAGAATAGACTCACAAGATGGTAGGTACACGTCGGCATAATCAGGATAGATATCTGAAGGGTGGAAGCTGGCTGGTCTCTGCTAACACTTTACACGGGACTTAGGAGGATCATCAGGGGCTCGCATTCGAGAGTCCTGTCGCGAGCTATTGATTCTCTCTCTGACTTCCGCCTAGTCAGTCGTCTTTATGATTGATTGATTGCCTTTCCTTACAACGAACTCTGCCAGATCTCCCCTGGAGTCAACCCATTCCATTAAACAAACCCATCTCGTAGTAATCATCAAAACCTGATCTACTACTGCCTCGCGATCCTTGATCCCGAGTGGGTAGTATTTCGCGGTGACTTTCTTTGGTTTTTTGCCATGCTGTCAACTAGTGATTGATAGCATACGCTCATCCTCTGGTATACGAATTGGGTGGGCCCTTTTTCTTCCCAACATGTGGCTGGCAAATTCGTTAATAAGGCCCTAAAGCTGCTGCGTGAAGACGGGGTCTGTATTATAGATGTGAATGCCCTTTAGCATTGTGATTTCCGCTAGGCCTTGAGATGCCGATGGATAGTCGGGAGGTAGTTCTTTGAAATTCGGGTCCTGTGTCGTGGCAAGTCCCCCAAAGGGACTGCCTGTATGCGGAAATGGCCTCCTCGGGTTGAAGCGCGAATTCTTTAGCCATGAATGCGGTACTCTGCGCAAAGTAGCGCCCTTCTTCTTCTTCAAGCTCGTTCAGAGTGCCGAGACGATATGGATCTAGGACGTGCTCACATTTCTAAGTACATTAGGCAGAAAGATGTAGCGTTCCCACGCAGATCAAAGAGATGGATTCAATATGAATCTGTTGTCTTCTATATGCTGGTTTTGTAACAGTACATGCAGGGAAAGAAAGAGAGAAAGGGTAGTGGGATGACTAGTCTAAGTGTAGTGGCTTAAGGCCGCTCGCTCACACAACCAATGGATTCACTAGAAGGATAAGCTTGTTAAGCAGCTCAAGCTGAATTGCTTCTAGCTCCTGACTCCCGGCTTTCGTAACTTGACGTGTGAGGACTTGGTAGATATACTATCTTCGTCGTGATATAGGTCTCCGTGTGCGAAGCAGCGCCAAGTCTGCTTCCTACTCGTGCTTCTTTTGCTTCTCGTTGATGTAGCGTTAGTCGTATTCGTATTTCCTCTCTCCTTTGGTGAGCTTCCCGACATTCGTCCTTATCTCTTGGATGAGCTTCTCGTCGACCCACTTGCTCTTTTTACTCATCAAATGTGGTGTGACTCCCACAAAACCTTCGGGATGCTAGCTAGGCTTTCCTGTTAAGACAAAGCCGCGATGAAACAGGTATCTCAGGGATGAACTAGTACTACCTGATACGCAGAGGAACTCTCAACCTAGAACAGAGAAGATACCAGGTGATTCATGAACCTGTACATAAAGCGAGCCTCGAAGAAATGATAATACAGGTTTCAATATGAAACACCGATTTGATAACCAAGGAGTCACGATATTGGTTCAAGAAAGGAGGAAAGAACGAGGAAGTAAAGAGTCACAATCGTACGACAGGAAATCGCCAGCGTTGCCTTGTTCTTTTGACGGAACTAATCGTCCCTCGCACAACACAGCCTTTCGGTCCGTACTTGGGAAAACAGCAAACCAGCACGAATCTCGATGCCGCCTTCGATTAGGTTGTGACAGGTAGTCACTGCAACTCTTGTCCATGGGAACTGTGCGAATGATCACGAGGACTGCTACACTGATAGAAATAGAAATGAAAATATATGGAGTAAGCGTAAGGTGCAATAGTCCTACAGTGAGGTCTAAGGTCCCCCTGGTCTCAACAAGGGTGCAAAAGGTCTTTGCAAACTCAAACTGTCAAATTCTTTCTGCAACTGCTCCTTGTAAGACTTCGCATTTTTGATTATAGTCTTTTGTCTCTCTCAATCGTTATCTCAGGAAGCAGTCCAAGAAAGATCATCTACAACAGACAGATAGTCTACGAATCATCAACGCACAACTTGCAATTGAGAAACGAAAGTAGATGAGTCTCGCAAGTCAAAGACACTACCGGGCCGAGTAACAAAGGCCAGAAATGAGATGATACAAGGAAAAACCGCAAGGAGCAGAAAAGTTGACAAGTATGAATATCATCAAGGGTAAACATAGCACTCGCTCAGGCGGTGTCGCTAAAGGGTGCGCAACTCTGCGTCTAGAGGGGGAAAAAGCAGGGAAAACTGAAAAAACATTTTAACACCTGAGATCCCATCCCTTTACTTGGTAAAGAGACGGTCAAGTATCTCGTGAAAAGAAGCATCACGAAGCATCACTAACGACCACGGATGCTTTAGTCCAGCTCTGAGCCAGCCGTGGAAGTCCGTACAAGCACCACCTCATCGCTCTTCATACTCATGAAGGCTCGAGCATCTCCCGCCGAGTGCGAAACGAGACGCCGTCATTCCTTGGCAGCTATAAATAAATAAAAATTAATATAATATAGCTGTCAGACTGATGGTGGAGTACTTACTGCGAATGCAAGATTGCATACAGTCGGAGAAAGAAGAAGTGCAGAAGGGGGAGATGGAAGTCGTATAATCGTAGCGAAGCGGCGGTCGAAGCTTGTTTCTGATGAGTGAGACTTTCTGCCTTAGATCCAGGGGTAGAGTAAGGCTTGATGCCTGGTGTCTCAGGCACACATGCGCTAGGGGTCTAGTCTGTGCGCCACCCTGCATTGTACCGCCACAGCATTGTGCGCCACACCCGATCTGGTCAAGGACGGGCGGGAGAATGTCACCGTCTAAGATTTCAAGACTCTTCAAGACAGCCTCGAATATACCAGAACAGGCACTGATAGACCAGTACAGCCTCCAAGATACCCAAAGCAGTGAAAACAGTAGTACGGAACAACGGCAAGGACAGAAACAGACTCACAGTCCAGTAGTCCCAGACATCAACGCATCCGGCATAGTGCGTCCGAAAACAGAAGTTCTCTTGACTCTGTTCCCGTCGAGCCCCTCCGAGATTCTCATCTCAGCCTCCCTCTCTCCAAGCCTCCTCCCAGCCAATCAATGCCGCTCTCCCGCGACGCCGAAGAAGATTCAAGCTTTTCGCGGCGGATCCTTGCTTATCGCAGCCAATGCGGCCAGATCCGCTGAGCTGAGCACGCCGTCCATTATTCTTCGCATGCTGCATAATCGATCCGATCCTCGAGCGAGGCGCAGGGGGCTCTCTTTTCCCTCCCTCGTACCCCTTGCTGGGGGTTCAGACCACTACAGTACGTAGGAGACACAGCTGCTCTCACGACGAGGTGTTTCAAGGCGCGCGCCGAGCGTCCAATGCCTTCTACCAGAAACATTCCCCCTGGCGTCGTGCATCAGGAACAATGTTTAGCAAAACGATGTTTCGAAACCCCTGAGCAGCGATGGCCAATCGTCCGGTCGCTGCCCAGAGATCGATCCTGGAGTGTGGGGTGCCGGAGTCGCACGCCGAAGATGCAGGTCCCGTCGGTGCAATACTCATTCGCGTCATTCGGTCGTTAAGCCCGCGCTGCGCGCCTCTCCCCTGACTGAGATCCGCATCGCGAAACCTCCTTCATAGGCCCAGGGAGGCTGGCCGCTCAGTCGCATTAAGCTCTAGTAGATTTTCCGATGTGCGCAAATTCCTCGCGACGAGAAACAAGCCTTGAAGATGCCGTTGTTTCGTTATTCCAGTGGCGGTCAGGCCGCTAAGAAACCTGCTAGGAAATATTGTCGCGAGCGAGGGGTTGGTAACGCCGGATCCTTTTCGACGCCTTTTCACACGGCATCTTCTCCAAGGGGCTCTATGCGCCCTGGTCCTCCTGAAACTAGATCTCCCTTTAACTCGCATTGGGAATGACTCGAGCAGTTCGCTCCAAGATTTAAAAGACCGGTCTTCCACCATCTATTCTCCCAGCCACTGTTCTCTCCACCCGTCTCTCCACCATCACCATCTTTCTTTCTTTCCTTCAACCAGCCCTCGAAACTTCCAGCCTTGTCAGGTACAACAGCTTCTTTCATTACTCGCAGCAGTATTTTCCATCTTGTATATATTCTGGTTGTCGAGTCCTCCATCTCGATCCTTCATTCCACATCAGATCACATCAACGAACACAATCACGAAGACAGTCACGAACACAATCACGAACGCAGTCACGAACGCAAACGCAACAACAAACACTTACAACAACACCCTCATATCACCTCTTATTCAGCCGGTCTGAATAAAAGAAAAAAGAGTATCGCCAAGATGCAGTTCACCACGCTCTTCGCAGCTCTGGCCCTTGGGTCCGCAGCCAGTGCACACATGGCCCTCCAGTACCCGGCTCCGTTCCGAGCCGCTTGGAACCCCAACTCCGATCAATCAAAGATCGACTACAGCATCACATCGCCCCTCAACTCCGACGGCTCCAACTTCCCCTGCAAAGGCTACCAGGTTGACATGGGAACACCCGCTGGCGCCTCTGTCGTCACTTGGACCGCAGGCGGCTCCTACAACTTCAGCGTCGAGGGCGGCGCAACCCACGGCGGGGGATCATGCCAAGCTTCGCTCTCGTACGACCAGGGGAAGACATTCAAAGTCATCCACTCCTACATCGGTAGCTGCCCTCTGTCGTCCGGCGAGGACTTCAAGTTCACAATGCCCGCCGACGCACCAACTGGATCCGCAATGTTCGCTTGGACTTGGTACAACGAGATCGGCAACCGCGAGATCTACATGGACTGTGCATCAATCACCATCGACGCAGGCAGCGGAAGCGCACCAGCGGTCAAATTCGCTGATCGTCCTGATCTCTTTGTCGCTAACCTTGACAATGGCTGCACCACAGTCGAGGGCAAGGAAGTGCAATTTCCCGACCCAGGACCATCTGAAGACGTCACCACCAAGGACTCGGTTTCCGATGACTCGGGATCTTTCACCGGAACCTGTGCCGCAGTGAAGGGTATCGGCGGCGGATCTGGATCTGCCCCGTCTGGCTCTGGCTCTGGTTCAGGTTCTGGTTCAGGTTCTGGATCCGGATCCGGATCTGGTTCAGATTCATCCAGCCCTTCGCAATCCTCAACTCCAGCTGCAAGCACACCTGCTCCAACAACAATGTCGACTGTTACCACCTCCGCGGCGCCCTTCACGTCGACTGGTTCGCACGCGCCCGGAGTCTTCGCAACAGTCCCAACCTCAGCCGCTGCCTCGTCAACGCCTAGCCCATCAGCAGACAGCCTCCCCGCAACCACACCAGCGGCGAGCCCCGCAGCTGCCTCCAGCACCGTCGCCGCGGCTCCCCCAAGTGGCACCGGGTCCGCACTCGGCTCCGTCGCAGCAGGCACTTCCTGCACAACCGATGGAATGTGGAACTGCGTCGGTGGTAACTCGTTCCAGCAATGTGCGAGCGGAACCTGGTCCGTGGTGATGCCACTGGCGGATGGCACCTCGTGCACACCAGGCCAGGCAGCGAACATCAACATCGCTGCCATTTCGAGGGTCAAGCGAAACGCGCGACGCAGCTTGGCGCAAAGCAGCGTGAGGAGGCAAGTGAGAAGAGAAGCAGGCGCGAACATCTGGAGGGCATGAGAGAACATGAAGAAGAATTCGAAAGAGAAAAAAAAACGGAATGGGATTTTTATGAAACGAAGGAATGAATGACGAAACCTTCGAGGCGTCTTGTATTTGGCTTTGATATATCCAGTGGTAGGAGCTAGCCTCCTCACCTTTTGTTGTACATATATTTGGTTTCTTGCGGAGTTTGGGATAGGATAGGATAGGATAAGAAGAATGACGAGAATGATCATCCTGGAATTAACTTTTTATCTTGCCAATGTGATATGTTTGATAAATGCATCCAGGCAGGATTCTGAGATCGAGGGACTTGCCTCTTCTCCTCTCCTTCAGCTATCATGATACTTATCGGCAACTGAAATCTGGAAAAAGTCAAGCAATCACAACTTGTGCTCGACAAGGATGAACGAGACATGGCCCGCATAGTGAACTTGAAGGTTTCTGAGTGAAACGCTGGGCAGAAGTTTATAGAAGGTAAGCGGTGAGGTACGACTCGGATCACCTTACCCCTATTATGTAAGGACCGAGGCTCATATCACGTGATCCAAGCTCTAACATCGAACTCAATTTGGGCTCTGACTTTTATATACCTATTACTGAGCCTCATACCCTTGAATCCATCCAATCGTCAATTGAGTTTTTCCAGGCAGGGGTGGTGGTTAATATCACGTGATAAAGACCCAGAAAAGATCTCGCCCTCGATCGCGCCGAACCGTCGCGTCCCTTGATCCGCAAACAACAGCAGCGCAAAAGACGTTTATCTTTTTCCCACACCAATAAGTTTCGAGAAGGACGACGCTCGATCCTGATCCCCTGGTCGATTGCAACCTCAACCCTTTCGCCGACTTTCGAATTTTTTTTTCCGCACTGGGCGATCCTGTGCGCGCGTTACGACGTCCGCTCAGACAAGCTACCGTGAGATTGCTAGGGAGCTCTCAAGATGCCACCTCGTAAGTCGCACCCTTTGCGCGTTCCCTCAGGTTTAGAGATGTAGCTTGTGCAGCTTGACGGATTGCAGTTATGGCGGAGAGAGATTTGTTGGGTGGCAGGCGCTCACGGGTTGCAGAAATCATCGACGATGTACGCTCGGAGGCGAGCGAGGAAGAGATCGCATCGAAGCCGCAGACGCCAGCTACCGTAGACAAGAAAGGCAAGGGCAAGGCGGCTGCGGATGAGGAAGAGGAATTGTTGAGGGTGGAGTCGGAGGATAGCAATGAGGAGGACGAGGATGAGGAGATCGGAGAGGATGAGTTCGTGGCTCGCTCCCTACAACATGGAGACAAAAGACATTGGCTTACAATGGGGTGTGCAGATATGTCGTCGAGGCTATCACGGATCATGTTATCGATGAGGATGTACGAGCTCGACCCTCCGCCACGCCCCCGTGCCAGATGCTGACGGGCCATACAGGGAAACTTATTCTTCGAAGTCAAGTGGGAAGGGTTCGAGAAGAAGTCCGAGCGGACCATGGAGCCGGAGGAGAATTTGTTGTACTTACATCCCGTCTATCACGTATGGCACGACTAACCTCAGGCGCAGGGAGACGGCGTCCAAGATCGTCAACGAATACCTCGCGCGCGTCGGCGGCCGAGAAGCGCTGATGGAAGCATGGCGGGAGAAGAAGGCGGCGGCGGCGGCCAAGAAAGGCAAGAAGCGGAGTCGCGCCAGCGATGCCAACGGGAGCTCCAACGGCACGGCGAAACGCGGGCGCAAGAGCAGCACGCACCCAGCAACGGAGACGCCGCCTGCGAGCGCGAAGAAGGCCGAGTTCAAGCCGCCCTCGGGATCCTGGGAGGAGGAAGTGACGGGCATCGATGCGTGCGAGGGCGCTGAGGGCAATGTCATCGTCTACTTGACTTGGAAGGGTGGTCATAAATCCCAACATCCGCTCTCGCAGATCTATAAGCGGTGTCCGCAAAGGGTACGCAAGCTATCCCCCTCCTCTTCTCTTACGAAATCTTCTTGCTAACTAGATGAATGATGCAGATGCTCAAGTTTTATGAAAGCCATCTGTTGGTTCCCCCCCTCCCTTCTTACCCCCTAAACCTAGGGACAATAAAACGCTAACTTACCATCTCCTCCCCAGCGTTTTCAAGAAAAACGACGACGGCGCGTAGATCAGATCAGATCAGATCAACTCAAATTCAGTTCACATGTCTCTCCCAGCCTCCCTCCCTCCTTCACCTCCCTACTTAGCATCCATCCAACTCAAATCGAAGGAAACCCCGCAACACCACCACCACCACCTACCTCCCACCCCGTGCTACTTGCTCCTCTTCTTCCTCCCAATCCACCTCATCCAGAATCACATAGCATAGCATAGCAGTATAGCACAGCCTAGTCTAGTCTAGTCCTTCAACCTCACCTCACCTCACCCTACCTACCAACCAGCTCTCTCACCCCCACCCTCCCCACCTCACAACACGAGAACCACCTACCTATACTATACATACATAGCTATGCTCCTGCTCCTGCTCCTGCTCCTTCCTTCCTACCTCTACAATCCTCCAAACAGGCCTTTTTTTCCTCTTTTTTCCAGTTTGTTTTTAAGGTTCGGTTTGTTGTGTACTCATTTATGTAAGGTATCGCGCTGGAATTGAAATTTTGAAAAATTTTGAAAATTTTGAAAGTTTGAAATATTAGGAATGTTTGAAGAATGTAAAAATGTGAAGATGTGAGATGGGAAATAAAGAGATGAGGTTGGCCGGTTTAAGTGAGAGGAGTAGGTAAGGTACCTAGACTCGCCTCCTCTCAACTCACCGATATATAAATCTCATTCATTTCCATTGTCAACTCACTCACTCACTCAACTCAACTCACCAAAACTCCAAACTCACAATCTCACAATCTGAACACCATCCATCCATCCATCCGCCTCCCTTGATTCATTCATTCATTCAGAAAATTAGGTAGATAAAACAGCATATATATTTCATCCCATCTTAGTCTATTCGATCCCTTTCGATCCCTACGTACACAGCTATATATTTAACTCCGTTTTTCTCTTCCTCCTCCTATTTCTTTTTTCTCATTTTTTTTTGTTTTGTTCAATCCAGTCGCTGTTCCCTTCAGATGGCAGACAGCTCGGTGGGGGAAATTTCAAGGGTATAGAACAACACGCTCGAATATAACACAATCGCAGCATCCTTTTTACACCAAGTTTATGCCAATGCATCCAAAGCACCACTCCTCTCCTCATATGAGTATGCAACGCTATATGTGAAAAAAAAGGAAAGTCCAACTAGATAGATGGATAGACAGATCGCGCAAGACGGAGCCGACTCGGATATGCCATGCGCCGTTGAACAAGAAATGAGTGACCAACTCCTGCAAAGTTTTTGATGTTATACAAGGAGAAAATGAAAATGTGGAAATGAGTTCTGGTTGTCGCGGGAAGGAAAAGAACGAGAGTTATTCAGTACATCGTCGTTATGCGCCATGCTATGTCGGGCTCGTGCCTATGCTATATCGTGCTCCGTGGACAGTTGACCGCCATTGTGTTGGGGATGTGCTGGGCGGAGGAAATTAAGTTTCGTTAATGTTGGTCCTGGAGAGGAAGGTCTCTGTTCTTTGAATAAGATCATATAAACTCCCAACTCATCTCGTATGGGGCTATCGAAGGACCGTCCCATTTTTCGCCGTAAGGATTGCGTCGACCGTGAGAAAAGAAGCCATCCTGAGCGCGTTGGATGACGTTGAGCCAAGAGGAGGGTTCGGGATTTTTAAGCCACTGACTCTTGTTAGTATTCAATTCTCACAAACCTCGAGATGCCAAGCTCACCTGGTTATGGACATGATAAGTCCAAGCCCCCCTGAAGAAATTTTCCAGAGTCCGATTCGTAGGCGGATAGTTATCCTCCTCGATTCTATACTCCGCCTTGCTCAACGCATTGCGATCATACGAGGCCACTTTCGCCGCTTTCTCGTCTGCAGTCTCGTCGTTTTCATCCGTTGTACTTTGTTTGCTACCCCAGAGGTGATCATGAGAGCTGGTGGACGCGAGTTTTAGTTGCGCTCCATCGTAACTCTCCCATTCGTCATTAAGAGGGAATGCGTCCTTCCCCTTGAAAACCTGTCCGTAATCATGTATGCATGGTACCGTACACCGTCCCAGCCGATCCCAATTAAACTCCGTCCAGATGGGGTCAAACGCTGCGGTCTCCAGCATTTTGAATTCGTGGTTCCGCTGGTCTTTCACGGCCATCACGCCGATGACGCGAGGGTGGAAGTTCAGCCCCATTCTCACCCCACCCCGGAGGAGGTAGGAGGAGAGCGACGAGTTGGCGGTCAGGGACATGATGGCCGTGTTGTAATCTCCCGGCGTGGCATGTGCGGCCCATCTCTCTGCAAATGAGTGGTCACCCCCAATGAGGAGGGGTCGCATATCCCGCAGCATGATAACGTCCATATCAAAATAGGCCCCTCCATAGAGGTGCAACACTACAAATCGAACAGCGTCTGACACAGCAACTGGCAAGAACGTCATTTGCTTCTCAGTTAGGACCAGCCATTCCTGACCTGTGGCATCTCGGATAAGGCCGTCCCCTACCACGACCTCATTATTCGAATTCGGCTTTCCTGGGTTCTTGTAATACCCTACCCCATCTGTATTGTCGCCTTTGGGGAGAGGTATCCGCGAGGGGAATTTCCAAGTCTTCAAGGTGATATCTCCACGCTTGACGAGCGGCAGGAATCTCTCAAACAAGGTGTCATGATTCAACATTCTCTCCACCGCGTCCGGTTCCCGATCACCATCTAACCAGATCCACAATCGAGCGCAAGGGAGGTTCTGCGTGTAGAGATAACTCTTGACAAAAAGCTCCAGTCGCCAGGTTGCAGGACCGGTCCAGTAGACGTGGTAGGGCACAATCGGGCCATTGCACTGGCCGGGAGATTGTTTCGAAGCAGGCTTGTAAGAGGGATATTTGGAGAGAGTATTGTCGTGACCATCTGAATTGAGATACTCAGAGTGCTTGGGGGATTGTTCACTAGCTCGCTCGCCCGAGGCCGGTGTATACAGATATTCCTTCTCGCCTTCCTCCAGGTACTTCAAGCAATCGTACACATATGGCATCTTCTCAAGCTTCTCATATGACCCTCTGCATTCCTCGACTAGTTTCGTGATGTTCGCTACAGTGTCGACGTGTGGTCGCTCCCCGAGGTAGTCGTCCTTGGGCACGACGAGGCTCTCGGGCCTGTTGAACCAATTGGCATGGGGATTGATCTTTTCGACCTGAACTCTGCTCGGAGGCACTGGCACCACACTGGAGCCACCCTCACTGGTAGAGGAAGATGCACCTGGGCGTGCCTTTGTGGGGGGTTGCTTGTAGAGTTCAGCGGCCGAGGTTGGGAACGAACCCCGTTGGGAGACGAGCACGATCAGGTAGAGGATGCCATATAACGTGGCTGCAGCCACGATGCTCTGCAACACGCCGCAAAAGTTCCTCGCACAGCTCGTCTTGCCCATCTTGTCTGCGTATAAGAGTCGTCTCGAGAGACAGCACCAACGGCGACGCGCTCCGTGAAAGGGGTTGCGCGGGCGAATCGAAGTCGGTCACGAACAATGATGGGACCGATTGGCAGCCATGAACCGACGGCCTAGGCGCTGAAGGAGAGACAGAAATGAATGTGTATGGAAGAAGCGCGCAGATGTGTCGGACGAAAAGGAGGTTCTGGCATCTAGAGGCAGGATAGTGGACCCTGTGCTTTGGCCGGATTAGTTTGATCGGCAGAAGAAAACGCGCGTTGTAACGAGCGCAGCCCTACGTCCAGGTACGGGAGAAATTGAAGCTCACCCCGGGGACAGCTAAGAATAATTAAGAATAAGGTTGGCCACGGAGGGAGCTAAAGGAAGGACGTTGGGTTATAAAAAACGGAGCTCGTGGAGAAGAAAGCCGAAAAGAGGAGAGGGGAGAAGAGACAACAGTAAAGGAGACAGACAGACAGGTGTTGAGTGGATAAAGGACGTTGGAGGTGGAGACACTGAAGAGGGAGACGAAGCGGGTGGGTTTAGGGGGAGTCGGGGGACCCGCTGGGGGACGGAGCCTCTGGCGCCAGGCTCCGAGCGTTGAAACCGGGGGGTCTGACAATGCTGATAGCAAAAGGGGGCGAGTTGTAAAGAGATTAGATAGATGCAGAGAGAGAAGAGAAGAGAAGAGGGAGGCAAGAGGAAAGTTATTTGTTGAAGAAGAGTTGTCGAGGTAAAGGTGTACGGGTCAAGGTAGAGATGGTTGGTGCCTTAGGTATACAGAGCTGAAGAGCAGACGGTTGTATCATATCATTACGGTATTGGTATTACAGCGAGGTATTAGAATCGAGCTGACCTTAGTGCATTCCATTGGGATTCCCCATTATACGTCTAAATACCGAATAACCAAGGTATGCGGGATTATTATTATGGTTCGTCCAGTCTCTCTCTTCGACTGCCTTGCACCGCCGCACGAGTACACGGTACTTACGTTTACACTGCTTTTCCGTGGAATCAAAGGTACCATGTACGTCTGGTTCCAATCATCCAACCATATCCGAATCCTGCAGAAAGTACTGCACTGCCCCGTCTTATCTGCAGCCATGTTGAGGCGAAGGAATTCCGCACGTAAGATACAAACTACACTACAATACCTAGGTATGAATCTGTCCTATTATCGTTCTACGTCATGGCCTAAACGGCTAAGGTACCTTACGCTTTGCCCTCCCGCTCACGTGCGCCACTTCGTTTACCTTAGCAGGTCATCCACATCTCTCTCTCCCCCTCTCTCCCTCCCTCCCTCTCGCAAAGGCCCTTGAACCCTTACCAAGTCATCTCTTCACTACTCTACAACCCATCACATCTATGATGTAGCGCTCTTTCTTCCCTTGCGACTCTCCCTCCTCTCTTCTTGGCGTACACTTCCCTGCCCGGTCAGGCTCTTTGACGGAGACAATGTGCTTCTTTCCATTGGCGAGAAAGAGCGGCAAAAGGAGAAGCCAAGGAAGGGGCCTTATTCCTGTGCCGCAACCTCCAGAACGGGTAACTAACCAGGGAGATCGCTAACATATCGCGGCCTGGATTAATTAGGGTTACTTGCCACCTACCTCCATCCAGACGTCGTTACAGTAGGTAGATTTTGCTTGATCTCAGCCCCAGTGATCTAGTCGGTGATCTAGTCGAAATGCTCATCTGCGGCAGAGATATAGGCAGAACTCTGTTTTGCCTTGTTGCGATTTGTTTTCATATATCTTTCGAAAAATGACCTTACTTGTGTTTCCCTCGATTCCATCCACTTTTCTGGTTTGGCAGCTGTAGGAAGCGCATGTTGGAAGTATCGCAACATGCCTGAGAACGACGTCCCTCTTCTGCCACCAGGTATCGTCTCAGCCGCCGCGAACCCTCAGATAGGGCCGGGCAAGAAGAGATGGTGGCATTCTGATGAGGTTGACAAAGGGCCGGATGCTAAACTGCGACTGAGGGCAAATATCTGGACATCGATATGGCTATTCATTTGGCGGGAGCTGCTTCCTGCATCTGCCATTATCTTGTATGTCTGGTGCGGATTTGCCTCGTCACAATAGCACTGCTTATGGTTCTCGTAGTGCAATTGTCCTTGGGGCTAGCTGGAAAATGTTTGATTTTCGCGATACTTCTGTCCTGGGCTTCGGTGTAGACGTCGACGCCCAGTTGGCTGTCGTTGGCTTCCTCAACAAAATACTCGATATGTTTGTCCAAGCATCTCTCTCACACACCGCTTCAATCTTCCTAACTGTTTGGATGGCACTGGGTTCAAGATTTTCGGGGGTTCGCTTGATCGACTATGAACTTAAAGACGAATTGACCCAGCCGTGGACCTGCATCAGTAACTTTCGGCGGAGGTGCTCTACTGATGGGTGGAAAGGCCTTGGATTCTGGGGAATCATTCGATTTCTAGCATGTCTGGCAGTATCGATCTGTGTGTTACTTTCAGCATTGGCTATCAACACAGTGGCTATCCCGAAACAACGCTGGTACCCCGACGGATCAACCGGCGGCTGGCGCTTGACCGATGCAGTTCGAAGGTCTTTGACTATAACTACGCCACGTATGACTCTTCACGGACTTGACTGGATGAATTACTGGGGTGTAGCCTGGAATCTTGTCGGTTCTAGTGCAATTTCTTGGGACGCAGAATGGGCAACAACTGCAGCTTCTACCTACACCCTCTTAAGCGGCTTGCCAAATGCCTACACGAGCACCCCTACCGGTTGGCTACCAATAGACAATGAAGTTGACGGCCTTGTGACTGGCATCAATACAGTCATCAACGGGACAACTGTACAGACTATATCGGTTCAGAATTCCAGACTTCGGGATATCTTTGATGACCTGAGAGAGAATGGACCAGAATCATTCTACCGATCCTCTTCCGGCTGGGAGGCTTATCTCAATGTGACAGTCCCAATGTTAACCACATCTTGCGTGCCTGGCCTGACTATGAATGAGTCCACATCTGACGGTGCTATTCCTGTAAGTTGATTTCAACCTTGTCATACACAACTGCTCATACTGGTCCTAGGTTAATGGACCACCTGACTCCTCTCCAACTGAGTCAACGATTATTATTCCAATTGGTGCAGTTCCATCCCTGAATTTCACTGGAGCTACCTGCGCAATGACGCTCCGTCAAGTCTTATTCCCTGTCCACAACTGGATAGTGAGCATGGCTGAGATAGACGTGTCTATCAACAACTATGGCAAAAATATGAATGTTGCTCCGGTACTTCTTGCGCCTTCTATAGGCGACCGTGCCAGCGCCCAAGCGCTTGCGGATCAGCTCAATAACATTCTAGGTCGAGTCAACGGTCTACTCCAGGCAGGTCTAGTCCAGCACATGGTTTACATATCGCGTCGCCTCTGCTTCCTCAATCCCGGGTTCTCACCAATAAACGACACGGCGGGCATAACCCCAGTTATAGCAGCTATCTCTCAGCATCTCCTCACCATCGGTGCTTGGAACATGACCATATCTTCTGATCCAAACGAAAAGACTATTTCATATCCCGTCCGATGGCAAGTCTATGGCTCCGGACCAAGATTACCATGGGAATGGGCTGCAGTGATAATACTCGCAGTGATTCTTATTGCGCTTCTGGCGGGCGGTATCTTCTCTCTGATATGGCAGATTGAACCAGGCCCATGGCTCGATGTCGGTTCTATGATGCTGGCTGCCAACGGATCCGAGAAGATGGATAGTGTAACTGGCAGTATTGCTGGGGTCGCAAGCCAGAGAGCAGAAAAGGCGAGATATTATATGAGAGTATCTCAGTATGGCAGGGTGAGTTTGGTTGATGGGACCAAGGATACCCATAAACTGGAGGAGGATGAAACGTATCTCAATGAAGGACATACAATACTCGCTCGCAGGTCGATTGATTGGGATATTTTTGGACGTTTTATGAACAAGACCAAGGCTTTCTTTGTGTTCCCTAAGACAAGGCAGACTCCTTGGTGGCGTCGGAAAGAACCGTGAATCATTTGACAGGATCATATGTATGGATGGAGTGTTCAAATTAGATAGAACAGGACTAGCACTTATTATGCCAAGAACATTTACAGACAGCCTTTTACCCATGCGCGATACATATCTAAACGAGTCTCGAAAAGGAGGGACTGGCGCAGTCGACATTCGCGATTTCGACACGGCGTTAGAGCAGGAAGTCAGGCCAAACAAACTTGGCCATGGGTAAGGATATATAAGCCTTTGAATGTAGATTCTGTTCTAGTGAGTGTGTTTAAGTAAAGGCGTCTAATGGACTAGCTCTTAATGTACCTAGTATAAGCCTGTAGTATCTGACAGTACGAAGCCGGCATTCCGCCTAGAATATCGATCTGCCTTGATACAGCGATTGTCTAAAGAGGCTGCAGGTCCAGTGCTCCCTCGTGCCATACTCTCTCAAATCCCCAAGATATGCCTGACCAAATCTTTTCGAGAGCCTAGGGGCAACATAATTCCTGCTTTGAGCATAGTACCGAGAAAGCAACTTCGACATGTCTCGACACTATTTGACATAGGTATCCCTAACGTGCCTGCTTCATGGCATCAACCTCACTACCTATATGAAGTCGGCAGAACTATCCCTTACCGCTATTGCTTTTGATTGGCAGCAAGGTTACCTCATCTCCAGTCGCTGTAAGGCTGGTATGGTAGTGCCCCAAAGTTTCGGGAGCGGGGAAGGACAACAAGGCTATGAGATCGAGAATCTCGCCGAATAGCAAAGCCACATAGTCAGTTACGTCTGTATGCAGAGGACTTACGCTTTCGCCAGAGCTTGCATCAACCAAAGCGCTATTTAAGCCTTGAAGGCCGCATGGCTTGTTCGTGAGCCAATCTTGCAGGAGAGTCCGCACCCTAGAAGAAAGCATCTCGTCTTGTACTCCCACACCCTCTCGGACATGTTGCTTGTAGCGAATTGGCCCTGTTGCCAGCTCAATCACACCAACGCACTACTATAGCAGACTTAGGAAGAGAGCTATTTATGTCTGGCATCGTTCCTTTATGCGACTCAATTCGCGTTAAGTCTGACAATAGATAATTATCTTGACAGAAGTAGTCAGGTATCCATCTCTGTACGTGTCCCTGACTCTGTTTAGAGACGGCAATGTGGGGAGGCGCCATCACCCGCCAGCAATTACAGCAAACCATTGTCCGCCTACAATCCCTAAATGAGGTCCCTGAATTGCCGCAAGAGAACGATGTAGTCTCTGGGATAGACACAACGCGTCGTTTAAGCATCTCGCGAGAGAATGAAATCGCGAGCAATCTAGCCTTTCTCTCAGCCACTTCAGATGATAGCCTCAAGGTGATGGCTGTATGTATTGAAGAGCACCGCAATAGAGATCAAACCACGATTCGCATAGCATCAAACACTGGAGATCTCTCAGCAGTCACAAGCGGATTCGTGACGCTTGGCAATATTCTAGAGCAAGCTGCGCGGCGCGGTCAGTATATGTTCAAGTCGGGTCTGAAGTGCCGACTAATTTTCCGGAAGAGAAATCAAAAGACGAAGACACAGAGTCTCTTTTCCGGCACGTTATTGTCCTAGACCTCTACCGTATTCTATCACGGCTGCGATCACGACATGCCAAGAGGACAAGAAAGACTGCTGGAAAGCCGGCCCTTATCATGCAGCTGAACCGAGTCGTCAATGACCAGTCCCTTAAGGCCAAATCGAGACTCGAGAAAAGCAATCTGAAAGCGGTCAGAGACGGTGCACAAGCGTTACAAGTCCTATTCAGAAGGCTTGAAAACATACCGGACCTAGCCACCGAGGAGATAGAAATACACTCAATCATCGGAGACATTGTGAAGGCGGCCCACGGTTATTCTGTCGCGACAGATATCAGTACAGCTCTTAAAACGTTCTCGGGTGATCCAGGCCTCAAAACACACCTGTTGGAGGCTATCGGCAAGCTTGGCCGATATTACTCTGCCTCCTTTGAGCTTGTCTGTGCTGCAAGAGACAGGAAATGCAGGGTATTTCACAACGTCCAGGTAGAGCCCTTTCAGATTCCACTGCCTGCCTCTATCAGAGGAACACCCTGGAAGGTTCATGCCGAGATACAGCTCCTCTTCTTTTATGAACTTCACCCAGATCATCCACGACCGAGGATCATTTGCTCTAGTAAGAGTGCTTGCTATCTGTGCAATCTCTTCTTCCACCTCCATGGCGGCTTCCACGTCCCTCGAACCCATGGCAGGCTTTACAAGAATTGGATCCTGCCAGACTGGTTGAACATCCCCGTCGAGCGTCACCAAGACCTGGGTATCATCTTGAACCAGTTAATGGCAACTCTGGGTGATAAAGTTCGAAGAGGGTCAAAGTCAAAGAAGAGGCAATACCAGCATCCAAATGAGAGTGTCTTACTACCAGCGGCGGACTGGACATCATCAGCTCCATCCAGGAGTGCGATAACTACATCTTTGGCCTCAATATCCACTATTCGGCCACAATCATTTATCCCAGAGGACAATGTAGCAACGAAATCGTCCCTGAGCATGGGCATGCCTCTGACTCCGCCGAGAACGCCTCCAGAATTGCTTGATGGTGCCCGCATCGCCGACAGTCACACAGAGCCTATCATTGCTCCAACCACTACCACACTCGTGGATAATATCAACGGGAGTATGTCGAGTCTGGACCCCACAACTGTGGTCACTATTGGCCACAATGACCTTCCATACAGTCAGTCTGTCACACTGGTGACGCCATCGCTACATGTGCAGCTCGATAGGTTGTCCATTACCTTAGACTTCATCCAAGTAGTATCAGGCCGTCTGTGCATCACGCAGGCAGAAGCCTCCGCTGGCTGGAGCAAGGAATGCCGCTGTGTCGACGTTGAAGATATTCCGACGACTACAGAGCTACAATTAAATCGCTCTCACGACTCACAACAGCTCGCAATTCAATTGCGAATTGGCCAGAAGGAATTACTCTGTGTTGCGTTCATGTGGGAATAGGTTGTGACTTCTGTCAATGGCTAAGGAAGAGAACAAAATTGTCAAGGTGGACAAGAGTGGTTGATTCAAGGACAGGCAAATAGCGGCATTCGATGGAGTAACATCCACGGCATCTCTCCAAGAAGTATGATTTGCAACATCAAGTCTCGAGCTCTTCTCCGATCACTGTTAGGAGCTTGACGCGATCTGTTGCATTTGCAAACGGTAAACCTTCTCGATAACTTTTGATTGGTCACCTTGACCACAACTGTGATACATGGTTGCGACCACAATCGAGACTTCAGCGCATGCGCAGCATACACCTTCGGTAGCTCCGGGCCTGTAGCCAGTCAAGTAACATAACCCATCTAAGATTTGATATTCAGGAAGACTACCACTCGAACACATGTCTCAGCACCAAGGCTTTCCTCCAAAGTGACCAAAGTGAAGCTTGGGATGTCCTCTGCACACCTAAATTATGTCATTGTAACTTCTGGTAAAGACGACGAGAAGTTTCTGGGCTTACTCATGGACTGCATCCTACAAATGAAGTCGATTGTCTATAGATGGTAAGAATGTCTTGGAGCTCTCAGATCTCTCTCGAACGTTCAATCATAGGAAATCAAACGCTTCATAAACAATTACTTAAAGGTCTATGTAAGCTGCAACGCTAGTTTAGACGTCTGCCTGGCCTACCTTATCGTCTATGAACGTTGGTTTTGACGGCGTTGGGATCATTATCACGTGACCGTGCTCCAGCGCCACGTGATTACCTAGTCACCTCAAATCAAAAACATTGCGCAGGAAGTCAAGAAATTCATAAGGACCCGACTCCACGAATCCAAGAATCCAAGATCACACTTTCTTTAGCGTATCTCGTCTCTTGGTACTGTATGCTCTCCCGGAGAGTGCCTCGCGCTTTATCGGGTCTCTTGTCATGTTCCCGTTTTATATCGAGGAACTGGAGAAGACGGCTGTTCTCTTCTTCGTCACGTGATGGAGGTATTAAAACATGGGAGGTTAGGTGTGGATCTGCTGGTTGGATTACTGTAGAGTGAGTTATTCTTATACATGTATTGATCATCCTCAATATCCAGGTTGTAAAACTCATCGTTATTTGGCAGCAGTCTGTCAGGAGGAGCCCTTTAATGTCGGGGTAGTTACGTGAAGCCACGGACCCTTCCTGCTATCTGTGCTGGACGTCTTATTGCGAGCAGTGCTCTATCAATTCCTATATGTCATTGAGGATCCTTAGCATATTTTTGATTTATTAGTTTGTGATTTACCAATCTTCCAAGTCTAGTTTGGAATTCTGAAGCGTCTGAGAAGTCAAAGACGGCGGCACGAAATTTCCAAGACTGGCCTCTCTATATGCTCCCTGCTCGTTCCATCCGAGCCTCCCTTCTATTGCCGTCTCTTTTGGTCTCCCCCTTTCCAAACCTCTCATTTTTCATTGCCAGAGTCCACAACTAACTCCTCCAGCATCTACAATGCTCATCTCCTCATCGCGCCCACAAACCCCCTAATCCTCTACCTTCCACCCACCGGTGCCCACCTCCGACACATCCATCCTGAAGTTCCGCCTTTCCTTCTCTCCAATCCAAACATCCTCAGCACACAAAAGCACCAGTATCCGCTCGCACGAATCAACTACCGCTGGAACATCCCTCATCCAGTTCCAGGCTCACCCCACCTCCTGTCTACCTCTCCCAAGTTCGCCAACCATGCATTCCCTACCCCTCTCCATGACACCCTACATGCCTACACCTGGCTCACTACTTCCTTTCTACCAACTTTCACCGCCGGCCGGGATGACTCCTCTTCACCGCCCCGCTCACCCTCACCCTACGCAGCTGTGTCCTCGTACACAGCACCTCCACGCACGCCTCCAAGACCTCTCATAATCTACGGCTCCTTCCTCGGCGGAACACTCGCCACCTCCCTCGCTCTGACAGAATCGCATACCAGACCTCAGGGCGGGGTCTCAATCCACGGCGTCATAATCCACAATGGCATCTTCGACTGGACCGTTGCCGCAACCAGCAAACCCCCCACCCCCACCCCCTCTCACCTCTCGAACCAAGCCAGCAGCACAAGAGAGCAACAAGAGCTCCTAGAAACCGGAGCTCAAGGATGGGATTTCCACACTCTTCACCGATTAAAAGAGAAGCTGTTCTCTAACCCCTCTAGCGCATTCGACGCCTTCGCCTCCCCGATCCTATTCTTCCGCTCCTCAGGCCTCGCAATCCCATCCCACTTCCCCGGCACCGAGCCCGTCGCACCTCCCATAGACGACGCCATTCTCGGCGGACTCTCGCTCTCCGACGAGGAACTCGCCGCTTTGCGCGAACGCCACGGAGCCCCATCCCCATCCTCATCTTCCTCAAGCTCAGAAGAAGAAGAAGCTCTCCTCCCTTCCACCCCGCGCAAATCCCCGCTCAAATTCCCCCCCACCGACTCGAACCTCCGCATACCTAACTCTCTATTCCTCACCTCTCCCACTCCGTCAACCGAGGAAGAACCCACCACTCTTGAGATGCAGCGTCAGGCGCATGAGCTAGCCACTGCCATGCGGCGCAGTATCGTAATGCATGAGTTTAGAGCAAGGAAGGGGGGTCGAGAGATAGAGGCGCATGCGCGGAGTGAGGAGCGGGTTAGGGTGTGTGAAGTGCGGGAGACGGAGATGGAGATTGGGAATGTGGTTGGTGAGTGGATGGAGGGGAGGGTGTAAGTTGGGCGGGGGACGGGGGCTTGTATACTTATAATGAACCACATGTCACATTACGAGATCAAGGAGAAGAGAATCAATTTATTTCGAAATCAAATCAAATCAATCCCGCAAGTTCCTTAGCTAAAAGAAAAAAGAAAAGAAAAAAAACAAGCAAAAGTCAAATCTCACTTCCCCTCCCCATCCCCCCTAACACTTCAAGTGCACAAAAGATTCGCAGCAGAACGTACCATCATCATACCAACCCTAGCATCAAAGAGCCGCAAATTCAAGAAAGGGAAAGAAAAAAAAGGAGGAACAGGAACAGCAGCGACATTGAAGAAACAGCAAAGAGAAAGAAAGGGGGACGTGCAGTTTCTCATGAAAAGCAAGCTGCCAAGGACATCTCCTCCCTCTTCCCTCTCGTAAGCCAGTAAGTTCGGCGCATTGCAAAATACGATCATGAATGACCCCAATCCAAAGAACTGTTTCTTTCTCCTCTCGCTATTCAGCAAGCAATCAAGCTCTCGACGGCTCATCTCATCTCATCTCATCTCCAACCGCCCCCCTCAATACATCAAATTATCAATCCTCAAACAATGCGCCATGATTGCCGGGATCAAGTACATATGAACCTCTGGTCCGGACTCGGGAGCATGTCGGATCTTCCACACGCTAGCCAGCCATTTCTGGATCTTCTCCGCCAGCTTCTCATCGCCGGCACCACCGCATGCCATGTCCTCGAGTCCATCACCACACACTAGGTCCAGCCTCTCGAGGTTGCGGAACCGGCAGAGTATTTGGGCGAGCCCGCGCCGCTCGTTGCTCTTGAGGAGGTCTCGAAGCGGGATCGCTAGGCTTCGCAGCCGCTCTGCGTCTCGGGTGCGGATGTATCGTAGCATGTGCGGGAGCTCGGCCGCGCTGCTGGTGTGTAGGAATAGGCGATCTTTAGAGAAATCAAAGTAGGTGGTGGCCGCGGAGTGGCGGGTGCTGAAGGTGCGCTCGTAGGTGTGCTTTAGGGCCAGGGAGCGCAGCTCGTGGTTCACGAGCAGGAGGCGTGGCGGCGGACTGGCGTTGGCAAGGCGGGTTCTGGTGTGGTGGCCGTTGCGCATCTGATAGTCCCAGACTAGGCGGACGTCGGTCTCCTCGGTGTCCAAGGCATATTCCCAGATTTGTTGGCGGATTTCGTAGGGTAGGAGAGAAAAGCTTGTGAATGAGGTGTGAGGAGGTGTTCGCTTCCTCAGTTCTCGATAGAGCTGTACGGGGGCGGTACTACTTTCAAACTCCTTGCCGTAGGTTCGGGCGAGTCTAATAGCAGCGGGATCCGTGAGGTTGCGCTTGGCCCAGACCAAATAATCGGTCTCGCCCGAATTCCAGCTCGGAGCGGCGCTGGTAGTCGTGGATGCTGGAGGATTATTCGTACCTGGAAGAGGGGCTTGCCAGTACTGTTCAGCAATCATTCTTTCCAATTCAGCGTGCTCTGTCTTCTTGAGTCTATCCGGGATGCGTCCAGACAAGAGGTCTTCCTTATAAGCCTCTGCGAGCTGAACGCGGATACTCTTCTGATAGGGAATGGTAGCCTGAGGAGCAGCTGGAACAGCGATTGTGGCTGCAAATTGTTTCCGAATAACTTTGGTAGTCGTCTTGACGGTCTCACCTTGATAAACAGTATTCCATGCAGATCGGTCACCTTCAGTAGGGGCAGCATATTGCTTCCGAATGACTTTGCTGGTGGCCTCGACAGTTCCAACCCTTTGAAGAGTATCCCATGCGGGTTGACCTTGAGTAGTGGCACTCTGCTGATAAGTATTAACGGGCCGGCGAGTAGCTAGAGCTGTAATAGGGACAGCACATTGCTTCGGAATGACTTTGGTAACGATTTCCACAGCTCCAACTTTATGAAGAGTATCCCATGCAGGTCGACCTCTGGTAGCGAAATTCTTCTGACGAGTATCAGGGGGCTGAGGAGCAGCTAGAATCGCAATAGGGGGAGCATATTGCTTCTGAGCTTTGGTGACAATCTCGACAGTTCCAACTCTAAGAAGAGCATCAAAAGATTGCGGATCAGCTTTGGTGCTGATTTCGATATTTTGAGCAACCGGATACAGAGTATCCCAAGAAGATCGACCTTGGGTAGCGACACTACTATGATGGGCAGTGGCAGGCTGAGGAGTAACTAGAGTCTCAGTAGGGAGAGCAGGTTCCTTCTGACAGACTTTGGCGAAAGTTTCGACAGCTCGAACTAAGTAGAGGGTATCACGAGATTGTGGACTAGCTTTGGTAGCTATTTCGACATCTTGAGCAGCCGGATAGAGAGTGTCCCATGCAGATCGAGCTTGGGTGGCGCTACTCTTTTGATGGGTTGTGGCAGGCTGAGGAGTAGCTATAGTAGCAGTAGGGAGAGCAGATTCCTCTTGAACGACTTTGTTTGTCTCAGTTTGGACTGGATGGAGAGTATCACACGATTGTGGACTGGCTTTGGTGATGCTATCGATACCTTGAGCCACCGGATAAAGAATGTCCCATGCAGGTCGATGAACTTGAGCGACGGCGTTCTTCTGATAAGCAGAGGTAGGTTGTCCAATCTCTGAAGCTAAGATAGGGGCAGCGCTTTGCTTCTGAATGACCTTGGTTGTAGTCTCTGCAGTTTGGCCTGCATAGAGAGTAATCGAGGAGTGTGGACGAACTTTGTCGACAGCTTGGGTGAGCTGAGGTCTGGTATCGCCTGAGGGTCTGTCGATTCTGCTAGCTGGGCCAGCCTCCGGAGCTGGGGTGGCGATGGCAAGTTGCTTCTGAACGGTCTTGTTACCAATCTCAGCAGCTTGGGTAACCGGCTGGACAGTGTTGAGTGAAGGTCGATCAACTTGGATGACATTTCTAGCAGCTTGAACTGCATAGAGAGTATCCCAAGGAGGCCGACTGGCTTTCGAATAAGGAGTTGTAGGTGGTGTCAGTTGATGGTTCCAATCGTAATTGATGATCATCTCATGCTCATCGGGAGTTGCAGGTAGACCGAGGCGCTGTCCTTGGATATGGTTCTTTGCTGAGATCTCCAGCGTTGGCTGGGTAGTTTGTTTTGCACCTGCATGAACCTTTGCATTGGCGCTCAGTGAACTGTTAAACTATTTCTGGTCAGCGACTGCTGCGGCTTTGGGATAGACTTTCTTGGAAACAAACTTTAATAGTGGCAGTGTTGTGGTTAGAACGCTGCTTGGCGCGAGCTTCTGCAACCTTCTTCTCGATATAGGCTTTCTGAATGGCGACATCATGCTTGTAGTAGCAAACGGCACCATAATTACAATGGCCTTGGCAAAAGTCCCAGCAAATGCCTTTGGGCAGTCCAGGATCGGGGCGCGTCTTAGAGATTCCAGGACGATCAAGGATGGGATATGGCTTGATGCTACTGTTTGGGTGCTTGTCAGACATTGCGCTTGAAGCTGAATCGCCAGAGACAAGGTTGGTCATGATCGTGGTCATGGTCGTGGAGATGGTTGTGGAGGAAGACATGACGTTGATGCCTGGAAGTTTATCTGTTAGTAGTCGTGATGAAGAAAGTGAACGGATGGTGAACAGGAGATGGAACAGAAGAAAATATGACTTCACCTTAGAGAGTGGACACTCAAAAGTGATCTTTGTTTATTTTCGTGCTGGTGTGTGCTCTCGGGCAGAGACGCGATTCCAATGGAACGCGAATAACGTTTCTCTAAGACTCCAAGTGTATTGGACTGTATCCAACCAAAACGAGCGATGGAGGGAAAGACTTGACCCTGTGTAACAGGAGATCCAAGCGCTTTACTCGACGTTGTATGGACGTTATCAAGAAAGTTTCAAGAATCAGTTGGGAAGAAAGGAGGATGGAAGGAGTGATGGAGAGCAAAGATGGCAGGGAGAACACTGGGAGTTCTCGGATGACTACCAGTCTTGCTATTGTTGGTTGGTGAAGGGACCTAGTGAATGAAAAGAGGTTTGTTTATTATGTATGGGGACCAAACCAGCCAAACAATTGAATTGTAAGGCCCCGTTACGATCTCGGGACTGCAAATCCGAAAAGGGGTTTAAGCGAATACCAAGCTATTGTCCTTTAATTCAATAACAGACGACAATACAATGGACTCTACAATGGACTCTCTCGTTGAATAGTTATTCTGACCAGAGTCGCATGAATTAAATGGTATGACTCCAGCTAGGAACAGCGGAAGGACTCATAGGAGGCAAAGACAGTCATACATCAAGTAGTCAGACCAAAGTAAAAAGAACCTGGTATATAGCCCGTGTCTGAATTGGAGCTCAGGAACGATTCTATTTATGATGCCCCTGGTCTAGACTACAAAACCTATGGTACATTTCGCTTTTAGAATTCGTTCTCGTCATTCCCTGATATAATGACATTATTGACCTTCAACACCATGCGACAAAGTTGTGTAGCCAACTGCAGCTGCTGTTTTTTGCCGATTAATGGATCGATAACAAATGCATCCTTCATGTCGTTGCTCCCTGTCTGCATACAATCAACTCCTAACCTTGTGTTCTTCTCCGTCACTTGGCGGCTCTTGATGCTGGCAAGAGTTTCAATAGGTGATAGACCCGAGTTTTCTGCGAGCGCCATTGGAACTGCATCAAGGGCATCGGCGAAGGCTCGCATGGCGTATTGTTCAAGGCCTGGCGATTTTACAGCAGCATCCTCAACTGCTAGAGAGCAGGCGATTTCAGCAGCACCACCTCCGTAGACAACACGGTTATCACGGACGAGGTTTCGAACAACGCAAAGAGCATCATGTAAAGATCTCTTGGCTTCATCAATGATCTATTTCAGAATGTTAGCCATCTTCTTTCAATTTGATATAAATAATTCCTTACCATCTTGTTGCTGCCTCTAACAAAGACTGTGACAGCTCTGGTATTTGCGCAATCCTCAATGACCAACATCTTCTCTCTCGTGGTTCCGAAGCTCATCTCCCGAACAATTCCAGCCTCTCCAAGCTTCTCTGCCGATAAGTCCTCGAATCTTGGTACTATTCTTCCGTTCGTGGCAATAGCGATCAACTCGATTTCTGGACCTCCAACCCATCTGACAGCAGGTAGGTCGTTTTGCAGCAACAGATGGTTTGCCTCATCATCGAAACCCCACTGACAGATGACAAGATTTGCGCCGGTATCCTTGATATGTTGGATCATTTCGGCAAACTTATCCTTCTCGTAGGTCTGCAACTTCTTGAACTCTTCCACGGTGGTAATATCAAGATGGTGCTTCGTTTTTGGCTTAGGTGGCTCGAATGCACATGTGAGGATGGCAATCTTGGCATCTCGAACTTCGGAGGGCATCTGGGGGTGGGAGAAATCTTTGTCCACAATAACACCTTGTACTAGAAGGGAATCCTCCAGCGATCCTCCAACTTTGCCATCAACCTTGATCAGGTCAAAGTCAACGTCTTTACGCTCCAAATCAGCCACAGACAAGATAGCATCCACGGCAATGTTGGCAAACTGATCATGAGCCTTCGACACGATCTTGCTTCCCAGACTGGTTCTGGCCACCTTCACCAAGTTCTCCTTGTGTGCCTTTGTGAACTCGATAGTGTCTGCGATCTTGTCCAATTCCGCAACCGCAATATCGCATGCCTGGTCATAACCATCTGCTATCCGGATTGGGTGGATTCCCTTGTCGATGAGCTCTGCAGCCTGCTCTAATAACGCTCCAGCCAATACCACCACGCCCGTTGTACCATCCCCTATCTCGTCATCTTGGGACTTCGAAAGCTCAACCAGAAGCTTCGCAACATGATTTGAGATCTCCATCTGCCCCAGAATAGTAGCGCCGTCATTTGTAACTGTAATGTCGCCATCAGGTGATATGAGGATTTTGTCGAGCCCTCGAGGGCCAAGGGACGTTTTGACAATGTTGGCCACAGTTCTGGCAGCTAAGATATGTGATTTGACAGCATCAGTCCCATGCTGTCTCTTCTTCTTGCCTTGACTGAAGGGAGATGTCAGCAAAAGTAATTTTGAGCAAATACATTTTCCTTACTCTCGAACCACGATAAAAGGTCTGCCCTGCTCATCCTTCACCACCTGGGCTATTAAGCGTAGTATTAGTATTACAACAGTCAGACTGGTGTCTGTAGATATTGCGTACCTTGCGACATATCAATATCTATGAGGTATGAGGTCAGCTGGAGCTCACAGTGTAGATGGCGTCAAGAAGAACTCACTCATGGCCATCTTGCAGGAAGCGGACAGTCTTTGCAGACTGCGATATTATCGTAGGGGTTCCTGGTGATAGTCTGCGATATTAAGACAAAGACTGAATGCTCTGCTGGACGTTTCCTCTCAACAACGCGTTCAACATTCAGGTCGCGTTTTGCAGCAAGCAGCTCTTTTTTCGATTCCTAGAAATTAGTCGTGCCTCATCAGGCACATCCATTTTCAAGTCATGTGATTAACCCCAAATTTATCAACAACGTCCGTTCATGAACTTTCCGGTGTATGCAAGTATTGATTACAGCAAGTTATCTCTATTCTTAAGGACAATTAGACCATTCCTCCAGTTTCATTTCAAAACAATTTCCTTCATTATAGCACGTTCGATCGTTCCAAAATGGCCAGGCATTTGGACAAGTGCTGCTCCTCATTCAACTCTCCACCTGCCAGTGCAGGAGAAAGGCTGATTGAAAATCCAGTATCATTCTTCAAACCGTTGTGCAGCAGTCAGAATCCCAACTTCAGCATTCCGAAACTCTGCCATATACGTGAGAAGAATGGATGCTTCTTCCTTTCCTTTCAGTTTCTCACCCTCTCTTTCTGTCACTATATCTTTACCGCGATGTTCGATATCTATTCGAGAGCCGTGGTAGTTTCTGGGGGATGCAGTACGACACATACGGAATCAGAATCCATGGATCTTTTCCTGTATACATGCGTGGATACTCGGTCTGGCGTATGCCAAAAATTCACGAGCTCTACTATTGGAATTTCTTTCCATCTATATCTAGTCTTTGTATCGAGGGTATACCTTTAAGCCAAACCAAAGTACTCGATCTCTCCCTCTATCTCCGCGATCACAGTTTAGCATTATCCCCACCGTTCACGAACCCCTGATCGGCCGCAGCTCGCTCAGCGGAGGCTCTTAATTCCCTCTGCTCATCAGCAGTGAGCGGCTTCGTTGACCCTACCCTCCGTGCCCTGCTCTCCTTCGTTTCTATCAGACTCGCGTTCTGGTCCCCTCCCGTCTTGTCCACAAACTCATAAGACCGGAACTCCGTATTCGCCCACCCGGTGCCCGTGAACTTGCCATATCCATCCCAGTCCTCTGTAAAGTAGTGAAGGTAGCCTCCGTGCGTAACGACAATGATCTCTTTATCGCCGTCTCCGCCCTGCTTCCCCAGCTCTCTCAGGAACAGCCTGGCGTCCCGAGCCCGCGCCTCGATCGCACCACTCGCGGGGCTCCACCGCCCAGTCTTGCTGTTCCACCCCTCTTCCACGCGCGATAGATCAACGGTCCCCGCGAACTGGCCAGTGGAAAACTCGGCTTGCAGCTTGGAGGGCGCGGAGCCGGTGTCGCAGGGCAGATCGCTCGTCTCTTGCAGCTCGGGCAGCGCAAGCACTTTCAGGCCGGCAGCGACGGCAGTGGGGAAGGAGAGGAGGCAGGTGTAGAGTGTTCTGCGGAGGGGCGAGGCGACCAGATGGGTGATTTTCGAAGGCTCAGGGAAAGAGGCCGCGAGGGTGCGGCATTGCGATTCGCCCAGCGGGGTGAGGTCGGGGTCAGGGAGAGCGTGGTTCGCCGTCGAGACATTGTGATAGCCTTGGGCGTGGCGGACGCAAGTGATTATTGTCTTTACCATTTTCTTCTTGTTGTCTCTTGTCTTCCTGGTTGGATGTTCTGGGGTCTTAGGCCTACCGCGGGGTCGACGATACGAACTTGTCGTGGGGCAACGAATGTCTCTCTTCGGAGCGAGCAATTGCTTGTGTAAAAAAGGAGAGAAAGAGAGAGGGACCTATCTCTATTCTATGTCTCTCTCCAAGAACGAAGGAAATTTGCGATGCGATGACTCTTCGTGAGTACTAAGCACGGCAAGGCGTAAGGCGGTGTCAAAAGATTTGAACTCTGGTGGCGGCCAATGGTGCCTTGGTCCTGAGGGCGTGCTCAACCGATCAGGGAGGTTTGCCGAGGGGTCTTCTGGCAGCATTTGAACCATTTCCTCCCGAGATATATTACAAAGTATACGAGTGATTGTATCTTGTTCACGTTTGCGGAATACTCATTACTCTCTACTTGTAACATCAAAGACAGCTTACCCGGCGGGGCAAGAATATGCTATCAAGTTGGCAGGTAAGCCCCGCATTCTGGGGAACGATCTGAGCTACTTACTATGCGGGGCAACTACAATTGTAGCTATGCGGCAGCGCCGACAGAGGTATTGATACAGCATGACATTTTGCGGTAATCTGCTATGGTTCCTTAAAGAGATGTATGTGGTAACGGAATGCCTAAATGTTATCAGAGTCTCATATATCGCTAATTTTCCACCGTTTCAGTATGCCTGTTTTTGGCTATACTTAGTTCTATGAAGAAATCATGGAGTAACTGAAGACCGATGTCTATTCCAGCCCATGTATGATGCCGATCCCCCAATGCACAATCCATACACATAGCCCCTATGCAAACCCAAAGCCCGTCGAATTCTCTAACGCCATGGCCAACTTTTGCCTCAACACATCCTTACTCGAATACTCCGGCAGTAGCAAAATCCCATAACACGTGTAACTACTTGGCAAATGCCTGTCATCGACCCCATTCCTTTGCAGCGTGAACTGCAGGTTCCTCATCCCGCCAACAGGCACACGATCACTAGCCGTAACGAACTCAAGTAACTTTTTCTTCTGCTCCATATCGTACCTTTTGACTATACTCCAGAAATCTCTTACGCTACGGTGAGATGCGTCCCACCCCACGTAGCGCGTCGTGCGTCGCAGTTCCGAAATATCGATTTCTTGTATGCCTTCAACGACAGATTGAAGAGTCTCTGGGTCGAACAGGGTGATGGAGCGGCGGTCAATGCAGGTGAAGAAACCACGTTTGAAGGCCTCAAATTGGGGCTGGATTGAGATATCGGTCAGCCAGCGAATGTAGTCACTTACATAGCTGTTGCGGTTTGCGTTGGTGACCAAAGGCGCATCGGTTGGACTGGAAAAATTCGAGTCTGAGAATTGAGGCCACGACCTGCGTTCCGTTCCCATTTCAAGACTTATAGGCTGGCCAAACTGCTCAACGCTGAACTCATACGTTCGGGCGAAGACGTCTTCTACTAAGCCGTCCTTTTCATCCCATTCTAAGAGGGTAGTGAGCCCGTTGGCTAGATCAGGCCAGCCATCGGCAATATGATGCAGTTCCGAGACTTCTTCGTCAAGAAGCTTCATGTACAGCGCCTTCGGGAAGGTCACCGGTAATGTGAGACCGTTATAAACGGCCAGCGAAATAATCATGCCGATGAGCTGGAATTTCCATAGAGGTTCTGGCGAACCTGGCTGAAACCAGGTCATCCTGGTTCGGGGGTCAATAGTGAAGGTGCCTAGGTGCTTATGTTAATTGAGCTCTGAAATGAATCTAATGAACGTACCATAATCGGGATTCAGAGCTTCCGCGACAGCTAGTCGGAAGAATTCCTGCTGTACACCACCAGAATCCAAGCCTTCTTCACCACCTTCTTCACCTAGACGAATCTTTAAGGGCCGCATCAACTCACGCTCCTCTCGCCGCCATATTGAATTGAAAGTGTCCAAAAGCACATTGGTCCGGCGGATCTCAAGCACCATGAACCTTGAAGTAGCGGTTTTCAAACTGTCATCGAAAAGTTTCTGCCGACGATCCTCGTCAGCCATCAAATTGGTTTCTGCGACATCTCGTATAAGAGTCTGAGTAGCTTTTGCCGTTTCATACGCTTGGTTCATACGTGAGTAATTGATCGCGCGGAAGTAGGTAACCAAGGTTGAGGGATTAAATAGATAGGGATAATCCAGCAAATGGACAATTCTTTTGTTAGGCGAGAAGTTGAGCCATTCGATAGGCATCTCAACTGGATCCAGTCGTTCGGCAAAGTACTCGGTCCTGAAGTGGATATCACCAAGAAGTAACGACTTTCGGTTCTTATCTAGATATCATCAGCTATGCATTCCAATTGGCTTGGGCAAACTCACAGATTGCGGCCATCATAGCCAGAGCACCCCCGAAGGGCCCGTCACCAGGCACTTCCGCAGTCCCTTCCCAGTCTTGCAACATTACTGTCCTAGCCCAATCGAGAATCAAAGTTGGAACTCTCTTTTCGTGCAAATCACGTTCGCTATCCGAGAAATTGAGTATTGATGGTGTACCTAGGTCGGGGTATTTCAAGGTTGCAAGAACAGCTTCCAAAATGTCAGGCTCGCGCTTTTCATCACTGCGGACCTCCTGCTGGAGTTCAAGTAATTCTGCATACCGACGTCTCGTTGGTATTGCCGCGAAGAGTCTCCTTGCTAATCTTAATGCCAGGTCGTTTGTGAATGCATCATCATATTGAAGACATAGCGCCGTTGGTTCCAAGGCAGATGACTGGGCCCTACCAAGCGTCGTGAAGCCATATGACCGTATTCGAGACATGTTCGCCAATTGTCTTGCATCAGATACGAGAGGTGCAGCTGCAACGAGGGCATGGAGACAGATATTCATGATTTGTGCTGCATCAAAGTTTGACACAGCTCTATTAGTAGCAATCCCGGAGGATAGAGGTTCTTTGGCCCAGTCGTAAGCATTCTCTAATTTCTCCGGAGGCCGGAAAAGAGTTCCCGTTACATTCCATAGACTGTCGAACACCAAAGATGGAGCCACTCGAGTCATCCGGAGCATGAGGTACCAGAGCGTTTGTGTGTCGAATAAGTTTTCGTTATTCCTAAAGGATTGTAGCAGAGAGTCCGGGTTGGAGAGCACATCGAATAATGCCTGTTCTATGAAAGACTGCCACATTTTCTTTAATGAGGATGGATAAGCGGAAGGCGTAAGTTGGGAAGAATTCCGTTTCAACACCATTTCGTGATTTCGATACCTTTTCATGCTCTCATCAATTTTCCGTGGGTGGAGAGAGTGATCCTCATATGTATTATCAAGCTGCAGAATGTCGCAAATCAGCTCAATGATCTCAATAGAGAGCCGTGAGAGTGATTGTGGTAATGCTACGTTCTTGACTGGAGCTGGTTGGACAGTCTCCAAGGTCTGCTTTGGGGGCTCCCTCGAGGTCTGTTCAAGATCATGGTATTCTTGGAAGCCTTCTTTGCTTGTCGCTTTCTCGTCTTCATAGACTTCAGGCACATCCAGTCTTAGATTACCTATGTCCCTAATAGGCTGAGTGTGAAGTGGGTTTAGGGAAGCAATCTCAGCAACGCGCATCTTGGGGCTTGTGACCATGTTCTGCCGAGGCACCCTCCGTTTGGACATGGAAATTGAACGGTCTCGAGATAATGGCCTCCTGTCAGAATGATTCTCAGATGCCTTGGGTGCGGAGACGTTTAATATACCCTTCGATAGCTGGGATTCGGATTGATCTGCCCATTTGCGGGGGTTTGGAATTGGCATAGGAGTAGTCGTTGGATTAGAGGCTGGCTTCGAATCTAGAAAACCATTGGCTTTTGTCTCCCCATTAACCGCAGCACCTGGCTTTGATGACGCTGGTCTCTGGGGCGCAACGTCAGGCCCATCTGCTGGTTTTCCGTCTTGTACCTCGGGCTGTTGCGCAAGTGATGTATTTGATACAGCTTCCTCTGTCCCCTCCTTGGCTGCTGTTTCAGAGGTGGTCTTCGGTCTGCTCGATTGTGATAAATTCGAAGGGTTTGCAACTTCTTCCACTGGCATAGCGTCTTTGTCTCCGGACCTGGCCAAGATATCGATGTTTCGGGGCGTGAGCCATTCGAGCATTTTGAATGCAACTGTTCCAAAAACATTCTGGACAAATGACCGGTGATCTATTGTCGTGTGCTCATCTAAGATATCCACAATCGACCCTCTTCTGTTTTTTACTGGTCCCTCCTTTGCTACCTTTGTTTGTGGCTCAGCAATGTCTTCGGCCGATGAACCTTTGGATATGGGTGTAGGCTTTTTTTCGGACATGGGCATATCGCTATTCTTCCGTCTCCCACTCAGACCCCCCTCTCCACTTGTGGAGCCATTCTCTCCAAGCGTGGAATTTCTGCTTGGAAAATGTTTCAGAGGCTTTTTAGTCGGCGGAACAGGTTGCTCGGCGCTTGGGTTGTGACAGAGACCTTGTTCAGGATTATCCTGAGAAGCCAGATATACTGCTAGGGTCCTCGCGCTCGTCGCATTGTATCGACGAACAGGCACTCCCGCTATCGCAGATATTCGTTTGCGGCAAGAGAAGCATGTTGGTGTATTGCAAGAGTTTGATTTGCAGCCGTATCGAATTTGCAAGATGTACCTAAAAGGACTGTCAGTGGTTTGAGAAGGGGAGCGGTTGCACGAACTCACCTCTCCACTAGAATATGGAAATGATGCCGCCGACTTGCCCGGTGTATAGCGTATACTCGTCTTGGGTCATCAATATCGATCGTAAGCTTCTTTAACTCATTCGGAGCATCGTTTGGAAGATGAGGGAAGGGTGCCGCAGCCCACAAGGCTGTATAGACTTCGGCATCAGTGACAGGATCACGCTCGTCATAAAGTGCCTGGGTATCTCGCGTCATGACATTGATGGGGGGAGTGAGTAGAGTTGGGTTCAACCAGGCACCTTCGCGCGGTGAGGTAGGAGGGCTTATAAAAGTCAGGATCTCTTGGGAGGTTTCTCAAGCCCCAGGTCACCTATAGGGTATGGTAACAAGTAGGTACCTCACTACTCGTAGGCACACGGGGAGATCAGCCGCGCCGATCGGGAAAATCAAGCTACTGCCCGATATGTAATAGCGTCTCGTATGAAACTCATGACGCCGAAATCGTTTTGTCTGTGCAGAAAGAAACCCCACCAAGAATACAATTTTCCACAAAGGGTTTGTTAACTCTTCCACGCATCCACGGTTTTCGAGCCGTGTCTCAAGGGTATCTTTTAGTCGAAGGGAGTTCTCTCGATTGATAGTATTCAGTTTTTCTGCAGCCCGCAGGTAGTGTCGCCATTATTCGAATTTTCAAAGAATACAGCCCCTCGTGACAAACCGTCGCCACCACTTTCGACACAAGGAACGAGCAATACTCTGCAGACAGCATGGCCTCTATAGCAGCCAGCAGGGTGCCGGCTTCTAGCCTTTCGGCACATGCAGACACCAGCTCGACGCATCCATACACATGCAATACTTGCCAAGTGGCGTTCAGGAATAGTGAACTTCAGAGGGGCCACATGAGAAGTGACTGGCAGTAGGTTTTGGTCTGGCTTCATTTTCATACATATGCTGATGACCTTCTCTAGCCGTTACAACTTGAAGCGTCGTGTCACCTCCCTTCCACCTATCTCATCCGAAGTCTTTACTGAAAAGGTCCTTCAAGCCCAAGCCTCTTCTACTGCCGCAGCCACCAAGGCAGCTTACGAAAGGTCTTGCACCGTCTGCCAGCGCACATACTTCAGTGAAAATGCATATCAAAATCATGTAGGGAGCCAAAAGCACAAGGCAAAACTGGCCGAGGCAGGAGGCAAGCAAGTGGATGATGAAGCTAGTTCCGTGGTGAGTTCGACATTCTCTCTTGGCGAACCAATGGCCGCAAATGAGGATGTCGACTCGGACGCCGAACAAGAGTTCAATGAAGTTGTTGAGGGTATAAAGAAGACCAATTTAAAGGATGCTCCAGCAGAGACTCGAAGACCATCACGACCCCACCATTCCACCGCTCCTAAGAATGATGCAGAGTCCGAGGCAACAGCTTCGTCTGTCACGGCTGCTGATGATGAGACACCCGTCGAGACTCTTCTAAAGCGCTGTCTTTTCTGTAATTATGACTCGCCATCGGTTCCCCTAAATGCCGCTCATATGGAAAGGATACACGGAATGTTCATTCCGGAGAAGCCATATTTAGTGGACCTTGATGGATTGATCGGTTCTTTATATGAAAAGATTCATGAATACCATGAATGCTTGTACTGCGGGAAGCTCAAGCCAAGCGTCTTCGGCCTGCAAACACATATGCGGGACAAGGGGCATTGCAAAATACCATTTGAGACTGAAGATGACCAGCTGGAGATTGGAGAATTCTATGACTTCACCAGCACTTACTCCGATGTTGAAGATGAATCGGATTCTGAGGATGCACTGCCAGGAAAGAACCGAAGTGGTGGTGTCAAACTAGGGGCTAAACGTGAAGCCAAGGCGGATGGCGACGAGGACGGTGATGGATGGGAGACTGATAGCTCGGAATCATCACTGGATTCGGCAGATCTCACAGCAGTGCCTCTTGATCAACGGACTCACCAGTATGAGAAGCTTGATCAGCATCCTCACCACTCACACTCGGATCCTCGACCTCATCACAATAGGGATGGATGGCACTCCCATGCACACAAGCATGCTCATGCAGTCTTCTATTCTGAATACGAACTCCACCTCCCTTCGGGACGTACTGCAGGCCACCGATCATTGAACAGATATTTCAGACAAAACCTCCACAACCATCCATCACCCGAGGAAAGACAGCAACTTGCGATTGAAGCAGGTTCCGATTCAGAAGGAGACCAAAGGGTAGCACGCCGTAATGACAGAGAGCGTGGTAGAGCTCTCACTAGCCGTGCCAATGGTGGATGGGGAATGATTGGTGTTGCTCCTGAGAAGAAAAGAGAAGTCCAAGCGGCCGAGAAGAGATCGAGGAAAGCGGAGGACCGCGAGAGACGCAAGTTCCAATGGGGTAACAACAAGCAGAGCAACTTCCAAAAGCACTTCAGAGTAAGTAACCATTCTCCCGAACCGTGCAATCATGCGATGCTAATAACAATATCCAGGATCCTTTGCTGCAATGATTGCAAACGGGGAATATGTTGTCTTTTGCGAGCATTACTCTCTGTTACTCTTTGATGAATAGACTTCTCGATTGATGATGAATGGACTGTGGGACAGCATAGAGAGGCTGCTTTAGAATGGCGTTAGAATGAAGATACAAATAACGATTGAGTAACCGGTGCACCTAAGACGGACTTCTCCATGTGATACTTGAGCAGAGGGATTTGGCTATGAGACCGTGGCTTGTGGCTGCATGAGTCTCTCCGAACTCTGTATCTCTTGCATTTGTCCGAGCCCTGGGAACCCAACTTTCTTTTTTGCCCGTGACCACCATTTGTGTACCTATCCACGTCCATGGCCATGTTTTTGCGTCGGGAGGATCATTGAAGATGATTTGCAGCCAGTCCCAATATAGTCGCCGCCCTATCCTTGGACCCCTGTTAGCGAAAATAAAATCCCCCAGGCGGGACATGGACAGTTCAGAGCTGCTGCAGCGAGTCTTGAAATTCCCACCAACTTGACCTCCAAATAATACTTCATCGAACTTCGTCCCTCTCTTCATTCAGTAATACCCTTTCTGCTTCAATCGCCTGCAGACCGCCGAAAGACCCTTATCTCATCGACCCAGCGGGAGGGAGTATCCGCCAATGCGACAAGAACGACCCCCTTTCCTACGATTGCAAAAACCATGACCGAGCAAATGGGTACTCCTGGGTCCACCGCTGACACCTCAGTAAATGGGGGGAAGGTCGGGGCCCCGAAAGACAGGGCTTGTCCTTTCTGCCATCAGCAATTCACGTCCTCGTCGCTGGGACGCCATCTCGACCTCTACATAAAAGAGAAGAACCCGAAGCCTGCAGACGGAATACACGATGTCGAGGAGATCCGAAAGATGCGGGGAGGCATCACAAGGAGGCAGCCAAGGAATTCTGCGGCGCGGAGGGAGGCATCTACGCCTGCAGGAACACCTGGGGCACAGGAGAGACGGAGTCTACCTCCCGAGTCCGACATGCGGGGAAACAGATCTCCAATTTTGAGGGGGGAGGGTGGCGCCCAGGAAATGTCGAAGTATATTGGGAAACCGAAACTTGTGATAAATAGACCTTCGTGGGAGACGACTGGTGTTATGAACCATATTCCAGTTACCGGGAATGGCGACGCGGTGCGGAGCTGGGATGGGGATGATAGAGATGGAAGAAGGATAGAGAACAGGAATAGGTCAGTCAGCAAGCATGTGTTGGCAAAGACAGCATTTGAGCAAAAGGAGAAGATGATGGAAGCTCTGGACAATGCGAAAGCTGCGGAATTGGCGTTGCGAGAGCTCCTGGGGTCCGTCAGAGCAGCAAAGTAAGTGACCACCTCCTATTCCACCCTATGAAGCTAATAATGTTTCTAGACAACGTATAGAAGGACCGACAATCTTTGACTACGACCCCCTAGCCCTCGACTTTCCTTCTCTAACCCTCAAATGCCTTCTGCCACCCCCGACGCTCCACCAAGCCAACCCCTTTCCAACTTCAACATCCTGGTCCATCTCCCCCCCAGACGAACAACAATACCAAGCCCTACGCTCTCACTTTGCCTCTGAATTCCACCGCTGGCGCATATCCTGCGCAATAGCAACCACTGCCCCACGCGATGACCTCTCCTACCCACCCCAACTCTTCGCCCACCATGAGGATCCAGCAGAGGTAGCGCAGCGCGCCGAAGCTGAGGCTGCCGAGCTGGAGAGTAAAGTATCGGAGCATCTGCATAGGGTATTCACGCACTGGACTTCATTGCCTCACCAAACACGAGTTGAGCTCTGGACGCTAGAACTCGCACGTAACGTGGGGCGCAAGAGCGAGGACATCGAAAAACTGAAGAAAGAGAAAGAATACGCGCAGCAAGAGGCAGCCCATCTCAAAATCCAAGTAGATGAGTTATCCCGGCTGCAACATCCAAGGGAATTTAGGTTGGCGCCACCGGTTACTATACCTATTGATGGGCAACTTATAAATGCGCTTGGGGAAATAGGCGTTAATCATGAAGGCGTGGGATGGAGCATCATGAATCGGAATCTGCATCTTGACACGGCTGTCCAAAGTGCTATTGCGCGCTGGAAAGGCGTTGTCCGGGAGGCAAGAGGTGGTGGATCAGGGACTACGGGCGGAATGTCTGGTCAGCTCTCCTTGGGCGACAAATCGAGCTCCAGCCACACGCCTGTGACGCCAAAGCAACCGAACATGGGGCAAAATAGGAATCATAGCGGCACGAATCAAAGGAATGTACAGATGGCGAATGGCACAGATACTATGGGTAGCGATCAAGACGCAGACGCGGACGCGGATATGGAGGAAGATGACAGCTTCGTGGAGATGTCCGACGCCTCAGGTCAGAGATCTCTAGAGGCGCCCATGTCTCAAGGGACGAACTTCCGGCTAGCGAACGGGAGCGGGAATTCAGCGACGCACCAGCAGCCCCAAGGGGGCAATAGTGGACACGGCCCCGTGCTGGAAGGAATGGAGAACCAGACCTGCGTCGGTGGCTACGTGAGAATCGGGGCTTAGTTCCCCCACGGGAGTTCATGTGTGGGATATATATATCAAGAAAAAGTTTCGAAGGAGCAGAGTCGCGCTGTACGATCGATCGATGCACTTGAAAAGGAAATAAACAAACGGATGGATGGATGTATGGATGGATAGATGGGTAGGTGGGCTGGGTCTGGTTCGGTGGCCTTTTGGGATGCCACATACAATTGCGTGGATTGCTATACCTACTACCTAGCGCTGCTTGTTTAGCGTGCTTGCTTGCTTGCCTGCTTGCAACTCGGGGGGTTGCCCCCCTTCTATTTTACTATTACTATTATTATCTTGATACCAACATGTGGGCGAATCATTCTTTCGCTACGAGAGAGAGAAAATCCTCATCTATCTATCTATCTATGTTTTATCTAATCAGGTTTTTTGTTTTTTTTTTATTCTTTATTAATCAAACGAAAAATCTCAGGATCTGAAACTCCTCTTTCGTACCTACCTACCTACCTAGTCTAAGAGAATTTATTTTAGAATAAAAAAATTAGAAAATATGGATTAATCACAGGAGGACCTCTGTATAGATGAATATCTGGCTACTTTATGTATGAGTGTAGGTAAGTTGGGTAGATAGATGCAGTCCAGCCCCTGCCCTGAGATTTACACAGGCTCAAGCCAGGTACATACGTATTATTAACCCGACCCTGTTGTGAGTAAGTTAGTGAGAGCTACTCCAGCGTTGTGAATCTTTCGGTAATAGGTAGGGAAGGGGAAGGATAGATAGAGAGCTTGGGTGGAATGAATGAATTTACCCAGAGGCCGCCGGAAAGGGGGGAGCTTTGTAAAGGGGATGGTGAAAGATTCACATACGGTTAGGAGGGTTGGGGGATTGATTGATGAGCGAGACTCTGTTATGGGATGGAGTACGCACAGGAAAAGGGCATGGGGGGTATATTTTGTTTCTATGTGGTAATATTATGTGAAGCGGGGACTACAGGGGAGGGTAAGGAGAGCTGGTGATTGAGGGCAAAATGTGGGCATACTGCTGTACGTACAAGGTCACCTCACCCATCATAAGAAGTTACGTTCAGTTTCTGGTACAGCTATGAAGATGTAGAAGTGCAAAGCGTTACCGGGATTAAGCGCGATGAGAACTGTAAAAGACATTGCTAGTAGAGAAGCAAAATACTAATTGTTGCCCTTTCCCCTCGCCACTTTCGCACAAGGAAAGGTTAATCACTTTATGCATCCTGGATATTGACCACCTCGCCGTGCTCATCGAAACCAAGTCTCTTCTTGGCGATTGATGTCTTGACTGGGTTCCTGGAGTTGAAGATCTCATCGAGTTCCTCGAGCTGCGGGGTGTTAGTTTTGATGAAAATGGGGGAGGAGGAGGATTTACCGTGCGGTTCTTGGTCTCTGGAATAAAGAAGTAGATAGTAGCAGCTTGGATCCCACACCAGATTGTAAAGATTATATATGTGCGCCATCCGATCTTGTCCAAGGATATGGGCCAGGCGAATTGGTTTAGGAGACCAGCAGCAGCGACAGCGAAGCCCGAGAAGCCCATTCCCTTTGCACGCATCTCGAACGAGAGAACTTCCACGGGATATAGAGCCTGGAGGGGAGTGAAGCCTACAGAGAAGACAGCACCAAAGATAAAAATGAATGCGAGAGATGCGATACCAGCAGCTTTGTTAGTCCCAGGGACACCGGGTGACGGGATGGACTCTTGGTATAACGCAGTTGATACTGTCATGGCGAGCCAGACAACACAGCAGCCGATATTGGAGAAGAGAAGAAGGGGCCGTCTACCAATACGATCCACCAAGTTAGCTCCCAGCAGCGCCCAACAGAATTGCTGACAGTTGTTGATTAAAGTGATGTTCGCTTGTCCGATATTACTACTGATGCCAATCGTCGTCAGGACCTTACCCATGAAGTACGACAAGACAGCTGTTGATGTTGAGCAATGGACCATATATAGATATAATAGGTTTGACGTACCATTACCAGCCCACTGGCCAAAGATTGTGACAGAAACATTGCAGAAAAGCCGATAGCAGGTAGCTCTGCTTCTGAAGAGCGCCCTATAGTCCCACCATCTCTTATCGGCGCCATCCATCTCCAATAATTCCTCGTACTCGTTTAGCTGAAGCTTGACCCATTCGCTATCCGGGTTACCGTCTCCATGGAACTTGGTAAGCATAGCCTTGGACGCTTCCTGTTTGTTGTTGACGTAAAGCCATCTTGGGGATTCCGGAAGAAACCATGCGGATATGAAAATGATACATGAGAACATGAGCTGGACCCAAATGATAAGTCTCCATGATAAGTTACCTCCCTCATTGAGACCCCCACGGGCCACACCTGATGCGACGATCGATCCAGTGAACCTAGATAGTTTCAGCATACGGCACTCTGGCTTATGCAAGGTGTTTCATACCAAAAGCAGTTGAAGATGGCAGTCACAATACCGCGGTAAGCGGGGTGAGAGACTTCGACAACATACATAGGTCCAGCAGCTGATGTAATATTGACCCCAAATCCAAGCAAGAATCGACCACCCATGAATTGCTTAACACCTTGACTACTCGTAGCCACACCCTGAATGATTGTTCCGAGAATGACACAGAGACATCCAATCCACATTCCGAATCGTCGTCCATAGGTATCGGCCGCTGGTCCAACAAAGGGCAGAGCAACGACACTGCCAATCTGGTACATGGAAGTCACGATGCCAGCCCAAGTTCCAGCGTTTCGTCCATGGTAGTAGGACAGGAACCACTTGTTTTCGAGGAGGTTATTTATTAGAGATCCATCATAACCATTCATAGTTGCACAAAGAAACCCGATTAAACAAGCAATATAGAGCTGAGATGTTCGGAAGGTGAAGGGTTTGGGGGGCTCCTTGAGCATTGCTTTGTTGAAGGCCTCATTCCCCCTGACGATCCTGACCTCAACCTCTTCATGTTTCTGCAGGAGACAATATCAGAACTAATTTTTTTTGAAGTTTTGGGCCGGTGCAAGAAAAAGTTCCTTACATCAGGGTTAGCTTGAGGCGCCAACTCAACAGCCTCATGTTCTAACTCCTTCTCAGACATGATAAATGGAGTTATAGGAGACAAGTAGGAAGCGGTTATTTGACCAGGTGTCAGCGTCACCGCTTGATGGTAGTCTGCTCAAAAAGAAGGGCAGCTTTGCCTGGAAAAGAAACGTAGAGAGATTCATGCCTTCCTTATTCTCGGTCTTGTCAATATAATCTCGTCTTGCAGTCCTCATACTGTACCCCGCTTGAGGAAGAACGGAGGAGGAAGATATTGGCTAGAAACGGACTAACTCCAGTCATCCCCTGGATTCACGTGTCGCATGTTCTTCTCCTTCCCCAGTTTCTGGGGTAAGTATTGCTTACAGAGAACTGGCTCCAGAAAATCCACGAACCACACGATCTCGTTTCAGCCCGGCTATGCCATTATTCGACCGCCGGATTTCACAGAACCCATGTCCCGCAGCGGAGGTCATGGCCCGAGATCAAAACGGTGCTGGAGGCTCATCCCAAGCCCAGAAGGCCAGACCACGACGGTCCCCCCAACGAAGATGATCGGGCCGGGATAAGGTGTATGCAGTGCGGCCCCTCCAGTAGGGCAGCTAGGGCACGTTGAACAGGCTGACACTTGGCAGAAAGTCCCCAAATACAACGGCCCTTCTCTTCCGACACTGAAAACTGACCATGTCGGGAGGGGAGATTATGCGGGATGGATGGAGGAAGCTGGTCAGTGGCCATGGGAGACGGGGGGACAAATCCTGGGGTAAGGTAAACTAAGCGACTGATCATGACTAATCGGGTCCAGACCCTGGGGAGCTTCGTCTCGTGCAGTGCCAAGTAATACTCAAGGTATGTGGGGTAATATAGATATATATGCATATATCTAATACATGCATATATCTAAAGGTCTGTACAAGGAGCATCGATCATACCTAGAACCAGGTGCTTTCAAGACTCACAATGCCTAGATATGACTCCTGGACCAGAGCATCCAATGGGTACAGACCATACAAGAAGGATCAACGCTGATCTTGCATCATTGCACACGCAACAGTCAGAAAGAGTCAGCCGCCACTGATGGAAATGGTCAGAAATCTCACCCGACCTCATCCGACCTCACCTCATCAAGCACCACCAAAGCAAAACCTCCGAGATGGAGAATTCATGGGGACCCAAAAAGATACCTACATGTCATGTGATATTGTTCACGTGATAGGCCCCGGCGAATTCCCACCAGGGCCATGACCCCGAATCCCGAGTCAAGAATTTGCCGCATCTTGTACCTGCTCGTTGGTAAACTTTATTTGCGCGGCCCGGCCGGTACAGCGGCTATATAGTATACATACTACGAAATAGGTATGGCAGCTACTCACTAGTCAGGAGTCAGCGCGCCCTATTCCCTATTCATTGTCTTACTGTTTAATTCAGATCTGCGGCTCACCGAGGACTAAATAACCATCTTGCCCTGAGCTTGACGAGGCTACCAATCAGTGTTGCGCAATGCTTCTGCAGTTACTGCCGCTCAGTTTCTCAATCCCGACGAACTACTGAAATTGGGACCCTGCGTGCATTATTGTTGTACTGTCTACTGCTACGGACCGTACGGAGAGACAATTCGTACGACGACACCCGCAAGCGCCGGTGTCTCTTAAAGTCTCCAGAGCCCCGAATCATACGGATTATTTCCTCACTGATCTTTGATATCATCCAGCTTGCTAGTGCTGGCCGTATTGTACAGTCCTTCAAAATGAAATTCCGGTTGCCTCTTCTTCTTTTGTCCTGCCTGTTCCATACTCCGTCCTCTGCCAGAGGAATTCCCTCTCGCTCAGCTGCACGAGACCTGCTTCCTAGCAGCTACATCGTCCATCAGTTTCCACAACCCACATGGATCGAGAACATCGCCGTGCGTGATAATGGCCAACTACTCGTCACTCTGCTCCTCACAGCGGACCTCTATCTCATAGATCCCGTTCTCTCTGCCATCAGCCCCTCCTCAAACGCTACCGCAAAACGGATCCATAATTTCGCGCCCAACAAGAGCATATTGGGCATCACCGAAGTGGAACAAGACCATTTCTATATCATAGCCAGCAACATCACTGTCTCCCCCTTTGTTGTGAACCCTGGTGCTGCTGTGTATTCCGTTGACCTTACACAATACAACTCCCTCACGAACGAGGGAGCTGTGGTCAATAAAACCACGGATCTGCCCACAGCGGGCCTTTTGAACGGGATGGCGACACTAGATGCCTCGAAGGGCTTGGTGATTATGACCGACTCGTTTCAAGGCGCTATCTACGTTCTCAATGTGCATACTGGCGAATACAGTATCCTGTTACAGGAACCCGAGATGGCTCCACCACCTTCTGCGGGCGGGCTAGGCGTCAATGGGGTCAAAGTCTTGGCCAGTAATGGGACGGACGTGTATATCTATTTCGACAACACGGGTCAATCGCTCTTCTGTCGTATCCCGTTCTCCTTATCGTCGTTGCAGAAGACCGGCCCGGTCGAGATACTTGAGTCAGGCTACAGTGCAGATGACTTCGCGTTGGATCCGGCGGGGGGCTTCGCATACATGGCTGATGGGAACACGAATTCCATCAATCGCATCCCGCTTGCTGGAGGACCAGTGACGACCGTCTTGGGCGGCGCCAATGAAACGATTGTGGAGGGCCCGACGAGCGTTGCTATGGGCAGAGGTACGAATGAGTTTGTCAAGTATATTACTACTGATGGTGGATTGATAGCACCTATTAATGGGACGTTCAAGGAGGGCGGGAGAGTAGTTGCCCTTATTTAATGATGGAAAATAACGATGTGGCTTGATGTAATGTAGCTTACCTTACGGTTTTTAATAGACATTAGACAGAGATGGTTCGATCCATAATTGAAAGACGACAAGACTTTGGGCGTAACTTGAGCACCCATGCTACTATTATTATAACTCGAAGATCCGCAGGATGTGATAGGCGTCGATAGAATCGTTATCAGAGACCTCGGGGCTCCTCCATACAGACTCCGAGAATCGGGGATGACTAAGGAATTACTAGGCCTTCCCCGGGTTTTCCAAAGTCTGGCTCGAATCTCGATGTAACGACCGTCAAGAAAGTCTGCAACGACCATTGTTGTCTATGTGGCTACATCCTCGGGGTCTTTATACGCCACATTATTGCAACTACCGTGTGCGTTCCGCTTTCTCAGGGCTCGTGGTGGAGTGCTCAAGGCGGACAAGGATCTTCAGGGACCGTCTCGGGTGAACATTCCGCGCAGCAAGGGCCTGGAGTTTTTGCTCAGCATCTCGCTCCCTACTTGCAGCTGCATCTGGATATCAGTTGGTGCTTGTTGACCGACCGCTCTTTTCTTCTTTCCTGCTCACGGATTATATCTGCCAGACATCTCGCCCATTGCTTCATTATTGCGCTTTCTCGTCCTACAAATAGCAACGATGTTCCTTCGATAATCGACAGTCATCAAGAACCAACCAACCAACCAGCGCCCGGAAAAGCTACGACCGACCATTTCCAACCCGTCTGAACAACCACGGAAATCATGGCTCATCCCATTGCCTTATCATGGGGCAGAGGGCCAGGCATGCGATGCTTGCACAATCTCCATTCCAGATCTCTCGCCCCCCGCGCAACGACGCATTGCTTTTCTGGATCATGGGCGTCAGGTACGTGGGATTTTGCGACCCTTACGTTATATTATATTATATTCGCTTCCGGGTCCGGCCATACCCGTCGTCCCTGCCTCGACACACGACAGTGGGGTTCCATGCGTGTGGTTCGAGTCACTTCTCGTATCCTTTGCGGATGTGGCAATATACATCTCAATTCTTATCCATGAACCAGGCCTCTGCTTCTAACGCAATATATAAACAGGTAATCCGGGGCGCCCATCACAGCTCTCTCTCGAACTCTCACCTCGAACGCCCCGCACCATGTCGACTCACGCCGCTGTTCGGAGCCTGAACATCAACAACATAAACCCCCACGTTAGGGCAGCAGAGTATGCCGTCCGAGGAGAACTTGCCGTGCGAGCAGAAGAATACCGGGCCAAGCTCGCGAAGGGCTGCACCGACCTCCCGTTCGACAAAGTTATCTCTGCGAACATTGGTAACCCACAGCAATTGGACCAAAAGCCAATAACGTTTTTCAGACAGGTATTGAGCTTGGTCGAATACCCACAACTACTGGAGAAGGAAGCTGTTTTGTTAGAACAATTGGGATACAAGAGCGACGTTATTGAGAGGGCAAAATGGCTATTGAAGGAGGTCGGGTCCGTTGGCGCATACAGCGCCAGTGCCGGCGCTCCAGGAATAAGGGATAGCGTTGCAAAGTTCCTCGAGAGTATGTATGGTATTACCTCTAAATCCTGCACATCTGACAAATTACAGGACGAGATGGCTTCCCAGCCGACCCCAAGGATATCTACCTGTCTGCTGGTGCTTCTTCCGGGGTAAATACCCTCTTGCATATCATCTGCGCAGGTCCAAATACTGGGGTCTTAGTTCCCATTCCCCAGTACCCACTCTACACAGCTACCCTATCTCTCCTTAACGCTCAATGCGTTCCATACTACCTCGACGAAAGCAAGGGCTGGGGGACAGATCTCGAAGCCATAAAGGCCGCGCACAAGAAAGCAGTAGATGAAGGGACCGACGTCCGAGCGATTGTTATTATCAACCCAGGCAACCCAACAGGCGCTAGCCTTTCCGTGGAGGACATAAAGGCAGTGATTGATTTTGCTGCCCAGGAGAAGCTGGTAATCATGGCTGACGAAGTCTACCAAACCAATATCTTCTTGGGCGAATTCCACAGCTTCAAAAAGGTGTTAAGGAGTATGCAGAAGGACGAGCCAGAGAAGTACAAATATGTGGAACTTGCTTCACTGCACAGTATTTCCAAGGGTATGGTTGGAGAGTGTGGACATCGTGGTGGATACTTCGAATTGTGCGGATTCGATCCCGAAGTTGTGGAGCAGATCTACAAATTTGTATCGATCAGTTTATGTGCGCCAGTCGTGGCACAATGCGTGGTCGAGATGATGGTGAACCCCCCGAAGGAGGGCGAGCCAAGTTACGAACTTTACAAGCAAGAGTGGGATGGTATCTACACAGGCTTGCGGGAGAGAGCTAGAGCATTGTATAAGGCATTCAGAGAAATGGAGGGAGTGGAATGTCAAGACCCTCAGGTAATTGGTTGTCTGTTCCACTGCCGTTCTTTGCTAATATCTACAGGGCGCCATGTACCTCTTTCCTACCATCCACCTTCCGCCCAAGGCCATTGAAGCTGCGAAGAAAGAAGGCCGCTCCCCCGATGAATTCTACGCCTTCCGTCTTCTGGACGCAACAGGAGTATGCGTCGTCCCCGGCTCCGGTTTCGGGCAGAAGGAAAACACCCTACATTTCCGAACCACGTTCTTGGCGCCCGGTACGGAGTGGGTTGGACGGATCACCAAGTTCCATAAGGAGTTTATGGACGAATTTAGATGATGCTTGAAATCGGACTTTTGAAAACGAATGGGTTGGTCACAGTTAGACTGGAAAGGGAGTTGGGTTAGATCAACGATGACATCAAATTTTAGGATTTCGCTGGTTCTCAAATGCCAGATACCTCCCTCTATTCCTTAGGGATCCATAAATTTAAGATTGATAGAGAGACAGATAGGGAACCAAAACACTCGAAGTTTCGAATACGACGCTCTTACCAAGACTTTCTAATCCTTTCCGCCGACCTTTTTGAGGGCTGCTGCCAAAGTGCGATGTGCAGCAAGAACATCTTCTACTACAACCTACCTGCGCCGCTCGGCTTTGCCTTGAATATCTAGGTACCTATCACTTTAAGATCAATCTCCATCTCGCTGTCTGCTGTTAGTCAGCGTCAACGTGACTTTTTGCGGGCTGCTTCAAGATTGCGACGTGCAACAAGATCTTCTCTTCCTAGGTACTTACTTACCTAAGGTACCTTACATACAGCTTGCTCTTTCCTTGCCCTTTCCTTCCCCACCCACATTCGTTCCTACCTACCTACTTCATTCATCTGTCCAAATCCTCTTATCAAACACTCGAAGGTGCTTTAGATAAAGTACCTTACCTAGCAATGCCTTTCTCCTGTTGCACATCGCATTTCTGAGCAGCCCCGCGAAATGTCACGTTTGAGCTGACTAACAGAGGTCTCTCAGAGGTTCAGAGTTTGGCTTTGCTGTTGTGAATATTCACTATTTAAGATATCTTCATATCTTCATATCTACCTAGGTAAGTACCTAGGTAAGGTATATATTGAAGAGAATAGCTGTTAAGTCAACCCAAACGTGATTTTCCCGCGGGCTTTCCGAGTTGCGATGTGCAACAGGAAATGGCTTTTATTTCTATGTTGCTGTGTTTGCTCCTGCTTTCGCTTCTTGCTCTTGCTTTTAATTCTTGAACTCTTGGTTGTTGTCCCGAGAAGACTCGTGTTAGTCAGCGTTAACGTGACGCGGGGGGGATCAGTATAAAAAATTGCGATGTGCAACAAGAATAGTTTCTGTCCTGTTGCTAAAGTACCTAGGTACCGAGGTACTTGAGCGATTAGTATAAATGCGATGTGCAACAAGAACAGCTTCCATTCCTACCTATTATCTGCTAAAGGAGAGCGCTGTTCTGTTAGTCAGCTTAAACGTGACATTTTCGCGGGCTGTTCTCAAAGTACGACGTGCAACAAGAAGCGCTTCTTTTGCTATACAGAGCAGAGCCTCCGAAATTCTGATGAATCCACCAACGAATTCAACGGGCCCAATCATCTCTACCTTGCCATCTATACGACGGCCTACCATAAAATGATGAGAGTCGGCGCCCTGAAAGTCACGATGGGTTCATTGATTCGCCAGGGTGCAAGGCGGAAGGAAGCAACACATCTGACGTATTACCTACCGTATATCAAGCGAAAATAGTTCCAGAACTTCTTCTGCATTCCTAAAGCAACCTTGCCAGCAGCTTATAATGACATCCCCGCACAATATACTCGTCACATCAGGAAATATTCTTTTGGTGTAGCGCTCAGTAATCGTGCCGTCCGGTATGCCTTCATATGGTCGTCTCCCGGCCATTATCTCGTAGAGTGTCGAACCAAGTGCGAACAAATCAGATTGAACTGTGCTTGGCATATCGCCGTCAAGATCGCGAGGTAGTTGATGTGATGAGTTCTCGAACCCGAGGACATCATGGCCGTCGCTAAAGCTAGAGAATCCAAATCGCTGATTTTCACATGAAGCTCGCTGTCGAGGAGAAATTGGCGGGCGGCAAGGTCAGAATGGATTATGCCTTTGCTATGAATGAACACGACCGCTTCTATAACCCCTAGTGCCAACTGAATACGGCCTTTATCGGATATATCGTGATGGCTCCTTAAATAGCCCTCGATGTGTCCATGTGGTGCGTACTCAAGATCTACAAAGAGATCCCCTTTCGCGAGGCACTTAACAACTCTGGGATGATCGCCAAGGTAGACATAAATTTCGCCTTCTCTTCGAAGTGATTTTATAGCGAGGTCTAGGTCGTCGGAATATGGAGCCGGGACTTTGCGAACTCTTCCTCTATCGACATGGTAAACATGCGTGAAAACGCCAACTCCAATGAGATTGTGCTTGTCTAGATGATATTCGACATCCTCTGGAATTTGAAGCTTCCGCAGAGCTAAATCCTCAAAATCCGATTGCAAGACATCAGCCATGTTTAGGAGGCATACACAAGGTGCTGTTGTTGGTGCTGTCTTAAGGGAACTAATCGATCGCAGTTCTAGGTAGGCTTCGGGTTGCTGAATCGCAGGTCTCACCTAACCGAGGGAGCCCCTGAATTGCTTGATTTCTACCTACGGAGCGGGACGTTGAAGGTTTCCCGCTCTTGTTGAATAACCAACTTAGCCATTTCTCTTAATATGGAGAATGAGGTAGGAGATGGAACTCCTAACCCCTATACTCCAATTCAAATTCCTTTTGCCATCCCTATCCACAGGACGACCTGTTGTATTATCACGTGGCACCCCGTCAAATGCGGTGTGTAAGGTAAAGCAAGGTAACTCTGCCAACAAAACATTCGTGAAAGCTAATGCACTCAAACGCGGATTTTATCATCATTTCTCTGCCTCGCTGTTATATTCTGAAAATAGAAATTACTCTTTTGCTAGGCCGTACTCCTTAAACCTCCCGACATGGCCGACCTGAAGTTCATTACTCCATTTCTTGACAAGCTAGATCATTGCCTCAGTATCGGGCACGCTCCCTCCCAAGGTCTGGTCTACGCACTAGACACCGATATCGTGGTTAAGCTGCCTTTCCAGTATATCATTCCAGACAAGATAGATGACGAGGCCAAATTCTATCTGACCCACGCCTTGCGAGGCTTTGTTGCAATGGAGAGAGAATTGGCAGTGTACGATGCCGTAGCCAAACAGCCACACCCTAATATCGCGCGAAGGCTGGAAGTGGACTCGTCATCCTGTCTCTTCTTAGAGCGTTTACGGCCTTTGGAGAAGGTCTGGGCTGATTCCGACGAGACGATGCGCCATCGCTGGGTCAAAGAGCTTGTTGATGCTGTTAGTTGGCTAGAGGAGCTTGGTTTTATCCATGGGGATCTCGCCGTTCGCAATCTTGCCGTCGATTCGTCCAACCGGCTCAAACTGTTCGACTTTGGATCTGCTACGACCAGCGATCACTATGATTACATAGCTGATGTCAAAAGAGACCACTCTGGTTTATCTACCTGTCTTCACTTTATCCTCACTGGGGTTGACCCCTTTGCCAACCTACATTCAGCGCAAGAGGTTCGGCGAATCGAGAGTCAACTATTGGCGGGCCATGCTCCTATTGGGGCTGGTGCTGAGATTCTGAGCCATATCATCCAAGCTGGCTGGACCGGGAAGGCTGGATCAACCAAATTTGTGGAGGTTAAGAAGCATGTTGAGACAATTATTGGCCCTGGGGATCTGGAAAATCCTACAGACGTTCCAGAGGGACATTACCAACGCCTGGCATCACGCTGTACAGAGTGGCTAGAACGGGCAACTCCTGATAAAAGGTGGATGAACGCTGACGATTATTGTGCAGCCTGTACAGCTAAAGGCTACAAGGTGAAACTGGATATCTGGCGGTGATGATGATGACGATGTGTTCAATTGGTTCCACGCTGCGTTCTCAGCCAGGGGCTTAAGGTATCTGGCATTAAAGTAGAGACCTTCAATGTTTCTCTCTGACCGTCCTAGGCGCATATAGCGTAGGTGTAGATGTACTCCGTAGGTAGGTAAGGTAGTCAAAAGCCTTATCAAGGGCGTCCCCTATCAATTAGGGGGGGTTAGTAAGCCATACATTTATCCATTCCTCAGGCCACAAGAAACCAGGCCGCAACAAGAAACCTTGAATCTCGAAATCAACGACCTCTCTCCAAGCAACTCACCCCCAATTGCCCATCGAACACACAATGGCCAAGAAAGGTATACCCGCCCTTTCATTCCTCTATGTCTCCTTCCTTCTAGCAATCCTCTCCCTATATATATCTCAGCATTCCATCCAGCAGAAGAAGAAGAAGAAGAAGCTGACCCGGAAAAAAAACAGCCAAGTCCCGCACGATTGCCGTGCGCCTCGTGTCCATGGCTCTCACCGGCTACTACAAGACTATGATCCGACCGCGTACGCATCGCCCACTGAGCATGCTGAAATATGATCCCGTCGGTACGTTTGTCTCTTTTCTACCGGGAATTGGACTCCAGAGGGGGGGCAGGCAGATGGGCAGATTGATGGGCTAGGGTCCCAATATATGAGAATGGGAAACGAGAAGAGAAGCTGGAATATTTGAATAGAGTGAGGATGAGAGCTAATTAGCGGCGCTGCAGTGCGAAAGAAGGTCCTTTTCCTAGAGCAGAAGCGCGGTGGACGGTAATGATCGATTGCTTGGGTTCGAGACAGGACACGATTCGAGATCGAGAATACGCATGCCGAGCGGTCAATGGCATACCGGATGCATGGCGTATCTTGGTCCAGACGTCTATGTACAATTAAGACAGCGCTGATGGGAGCATGGATAGGCGTTCAGGGATATGTATCATAGTGGATCAATGGAGAGTTGAGCCGCACTCTAGCAATTTATCCATATATATCCATTGTATACTCCGCTTACACGGGAGAGCAAGATGCAACATATGATGGTTCAGCGATACAAGCAAGAAATTTCCACCAAAAGATCAACAGCCCATGGACAGAGCATCCTCACGTGTCCTGACAATACCTATGCTCGTCATCGGCCCTCACCAATATTTCCCCATACAAGCGCAGGCAAGATTAAGAAGCAGATACAACTATCCTCACCCCCTCAGCAGGTATCACATTTAAGCTGATATGAAATAAAGAGCGAATTTCACGAAAGAGAATCTGGCAGAATGTTCAAACTGTTTGTGTGATCTTGGTGGCCAGGAAAATAATCCTGCAAAGACACATCATAGCAACAGTTGGGAGTAAAGCTTAGTAGTGGTAGCGTTCTACGATAACTTCCTGCGAATCTGGAATCACTGCTTGCGAGTTCGGAATAACTGACTTTGATATCTTGGGAAACAAGGATAGTCGAGGTGCTTTGGTCGGCTTTAGACATTCTCCGTCTTCAAGGGAAGGGGAAGCGACTCTCTTCCGGTCATTCCGCTTCGGAACTGGCATCAGAGGAGATTTCTGGGAATAATGGCTGGTCTGTTGGGCTTGAGACGGATGCTGTGCTGCAGTCTGTCCACGGAAATTTCCAGAGGGAGCCTTGCCATCGCTGTATTTCGGAGCTTGGCCACTCACGACACGGTTGTACCTCACTTCAGGTCTTGTCATCGACTTCTTGTTAACTCCCCGTCCTGATGGTACACCGTGCAGTAGAGGGGCAGGTTTGGCGGTTGTTGAAGGATTATAGGCAGGATCCCCGAGGACGTTGCTTGTATTCGAGACCTTCTTAGGATCCGGCTTTTTTAGGGCACTTTTGAGTGGCATTAGGCCCTTTCGAAATACTGGTCTCTTTCGAGGCATTGGCTCTTTTTGGGAATCTCCGGCTACAGATGTCGTTTCGGTGGTCTGTCTCGTGACATCTACCCACGCATTGTCTTCATCAGATAACTGACAGCTTGGGGCATCTTGGTTCCGAACAAGCCCCGACACAGTGTTGGCTGGGCAAGTTTGCAGACCAGAATTCTTTGCGGCGTTGATATTTTCAATTCGGGATCCGCTTCGTTTATTGCTTCTATTTACTGCATATGCCTTTCGAAGGCCTTCCTGGCTGTTCAGAGAGTCCAACTGATTAATCACCGGCGAAACATCAGTCAACGAACTTGAAGAGTATGGCTCGATAGGAGTAAAAGACGAAAATGGTATGATTTCATTCGTAGGTGTTCGGATTTTGATAGTGGTCTCTTCAGTCGTACGAGAGGTCCGAGTTAGTGTTGACTGTTGGTAATTATATTTTGAAACTCGTTCTCTAGAATTGGATTGCTGAGCTGGATTACTGGCTTTTCGATTGGCGACTTTCAATGGCTTGAGAAGCAGCTGACGCCTCGAGGGAACATTCGATTCAAATCCTAATTCATCAACCGCAGCGACATCGGTACTTGATGTCTTGCTAGCTCTGGTGGTGCTAGACGTCGGATTAGCTGCACCAGCAGCATTCAACGTTACAGGGGTTTGGCCAGGCCCTGTATTTACCGCAGTTGAAAATCTTCCATCAGGTCCATTCTCTGGTACTTCATGTGGGGGCTCCGGATGGTGAAGTCGAGGGATTTGATTATCCATGAACGTCGTATAAATCCCCTCCAAATTGAAGTAGTCCGAGAAGGACTGTTCACTATCCCAGTCGGGCGGTCCTGTCCCTTTGGAAGTTTGCAGTATAACTGCCTGCTCATCATGTTGGCCAGGGAAAGTCTTTCCCCCCGTAAGTCGAGCACTGGGTTCACTCAGGGCATCATACTTCTTTTGCAGACTGACGTTCTGCTCTTTCAACGTCTCATTTTCTCTCATCAGATCGTCTAGATGGCTCCTAATCTCTTTCGGAGTCTGAAGAGCAGCGCTCAGATGTTGGGTGGTATCGTTTTGTACGTCTTCGAGGAGCATTCGAAGCTCAGTGATCTCGCTCCTAGTAGATTCTAGGGATGCCTCTTGCCGCTCAAATTCCTCTCGGGTTATTCTCCTCAGTTCCAAGTGATTGATTTGATCGTATTGATTGTTGCATTTCTCCTTGAACGTGGATAATTCAGCCTGGACATTGCTAGCCCTGTTAATATGGCTAGCTCTCTCATCTTGAAGGCCCCGTAACTCCTCCCTCATAAGCTTCATCTGTGTCTCTGCCTCAGTTCTTCTCTGCTCTAGGTTCTTCACAAGAGATTCATGACGCATGATCATTTCGCTTTTAGCAGCATTAGCAGCTTTGGCAACATCTTGACGTGCCTTTTCAATGTCAAGTTTAGAATTGGCTAGGTATTTTTCTTTCTCTTCTGCAAGTGTCTCGATAGAATTTTGAGCATCACTTAATCTATTCTCAAGTTCTTGAAGCTGTTTTTCGGTCCTGAATGATGTCTCTCGTAGTGAGTGCAGCTCTTCCTTCGCTGTAGCTGCTTCTTGAGTCGCAATATCAACCTGACTCTGAAGAACTGTGTTTGCACTTTCCAGGTCATGCAGCTTGCTTTTAAGCTGAAGGTCGTCTTTTGGTAGAGCAAGAGCTGCAGCGAGCTCGTCAGACTTTGTGCTGAGCTGGTTACGAAAGCTGGCTAGTTCCGACTTAAGCTCAACAATTTGCGTTACCATGCCGTCGGATTCGGCCTTCCGAGAATTCAAATCTGCGCTTAAACCTGCATTTGCCTCCCGAAGGTCTGCGATGCGATCGTTGAGTTGACCTCGAGCCTCCTGATCAAGACAAAACTGGTTAAGTCTTTCTTTCATACCCTCAAAAATCTTCAAGTCAGATTCGCGTAAAAAGGCGTCATTGTCATCTGCGGATTGCAGCTTGAACTCGATTCTAATAAGATTAAAGATTAAAAAAAGATAATAGCAAATAGGAAAATGGCATATACACGAACCTGGTGTAGAGATTTTCAATGAGCTTGGCCAGCGTGGGTTGAATATCCTGCGCATGGCTCTTCATGGTACTGAAGAGACTTGAAAGTTCGTCAACCCTACGAGATGTTAGTTGACGCGCAGGTTATGGACTGAGTAGATCCTACTTTACTCGTGTTGAGTTTCCAGAATTCAGAATTCTTGCTAGTAGTCCACCATCTTTGGTGAGCTCATCGATGATGCCAGACTTTGTGCTCTTCAAAAGCTCGAGAAGCTCTTTACGTGCCTCATTTTGTGCATCGAGTTGCTTTTGAAGCTGCTCAGCATTATGGCGTTCGCGCCCTAACTCGATCACTCTCCGATCGAGATCGTTCTGGAGCAATTCCTGGTTTCTAGATGCTTTCCACAATTTTAGCATAAGTTGCAAAGGAATTCAAATATAACTTACAATCCTCAACCATTTTTAGGAGCTCTCCATTTGCCTTTTGAACTAATGGAATTTAGTTAGATTGGATCAATGAAGGGGGGGATCTCTTACCGGCAAGCAGTTTCTCAGTAGGGGCTCGAAATTCTTTGACCTCTTGCAACAGATATTCAAGCCTTTTTATATGTGCCTCTCGAGTGACGTGAGCTTCTTGAATTATTTTGACATCGGTCTCTGCTTTTTGGATCTGTTGATAGTCCTTTCTCAACTTTTTTTGCATTTCCACAACATCATTCATATGGTCTTTGTAGTTGGCAGCAAGTTGCTCGATTCTTTTAATCTTTCTCGTTAGAATAACCTTCTCCTCCTTTAGATCTCGGATCTGCTGCAAAGATTCGGCATTAGATGTTTTCAGTTTTTCCAGTTCTGACTTTTGAGATTCGACGATCTCTTTTGAAGACTGGTAGTCTTTCAACATATCTTCGAATTCTTGGCCATACTTGAGGAAATTTTGATATGTCTCCGCCGCTTTTGAAAGTCCTTGCGATTTCTGAATAGGTGACGAGTTGGGCTTCCGCCCTTGTTCTCTCTGGTTCTGTCCGAATTTCGGTTTCTTGACCTTGGTATTATTGATGAACTGCAAAGCAGAAGACTCTGAGTGCTGCCGAAAGTGGGCTCCTTCTGCTGGATTGTTCTTTTTATGATTTCTGTCTCGAGATTGGGGCCGAGAGTGAAACATTGGTGGCCAGCTACCTGGCTGCATTTGCACCGAGCTTTCAGTTATGGCATCTTGGCTGTCTGAATGGGTCCCACGAGCATCAACATGATCGGCAGCTGTCGTGCCATCAATTCTGAAAAGACCTAATTGCTCCTTTTGTTGTGATCTGGTAATATAAATGATCTCTTTGTTGTGATCGCCTCTCTCGATTTTTTGAACATCTGGAACTACCTCGCAGGGTGCACAGTCGTTAGTCGCCTCATTGGTTTCAACTGGCTCTTTAATGGAATTTGGATCGACGTTTGAATGAGAAGTTTCATCAGAGAGAGAAAAATTTCCAACTCCTCGTAACGGCTCAGTCGAAGGAGTGAAGCTTTGTTTGAGCGAGCCACCAGTTGGCGACCGCAAATTCAAATTGTCTTGACCTTCTGCTACCGTCTTAACATGCAGTGTGGTATCCTCATCCCTTGATAATTCAGTCATTGATTGGGCTTTGTTTGAAGCGGCGTCGAAGAATGGAAGATCGAGAACCGTGTTTGACTGTTGAGGATGATTTCCACGTTGATTATGATCAGGATATAATACCGGTGTGTCATGTTGCGAAAAATTAGTCCTATTTTTTGCCACTTCTGGGAATGGTTGCTTTATCCGCCTGCTGTAAGTATCTGGATTAGCTAGAGCTATATCAAGATGGACTGCGGGGAAGATTACATGCTGCTAGATCCGCTTCTCTGAGGCCCTCGTGAACTTCGAGATATTCTATCTGGTATGGCGATGTCTTGCGGATCTCGAGATATTCTGCAGTTCATTCTCGCAAGTGATTGTTCTAATAACGCAACGGATGGGGAGTTGCGAGTGTCTTCGGCTGGCAAGACCACAAAGGGATGGTTTGGCAGAAACTTTTTAGGAGCAATATCTTGACTGTGGTATTCCATAGCTATTCTTCCAGTTGCAATAGATTCTTCCTGGTAAGTAGGAGCTTGGTACGACTCATCTCGGGTTTCATTGACAGTAGCTTGTGAATCTTGTGGGGAATGGGAAAGAACCCGTAGACGGTGATTATCTCCAGGCACTGATGCCCCCAGAGATATCAGAGGCTGGTAACTATCGGAAGTCTCGTTGTGGTTCTTATTGCCCGCAGACCTCGAGGGCAAGGAGGGATTATCCTTAAGCTGTGCAGCTAGATGACAGATATCAGTACTGTTATATATGCGGACCCATTATACTTACTCCTTGACATTGATTCAATGGCCGGTGGTGGCTTGGGTATATCCGAAGTCTTTGGATCGGTCTTGGAACTAGTCGTCTTACCCGGATACGATGCGCTACCGATTCTGGCATATTTGAAGCTGGAGCCGATATCCTCAACTATGTCCTTGGGGCGACTGAAAGGCTGGATAAATGGAGAGCTCGTAGCTGGTGCTATAATAGAGACATTTGTGTTGACATTCTGGAGGAGTTTCTCAGAAGCTGGAGAGAGTAGGCCGACGGGCGTTGAAGTGCCACTTGCTTGCGTTCCAAACTGGATATCAACATCTCGAGTATCAGTAACACGAGATACGAGGTTCTCCTGTTCGCGCCCAGGCCGTTGGGTATCAGGACTATGGCACATAACGCTTTCAGACCCGTTGACCTCGAATTGGATATCAATCACAGGAGACCCAGTGCTACCCAGGTCGGTATCTCTCTTCTGAGAGCCACTACTAGGGTATGGTATGTCTTCATTGTGACCACCTTGTTCCGGACCGTGATTGGATCGTACTTCGGGCTCCATGTGCGGATGGGCTGGCGGATTTCCAGGTACGAAATCGACTTGTTGCCATCCTGCCTGTATGTTTTGGCTCTCGTGCTGTTCGGGAGGAGTCATGTTGGATCGGACAATGGCTAGATTTTGTCAGATATCTTCTCAATAGAATCGGCAGACTTAACAAACCTCCTCTGCTCGATGGTTTGGTGTGTAAGTGCTGAAAACAAGCCGGTTTAGCAGTGAAGTAACGAGAAAGCTGTTCTTAACAGTCCGGAGAGGAAGATGAAACCGAAAAAGGTCTTGTTGATCAACATCAGGGGTTGGAAGATTGAGTGAAGTCTGGAAGTGCAAAGATAGGAGAGAGGATGCCACAATAACATGCGAACGGCTTGGCTTTGAAAACTACACACCGAGAAGGCGGCAAAGCCTTTGAGTTATGGATTGATCATAATTCTTTAATGGCAGCCTGATGATTGGATGATGGCATTGCCATGGAGCTGATGGAGGAAGAAGAGAAGATTGCAGCTCGGTAATTTCTGGGAACTGGACCTCCATCAGTACCTACCTAGGTACCTTACCATACCTTAATGGACAGCCTACCAGAATGCCTATTAACATGTGCATTTAATGGATTATTCTATAATTATCCAAGTAGTACATTTTTTTGACCTGTGTTGACGATATAGACTTGGATTTCCCTGCCGTTTGAGAGCTGAAGTACCAATCACGTGCGCCAGTTTATATCTGTCACGTGTCGTACGTTCTCCAAACTGCAGTACTTAAATGCTATATCAACCCACGAGCTGTCGAAATACTTCATACTACAGATCGAAGGAGATCAATAAAATTTGAATACCGAAATAATACTTTTGAAGGAATACAGAAGTGCTCAAGGAAAGCAACCAAACTCCCGATATTGACGGTAACGATTCTCATTCAGACCTTTTACCTAGTCATCCTCATAGGTACAATTTACAACTTCCTGTCTTGACTTGCTAAATGCATCAGCACGGTAGGTAATTCAAGTGAAGTATGACTGGCGACAGCGCGATAGGAGATCCACTGAAGTCTGAAATATGTAGCTGATAGTCGAGTCTTGCATGACCTTTCAATATATAGCTCAACTTGAAGCAGCCTGAAGATTATGACCCACCATACAGCATGGTACCTCCTTTCGTGCTTCGAAAGTCGATTTTGGGACGGTAGCTTAATCTGATTTCTACCGCTGGGTAAATCCTCCTCCGTCCCAAGAATTGCTGCCATCGCCCACAGAATAGTCTACTAGACGCGCTGTGCTGGCAATGATTTCCCATGAGAATACTTCCGGTTGATGACACAACTTGTCCATGTTACAATGTCCATGCTTCCACTACCATATACCGCGGGCGCGTATCCACATTATGCCTTCTTCGTAGATTATCACTCGAAACTGCATCTACCCGCGTCAATCAGCCGTGTCAAACACCACAAGTGCCAGAGTCTTGGGCCTCTGCTGCTTCGGAGACTTCTCTTTAAATGAGTGTTTGATTCCGGCAAAAGTCGCTGTACTACTGGTGGACTGATTAACGTGAAGTTGAGGTTGAGTTATCTTTGTCGTTAAGCTCATTCGGCAAATGGACCCTGGAAACCTGGGGAGCAAGGATGTGATTGGCTCCTCGAAATGGATGCCTTAGCCGCCGAACATCAGCTCTGGGGTTCTTCACCAATCACTCCTCTTGAATAGTGCTACTTGCAGTGTTGAAGACGCTCATGTCAGTTTCATGATACTTGGACCTTAAGATAGTCTTGACTACAAGTCCAATAGAAGGCCGTGGTGCAACCGCTGCCACTTCCATAAATGTATTGTGCTTTTCCACATATGACTTGTCAAGTCGCATCGCCCGTCACATTTTCACCATCCACTCACTATATGTTTTTCTTCGAATAGCACCATCACAGTCACATTTTCACTCAGCGCCTCGGGGTTCATCAAGATTTTCTCTTTCGGTTGCAGCGAAGCCTTTCTAATATGAGGAGCATGGTTCTCCTCAGCTGCGCGCTGAATTTCCTGTCTCTTGAAGCTATTGCACAAAATATCATCACTCCTTCTCCGCCATCTGCAACAACCTCATTTGTCTCCCTGACTCCAGCTATGGCTTCAAGCTCCGTCGCCTCATATTTCTCAGCCATCGCAACTTCGGCGCCATTGCAACCAGGCAGTGGCCCATTAGCAGGAGATGTGGCCTCCTCAGCTGGGAGTGCTGCCGCAGATTCGGATGCTGGCGCATCCGGGGACTCTCCTGGATCCTTTGAAATATCAAGGGGTGGGATTATTGCCATAGCCGTATGTGTATCGTTCGTGGCGGTTTTCGGAAGTAAGTCAAGAAAAATGCTCCATGCCCAAAATATTTGTTAATCTTCCAACAGTTGCATCATCTGTACTCTTCTACCTCGCGAAGAAACGATCATGGGAACTGCGAAAGACTCTTCGAAGATCGGCAAAAAGAGTCGCTACTGCTTTGACACCTCGACGGTCAACATTTCCCAGAGACGTACAGCAAAGGAGACCTGCCAGGTCAGGTATGGCAAGGATTGATGAAGTACCACCTACGCCCAGGCGAACCAGCGATTTAGAAAAAGGAAATTCGAACTTTTCGGCGTTCGAATTGGAAGAACCACCTAAGGCAAAAAAGTGGGCGAAGAAGCTTGGTAGATGAGTGTTGCTGGACAGGACTCTGATGATGAAGTGTTTTATGTATATCCAGCTCCGTCATGTAACAGGCATTTTTTGATGGAAAGGACTGGTGTCTGGAGAATGGCGACGCTTTGATATTGGGGTATATTTGTTGATAATTGAGCTGCTTATAACCTTCTGAAAACGTTTCCACTTGCACTTCGCCTACCATCGTCTCGTCGGCCTTTCCTCGATACGTCGGGTTTTTCTTTCTCTTTCTTGCCAGCACTCGGCGCGAAGGTGATTTGCCGCTCTCCTACCACCTCTCCCTTGTTCTTACTGACACGACCAGCACCTTGTATGCGCGACCCAAGAGGTTTATCTTGTCGCTGATGGCCCGATTTTTTGTAGGATGACGACGATATGCGCATCTCCGGTTTTGGCTTCGGTTTTGAGACAACCTCATCCTCGCTATCACTCGCATCGCTATCGCTATTGGCCGCCTTTGAGACGCCAGCCACATCATCAACTTTGGTACTAGGGTTGAGGGCTTGAAACTCTCTACTGGTTTCGTCGACCTGGAATTCCTCGTCCTCAAATAGCTTGCTGAATCGAGCATCTCCCAAAACACCTTGATCCTCGTCAACCTTCTGTCTTCGTTCTTGTTTCTTGAGAATCTTGTCGACCAGGTTTTGATTGACTTTGACCTTCTTCCCTCCTCTAACTCTAGACGCACGCTCCTTCTCCACCTTTTCTTTGATTCTCCTGGTTCTTTCTTCCTCCCATATGTAAGGATTTGCAATGAGTCTGGCCTCTTCATACAGTTTTGAGGCAACGAAGTACCCATGCATGTATGGTCTCAAGAGGCTTGTAGTCCCCACAAGATGGGCAAGATTCAGCTGTTTCAATTCCGGCAGGGTCAAGAACTTATAATTATCGTATGTCCCAGATGGTGCTTCTTCGGCCATTTCTTCAACCATGTTGTCCAAGAATGAGCACCATCTTGGCGCTGGACCTAATTGTGGAATGAGGAAGGCATGTTGCTGTTTCCCCTCGTTTGCTGTCAGGAGCATGCCACTATTTCGGCACCAAGCCACATGGTTGATATCCACTGCCGGTTCAACTGATGTCCATGCTTTGCCGTCCGCCTCGTCCCACAGCTTAATAATTCGTTTGTCCGCTGATAAAATCTTTTTCTCTTGAGAAGATGTGGTTAGGTGTATTAACGTCTTGATCGGGAAACCATAGCCTTGGTCTTTTTCCAGAATAGGTACCGGTCGTCGAAGATCAAAAATTCGGATCAATCCCTCTGAGGACCCAGTGACAAGCGACAATCCCGATCTATCAAAATCAAGGGCAGTGACTTCTCCCCCTTGCCCGGAAAGGATACCCACTCGCGACTTTGATCTAGGATCCCAGAACTCCACGGTTCCTATGGACGTTCCAAAGGCCAGAAGGTTATGGCTATCCTCCGCGATAGCTGCCGTATTCACACTTCCTGTGTTTATCCCTCCTTGTAGTGCTCCACCTCCTACCGTAGTCATGTCATCCCCACCCACATCTATTTGATATGGCTTCATGTATCTCCCAATCTCCAAGTTCAGTCGGTAGACTTCGCCGTTTCCATCTCCATTAACACCAACTGCAGGGACCAAAGCTTCAGCGGAGTGCTTGTCGTAGATTAGATCTCGGCCATAACGTGGAATACGTGTCTGGTAGTGGCAGCCTCCAGGAGTATGGAATTCTAGTCTTCGGTCGGTCTGCAGGTGGAGGGACTTCGAGTAGTCAGAGGACAAGAGGACGAAAGAGTGATTGAGGGATGTCGTATGCCGCGCGAAAGAAAGGGAGAGATGAGGTAGATAATGGGTGTGAATTTGGGGTTTGTATGTCCCCGTACTCATGACCCAATCCCCATCATCGCTCACCCTGATACAGTTGCTGGCTTCCTCGAATTCGAAATCCTGGAGGAGCTCAACTCGGTTTGCGTATTCGGGATCATTTTTCAAGCTGCGCTTCCGTTTGCGAGCGAGCCAGTCAGGGAGCGGCCTGGCCGTAGAAGCGCCAGAGATTGTATATACGGACACATCATTAGGATTGGTGAGTTTCATGGCGGAAGTTGTGATTTACTTCGCTGTCGCCAGACTGATTTGTGTTTTTCTTTTATCGGCGATAGAAATTTATTTTCCCCAGGACGAGGCAGAGCTAAACTATACCAATCCTTGACTAGCGGCGGGTAGAACCGAGTTTGAAATCGCTGACATTCACCAGGGATATCGATCGGCGCATTTGCATTGTCAACACCGTTTTTGGGCAGCGGCAATCGCAGGGCAACACACCACGACCGATCCCTGCGACACGATATCTGTGATCTTGCTTGCTTGCGCGTCATGCCGTATCTTGTGCGCACTTCCATATAACATTGTTCCTTCTTTACTGTGTCCAACAAACTCTGTATTGCCCGCACAAGTCTCCTGCTGAGATGGAGCCCGGTGAGCCCTACTCACGATACGCGATTCAACGGACGGACAGATACATCATATATACCAGCGGCTGTTTTAGTAGGCCTTTGAGTGCCTCAAGGTGACCCAGGTTGTCCGTGTGGTCGAATTTCGGCGATTTCCAAGTCTTAGGGAAGGTCTTAGAACCACGCTGGGAAGACATCAATGATTTACTCCCCGCGACATGGAGCCCGGGGAATATCAAACGAATGTCTTATCTTCCGTTAGTCTCTTGGCCCCTATTAATATCAAATATTTGGCTGGCTAACCTCTGGGTGTAGAACTCCTATGGATCCATACAATATGAATATCTCGAACCCCTAAACATCTCTCCGGCTGAGACCTGGAAACACCTCCAAACTCTCGAGGCTACATGGAGACGGGATGGCTTGCTGGTTCTTTGCGATCCTATCAGAGATGGAATATGGGTTTTCCAAAATGGCACGAATCATGCGCCGTCCTCACAAGAATCTGGCGTCGCAGAAACCTCCAACGTCGTTGATGTCCGCGGCACAGATCTCGTTTTGAGAGATAGAGGAACCTATGAGCCGGCTAGTCTAGCAAAAGGCAAAATTCTAAGCGCGACCGGCCTCAGCGTCAGTTCATCACCATCTTCACTCGAGAACGCAGCTCGAAACGTGCAGAGCTTCAACTCGAGAGCCGTACAGGCCAATTCGAGCCATAATATAATGAACGAGCCGCTCACGCCATCCCCTGGGCTTAAACCAACAACTGGGGTCGGAGAAAGCTTGCCGTCTCTGAAAGATATTCACGAGTGTTTTATATCTGCGGTGCTTGGCTCTGTCGTCTACTTTCTTTGTCGCGATCACGGATTCGTTCCCCTTAATTCGCGGACTCTGATTTTGGAAACTCCGAAGCTCTCATTTTCTCATTGCTCTGGAAGTGATATATCGACGGGAGCTAATGTAATCACCCTCGCAACGCTTGATATTAGTCTGACTTCTCTGGGTACTCTCGTGGTCAAGGCTTATTCTGATACTGCGCCTGGACTTCAGAGACTTGTGAATATTTCAAGCTCGGCACACCCTTCTCCAGAGATACCGTCAGGAACAGCTTTGTGGCTGGCTCCTGGTGGAAACGCTGCAAAGTTTTATGGAGTTCAAGACGAGCAGAAACTGCCTGGAAATCTACCAATCTCTCAGATCCAGGCAAATTATGTTGGCCGCAGACAGCACGGATTTAATGGAGCCACGATCCAGTCCTGGCAGTCCAAATGCTTGGAGTGGCTGGCAGCTAAGGGCTTAAATTCTGCAGCTCTGGAAGACGGCGGCTGGGTTTTTGTGCAAGTCCTTACGGGCAATTCGCCCTACCTTAATCCCGATTCAGAAGGAAATCCGATGCTCGAGGGCCTAACAATCATTCCTTGGCCGGCACTCTTATGTTTTCAGATGTCCAGTACTGGAAATCGAGAATCGCAATCTATTGCGGCCAAAATCACCGAGCGTGATCCGCTGTCGTTTGCAGAAGAATGGTTCATGAGCAACGACAACAGAGCAAGCATAACAGCCAAGCGCCAGAAAGAGAGGCAGCTTGCTGAAGCGAGGTCCAAAGAGCAAGCTGATGTCGATGCTCGTAATCTGCACTCGATCACACAATCACCAACTACCTTACGGAGAGGCAGCAATGCAGGGGCTATGTATCCCACACCACCTGATGCCGTGCACCACCCAGTAGGTGCTACACCATCATTTGACGGCGGAGTCTCAACGCCTGGGAACCAAACCCAATTATTCAACCAAGATGTTGACGCCCCAACGCATGATACGATTTCCGCGGATATTTGGGGCTCGTCTGGCAAGAAGGAGCGTATGACAAGAAATTTTCATGAAAACGATAATGATAACGATGTTCTATTCAGGGATTCGGGGGATTTGTTTGGAGATATCACCGATGCTGACTTCAACTTTTTTGATGAACCTAATGTTATTATGCAAGATGACCAGGAGACGGGTTCGCCTGGAGATCCTGTTCTAAGTACTCAGGAAACCAGCAATGCGCTCGAAATGCCGAGACTGGACCCTACAAATGAAATTTCACTCGAAGTGTTTCGGCCCTCGGGGGACTCTAATAATGCAAGCGATCCTGAACAGCGACCAACAGAACTGAGCAAACCCGATCCATCAGATCTAGAAAATGCTATAGTTGAAAAGGCCCCTGAAACTGTCGAGGATGCTCCACAGCCCACCTCCAGTCCTCCATTCAACAAGGAAGCTGTGTTTCGGCGACTTTTCCAAGCGTCGCCCTTGGAAAAACGCTCTGATCAGCCCAGAAAGCTTAGCAGTTTTACCAAAATTGAATTTGAGAGTTCATTAACATCAGTCGATGAGAAGTATGGTACGCATGGCCGCTTCCGCTTTTCCGATGAAGGGAAAGGGCTACAGCGCGTAGGATCTCCTACTCTGCCCAAGACCGAATACCTAAGCCGACGGCGAAAACCAACAAAAAAAGAGCCCGATTTCAGCGGCTTGGCCCGGATTTTTCAACGGAAAGAAAGCGAGATTGTTGATCCCGTAGTGGATGATGACCAATCCATGCTCTATCCAATGGATATCGATCATGCAAGCATAGTGTCTGAACAAGACGACACCAGTCACACCACAGACGACCTATCTCAGGCGCTCAAACCAGGTGTGAAAAGGAAATGGGCTATGGATGACGAAGGCGGAGATGATATGAGCTCTTCATTCGGTGCTCTGGCTTTGGAGTATGCGCAATCTGCCGGTACCCCTCTGTCCATAACTGGCTCTCAACTGCCTCTTCTCGAGGGAGATCCCGCCGATTGGTCTTTAACGACCTATTTTACTTCCCCAGAACCGGATGTGCAACCTATTGCACTGACAGATCTCGAGTGTATTGCTACAGCTCAGATCCTTGCGGATCAAGCAGTATCAGGTACCATCAAATTACCTGGTTCCCGCAGTGGAGGAAACGACGTGCATTCTAATTCTCACAAAGTCTCTAATACAAGGGAGTTAATGCATAGTCTTACAAGAGCTGCCAGATCGTGCTTCAAGAACATCACAAACTGCACCATGCGTTCATATTTAGAAATACAAGGTATCCCTGCGCTGAGTCAAGGCCTTCGATTACCTCCACGACCAGTTCCAAACCCCAGAGGTGGAATTTCAGACCCTACGAGAGCGCACAACCCCTTTCCAATAAATCCCCCACAGCTCGAGGTGCGGAGAGCCGACTCGAAGCTCTCGGTTCTGCCGTCTGCAGTTAGCTTTTGGGAGAACTTGAGCTTAAGTCCGTCTAGTGGAAGCAAAGATGTCAATGCAGTCTGTGTCTATCCAAATCTCGATGGCATAGCTGGAAATGCAAGCATTTTTCTCGATCAAATGCGAAGTGCGTACGAATCTGCAAGGCTAGGTGGTCATGACAGAGTCGTCTGCAAAGAACTTGCCAGCGGCCTGGTCCCCTTCAATGTCGATCTTTCACAGCAGACAAGCAAGATGCACCATTTGGCTGCACTCAAAGAGACGACAGCTCGATTGAGCAAAATTCTCGCCTCTTTGACAGTAGGGGAGAAGAACTTTGTGGTATATTTCATATACCCAATCAATAATCCCTCCCTTTTAGTTCATATCTGTTCCGCTTTCCAGCATCTTTTCAATCTATATAGAAAAGCGCTATCTGATCGAAAGATCAATGCCGCCAATGAGCTAGTATTACAGCTAGTTCCTCTGGATTTTATCGCTTCCCCAACCTCAATTGTGGTTCCATCACCATCTGAATACGCACGACTTGCAATGGAAGTGTACGATCGATGCATAGATTTCAGTTCGTTCTCGTCAACTCCAGCTATCCTGTTAGAACAGCCGCTCCCGAAGAACATCGATTTCAAATTGAATGCGAATCCATCAGCATCCTTGCTTCAAGAGAATTCTTGTCTCCATATTGCATACGCACAGAGCATTGATGACCGCTGGATTACAGCTGCATGGACAGATAATAGGGGTACACAGCAAATGACAGCATCCTACTGTCTTGGACGAAAGAACGAGCCAATCTCGATGCCTTTCTCTGGTGTTGCCAATGAGATCTGGGAAACGACGCTGGATATTATATCCAGCAAGAAAATCCATTGGCGGGTCATGATTACCAGAGTCGGAGTCATGGACCGGTCCGAAATTGAGTTCTGGACTGGTCTTGCTTCAACAGAATCAGATGCGCAAATCAATTTGACACTTATAACGGTGCAAACGGACCCTTCATTGAGACTCTTACCGGCTCCTGTTACCCTTTCGCCGATTTCAAATGCTGCACCAGCAGTAGTCACCCCAGTATCAACACCTCAAGCTTCTCAAGCCTCTATTGTATCCCCCGAGGCGGTCAGTACGCCAGCTCGAGATCCTGCCAACGCGGCCACACCTGTTGAACCTCCCGTTGAGCCTGATAGCGATGCCCGGCTTATAGACTACACAGACCAGAGTTGGGGAGCGGTACTTGCCCATCGACTGAACAACTCAAACTCCCTTCTAGAGCTCAATCCAGCACTGATAAGCGGATACCTGCTCAAACGTGGGGGAATAAACAGCGATGACCCGCCCATCATTCTAGAGGTTAACATTGTACATAGTGAGGTGGTAGGTAATCCTAGGACCTTCCATGAGAATCTTCTGAGGGAGGTTCTTGGATACTTTAGGAATTTAGGGACTTTGGCTAGGGTCAGGGGCGTCGTGGATCCTGTTAAAGATATCAGGCCCTGGCATGTTGCTGCCGTTGAGAAGGCAGCGAAGGCTCTGTATATGTTGATGTAACGAGACTGGGGCCTCCTGACGGATTTGCCGGGCCTTTTGGGTTTGGATAATGATAGGAATGAATATTAGGTATAATTGTTATAATTGTAGAATCACGAACATTGTATAGTGAAGTTGTTTGTACCTGACTGATAAAAGCCGGATTATAATCCTGACCAATCAGCTCCCGGCTAGATAGAACTTTGCGGGGCTTAGAGGGGTAACAAAATTTCAATCAACTCTCCAGCTCTTGCACGTGGGTTTGCGTTACTCCGTGCTCACCCTCAACACCACACCTCAAGTCCAGGAAGGCCGGATTCTTGCGGACTCTGGTTCAGGATCTCCTGGGACTCACAACTGCTATCTGCGACCCAAACAGCACCATGGCCGACCTCCCGACCACCTTTGACGGTAAGCCAGCAGTCCACCCCGCGGTAACAGCAGTCAGTCACTGATCTCCAATTCCAGAACCCGTCCATATTGCCGTGATTGGCGGTACCGGTCTCCAAAACCTCGCAGGATATGTCCCCGTCGCCCTCCTGAACCCTAAGACGCCCTGGGGCTATCCCTCCGCGCCAATCAACATCCTAAAGCACAACGGTGTCCCCATTGCCTTCTTGTCCCGGCACGGCAAGCACCACGAGATCGCACCGCATGAAGTGCCTTCGAGGGCGAATATCGCGGCGCTGAGACATATCGGCGTGAGGACTATAATTGCGTTCAGTGCAGTGGGGAGTTTGCAGGAGGAGATCAAGCCGAGGGATTTCGTGGTCCCGGATCAGATTATTGATCGTACAAAGGGTAGGTCGATATCTGTAAGGGAAAGTTCGGGGGAGGGGTCGCGCGGGCTCATAATATGGGGTGGAGATGGATAGGTTGCTAATAGGTATATTTCACAGGTATAAGGCCATTTACCTTCTTTGAGAAGGGAGTGGTCGGGCATGTAGGGTTTGCGGATCCATTCGACGAGAAGATCGCGAAGGTTGTAAGAGAGTGTGGTCACGCTCTTGCAGGAGATGGAGTCGTTTTGCATGATAAAGGAACTGTCGTCTGTATGGGTTCGTCCCCCCTTGCAATCCCTCTCTCCTTACCTACCTATCTAACAAGTATGCAGAGGGACCCCAATTCTCCACACGCGCCGAGTCAAATCTCTACCGTTCCTGGGGCGGCTCCGTTATTAACATGTCTGCGCTTCCCGAAGCCAAACTCGCTCGAGAAGCAGAGATGGTCTATCAAATGATCTGCATGGCTACCGATTACGACTGCTGGCACTCCAGTGCTGAAGATGTCGATGTCGAGATGGTGATGGGTCACATGAATGCTAACTCTGCCAATGCAAAGTCGCTGGTTGGAGCAGTGCTTGATAAATTGAGCAAGGAGGAGCATAGCGATATGGTTATGGGGAAGCATTGGGAGGGCATGAGTTCAGGCATGATCAAGTTTATGACGAAGAAGGAAGGGAGAGGGGCAGAGGGCGTAAAGAATGTGGAGTATTTGTTTCCGGGCGTCTTTGACTAGGAGATATGGTGAAGAAAAAAATAACCTTACGACTGATGAGATGAGGATGTGTAGAAGATACTCCAGCGGAGCATCAACTGCTTTGGCTAGCGTTATACAAAGACAATTAGAATAACGATCATGATTGATGTTCTGGAGAGATTGAGAAGAGAGAATGTCTAATTGCTTGCTCTAATCATGCTATCGATACTCATACACTCGTAAAATCCTTCGGCCGTGTTCGTCTCATCATACCATGCCTACCCTCAATCCATGAGGGGGTGTCGTTCCCTTATACAGAACGTATACAATACTAATACAAAATACAATGCACATCGGTCTTCATGAGAATGAAGACCGCAGTGCTCATAGCATATTCAGACAATCCGAAACCAGGTAGTTGCGCGCTCAAAAAACGTAATCAATGGCCACTGCCAAGCAACAACTTCCTATTCTTTTTCAGAAGAGCGTTAAGCTTCTTCTCCAATGCCTCCGTTTCCTTTCTGGCAAGCTGCATCGCGGTTTCCGCCTCGCTCAGACTCAGCATTGTAACATTACCCAACGGCTGTCCGCGATCAATATCCTTCCCGATCGCAAAATGCGCTGTCATACCTTCCAGGCCTGTCGCTAGGATACCCTCGTTGTTGTAACCCGCAGCTACGCCGTATAGACCGTCGATATTCTCGGAACGAGGAGGCAGGACTTCGTTGCCCCATGGCGCCCATGCAGATGGCTCGGTGTTAAGCGCGTTAGCATTCAACGCCTTTTCCAACTGCGAGTTCGTGGATAGTGAGGGAAGCACGTATTGGTTGATGTAGCTAAGTGCTTCGTCGCGTTGAATCTTGCTCACTGGGTCCATAGGCGTAGTAGTGCTGTTTGATTGAGGAAAGAAAGAAGGCGGGCCATTTGGCACAGCGCGACCTCCAATCAATGAGAAACCGTTATTTGCATGGTGCTTCGCAGAGAAGAAAGCAGTGGGTCCAGCTTCTTGTGCAATACGAGACTGCAATTCAAGATACCGCTCTTCCTCCTCGGGAGTAAGGTTTCGAACGCAGTCTCCGTTAGGGGTAAGCATAATACGATTCGGGCCATCCACATTCTTGTGGACTGGCCGGCCTGAAAGTAAGGTAGCTCGGTCTTCTGGTGTGATCGTCAACTTTGGAATGGCATTTTGCAAGTCCGTTTGGATCTCTTGGTGACGAGAATTCACACTGGGCGCTTTTAGGAAATAAAGATTAGCTATGTCCGTAATAAGGCCTGCAGAAATGAGGTCCTGGAGGACTGAGGCTGGGGTTGGGATGGGTTTCTCTGCCACTTCAGCTTTGGTAGCAGCAGGGACAGGCTCTGGTTCTGCCGGTTGATGTGCTTTAGCCTTTCCTTCACCCTTCGAATCCGATGTTTTATTTGCTGATTTGCTTTCAACTGGAGTAGGTTTCTCTTGAGTCTGGGAAGACCGTTCTGCAACCTCTGCGGTCGGGTTGCTCGGCCCGGTGCCGGGTTCTGACACTAGACGGGGAGATGGCGGTCTGCTAGCTGCTGGAGTCGATCCTCCAGCAGTACCACTGGTGGTCTTCTCTTTCTTTTGCTTCTTCTTGCGCCCTTGTATTGGTGCTATTTCAGCCTCGGGTTGGGGCTCAACTGGCACTGTGACTAATTCCCTTTCCTTTGCCTTCTGAGCCCGCTGCTTCTTCTGCATGCTTTTTGTCGTCGTTCTTACAGGCGCAGAACCTATCTTCGATGGCGGTGGAGAGTTGGCTCTTGACATCGAAGCCGACGTAGTTGAAGCATTGTCAGTTATTTCACTCGTGGGGGTACCAGGACGTTCGTGTCTTGATATTGATGCAAGACTTGGCTGGCGCGACGGGGGAAATGGAGGTGCATGTACCGATGTTGCAGAAGACGGGCCGCTTCCGGCAGTTAGTGTCTCCGATCTTGGTGTAGAAGCAACTCTCAATATTTTTGCGCTCCGTGTCATGGGAGACTGAACGGGGGCAGTTGGTGTCGTGCTGGCTGACAATGGAGGAAATGCGGATGAAGAAACGGCGAGTTTGGCCGGTGTTTCCGGCAAAACAGGCGCCGACTTTGCGGGAACTGAAATATTTGTGAGACCTGGGGGAGGACGCTTCTCGCTCGGTTTAATGGCTGGCTGAGGCACCGGGGCGCTGGTGGACCTGGTGGATGTGGCGGTTGATGTCTTATTTATTGCCAAGGGCGCCGCGACTTTCATCGGACTTGCAGTCTTGGCCGAGTCAGGCTGCGATGCAGGCCTCACCTTGCTGCTTTCCAGAGCGGGAAAGTCTTCGGGCTGGAGAGCGGGCGGAGCTGGAGAAGTGACAGAAGACTGTGAAGAAATTGACTTCGCAAGACCGGCGGCCGCAGCAGATGACTTTACATCTTGCTTTGCTTGTGACGCAGTCTTCTCGTGGCCCTGGGAGCTCGTAGTAGCTTGGCTCGGAGAAGGAATGAACACATTTGCAAGGGGCGTAGCAACCCTTGGGGCGTGTGGAGGAACGCGAGTTGGAGTGAAAGTGGCCGAAGTTGGATCAGCTCGTAACTGCTGCTTCAGGACAGCATCACCACCAGACGCAGGCGCCGGATGGGCGTGTGGAAGCGGAGAAAAGCCAGGAGGAACAGATGGAGTCGAAGTTCGAGTTGGAAATTCGATGTTATCGGCGACGAGCGCATCGACGGATGCCGCGTCAAGTGATGGGAGGTCATGGTCATCTGATCGAAGACAATGGGTCAGCATTCAGTGACAATTAAGATGGGAAACAGTAAGCAACTTCCACTCCAGAACATCCATAGGCCGGCTTGACTACAGGGCAACTTCATGTCACAAATCCATCATCGTCTTCGAGCTAAAAAGGAGGCTACTGGTGGCACAAAATATGTAAGAATGCTATATTTGACCAGCCATTCTGGCATAGGGTCGGGGACGTTAACGTACATGAAGGTTGGTGGGGACGAAGACGATGATGGATCTCCCGACGTAACTTTGTTGCCAAGTCTGCCAAAGCCTTGATGTTCTCGAAATGAAGTCAAGTAAAAGGAAAAAAGCAATGCCATAAAAAGTCCCTCGTTTTTCCAAACGCCAGGGCATCCGAAGCTTCCATCTTGGAGCTCTACCATGCTCGCTAAAACAGATGCGTGACCGAGCATAAATGCAAATGCCCTTAAAAGGGTCGTCAACGCCGCCCACCCGCAAATGAAATGCAGTATCTACAAGATCCCGCCAACAAAGACGCCTATAATCCATGCCGTATCTACCATCGGCCAAATCCCGCGCCATACATCATGCTCGGATTGTACCCACCTGGAGCCTGTCCGCCAAACAGTCCCTGCCCGACTCCGGCATTGCTCTGTTGCTGGTGCTGCATTCTCGACTGCAAGATACTCGGGTCCGCAAGATCGACTAAGCCACCTCCCCCAGAGGAGGAAGTGTTAGCATGTCTGTGCTTCTTTCCCTTCTTCTTCTGCTTTTGACCGAAGTCATGGAATGCTCCAGTCTGAGGACCATAGAGCGATGCCTGAAGGCCAGAAGCAGGAGCTGGAGTGGAGGAGGCAGATGGGTACTGCTGAAGAAAAGAAGGAAACATGTACTCACGCTTGCTATCATGAACTTGGCTACCACCAGCCGCACCACGAACCCGAAGCATATTAAGCATATCGTTGGTATTTTCCTTGCCCGCGCCAAAAAGAGAGTTGCCACCCATCGAACCACCAAACGAGTGACCTTGACCGTAAATCGGAGGTGTACCAGAGGATTTCAGACCCGGTGGAGGACCTTGCATGGACGAACCATAGAACTGGCTTCCTTGAGCGTGATTCGCAGATGGCATCATAGAGGACTGTTGTGCCAGGAATTTGGGATTCGCTGAAGGTTTAACAGAAGCCGCTGAAGTACCGTTTGCAAAGTCAAATCGTGAAGATTGTCTGTTGTGACCTTGCTGCGGGAACAGCGCAGATCCTTGGCTGTGAGTGTTCCCAATTCCAGGGGGATATTGATCCATAAACCCAGTCTGCGGCTGGCCCGATTTGAGTATCAGCAGCTGATGCTGTTGTTGTGGTGTCAGGGTTCGTCCGTTGATAGAGGTCAGATTGCTGAGATTCTGGGCGTTGTAATTCTGTCCGATGCTTGGTGCAAATGGCCCGCTGTTAGAGGAACGCTGAATCGGCAGCTGCGTACTCGGTCGTTGTTGGCTATGGAATCCATGAGGTACGCTGCTTTCACGACCACTACCATCTTCTGGCTCTCCACCAAGCTGTAAACTACCACTCATGCAAGTTTCGGGCTCCTCCTCCTCCGCGGGTTCTGTGACTGATCTCAGATCCGCCTGGGATTCCTGTTCAATGTGAAGTCTCGCCTCCTCCTGTTGCTCACGAAGAGCTCTTCGTTTCTCGCCACCTTGGTTGTCGAAGAGGGGTGGGAAGGAGTCCAATTCCGGTGCTTCGTGCGTCATATCCAATGGGAAAGATAATGATGGTGAATTGATAGACTTCAACAAGTCCATTAGAACCGGATCCCGATCCGGCCGTGGTACGTCGGTAGAGGCGGATACTTCGACGGCAGGGGCAGCAGGGGATTTATTCTCGGGCTCTTGCCGCTCCTCCGCGGAATCGGGAACCTCTTTCGCTGGTTCTGTCGTTGCTGGCATGGCTTGCGAAATGGCAGGACTTGGAGTTGCACCACTTGTGGCGTGGCTCCCTCTCCTGCTACGTTGTTTTGCCCAACTTGCGGAAGACGGAAGTGCAGAACCATCGCCACTGTCTGACCCATCTTTACTTCCTTCTCGAGCCATAGGTTGTGACGTAGAAGAGGCGGGTTGCGCCTGCTGAGCAGGAGCTTGAGACTGGGCTACTTGCCGAGAAGCAGCACCGGATGAGGAAGCCATGACTGGAAGGGGCCGTTGGGTGTTCACACTGTTGATCGAAGATAAGTCTTGCCTCGAGTAACTATCGTCGTTGTCGCCAGGTTCGTGAAGGAACATGCACTGTTTGTTGGTGCATACTTCGTTCCGCAAATATGCCGAGCAGTATTTCGTCGTCCCTAGTTGTGCGCGTAATATCCTGTCGCCATTTTGGGAACCATTGACCGCAGCGATGCACCGAGCAGCATCCTCCTTCCGGGCGAAGGTAACGTATACCCCAAGAGACCCGCCATTTTCGGTCGACTTCGCCTTGCTGACAACTATCTTGATGATTTTCCCATATTGGCCGAAGTATTTCTCCCCTCGGAGTGTCTGAAGTATTTCGTCCTCCCGTGTGCTTGGACTCAGGCCAACGACGTAAACAAGGTTCTTCTGAATAACTCGAAGGCCAGACAAGTGTTTTCTGTTCAGACTTTCCACCTCTCGTTTTTGTGCCTCCTTCTGCCGTTGCTCTGCTTTCTTTTTTGCTTCCTTTTGAACCTTGGCTTTGAACTGGGCAATCCTAAAAAGACAGTCAGCGCCGGAAGGGAATGATGCTTGGGAAATATCCTACTCTTCGGGTGTAACAACTTTCCACTCTATTGTCTTCTCATCATATGGTCTACGACAAGCAGGACAAAGACCATTCATATTATTTTTGATATTGTTGTAGCAAAACTGGCAGACCTAAGGCAGAGAAGGGATCATCAGAATAGGCTCAGTGATGGCTATACACCAAGTGGTAAACCTTACCTGATATCCACAAGGGCATGGTCGAAAGTTTTTATCTGAGAGATCGAACTCTTCCACGCAAAGGGGACTGGAAGACAGTTAGTAAGAGATCCGGAGGATTCAGCAGGTCGGTCCAGAGAGCCCGCAGTCGACGGTCATACATACCAGGTGTCATCCTCCTCGTCGATGAAGCTGTCTTGAGAGGCTTGCGGGGCCATCTTTCAAGGCTTTGTGATGGGAAGTTGAGATTGAGGTTGAAGTTGAGATGACGGAAGATATCGAAGGCAAAAGGCGCGTGGTAGGCCCCTGGAGGCGCGTCGGTGACGGAGACGCTGGATTAATGATCGATACTCAGGATCGCGTGGACTCAAGTATTAAGGCAAAGGGTTCCAAAGAAGGTCGTGTGGATATCGTGAGAAAAAGCAGTATCGTTGACAGTATGTGGTCGAAGATGGTTGGAAGAATGCTCTCGAGCAGCGACTTTGCCGCAAATTTGGCGTTTAACCAAGTTTAGACTAGCGCCACCTGCGATGATTAACGACGGCTGCTTTCGACTTCAGAGCTTCAACATACCGCAGTTGGGATCACGGCATTGAACCATTGCACAATCAACGATGGCCATGAGGGTTTCAAACCATCGGGCCTTTGCCTCGGCTTTGAGGTCAACTCGGATGGCTTTTGTCCGTCGCAACGAGATCAATATCCGCGCCTTCTCGTCGACTCCGAGCGCCCAAGTAGTGGTTTCTTCAGAAACGCCAAACTTGCGACATGCTTCAAGAGAGCCGGATGCCCCCGGAGGACTTCGTGCACCTCCTATTAATCCTGCCGACAAGTATGCTGCGAAGGCAGATGATCTGCATCGATACGGCTCTTGGCTGATGAGTTGCCTTCCAAAATACATCCAGCAGTTCTCAGTTTGGAAAGACGAGTTGGTCATATACATCCCTCCATCTGGCGTTATTCCCGTGTTCTCGTTTCTCAAGTGTAAGAGCCCAATTCTACTACACAGCCTATGAATAGACTTACTCATCCTCCGTAGACAATACCTCTGCCGAATTCACACAAGTGTCGGACATTACGGCTGTCGACTTCCCAACCAGGGATCAGCGATTTGAGGTTGTCTACAATCTACTGAGCGTGCGCCACAACTCTCGCATTCGAGTCAAGACATACGCCGATGAGGCCTCGCCCGTTCCCAGCATCACGAGTCTTTATGATGGAGCCAACTGGTACGAACGAGAGGTCTACGATCTCTTCGGTGTCTTTTTCGTTGGTCACCCAGATCTGCGACGTATCATGACAGATTATGGTTTTGATGGGCACCCACTGCGCAAAGACTTCCCTTTGACAGGTTACACGGAAATCCGGTACGACGAGGAAAAGAAGCGCATCGTGGTCGAGCCGTTGGAATTGACACAAGCGTTCCGAAATTTCGAGGGAGGAACAGCTGCTTGGGAGGTACGAAACCCATTCTCACTAATTAATCGTTTGAGCTAACGCCGTGCAGCAAGTTGGACAGGGTGCCGACAGAACGCCTGAGACGTTCAAGTTACCAACAGCTAAACCAGAGGAAAAGAAGGAGGAACCAAAGAAGTAGATTGACTCTATGGTTCGACTGTACATATAAGACTGTCATCTTCCCCATTGTTTTCGCTATGCCAAAGAACATAGAAGACATGACCTATGACTCTATCTGCGTTGCTGCTTGTTGTGCTATCAAGTTCTACCTGCCTCTTCTTCGAACATCACCTACAACCGTACAAACCTCCTTGGATAGATACCTATACAGGTAAAGTCTTTCATTATCAAAATCAGAATCTCAATGGCAGTGTTCTCGAATTATCATTTGCATCGTGTTCTTTTGGCCGGCAGTTTTCGCTTATCATTTCTGCCCCTTTAAATTGAACCCAGGCTGTCAATTGAATCGAGCATTCTTTTCTTTATTTTCAGTTTTTTTGGGGGGGGTGTTTTTTATATACTCATCGCTATTAGGTCTAATTAAGGTTTCTAGATTCTATAGTCACCTAACCCAGCCGGGGACCCAACCACACTTCATGGGGTCCCTCTCCCTCAAGGTTGGGCCGGGTGACAGCCAAGATCTTCGAAATGTATGGTAACGCAGTGAGTCAATTTCGTGCCTCGAAGCCTATTTCTTACTCTTTATATACGAGCATCATTTAGGCCCTAGGTGTTGACTGTCATCAGCAACTGGTGGCAGTGTGGGCATTTAAATTAATCCGGGGTATTTAACAAGCCATATCTACTTTCATGGAGAGCTTAAGATCACCAGTCGCTGTCAACGAGGCTCTTTTGGGTTGGAAGGTTGCCAGAAGGGTAAGGTCATCAAGGTGCGAGATCCGGTGACTCCTCGAACCCCCTACTGTATTGCAGACTGACAAGGTTGATATTTGTTTATCGCGGGCATTTGAATCCATGGTACACTACCAATCTTAGTATCCTCGCTACCTCTATGCTACAATTTCTCCAGGTATAAGAGAGAAAGTGTTTCCCACCTTGTCTCTTTTTTCCCTCTCCCATACATTCATCTTCTCTCTCCAATATTGCTGCCCAAGCATCACAAAGTCTTGTTACCAAGCCTCTTCAATCATCAGATTCAAGCTCTCAAACAACCATACTCCTTGCAACCGTCTACAATCATCCGATTCAAGACATCAAACAACTACACTTTTACGCACATCTTCAATTTTGAATTCAAGATGTCCTACACCATCGGCTCCGTCAAGCTGAACATGTCTCGCATTTCCGCAGACAGTACCACCTCATACGACGTTCTTCTCCTCGAAGCCGCGGAAGCCAAACTCTCCTACTTCCGCGATATTACCTCGCCAGTTGAGTTCGCGGACCTTGTCGAAGCCGAACTCCAACGATCCTGCACCCTCATCGACGTCGAACCAGAGATTACTTTCATGGATCTTGCCAGATCCCTCAGAGTGAAAATCAGCGCCCGATCTCTCAGGAAGAAGATCAGCGCCGAATCTCTTAGGAAAAAAGTCAGTGCCAGATCTCTCATGAAGAGAATTGGCAGCATTTTCTTCAGGTGATCAGCCACCTAATTCTTGGGTCGGAGAACCACTACTCGAAACCAAAAAAATAGAGAGAGAAACCAGCGTTCAAGCGAGAAGCTTATAGAAAAATTTCCATGGCACGAAATACCTTTTGGTCTGGGTGATTCCGTCATTAGCATTTTGACTCGTCGTTCGTCGAAGTTTATTTCACGTGATCGGTTCCCTGAAAAGCGAAAGTCATGGGATATCTGTTTAGTCGGAGGGAGCGCAGCGCTAGTAACCACATAGTAAGTACCTTATCCTTATACTTCAAGATGGCGCCAGAACCTAATACGTCTAAAACAGACAAAAAACCATCAAAAATATCAGTCGTAGAGATCGTGTGCTGGTCACTACATCCTACTTCGACAGTTCGACTTAGCGTCAGAATCAAATACGTTCTAAGCCAAACAACAACCACCAAAAGAACCCCCTCCTCATCGAAGGGACAGCAATTATCAAGCACATAGTAAGTGCCCCTATACCTCGACTAGGTTTCATAATCTAACACATTTGAAAGGCAAGCACAAAAAGCAACTCACAAAACAACACAAAAGGAAGCGTCGTTAGCGAACTATTCTTACATGCCCGCGGGGTAACATTGCAACATCGATCCAAACCACCACAATCCGGAATTCGACAAGACGCTGGTTCCGTCTCTGTCAGTCGGTCAAAGGGGGTGGTCGCGAATGGACGTTCAGAGCGGCTCGCAATCAGATGATCTGGAAGGAATTGTCTGTGTATACGATTCCATGTATATACGAAACGCAACTTGTAGAGGTTTTTGTGTAAAAAGTCCCTCTGCAGTTCAGGCGAATGCCGCTTGTATGATTTTGAGGGCTTGCCCTCCAATAAATCAAACCATACTTATGATAACTCTCCATACTCTTTGCAACTTTGACCAAGTAATTCAAAAGAGACACCGTGAACGGCTTTGCGCTGAAGATAAACAAACATTTGACCTAACTCTGAAATTGAACGGTAAGCTTGGTTGGTTGGGTACGCCATCTGGGTTAATGCCGGGGGGGTGCTTATATCTAGGGCCAAATTTGCGGCAGCCTGTCTAGCATCAGGAAAAGAAACTTGGATGACAGTTCTACCAAGCTTAAGCAGTTCAAAAACCGGTTCATCGACAAATGACACGATGAACCGCGTACTCCGTAGAGTTGAATACCAAGCCATAAGTCGATTGCAAGCCAACCAAAAACAAGCATCTCCAGATTTTACCTCGTGCGTGCGGCTGCTTCCCTTACGCGGGAGCTTTCCATAGCTAAGGTACCTAGTTCCTTTGAGGATGGATGCCAGTCCCGTTTAGGCTACATGCCTTCTTTCAACACCTAGTTCTTTTAACCTTCCTGTAATAATAGACAGCCACTCCTGCTCTCAAATCAAGAAATTAAGACTCTCTGAATATCCTGAATATCCGTCTAACATATTGAATAATATATATTAATCGTGCCCTTATCTCTTTCTTTTATGAGTTGCGAATATGCCTGGCTGCCAACACTGCCTTAGAGATGTAAGGACCTCTAGCGATCTCGACGCACTTTTGTATGTCTGGCTCATCTCCCCGAGCGCCTGGACGCACGTCAGGAGTGATTCCTGCGCCTTCATTCTCTCAACGCTCCTAGGGCCATAGGAACGAAGAGTGAAGACATGAATTAGTGCCGCGGTCATAGCGACATGGCCCGTCTGTATATGAGAGTTCCGTAAACCATAATAGCCTCGGAAAAGGGATAATAAGGCGCACACTTTCTGGGCGGCGTCAAAACATCTATAGAATGCATCTTTCCCACTAGAAGCCATATACTCTCCAGGCGAGCTCGAGGTCTGCGGAGACCCGGATTCGGAAAGGAATGGCCGATGTAGAAGGATGATTGCTTCCTGATACTGCAGACTGTAAGAGTCAGAATAATGCGCCTGAAGATTATTAGGCAGAGCGGCCTCTTACTGTAGTTGTATTACTGTTGGAAGGTATATCGTCTTGACCGGTTCTGACGTATCGACGTGCAACGACCTTGGAAGTGTGGCGAACCACTGCTGAAACTTCATGTCCATTTCACAGACAAAGGAATGAAGGTTATCTAAAGGAGTATGGCGTCCAGTATATCTGTTCTCGAGTCAGCAAGGAAATACTATTCGGGTATATAAGAATGTCATACAGAACTTCTGATACTTTAGCCATCATCTTGCATAACTCAAAAAGGTAAACATGCACCTCAGCACCTGCTCCAAAATCGAATCCGTCAGGAAACGCTATCGTACTATATTGATCCGAGTAGTATTCCCATTGATAGTTTCTCAAAGGGACTGGCTGCGGGAGACAATGCGAAAAGGTCCCCATTAGTGATGGACGCCCAGCACCAGAACTCCACAGCCTATGATATTATTAGTTTCTGATGCCAAGTATGAAGTACTAGAAAATATCATTAGATATAGAAGGAATCTACCTTACGTCTCAACAGTGTACGCAGAGCAGAACAGGTTCCGCCGTAACGTTACAATCTCGTCCTCTCTACCAGGAGGACCTAACCTCCCATACTCGGATTCTAGATCACGATGTAAGCCTAGATCAGAAATAATCTGGATAGCCATTCCTATCATATGTCAGCACGGAGGAGTGTCCCTAACTAACTCTAGGAACCTATCTCACCGCAGTAAATCCAGCCTAGGTGTATGTTAGCGTTGTAAGCTTTAATAGTGGCCGAATCTATACATACCACGAGAGTCCCGTATATTAGCTTCCTCGTGTGCTGATAGGATCAGAAGAGCTTGCAGGGTTGCAATAGTAGGGCTGTCTGCTTCAATATCAAGATATACTTTAGCACGAGAACCGAAGAATTCGGCAGCATTGTTATGAAGGGCCGGATGAGGCCGATTTGTGTACGAAGCGCCAATCGCATATCTAGTGAAGGGAGAGCGCATGTTAGTGACACGTCTATCAAGATGGGGGTACAGTGTCGATAAGCTTACATAGAATTAACGAGTGTTGGAGAATAGAGATCACTAAATTCGCCATGCCTGACACGTTCCCTCTCCCTGAGAAAGATCGCCTTGTCTACAATCCACATGAACTCATTATGCCAAGAGAAGAAGAGGCTGATGAGATAGTCCTCATAGTCAACATCTTCTTGCCATTGAAGACCTGCTTGAACCACAGCAGCCTCCCCATCTTCGGACAAATTGCGGATATTTGGTGGAAACAGTGTTGAGGGTCCGTTGTGCAGAATGTGCAGATTGCTTGTGGCACCAAAGTACCGTGGTTGGCCATCCTCGGCGATTTGAAGACGTCCGAGGCGGCTTACTATCTGTGTCGTGATATCGTCAACCGTACCCCCCTGAGCCCCCTCCCCGTCAGCATTCTCAGATGATCGAGCTATTTGCACGGGCGCCACATCGCCTACCTCTGAGGTGGAGGATGAGGATAATTGATTTTCTGACATAGCTGAGGTCATATTCTGACTGGAGGATATACAGCTGTGGGTAATAGAACTGCCGCTGGGATGCTCCGGCCAGTCCTCGTGAGCGCAGTTGAACAACGTGTTTTCATATTCGTCTATGCCTGTATTCAAATCAACTATAGTGGGATCAAATGGGATCTGATCGGCCTCCATCAAGCCAATATATGACTCCCAACTCTGGGGTATAGCTGGTGTCGCTGCTACAGTATCGGGATGAAATCCTATTTCTGCGGCTTGATGTTCTTGGCCGTCGGCGGCGGTTGGAAGGTCATAGGGCAACAGCTTCTTTTGCGAAGCGGCGTATGGCTGGTTAGTTGTACAGACATTCGATCCTTGGTTTATGTAGTAGCGATCATGAACTGTTTGACTTGCAATAGTGGCCGCCTGTCCGTCCAGGGTGTTCGACCCGAGAAGGTCACTACTGGAATTGGCAATAGCATTACGGGCAGTCCCAGAGAGTCTGTTCAAGCGCAGTTTAGGTCAGACTATCTGTATCCATCAGGGTTCATCTGATCCTTTGTGGCAAAGTAAGGGAGGAAAGTAGCTCTAGAGAGAGACAATTTACCTTCGTCTGTCCTCGCCAAGCACGCAGTCAACATCATACATTCGGCAGTTAGAACACTTTGGGTGGTCGTTATCGCACTAAGCGCAAGTTAGCATATATGGTGGCAGATTGTATCTACGTTGATGAGGTGCTAGACAAGAGAGACCTTGACTTTGCGCTTCCTACAGGCTAGACATGCCCTGGAGGTATACTTTCGCTCGGCAATGCCGGCTTTCCCGCCTGGTCCCGGCATCCTCGGTCGGCTGTGGTTTGTTGCAGGGCACATATGTCGTAGTCGTGGTCAGAAGTTGTTAGATGCTGGCAAGGTCAGAGGCTCAGAGCTTTGTTGGGCAGAACATTCCTCAGACGACGTGTAAAGTGTCAGCGTCGATAGGCTTCTGGAGAGTTTACGTAACACGTTTCCGGGTATTTAAGCGAATATGCAGGTATGAGGAAATGTGAAGTAAAAGTGTATTTCTATGTGAAGTATAGGTAGGGACGAATCCCCTTATATATAGCTAGGCTGTGCAGAACCCCGCGAAATGGGTGGGTCATGATATGCGGTCCCCCCTAATTGTTATACTAACCCCCCCCTTTCCGGCAGAACAGAGATTTCTGGCAGTACCTAATGATTAGCAGTACCTACAGTATAACACTAGGTATATTTTTAATGCTTTGTAGCGCCTAAATAACAGCGCGCATATCACGTTAAGAGAGCCATATAGAGGGCCATATAGAGACCATATAACAGTTCAAATAGTAGTTCAAATAGCACGTTAAAAGTAACTCATATACTACCTACATTTCCAACTCACCGCCGACGCATTCGGTTGAGGGGGGTTCGTATAACAATTGGGGGGTCGCGTATCAGCACCCAAATGGGTTAGGGTACCCACCCCATGGGGTGGGTTAGGGTGAATAGGACCCAATCCATGGGGTATCCTAAGGCACTAAGGCACTTTTGTACTATAGGTAGGTAGCTGTGATACATTCGCAACACCTAAGGTAGGTAGGTAGAGAGTTAATTAGTAGAAAAATCAGTAGGGCTTATAATCATGTGCTATATCACCAGGTGATATTTTTGAGGCGCAAATCACGTGTTGGGTTCTTAGCAACCCATGGGTTGGGCCTAGTAGCTACTTGCCAAAACCCACCCCACGGGGTTGGATCCTTTAGGTTGGGTTATCAATATATAAAAACCCAACATATGGGGACCCATTGCACAGCCTATATAATAATATAGCCGAATAAATGGATAAGAGTCTATTTGAAGGATACAGAGGATCCTTTGAATAGGAATGAATGGATTCAAGGGATTGATCCATAAGAATTTATACTGGTGAACCTGATACTGGTTGAACTCATGCTTTCAGGGTTGCTTAGGTAGGTGACTCCGTGACAGGATGAAAAGGTTGTCACACACACATCCCTCTTTACTTCTTTACACCTCTAGAGAGCCAATATATAAGTTTTCACTGTTTCACTGAATAAGGAACCGACTACACTCTGCGTTCCCCGTGATCCGCCCTTTGAGAAGTGCAGCGTTAGGGTGATGTTGGAAACTGGACTGTTAAACGATAAGTCGACTTCCTAATCGGGTAATACGGTATTACCGCCGGACCAGGAGTCAGATTTTACTCAGAGTTTGATAGAGAGTTGTCACTTTACCTCTGGATCCCTCTTATTGCCGTGGTTAATCCACTATTACTGTAGATAATAGGGATCTATTACCGTGGATGCGTTGTCCCGATTTGCCACTTTACCTGTATATAATAGCCTCTGTTTCACTCTCCGTTCAGTAGTCAATTCAACTCAGTTCAATCGACTTGAATTCGTCTCTATATTCGTCCTAATTCGCTCTATTTGACAGTTGACTACCGGCAATGCATATAACATTCTGCCCGGCCTTTAAATCTGATACGTCTTGGGGACAGGCTCGAGGACTGCGGCGCCATGTCGCACAAAGGTCCCACCTTGATAACGAACAACGGGCAACTTATGTACAGGATCGAAATCAGAAACCCCCGTAAAGCCGAGCGACGGTGTACCCGTCCAAATCTCCCCTTCCGTCAAGTGAAAGTTGAGTGGCACGAACTCTCGTATCGTTGGCGGCATGCCAATATTGGGAGACGGGATCGAGCGCAGGTGAAGACTGAACTTCTCCGGCTCTGGGATCGGCCCCACTCCTTGGATCTTCTGCTGTGGCTTGAAGCCAAATTGCACAATCTTCGACCCGAAAGGTCGCTCCACATGCCCGCTCAGGTACCCCGACGGAGCCGGCTTTGTGGAGGACGGATCCCACACCACGTTTCCAAAGACCTTGGGAATGCCGTACTTTTCGCGGCCAGAGAAGATGGCGCCCTCATTGTCAAGGACGAGCCCTATTGTCCAATCGTATTTTTTGCCATTCCATTTGACTTCGACTTGAGAAACGAATTCGGTGTAGGGTCCGATTGGGCTGGCCCCGTACTTGAAGAGGGTGAATGTAACGAGCGGTTCGTCTTCAATCTCAAGTTCTTCGGGAAGCAATGGAGCGACAGCTTTAGCTTCGGTGAAGTACGTGATAGAAAGGCATTCTATGTCTGAGAATTCGTCCTTTGTAGATGGATACGGAGGGGAATGGATCGGGATGCCATGATTCACATCCGTAGTCTTGATCTGACCGAAGGGCATTTTGTTGCTTTGTGATGAGTTTGAAAGTGACTCTTGAAATCTGGGAGACGGATGGAGAACAACAAGAGAGTTGTTTTAAATTATATGTTCTATAAGATATGTATGTTCTATAAGGTACCTAAGGTAAGGTATGTTTCCATAAAATATGCGGTTTTTCCGTGGAATTACTAGAAAGGGTCGTAGGTCCCGTCCTTAGGTAGCATCGCTTGCATTGATAATCCCACGGAATTCTCAATGCGCTTGTCACCTTATTATGCCGCCGGGCGGGGGCTGACTCCTGAGTATTGCACGACTAAGGTATTCTCTTGTTTCCCACGCTCTAGGTAGGTAAGGTACCTTAGTTAACCGATTGATAATACCGAATGCTTCCCTATTCCCTATACAATAATGCCTTCTTCCCACTCCCCGCATCTCCAGTCTCCCTAGCCCATGTGTTATACCCCACATGGTCGACAGCCACTTATTTTTCTTTGGCTATTTTCGCTTCCGCGGCTGGGGAACTGAGGGGTTGATCATCTATCACTTCGTATCCCTGTTGCGAGAAAGCAAGTAATCCATGTAATATGGGGAAGCCAAGCCGAAGACAATCCTCCCTTATCCTGGTCTGTCTATTTAAGGTATCTATTTCTTCTCCGCCATTTGGAACTAGCTAACGGCCGTCTCCAGACTCTAATCATTGTGAGAGCTGCTTAAACCACGCCCCCCCAGACTTCACGCCGCTCTGGTCTTCCTCTCTCTTTTGCCCTCGAAGACAACTTCTCTCTCTTTGGCCTTCTCCCCTTCATTCACACCTGTCGCTCCTGAAGGCGTCGCAATATCCATCAATCCCCATCAATCATATCTATCGATCGATCGACCTCTCGACAATGGCTACCTCTGTTCTGCCGCATATTGGCTCTCTTGCAGGTAAGATCGCGATTGTGACCGGCTCGTCCTCTGGCCTCGGCCGCGCAATCTCCCTCGCCTACGCCGCCAGTGGAGCTTCTGTTGTCTGCGCAGACCTCTCCCCGAATGCTCCGGAATCATCACCCGGCCCCAGAATCCCCACGCACGAGCTGCTAAATGCACAAAGTGCCAACGGCAAACCAAGATCCATCTTCGTGGAATGCGACATGACAAAAGCTGCAAGCGTGGAGGCTACGGTCGCTCGAGCCGTCCAAGAGTTTGGCCGCCTGGACATCATGGTGAACAACGCCGGCATCCTCGCAGAAGCGAAAGCGGGCAAAGTTTTCCCACGTATTCAAGACACGCCCGAGTCAGTCTGGGACGCCGACATGGCAGTCAATGGCAAAGGCGTTTGGCTTGGCTGCAAGTACGCCATAGCGCAGATGCTACGCCAGGAGCCTTGGGGAGGCCCTACCGGAGATCGAGGTTGGGTGATCAACATGTGCAGTATTGTTGGCCTGGTCGGATTCTCGGGCACATCCTGCTACTCAGCAACCAAGGGCGCAGTGCTGCAGATGACCAAGGCGGTGGCATTGGAATGTGCCAAGGACAGGATTCACGTGAATTGCATTAACCCAGGATTCACCGATACAAACATGCTGGCGCCTCTCAAAGCGGAGCACGGTACGGAGAAAGCGGAATCCATGCTGGCAGCGTTACATCCCTGGGGAAGGATGGGGAGGATGGAGGATATTGCCAAGATGGCAGTTTTCCTTGCCGGGGACGGAGCGGGTTGGTGTACCGGTGGGGCATATGTAGTTGATGGAGGCTATACCGCACAATGAGGAGAACGACGTGGAAGGATGGGGCTCGCGAGACTGTTTTCTCTCCTATCTAATTCCTGTGTGCTAGCTGAGTGAGGGAGGACAGCCACTTGGGGTCGATATTCTTCTCTGCTTGATCATACCCAAGGAGTAGTCAATAAGCTAGTCCCAATCCATCTTATATTTATATTTATATAGAAATTTCTTCCCTCGTTGAAGCAGAGGGCCTCGTGCCATAACACACAGCTTCCGCAGCATCATCATGTAAGATGTGTGTGTCATTACGACCGTAGACTTCCACTAGGATTGTAGGCGGGCTCAAAACAAAACATAACGGTAAGCAACGGATAAGAGTGTACGCTACTACAATCAAATTACCTTTGAAGGTGCTGCTCGATGCCCAAGCTCCACAGCATAGGAATCATATATTCTCAACTCACAAACGGAAACAAGGCTCGTGGAGGAGACAGGTGAGTGTCTGAACCTGCGGCTACCACCAGAGGTTTCCAGAGACAGCTTTGCCCTGGCTTCTTTCCGATAACCTGCCAAGCACTCTCTTCCGAGTCCACCCGTGTCAGTCCGCAACCCGAGGAGGATTTGCTTGGCTGCTGTCTGTCGAGCGCGCAGAGGATGCAACCAACTTGCTGCGGCGTTCTCGCATCACCCTGTAGTGTCGACGACCTGCCAGGGAGCCGTTTCCCGTTCCCAATCCTCTAGTCGTACTTCAACCAATGCGAGGAGGGCCCAGGGGAGAGGCGGCCTTCTATTTCTGCTGGCTCAGTGTAATAACACATGTGTGAGGGGAGGCGCCGGATCATCGAGTCCAGGCTTTGGTGTGCTTCTCTGGCGTGACCACGAGAAATAGAAATAAAGCTATCGTTCCTCAGCGTAGTGAGTACCCGTCGTAGCGAGACTCATCAATCTCAATATGAATTCGAAGTGCAACGGTAGTTAGTAGAGGGCCCAAGAGCGAGAGATGGTCGATGAAAGGAGGCCGCTACGGGCCCGCGGATGGCGAACAGACAGCAGAGCCGCGAGGGCGCACATCAAGGCGGGCACAAGGATCAAGTGTTGGGAAGGCAAAGCAGCTCTGGAGCTGGTCGAAGTGAGGAAAGCAGCGGATGGATTTATAGATGAGGTCTGCCTGAAGGCGGCGCTGCCGAGGGCCTAGGGCGGCGCCGCTCACCTGAGCGTGGGTGATTGATTGGGTGAGCCGGGTGAGGGCTCAGCACATTTCTGTCCTTATCGCACCAACGACAAGATTCGGAGTGTGGCTTCGATGGGAGCGGGATTGTCATTATATGCAACTGCATCCTGACTCTGAAACGTGGAGTTTTGTTGCACGTCGCAATTTATCTCATTCTCCCACTTTTCCCGCCCAACAGAGGAGGCCAGAAAGTCCTAAGCCGCTCGACCACAGAACCAAGCAAAGCCAAACAGAAGAACCGCTTTCGATTCCAATACCCCATCATTCGGGACAATTCCGGGTGACTGTTATAATCAGGAGCAGAGAAGAATCATGAGCTAGTTCCTCTACCATTCTGTTCATCCCCTCTATAAATATTCCCTAACCGCCAACGAAACTCGGAGGCTTTTGCTCCATGGCTCTCATGGTCGTACAAAGGCTTAAGCAAGACTACACGGGTAGACTAAGAGATGCTAAAGACGAAATTCGTGTCAAAGTTCACAAAGTATATTAATGATTTTGACCGCAAGTTCTTGGTCTGGTAGCAAGTATACAACCCGAAGCAAGAAGAGGAAGAGATCGACGCACAATATCATGGCTAGCCTTCAGTACGATGATTTCTAGAGATGGGATCTGGGTGATAACATTGGATTACGTTGAGAACCATCGGATAGGCACATAGTATATAGTCTCGTTGTGAAACACAATATACAATCTAACAACAAAAAATGAAAATGACAACGAAAAAGAGCAAATCACAACAACGTCAGTGAATTTGCCCTCCCAAAGATAGTCAAACAGTTCATCCGTTCAAACCCACCACCATCATCCTCATCTTCTTCAACTTCTTCCTCACCACCCACATAGCTCTCTGTACACATCTTGGGATACGCAGTATGAGTATACCAGATAGAACAGAAACTCGTATTTTATATTAGATCCCATGATTGATTCTCATTTATTTGATGGTGGCTAAACTCTGGTAGACTTGGCCAGGGCTTTCAAGATGGAGCAGCAGCATTGCCTCTGATATCGATAAATACACAATTGGACTGACTACCTTTGGATGAGGATCTAAAATCCCCTGCTTCTATCCAGGAAAAAAGAGGTAAGACAATATGCTAGTAGAATAGTAATAAGCTGAGTCGGTCGGTCTTCATCCTCCAACTACAAGATTATCAGTGGTATCGGTGCTATGCTGCTATGTCGCATCGAGTTGGTTCCCCAGGAAAGACTTCAATAAAGGCAGTCGGTGACCGGCAACAGTTTGATTCGTGAAAACGTTTAATGTCATTGAGTCGCTTCCTTTCCATGCATTCAGGGATCTTGATGTTCCTTCGAGATTCGGCGGATTGTCAGGGGTTTGTGATACCAAGCATTCGTGTACCAAGGACCAGTCATTTCCACTCTATGGGCAAGGCTCTGGCAATGTATATCTAACTAGTAAAGGCTTCTTGAATTAAAACGTAGGTAGGCAGAAGAAGAGAGGGAACATATGACTTGCCTAGTAGAAAGACACACCCTTGCAAGCCACTGGGCTGAACTTTTGCAATACGAACATGGAAAATAAATATATTAATTTCCTATCCTAGTACAGACCAACTAAACAGAAACTTCTACATACTCATGATGATCTTGAATTAGGCTTACTCCCGCTTCCAGCATCTCGAGGTCGGTCCCAAGTTCGAATATGTCCTACAATTTGGATCAATGCTGGTCTTTGCTTATAGCACGAACTGTGGTGACTTACCGGTCTTGCAACTTGTGAGTATCGAGTCTTCCGTAAATTCTAGCCAACACAATGGATCTGGGTCGACTACTTTGGACTACGTAGCGTTAATATTGGGAGAGTATCCAAGGGAGAATATGGGCAATACGTACCATGACCGGGGGCAACATGGCTATTTTGGCCCTGGGCTCTACGGGATGCTCAATGGGGCGTTCTACTTCAGTATCTGCGGAGTTACTCGAATTCGATCTTAACCTAGATAGATTCGTATTCTGCGTTTCTGCCCTTTGAAGAGGATTGGCGAAGCGAGAAGAGACGCTGCCTCTCTGCCTCACCGAGGACTGTTTACTGTGTCAGCACTGTTATTGCAAACATCAAAAGACGAGATAGTCGGTTTACCGCTTTCGGCCGATGCAACATTCCGACGCTGAAGTCCCATAATAAGAGCCTACAATCTTCACCCACACTGCCGAATCGATAATTTCGATCATCGCACCGCCATGGATCAAAGCATACAGCTGTGACCCACGATTGATGTCCTTCACAACGGGCAACAATGGTCGAATCTGCAACAGACCAGATGGAAACAAGATCATCCTGGCCGCCCGTGAGGACGTATTTTCCATCAGGCGACCAACATACGCAAAGAAACCCGCCATAATAGCTCGAGTAGATATCCAAGAGTCTGACAATATGTTAGCAATGGTAGATAAGGAGTTTCAGTAGTACGCACTGCTCTTTGAGATAGTCTATAATTCGCAGAGTTCCGTCCTCCGAGACGACTGCAATGTGCCTGTTGTCAGGGGAAAATGCAAATGCATTTATACGTTGGTTCGACAGTTTCCAGAACGAGACAGGGTTAACCTTTTGGTTTTTCGAGTGAACTGATTTATCAATGTGAAGCTTTGGGGGAACACGCCTCACGCTGTCCTCGCTGGTAGAGTGACCATTTGTTTGGTTACCATTCTCTTCGGGCGAGAAAGCTGCGTCGTCCTTCTCTTTATCATAAACCACGAGCGACCCATCCATATGTGCTGCCAAGAATAAATTTTCTGAACCTGGTATCCACCGAATCTCAGAGACAGGAGTTCCGTTGATAATACCCTACTACGATCAGTTCTGTCGCCAACCACAGGGGGGGTAGATTTATTACGTACATTCTTATTCAGTCTGGTATACTTTTGAGATATGGGTTCATACCAGATAATTTCCCCCGTAGAGAAGCCCATTATAAGGTCAATATGATTTATTGCCTTGGTGACTTGATTTATATCGTGGCAAAGACAATTTCCCTTGGTGAAGAGAATTTTTGTCAGGTGGTCAACCTGCTGGCTTTTAGCAACTGCCAGGTCCACTAAGTATAAACCTTCTTACCTTTTGCGGAGAAGATAAATCAAGCCACTGGAAAGCTCTGTTTATGTTTGCGAATGCGAAGTAGCCGTCTGCTGGACGGTCTTGTATCCTTTTTGCCATATTCTCGTGGACAATACATCGAGAGATGAAAGATGAGTTGCTCTTTGCAATATTGTTCTTCGGCTTTCGTCGTTTCGAGGTATCCTTACTTGTTCCTGACAGCATCGAGTTTCCTTCGCCAAAGGCTGGAGCAGATCCGAGTGAGCGGGAAGGCTTGGTGCTACCAGACACAGATGTCCCTCCATCACTGCTAGGGGGAACATCTGCAGAGGCTTGCTCTTCACTGGGATGCTCTTGTATGCTCGTTTGAATCCCTGATCGAGCACTCCTATTCGTATCGGCCCTATATAAAAGGGGTGGGCTTGCTCGAGAACTTAGGGACAGTAAGGAAACTTTAGTCCCCGCCGTCGGCGGCTGCGGTGTTGTCGCGAGAGGGTTGGGATTTACTATCTGAGCTTCTGAGGGATGCGGCGGAGGCGTCGCAAGGAGCAAGTCGTCCTTAAGAATATAAGTGCCTGCCATTATCTCTCAACTGCTGTCTTATGTACTGCCAGTGCGCCAAAACCGACCTTCACCAACAACCAGCTGGTATTCGGGTCCTGTCGGGTGCGACAGGAGATTATTCGTCTCAATTATGGGCGCCGCTTGTCCATTGGCAACAGCAAGATTATACGCTGCCTGCGACGGATATCTTGGGGGTGGTGGGAGAACACTGGAAGGTCCCTTATCAGTGCTGATCCGTCTACAAGAACGGGAGACTTTGCCCGCAGAGCGGGTAACTGGGAGAGCAAGACACTTACAACATATTGGCTTCAGGAATCCGCTAGGTGCAGACTGCACCTGATTATAGCACACGGGGACGACAAGCAGGAAACGAAGAGAAAGAGAAGAGACTCGGAGCACACAATGACGGAGTAAAGAGAGCTTGACCTCTTAGGCCTGCCTGCAGGTACGGGAAGTGTGGGGTACAGTACGTCTGGAAGGTAAACCAATGTACAAGACGGCAGGTAGTAGTGAGTGCGAATTCGTAGGTATTTTTAAGGTAGTGAAGAGGCGGCTGATCCGAGCAAGAGAGTGACAGGTGCGGTGTATCAAGGACTGAGAAGAGGGAGAGAAAGAAGGTCGCGATATTCCGATCTTTCGTTGCGTCCCCTCGGGAAGATCGCCGTGCCCTGGTCGGAGTAAATAATGTGGAGATATCTTAGTTCGCGCCAGATACGGCTACGGTCCAGTGACAGCGGGAAACGGTTTAACGGAGAGACGACGACGGGCCCTGTCTTCCGAGAGAAAGCATTATTCCGTCTAGGATCAGCTTAAAGCTTGCTGTCTGTCTTACTCATCTTGCCTTGCCTTGCCCTTGCCTTATACCAGGGAGTGATCTCCAGCAGCGTGCTCCCAGGATTTTAAATATTTACAAGGTTCTGCATCATCCGACTTGCACCTACACCGCGTCGTCCAGCCTGCGAGCCTACGAGTCAAGTCTGCATATACATACATACAGAGGTCAACTGCTCAACCGCAGCTTATCCTTTGCATTCCCGAATTCTTCTTGCATTTGACTTTTGACCCTTCTCCCCCAGCAATGGGAATGCCATAGTCTTCGGCTCAGCCTTGCAAGCCTGAAACAGCATGGCTACAGGTAAGGGACCTTTTCTCTTCCACGTCCCTGGCACTGGATTTGCCTCCTTTCCGCTGGCTAACACTCCACAGTACGCATCTGCGTCTGCGGCGATGAAGGTACCGGGAAGTCGAGTCTCATTACCTCCTTGGTCAAGGATGTCTTCGTGACGAACAAGATCCAATCTGTTCTGCCACAGATCACCATCCCTCCCAGTATTGGCACGCCCGAAAATGTCACGACAACGATCGTCGATACCTCAGCGCTTCCCCAGGAACGAAACACTCTGCGAAAGGAAATACGGAAATCGAACGTGATATTACTGGTATATTCAGATCATTACAGCTATGAGCGAGTTGCATTGTTCTGGATGCCCTACTTCCGGTCTTTGGGAGTCAATGTCCCCGTGGTTCTGTGTGCGAATAAATCAGACTTGACAACAAGTGGGAATACTGCGCAGGTTGTGGAGGATGAGATGCTACCTGTGATGGCGGAATTCAAGGAAATCGACTCCTGTATAAGGACGAGCGCGAGAGAGCACCATAATGTTAACGAGGTCTTCTTCCTATGCCAGAAAGCTGTGACACACCCGATTGCTCCTCTCTTCGATTCTAAGGAGGGGAATCTCAAACCCGCAGCCGTGGCTGCTTTGAAGAGGATATTCTATTTGAGCGACAAGGATCAAGATGGTTATCTGAGTGACCAGGAGATGCATGATTTCCAGGCCAAATGCTTCGAAAAGCCATTATCTCCCGAGGACCTGGAAAATATCAAGCTTTCAATCAGCAAATCTTCACCGAAATCTAACCTAGAGAAGGGGATTGACCAGAACGGATTTCTTCAGTTGAATAAGATATTTGCGGAGAAAGGCAGGCACGAAACCATATGGATCATTTTGCGGAAATACCACTACACAGACAGTTTAAGCCTAAAGGACAGCTTTCTCCATCCTAAATTTGAGATCCCGGAATACTCCTCAGCAGAACTTAGTCCTACGGGGTATCGATTCTTTGTTGATCTGTTCCTTCTATTCGACAAGGATAACGATGGAGGTCTGAATGACTCGGAACTAGATGCTTTATTCGCACCTACTCCCGGATTTCCCTCTTTTTGGCTGGATTCCTCCTTCCCTTCTTCCACAGTCCGTAATGAGGCTGGGTATATTACCCTCCAAGGCTGGCTCGCTCAGTGGTCAATGACTACCTTCGTGTCTCCAACAACCACTCTAGCCTATCTGGCATACCTTGGCTTCGAGCCCCCTTCAGGACCCCGCACCGCTACCACGTCTGCCCTTAAGATCACGAAGCCACGAAAACGGCGGCGGCGCCCGGGCCGCGTCGAGCGCAATGTCGTTCTCTGCTACGTGCTAGGGGCTCCGGCATCCGGGAAATCCACCCTCCTAGATGCATTCCTCAACCGACCCTTTGATCCTCTGTACCGTCCTACAATAAAACCCCGAACGGCTGTTAACAGTGTCGAATTGCAGGGTGGCAAACAATGCTACCTAATCCTTGAAGAGCTCGGCGAACTGGAACCCGCCATTCTGGATAATCAAGCCAAACTCGATGCCTGCGATTTGATCTGCTACACCTACGATTCCTCGGACCCAGACTCGTTCTCACACATCGTCTCGCTTCGTGAAAAGTATCCCCAGTTGGATGAGTTGCCAGCTGTCTATGTGGCACTCAAAGCAGACCAAGATAAAACGATGCAAAGGTCTGAAATGCAACCAGACGAATATACAACGAGTTTGAATATGAGCGCCCCGTTGCACGTGAGTGTGACGTGGAGCAGTATCAGTGAGTTGTTTGTCACATTGGCGGAGGCAGCTACGAACCCGTCCACGGCGTTCCCAAAGAGTGAGGAGGAGCCTCCGGACAGGACAAGTCTGTATGTTGCGCTGGGTGCGACGGCCTGTGCACTTCTGGCGGCGGCGATGATTTGGAAGAGGACGACTAATGCTAACTAGGGGTGGGGATGAGGATGGGGAAGATAAGGGGTATTTATGTGGTGGTAATATACGATCCTTTTTTAATCAACGATACCCATCTCTTCTCTACGTGGAAACGAACCAGGGTGCATATACTTTGTAATAATAGATATATCTTGAAAGAATGGAGAAGATTTGTAGTAGGATACGAAGTATCTCATTTTATGACCGTTAACGTATTGATGATCTCCATTCCCCCCTAGAGCTTCTATTGAATTCGATGCCCGGACTATTCAGAGGCCAATGACGTGTGACGAGTCTGCTATGAAGTATTTACAATGGCCATATAAGATGGGTGAAGTCAACACATAAACCCAATAGATGCATTGATATATATAGTACGCGGTAGAGTCTGAGGGGTGATGCTCGCGAGGAGAAAATACTGTATCGATAAGGGCGGAATAGGGGGGATGTCGTTTGCTACGGTTTAAATAAGAAGAGGCGGATTCGTTTACGGCGAGCTTAGCGAGCCAATGGCAGGTAAAGACCTCGTCCGTTTCAAGCTCTGAATTTGGCGACCGCGATTTGGCTCAGCTTTCTACACGAAAAGATTCAATTCATTTCCATCCACCATCGATCGTCCCAAGATTGTTCAAGAGGCTCACTGCTCCTTGTTCCTGCGCCTAGACGACTCTCTCCACCTGATACCACTCTCCACCGCATTCAACCTCTTCCCTAAGCATGGCCTCCGTAAGTACATCCATCCGCGTTCTCGACTGCTCCAATACATTCCACGACTCCGTCCGGCGCTGAGCATGCCTACCTGGGCTGGAGCTCTAGGATCTCTTCATCGAAGGTTTCTTCTCTATTACCCACAAGACTGACAGCAATAATGCAACAGCAACGCCCACATACCTACAACAACCCTGGCTACCTACCAAACGGAGCTGTTGGAAGCCACCCCAACTTGCCACCTGGAGCTGCGCCTTTACTTCCAAACAATGGTCGAATAATCCAAACCGGAGGTGTTAGAGTGCTGTGTATCGCGGATGTTCGAGGTTAGACGACTTAAACTTCCGGTGGCGGTAGAGCGATTGCTGACGTTGGTAGGAAACCTGAGATCTCTGAATGAACTCGCGAGACAAGCTCGAGCAGACCATATCATACACACTGGAGACTTTGGCTTCTACGATGAGACATCGTTAGATCGTATTGCGGAAAAGTGAGACAGCCCTGAGGTCGCGTTCAATCCTGGCCATGTGCTAACCTGACATATCCCAGGACCTTGAAGCACGTCGCCCAATATTCTCCCTTAATATCCGAAGCTACGAAAAAGGCCATCGGCGCACCAGGTGGACCAGTCAAGCAAAGATTCCAGCCCAGCGAGCTGCCTCTGTCAGAACTTCCACAATTCCTCAACGGTAACCTTAAGCTCGATGTTCCGGTCTACACGGTTTGGGGCGCATGTGAGGATGTGCGGGTTTTGGAGAAGTTCCGATCTGGGGAGTACAAGGTAGACAAGCTGCACATCATCGATGAGGCACGCTCTATGCTACTGGAGATTGGCGGTGTAAAATTGCGACTACTCGGTCTTGGTGGGGCCGTCGTGATGCACAAGCTCTTTGACAATGGCGAAGGACGAACAACGATTGCGGGTGGCCAAGGCACGATGTGGACAACATTACTGCAGATGGGTGAATTGGTGGATACAGCCAACCGAGTTTATGACCCCACAGAGACTCGCATTTTCATTACCCACGCATCGCCAGCCCGTGAAGGTATCCTGAACCAACTGTCTGTAACCCTCAAAGCCGATTTCTCGATCTCTGCTGGTTTGCATTTCCGGTATGGCAGCTCGTACAATGAGTTCAGTGTCAATCCTACGCTAGATCATTACCGCGGGAAGCTTGCGGCCTCAAAAGCTTCCTTCAATGACGTTTGGGAGACTGTCAAGGGAGAGGTTCAGCCAGCTATCTCGCAGAACGAAGCTCAGCAGAACCTGCTTCAGAATGCCCTAGGCATTGTTGACAAGATGCCGACTACTGCACATGGAGGTAACCCCTTCGGTGGTCCAGTCGGTGGCGCCAATGCCCAGGCAGTTGGCCAGGTAGATGAGAGTGCTTTCAAGAATATGTGGAATTTCAACCTGGCAGATGCCGCATTTGGCTGGTTGGTATTAGAGGTTCAAGATGGCCGCATTGGTACGGAAATGCGTGCCCAGGGTTTCAACTTTGCCCACCGAGGGACAAAGCAACCACACCCCAGCCAACTTAGCCAACAGTCTTCTCAAGCGGCAGCTACTGGAGCTGCCCCTAGTCAAGCACCTGCTTCTGCCCCCGGTGCTACTGCGCAAAAGCAACCAAACGTCCAACCACCACAGCCGCAGCGTGGTCAACAACAACAACAACCACCTTCTTCTGGTCCTGGCCGTACAACAGAATCCCCCGCCCCACCTCAACCAAAGTCGGAGACTCCTCAACCTCAGACGAATGTTAACCTACCCGCATCTACTAAAGAGAACGAGAAACTCAACACATCAACCCCTACTAACGGCGCCACCACCAATGGTGCTGCTGAAGCTGCATCGCCTGTAACGAAGGCTGCGGCTGAACCAATTATTGGTCTCTTTGTCATGAACGTCACATCCGATGACGCAGTAAGGGATCTATTCAAGGAGGAAGATAAGGCGAAGATTCTGAAGATTGAGAAGTGGGGACAATCAAACAAGGTTGCTCATTTCAAGACAGTAGAGGAGAGAGATGCCGTTCTCGCAAGCCTACCAGAGGAAGTGAAGTCGCGAACTGGAGAGGACCGCAGCCGCCCATTGGTGAAGATCTTCCAACAACGAGAAAACAAGGGGTATGCAGCCAACCGTGGTGGGGCCGGAAACTGGGGAAGTAGCAGAGGTGGAAACTCTAACACTCAAGGGGGGTACCGAAGCGGAGGTGCCAGTGATAGTGAAGGGGGACGTGGTGGCAGAGGTCGCGGAGGACCAAGAGGAGGCCGCGGTGGCGACCGTGGCAGGGGTGGACGTGGAGGACGAGGAGGGTTCAACAAGACCGAAGGATCACCGGCACCTGCACCAGCGACACCCGCGGCAGGCGACTCTTAATCCTCTGGGCGTGTCGAACCAATCTTTCGTTGTTTCCCACCAAAAAAGTCCACCTTCTAGTACATCTTCTTAATGGTCACTATGTGTGATGGAAGAATATCGAAGGTCATCATTGTTCTCGGCTTAATATCATAGGTGTCCGCGATTTGGGATGGAGTGGAGTTCAACTAGCTTATGCTTTCGGGATGTGCGGAAGCGATGATAGCTCTTTTTTCTCTCTGTACCTTTTGATCCCCCATTATTGCAGCATCGATTGCTTCGATAGCGTTGCATGTATTCTAGTATTTGCCAGAAGACAGAAACGCTGGCTGGCAGTTTGTTCATAGCTGCATAGAAAATTTTACGAATCCTTTTGTCCTCGCCTTCTTGAACATGTGATGATGCCCTATCCTATATAGTACATTCGCCTCCTTCCAAGCCGTACAAATATTAATACACCTGTTTCTACAAGGATGCAAACCGCCCGGCCCCTTTACTCCACAGGTTTAATACCCTTATGAATAGCTGCAATGCCCCCCGTCAGATCCTCCCAGCCCTTCCCAGGAATCAAAAACCCGGCCTCCTTGATCATATCCCTGAACTCTTCCTGCTTGGGGAAGCGCTCGATGCTCTCGACCAAGTACTGGTAACTATCCCTATCGCCGGCGACCAGCTGGCCTATCAGCGGGATGGCGCCAAAGCTCCACCTCTTGTAGACGGCATCGAACAGGGGGTTCGTGACGCCGCTGAACTCGAGACAGGCGAAGAGGCCGCCGGGTTTCAAGACGCGGTAGGCCTCGCGCAGGGCGACGTCCTTGTTGGTGAAGTTCCGGATGCCGAAGGCGACGGTGTACAGATCGACCGAGTTGTCGGGGATGGCGTCGAGATGCTCGGCGTTGGCGACGAGGAAGTCGAGGCGCGGCGAGTGGGCGTAGCACGTGGCCAGGGAGCGCTTGCGGCCCTCGTCCAGCATGGCCGGGTTGATGTCCGAGATGGTGATGGTGGATTGCGGCGAGTTGTTGATCTCGTCGCAGTGCTGCAGGAGGCGGAACGCGATGTCGCCGGTGCCGCCGGCGATGTCGAGCATTTTCCAGCCCTGCGAGGGTTGGTCGGGGCTCGAGGAGGACCCGGGGTTGATGGAGCGGACGAAGTAGTCCCTGGTCTTGCGGTCAGTTGGGGAGATTCGAGGGGAGCGGTTGGGAGGGGACGGAGAGAATGGCGCACTTCCAGAGACGGTGGATCCCGAGAGACATGAAGTCGTTCATGATATCGTAGGAGGTTGCTACATTGCTGAATACACCGGCGACTGTCCACAGCACCAGTCAGCCTAATCACCCCACAATCCAGAAGACATCTCACCTCTAGCCTCCTTCTCGGACTCGGGAACGGTCTGGAATCCAAAATGCGTAGTTCTTTCATGGTTCGTAGAGTTGGGATTTGGCGGAGAGTCTGCTCGGCGCACGCTGGATGAGAAGCATCGTTGGGGTTGCGAATATAGGAATTGGCCTCTCGCAGACCGTGATAGCGGTCTGAGGCCATATCTAGAGGCCATGATCACAATAATTAGGGAAGTCCTGCACCGGGCTCTGTGTCAAAGTCGATTTATGTTCATCCGTCTGCCGCAAAATTATATGCTCCGTACGTTGGTAGTCAGAGTTCAGCCTTGCTTGCCTGAGGCTCCAAACCTTGCTTAGTAGTCTCACAAGTTCACAACTCGAAAGGGTTGGAAAGAGGAAAATCAGAAAATCGGGACAATTTGTTTTCTATTTAAGAGTCTGGTTGATATTCAAATACATGGGAATACATCTCTATGTTCAAGCTTATAAAGATATCTATCATGGGAAAGCACAGTAATCAGCTTCTCACCGGCGGCCGCGTGCTCCGCCCGTTCCCAAGCGAGGTGAAAAAGGGGCCTTTTGAAAAAGTCAACGGGGTCCACAGGAGATAATAGCAACATAAACATCAAAAAGCTCAATCCACAAGTAGTGGTCATAGCAACTCACGAAATCTGAGTTTTGACGGAGCAAGCAATGTCACGATGGCTCTAGCTATTACTTTTCAAATTCCGCTGCAGTCAGGGCAATAATAGTCTATACCTGCTGCACGTGTCCAATCTAGCTCAAAGTTGCAGCAACCAATTGGCATATGCTAAGAGCGGATGCTTTTCTTTTGAATCTTCCTTACTGGGGTACATACACATTACATGCATGATACATATATATACATAAGTCGTATATACATGATATGCAATCCGGCAAATCAATCAATCCCCTTCGGGCCTCGGCCATTGGGATGACATAATCTGGGGAAGCGGTGCCCCAGAGACGCTTATCAGCGGTTAAACCAGCCTCGCTCCAACTCCCCGTGTATTGAAAGGCCGCCTCTCTCTTGACTTCTCTGCTTCTTTCTCACAAATGCATCTCAGGAGCCATCAGAAGGCCTTCTTGGAGGATCTGACTTCAGAACAATCTTTAGAACCATGAACCTCCAACGATGCGGGACTCGCATTCTGCGACCTCAATCGGTCTCCCTCCGCCAACCCCGCATACACACGACTCAAAGATGGTCGTCCTCTATCTCCCAAAGACCTGGAGCCGCAGGGTAATTATCCCTTCACTTCCATATGAAAATTGCTCAACCAGCTCCAGTGTACATTTCCCCGGTGCGGTGAACAGTAAATTCACCTCTGACCTCTCCTTCGAGCACCCTTCAACCTACCCCGCAATCCCGACCTACCGGGCCATGTCCCCCGACGGGGACATAATCTCGCCCACGCTGACGCCCCCTTCCGACGAGCTCTCGCTTTCTATGTATCACAATATGCTTTCCGTGAGCATCATGGACGTCATAATGTTCGACTCGCAGCGCCAAGGCCGCCTTTCCTTCTACTTGACGAGCCAAGGGGAGGAAGGGACGTCCGTCGGATCTGCGAGCGCCCTGGAGAAGGAAGATGTGATATTCAGCCAGTACCGAGAGGCCGGGATGTTTATGCAGCGCGGGTTCACCTTTGCGGATTTCATGAGTCAACTGTTTTCGAATACTAATGATATGGGGAGGGGGAGGAATATGCCCGTGCATTATGGAAGCAAGGCTCTTAATATGGTCAGTTTCCCTGTCATTACCCTCTGCCCCTTCAAAGGATCATTCTTACAAACCTTTAGCACACCATCTCTTCTCCCCTGGCAACCCAAATCCCACAAGCAGCAGGCGCAGCCTATGCCCTCAAAATCCAACGCCTCACCAACCCCAACATCCCACCCCGAATCGTAGCCTGCTATTTCGGCGAGGGCGCCGCCAGCGAAGGCGATTTCCACGCCGCGCTCAACATCGCCGCGACGCGCTCCTGCCCCGTGGTTTTCATCTGCCGCAACAACGGCTACGCCATCAGCACCCCGACGCTCGAGCAATACCGCGGCGACGGCATCGCTAGCCGCGGCATCGGGTACGGGATCGACACCATCCGCGTGGACGGCAACGACATCTTCGCGGTGCGGGAAGTGACGAAGCGCGCGCGGGAGCTGGCGCTCACGGACGGCGGCAAGCCCGTGCTGATCGAAGCCATGTCGTACCGGATCTCGCACCACAGCACGAGCGACGACTCGTTCGCGTACCGCGCGCGCGTCGAGGTTGAGGACTGGAAGAGGCGAGACAACCCGATCACGCGGCTGCGCAAGTATCTCGAGAAGAAGGGACTGTGGGACGAAGAGAAGGAGAAGGCGGCCCGGGCCAGGATTCGCAAGGACGTCCTAAAGGCGTTTGCGGAGGCGGAGAGGGAGAAGAAACCACCGCTGAGGAGTATGTTCGAGGATGTTTATGCGGAGATGACGCCGGACACGAAGAAGCAGATGGAGGAGTTGAGGAGCGTGATTGAGAGATACCCGGATGAATATGATGTAGCAGAGTTTGAGGGCGGGAAAGATAGTTTATCCAAATAAGTGAAGAATTACTTACTTATATCACATTGCCATGTAGATAAATACATGAAGTTCCAACCAAAGAACCACGAAATGGGAGCCCACAAAAGAAAAACAAAATCCATCATCATTGATAAAGATTGATTATCACTTAGTTCTCTTCTTCTTCTTCTCATACAAAGACTTATAGCCCTATCTCTACAGATAAAGATGACTGTCTATCTATCATAGGCCAACATTACTCATCGTAGTAGCAGCCGCGAGGACCATACCTACATACCTACCGGGCTGCTTTTCTTCCTTTCCAAAAAAAGAAACTCCAATCATACCTAGATAGGTCTGGTACAATAATAAACAAGCACAGAAAAAAGCAACTGGCCCTTCAAACTTTCACTTTCATTTCCTCCTCGCTACGCCCGTCACCACCAACACCCCATTCCCAACCTCTACTTTCCACCCCTCCCGGATAAGCATCTTCCCCACCGCCGGACCCAACTTGCCTATACCACGCTCACTATGATTCCCCACACCCGTCACGATGCGGTAGCTAGCCGCGCGCCGCACCGGGTCCGACAAACCAAGCTCATGCCACCAAGCAGTGACGCGTTCGCGCACGATCCGTTTAGCATCCTCGACGCCGACGCCATGCAGATCGAGGCCGCCAGGCCAGCTCTGCTGCTCGACCAGTTTATCAGCAGCGGCGCTGAGCGCGGCTTTGGCGCGCGCGTCCGCGTCCCGCGCCTCTTGGCTGTAGTATGCGGCGGCGCCGCCCATCAGGGGGTCGGATTTTCCTTTGCGGTAGGCGGCGCGCGCTTGTGTGAAGGCGGTGTTGCGGAGATGGTAGTTTTTGGCGGCGAGGGCGGTGGCGGTTTCGAGGGAGAGCGCGCGGGATGATGGGTGCGTCGTGGTGGTGCTGGTGGTGCTGGGGGGTTTTTTAGGGGATGGGGGGGAGTCTATGGGTGAGGAGTGGTCGAGGTGCAGGGGAGGCCGGCGGAACTCGATATCGAATGTTGGTTTGGTGCCTGGTTGAGAGGCGGCGAGGGCTTCTGCGAGGTCGTGGGCGTGGGAGGCGGATGGATGTGAGATTTGTGCTAGTGCTTCCAGGTAGGAGGGGGGAATCGATGGAAACTCGTGCCCGAGGTCGATGGCTCGACTTTGGATAATGGGGTCCTCGATTTCTAGTCTCAGAGCAAGATGGGCCTCGATTATAGCGGAGATTGTCGAGCGGAGAGATGCGCCGTTCTTGTGATATATCGAGCTGACTTGCTTCGTCGGCATGTCGGTTCTCGACGAGATGAATTCGATGTCTTTCGCAGCCGTATCCCACTTGCTCATTTGCAAAGGTGGCTCTGAGGCCGGGCTGCTCACAAATGGTTCCGTCTGGCGATTCCTCCTCTTCTTTCCTTTCGTCTTTCGTGGCCGCGCCAGGTCCGCTTCTGAGAATGCCTCGACGCCTCTATACCGGCCTCCATTCTCATCAAGAAAAGACTGTGTCATGAGCTCGTCAATGACCTGGTTCACGTCCCCTTTATATTTCTTCAAAGTCCATTTGATATCAAACGGCTTTAGCGTAGGGAAGATGCCACATAAGAGCGCCTCTTTAGCTTCCCCATCCAGACCATCCAAGTCCCCATAACATGCTACCTCATCTTGGCCGCGCGGCTCTGTGCCTGATTCAGAGAAATCGCGTCCGTCGAGATCCAGCGATGACATATCCTGGCTGAGCGGCGTGTCGTCGGTATAGCTGGACCATGCTGGCCGGCTGATCGAGCTGCCACTGTCATTTTCGCGGCTGGCTTCCTCGCCATGTTCCGGTATCACTCCAAAGCCACTGCTGCCGCTGGCATCAAACCCGGTCTTTTCTTCTGCTTCCGCGCTCTCCTTGAGGATGTCGAGGGTATGTCGCGCGCTTGCTAGTTGTGCGGGATCTGCAAGGTTGAAATCGGAGAGGATCGCAAGCAGAGTTGACGTCTCAATTGTGGAGGAGTATTCATTCTAGAGAACAGCCAGCTAGTTAAAATAGCTATCCTTATTGACAACAGAGTATTACAGAATTGTGAGAGGGGTTATACCAGTAACTGAGTATTGAGATCCTCAACTGCAGATTGTTTGCGATCCGGCATGTTGAGACCGAAGGATAGACTGGGCGTGGCTATAGGTAGAATTCAAGTGGTTCTCTCTCTTCCTCTGTGCAATGAGAATGGCTTCGGCATGATTTCTGTGTATGGGTCTATCGACATGGTGTCTTGGTCTATCCCGTATCATTTTGCGCCGAGAGGGAGAGCGGCGTTTTCGCGATTTTGCGACTTTGACGATATCTCAGTGTCATGTGGGGAAAGGTGTTATCGGGAGCCGCTAAATGCCTGCCGACCGATCTGCGTGCGCGCGCAGGAGAACCGTGTCACGCATTATTGAACCTGAAGGTCCTGAACGAACCATGGGGCAATATTTATGACAATCATCGCAACGGCTACAGGTAAACACAAAATGCATTCCGACTATCTAATTGAGTGCGCAAAGCTCGTCCCATCGTTCAATGTTCATCCTCCACAACCTATGCGCCCAAACGACCTCCCATGCAATCTGATTGATCATCCAGCTTCCAAATGGGCAGGAAAAGTAACGTGATGGGAATAACCTCATGAAAACATAGGGCGTTCTAAGGAAAGCAACGGTCATCTTTCGTCAAATCAATGCTTGAGATCGTACCCTCGATCTAACCCATGCATCCCATATTCACACGCTTATGACAGATGGAAAGCGCCCTGTCCTTCCTTAATTGCAGTATTCATACGTCGTCGCATGACGCTCAAGCTCGAGTAATCGGGCAGTTTTAGATAATTGACACAAGTCATGACACTTGGAAGATAGTCATCCGAAGTGTAAGGTGCTTCGCTGGGCTTGCAGACAACAGTGAACATCGGGGTGAGGCTCTTGAAACCTGTTTTTGCATTAGTATGAACGCGAAATGGCTTGGGAGAAAACTTACCGCCAATTGGAAGCTTCGGACTGCCAGTAGTAAATTGGAGGAAATCCCGTCGCTCCGCCAGAGTAAGCTCACTCATAGTCTGGAGTAGGTTCTTAACGCTCTTGCTGTCCATATTGAAGCCATGGTCTGCCTTGATTGAGTCCATCAGGGCTGCGTGCATGATTAGCTACAGGAAATGGTATAGGACTACTGCTTTACTTACTTTCAATTGACCAATCCTCTTCGACTCTGCCGAACAGCATAACCAGTTCGTCGGGGGTGAAGGCACTCAGAGCGGAGTACGGGAAGACTTGAGTAAAGCCAGCTCTGAAGGCATCCACCTGTCTCTGAACTCCACTTCCAAGCGTCATGTCAATGACCTTCTCAAGGTATAGCTCAACGTTGTCAATTGTGACAGCGATCTGGGATCCATTGGGAAGCAATTCGATCGTGGGGTACCCGGGAAGAGTGAAGTCAAGGCCTAGATCATCGACACGACAGTTCTCGATGGTTAATGCTTCTGCTTTGGCTACCTTCTCTGCGGCGGAGAGGTTGGGATCTTCATCGATGGCCTTCTTAGCCACCACGAACTTCTTGATCAACTTTAGAGATGAAGCCAAGCCAGGGTCGACCGTCTTGACAGCCCCTAAGGATGGCGTTACCGTCTTCGATCCGTCGCCGATGCGGAAAAATGTAGGATTGAAAGATACATCAATGATGCGAGAATCAATCATAGATCTGGCGACAAATTTTCCAAGCATCTTGAAGAGGTGGAGGATTCGTTTGCCATTTTCATTTGAGGCATGCTCCTCACTCATTGGGGCAGGGAAGAGACCGCGGACACCAAAAGCATACTCGTCGTTATCATTAACATCTGTCTCGCGCCAGAGTTTCAGTTTCTTCTTCGAAAATTCCTTCGACACAGTGGAATAAAATTCCAAGGTGGGACCAAGACCAGTTCCAACTTCTTCAAAATACTCGACCTCCAGAATGCTTTGAGAGGCGCCATAGAGTTCCATGACCTTTAGTGCGGATTCAAGGATCTTTGACCGCGAAATGCGAACCTTTTGGCGTTGGAGACGACCTAGGAATGGTCTCTCTTCCCTATGACGGTCTCGGTTAGACTCATCAGCAGATTGGGCGTTTTGCCATCTGGTCATAGATCGAGCATAGCCGAAGGACGTAGACTGTAGGAAGAGATGACGTGTCTCGAATGGGAAGAGGAACGGATAAAGTCTCGCGAGATCTTCGCTCCAGCTAGGAAGACAGTTGCTCGCCACTATCAGAGGCTCTTCAAGTTGTCTGTTCAATTTGGCAGTAAGCTTTGTGTTGACAAACTGCGACAGTGGTTCCGCATTCAGCTTTAGGGTATCCTTGTTCTCAGCGAGGACGTCGTCGAGGTTTGCATTAAGCGCATGTAGAATGTTCAACAATCGAAGGATTGACGAAGTTGCCGGGTGCTTGTCCAGAGATGCTGGGATTCCAGATGCCGTGGTTTCCGTGCTAGTCTCAGCGGCCTGTGTGAGAGAGCTTGGCTCGGGGGGAGGAGGTCCTGGGACACGCCTAAACTTGATAGGATGAACTCCGGACCAGACGCTTCGGCTGGCATGCTCATCCACAGGATTAGACGTGTTATGAACGGCTCGGTAGATTGTGGTTTCATTAGAAATAACCTTGCCATCAAGGCTAAACTCGATATGCCAGTCCTGAGGGACCGCCTGGATAGCAGCAGCGTATGACATCGGTCTCGAGGATGTGCTTGGAGTGGACAACAAGGCTGCTTGTGCAGCTGCGGATAAGCCTGAGGTGCTGCGAGAACTGCTTCCAGGTAGTTGAGAAGGTGTTGCAACTCGTGTGCCATCCTCTTTCCGTGCCGTAACTTTGCCCTCGGCGGCAACCTCGAGGTTAACTGCAGACGGGTCGGTGGGTGATCCTTCCTCCATTTCATCATCCAAATCGCCAACATCTAACGCAGCGCTGTCATCCATATCATCTTCATCGCTAAGCTGTCTCTCCTCAGCGCACTCTAAAGCTCGTGACAAGCTATCTTCATCATTCGGAGGAGGCGAGGGCGCCGGTGGTTCCGTCTGCGCCTGATTGCGTCGGCTTGACCGACGAGTAGTAGATTTCTCGTGGGGTGTGGTTGATGTTTGCTGGTCAGTCGTGGCTGGGGTAGCGTTAGGAGCACTCTTGGCCTTAGCCTTGCGGGAGCTGCGAGAAGCAGAAGGTGTGGGTGCGGCAGGAGTCGCAGCAGTCGCTGAACCTAGGCCGCGTTCTGGGAGTCGAGCTTGGGAATTTGAAGCACCGTGATATGGATTTGGCATGCCTCCTGCTGAAGCGAGAGCAGCCAACGCACTAGAAAGACCTTCTCTGGTTCTCGAACCACGCGGACGCTCCGAGAGGCTGATTCGTGGGCGTAGGTAATCATCCAGAGCTTTGAAGGTTGCAATTGCGTGAATGGAGACCATGATATTACGATATGGTCGCGGGATTTCGGAATCCTCATCTGCAACGAGCTTCAGGCGAATCTGCTTTGCAAGCATAGAAGCGGCGCTACTTCTGTTTCCATCAAAACTATTCTGGTGAACAGTGACGACTTCGAAATGCTCTGAGCGACTTAGTAAATCCTGCAATTTGTGGACGAGAATGCTAAAGGGGGTGGCGGGGGAATCGGCACTGGCGGTCTTTGGCTTCTTAGTGACAGTTCGTCCCATAAAGACCTCCAAAAATGCAGAGCGAGCATCATTGCTCAGCCGCTCGTCAGGATTATTGAAGACCTCGAGGAGGACACGAACGAGTTCAGAATTCAGTAACTCTGCGCTGGTGACGCTCTCCAAGACATCTCCATCGAAGTAAGATGCAAGGGTCGTAAAAAGTTCAACTCCATTCCCAGGACCGTTGTGCAGATAGTGATCTTCAATTTGTGAGGCTAAGGTCTGGAGACGGGTCAGAATCTGGGTTGCCATCTTCTTCATATTCTTGCTGTTCTTTTCATTCTCATGAACATCCAAGAACTTCTTTGCTCTCTGAACAATGAGCCGCTGCATGCTTGTGGCATCCGACGGCATGCGGTGTGGTGGGCCATCCTCAGACATCGTTGATTCCCGAGAGCTTGCCGGAGAAGCGCTGCCATCCTCATGGATATCATCGTTCTCGTTTTCCTCATCATTTTCATTATCGGAAGAGTCTCGATCCTCGTCATCGCCATGTTCTCCTCCACGGCCGACCTTTTCCGGCATATTGTCGGTCGCACTTGGTTCATTAGAATCAGACACTTCGTCGCCGGGGTAGTCAACGCTTGCAGATTTCTCAGACTGCTCTGTGGCAGCAAGCTTTGCAATCTCAGCAATAACACCCTCACGGTAGAATTGATAACGGTATATGTCATCTAGTCGGACGAGGAGTAGTTCTGCGGCTTGAAGAGCATAATTTACAAGGCTAGGGTGATCTTGTTGAGAGAGGATCGCAGCCAAGAAAGAAGCGTATGGTACAGATCGTAGTGCCTCCATTAGAATGTCTCTGTCCAAATTAGACAACATCTTCAGCTGGGCAGTGAGGACTTTTTGTCGAACGCTCAGATTGACGGTGCTCGAAAAAGCATCTGTCAATGTCGGGAAGAGGATGATAGCAAATCGTTTAACCTCGTCTTTGCAGCCCTCCAGGAGTTCGATACGCTTCTCATTAGACGACTTCTTTCGAGAGGCCGATGATGTACCAGTCGATCGTGCTGATGCAGCGTCAATATCAGAGACTTCGCCAAAAGACACATCAGATTCCTTAGGTAGACCAGGAAGTAGCTCGCAAATGACATTTAAGGTTTCGATTACTTGCTCCCGAGGTCTGTGAATCAGGGCTTGCATGATGACGACGCTGTCCAGCTTCGATGCAACATCTTCTGTAGGTCCAGGTGGTGACACGCCGGTCAATATCTGGTACAGAGTGTCGACAACATGCATCTTAAAGAGCTCGGCCGACAAAGATGCGCTTGCCTTTGCAGTAAATGCAAGTACTCGGAGGAATTGCGTATGAATATTGGGCCCGATGAGGTTTGTGGTGCCCGGAAGCAAGAGTCGGAGTATGGCTTTCAGCAGGTCGGTGCTAACGAGCTCTTCAAGTTTGTTGGGATGATATCTGAAGCTCTCTACGACGCGCGACACACATAGAGAGCCTTGTTCGACGACCTTTTGGTCATTAGAACCGAGGACATTGAGCAATATTGGCATCACGTCCTTGACCACGGGGAAAGAATCCTCGGGGATGTTCCGACAACAATTGGCAGCTGTAGTAACTGCAGTTCTCTGGGTACTCGTGGCGAAGAATTCAAGATAGGTTAAACAAGCAGTCAAGCCACCCTCACGAACTATAGACGTCGGGTACTCGACGGATATCTTCTCAAGCGTCTAATATGGTGGTCAGTATGTGCTGTGTGACAGGTGGAAGGGAAACGTACGCTAAGTGCTTGCTCGGCCAGATCGATGAAATGAATTTCGAGGAGCTTTGCACAGAGAACGGGTACAGCACCGCCATAAACCACGTTGGCAGTGCTTGCTGGCAAAGCCTCCATTAAATTGGCAAGGCAACGACATGCAAGCAGCATCATCTCTGGGTTCTCTTCCCCGAAGTCCGAGGGTTGCATCAAGGCTACCAGTTCCTTCACAAATGCATCGGGTGAAAAGTGGCCAGAGAGGTTATCCTCAGTAGATACCAGTAGGATTTCAGACAATTCTTGAAGGGCAATGAGCTGGACCGATGGATCGTCCTTCTGCTTCAAATTGTTTAAAATGTCACGCAGCCGGGTAGAGACTCCGGACATCATCCCACTCAACGCTCTTAATGTGCTTGAAAGACCGTGTGGCGGTCCACCAGGTCCACCAAACCCTCCAAAGGGGTCATCATCATCATCGTCATCATCGTCATCTCGTCCTCCATAATCGCGAGCCATTTCGTCGTCCTCGTTGTCATCGCTAGCCTCATCATCATCACCGAGAGGAGATTGTGCCTTCTCATCTACCCCGTTCATCGAAGCATCAGCATCCTTCGCGGTCTTCTTTGATCGACGGCCAGGGGCGGGAGGGTTGGCAGATGTCTCTGCTGTGTGAGAGGTTAGCTCTGTAGACATACGATCCTCGAGTGGCCACCGACCTTGACCGCCCTTCTTATTCCTGGAGGATTTACGTTTCGTGGCAGATGAGGGGTTTGAGGCTTCGTTGGAAGGGCCGGCAGAATCACTAAAACACAGTCAGTATCGAGTGCCTGTTTGGTGCACAAGATGTCTTACCTGGGACTCGACATAACCGCAGGAGTCTTGCCTTTTCTTCGGCGATTTGAGGCTGCTGGTGGTGGTGGTGGAGGAGGCTCAGGCTCCGACACAGTCTTCTGCCGCTTAGGCCGCCGAGAAGATGGAGGCTTTGCAGGTTCGGGTTCGAGTGCTGGGCTGGGCTCACGCGCAGGAGCTTTTCGTTTTCGAGATGGGGGTGGAGGTCGGGAGGACGAAGCCGTTGCAGGTACTGGAGCAGTAGAAGGACCCGCGGTTGTCTCTGACGAGCTGGCTGCTCTCGCAGACGCACGAGTTACACGGGAACTGGAAGAAGACATGAGTACTGGATTCTGACGAACAGGCTGCTAAGAAACGTCAACTCCCTGCCACGACTGAGGGCCAGTCATGAGAGGTTGACGTGGAAGGGCTCGAGGGAGGAGAGGAGAGGGGGATGCTCGTGTGGAGAACGGGAGAGGATCAGATGGGAGAGAGACGGTGTGAAAGTGAGAGAGATGGCGGAGAAAATGTAGATGGAGGTGAAGGTGGAAGATGAAGGTGAGAGGGTGAGGTGGAGGCAAATATAAAGGTGGTGGGATTTACTTATTGGAAGAAGTGATGGCAGAAGAGCCTGATGGGTCGTTATCGAAGAGTGCCGATCGCGATGGTGCTTTCCCTTTTTGTGCGGCCATCGATTCACGTCACGAACCCATTTTACGTCTCTGACATTACTGTTCGCCGGTCGTTGGAGGAGGATGAAGGTGGGCTGGGCTCTTTGTCTTGGTTGATGCTGCGATGGGGATTCTGGACAGGTGCTCGAGTGTGAGGTCGAGAAGGCCATCGAATATGCCCCGGCCTTGTGCTGGCCGCGCTTATTTAATATGCTTAGCGACTTGCACCCTCGAAATGACGGCAGCGAGAGGCAAGGCGTCCGTTGCATCAGATCATTGATTATCAGCGCGCCCTTTGTCTTTGTTTTGCTCTCACTCTCTAATTCTTCCTCGCTGTGATCCTTTCTCACAAATGCTGCTTGGGCGGGGTTCTCCTGGAAGAGAGGCTGCACTCGTCGAGGTGCTTCCTTCTCCAAAAGCAGCGGGGAAGGGGTGAGCCTATACGGGGCAATAGGTAGCTTTTACCCCATATCAATCCAAAGGCTGGAAGGCAGATTCATAGTTCAAGATAAACTATAAAATATACAGCATAAGATAAAAGGAGCAGAAAACAGGGGGGCAAGAGAGGGTGTGCTTCACTTGCGGAGTCCCCCAGAGGCTCAAAGCTGTTGTCCACCGCTCTACTTCAAGGTATTAGGTACGTATAGGTGCTCATAAGGTAGATTACGGACTACTCCTGGCGCTTTATTATTATTAGAAAGAAGAACCTTGTTATCTTCCCCATCAGGGTCCCTTGGTCCAGCGCCGCCTTTGCTCCATCTACCTATTATCGCCAGAGGATATTATCGCCATCACCACTACTCACTTACTAAGGGTTCCTACTAGGCACAATTCATCCGCGCAGTCCAGCACCAACCCCTCCAACAGTCCTGGGAGTCTCATCAAGTCCCAACTCTGCTTCATCCTTAAATGTCTACCTACGTACAGCCCTGCGCATGAATTCTGGCTGATGTGGACGGGCGGCGCTTGAGAGCAGCGGTAATCAAGACATCAAAACTCTTTCCTCTACAGCCCTTTGAAGGTTAGTCATCACGCCATTGCTGCCATGGCACCGTCGATTGCCGCACCACTCATGTCAGAATACTACGAGTCAACAAACGGAGGGGTAGCGGAAGGTTCTTCGATAGAGGCCGCCTTGCCCATCCAAGAGCGACAAGGTCCTGTCATATATACAACACATGTGCTATGCACAAGGTAGGTAAGTACAGCATCATGCCTCGACGTGGGTAATAATTTCTTTCCTCAAATTTCAATTCCAATTCCAGTGTCCTTGTCCTCTCAACTTGGTCTCTTTACAACATTACATAAGACCTCTGGAAATCCCCTACCTAAATCCGTCCAGACTGACTGTACACATTCGACTCTAGACTCGTAGACTTGTCTTGCCCCCTCCACGCCCTCCTTGCTCTTCCCGAAGCAACTCCGTCATATGTAAGCCTTCCCACCCCCTCCCGCTCTTTGCCCGAAGATGTAAAAGCGACGTTACAGAACCTCAACTCTCTTTCTCTCTTTTAACCTTCTTCTCTCTCTTTCCCTCCCTTTTGCTTCAATCCCTCCCCCTCCTGCTTCAATCCCTTCCCTCTCCCATCTCCCCTCCAGCGACCCCTCGCTTCTGCTGCTATCGCCACCACCGCCAGGCTGACCCGCCCTATTCTTCGCCCGTCTTTCAGGCGGCGTCTCGGTCGTGACCTTCACGATTGCTTCCTCTCTCTTCGCCACTTAGCGTCATCAGCATCGCTCTTCAGCAGCCGCTTCAAGGCAATTGCAAAGATGGCCTCAAATCAACCCACCCAGTCGGTTGCGACGCAAACCCCCCAGAATTACTCCTTCCCCCGGAATAGATTAAGACTTACTCAGCGCGATCCTACGAAGACGCCTCTGGTCTTGGTCGCTTGTGGTTCCTTCAGCCCAATTACCTACCTCCACATGAGGATGTTTGTCATGGCGGCCGACTTTGTGCGTTTCAACACGCAGTTTGAACTCATGGGGGGTTACCTGTCACCTGTCGCGGATTCTTATAAGAAAGTAGGCTTGGTCGCTGCGGAGCATAGGTAGGCCAGCCGCATCGCCAGCCTATGATCCTACTAATCCCTTGCAGGCTCCGCATGTGTGAATTGGCAGTTCAGCAGGACAGTAACTGGCTTATGGTTGATCCATGGGAGGCTATCCAACCCGACTATATGCCTACAGCCCTCGTGCTCGACCATTTTGACCATGAGATCAATGAGGTATTGGGCGGCGCAGAAAGACCAGATGGCACCCGCGTCCCAGTGAAAATCTCGCTCCTCGCAGGTGCCGATCTGATTGGCACAATGTCGACCCCGGGCGTATGGTCCGAGGAGGATCTCGACCACATTCTCAGACGCTATGGCACATTCATTGTCGAGCGGAGTGGTACCGATATGGAGGAAGCTCTTGCACACCTCCAGACTTGGAGAGACCAAATCTACGTTATCCCCCAATTACTACAGAACGACATCAGCAGTACCAAGATCAGACTTTTCTTGAAGCGGGGGTTGAGTGTGCAGTACTTGATTCCCGCTCCTGTTGTCGAGTACATTGAACAAAATGGGCTATTTGAGCAACATGGGCCACATGAGGACGATGGAACATCATCCGTCAATGAAAAGGGCAAATCAAAGAGCGCTGAAGGTTCGAGTCAAGAATCATCAGCTGTTGCGGACTCTGGATCCAAGAGCTAGTTGGAAGACTGAGATTCTACTTCCAACAATTTTTTATTACGACGTCACGGTCCTGTACGGTACGAAACCTTGCTGCCGAAAAAATCGACACGCACCAAGAATATCCTGAGTCTCTGGGTCTCTGTATATCCCTTCTTGGAACTGGGGTTTTGTCCCGCAATCCTCGTCTTGCCTTACTAATCCCAAACTGGCCCTGACGATGGCAGCATTTTGCTTTGGAGTTCTCTTGCGTCGTGGGTGCCGACTGTTCTGAATTTTTCTTGCTTGGGTCGGCTGGGTTTTATATATTAGGATGATTTGGTTCCGCATACTAGAATATGTATGCTGCTGGGGAGGCTCTCTGATTAGAGGCATGGCTGTCGTAAAACCCCATTAGATATAGTTGCGTCACACAGCGGGAAATACAGATACAGATTTAACGATTCCACTCAATTACCACAAGAGGATACCATACATGCCCAGTCATTAAATATATTAGCGTCCGCGATATTGTTGCATATTTCAATCGACAATGAGAGCACCAGCGTAGAGCTACATTGAGGTAGCCTTACCTTGTGGTTTTCTGCCTCGAAACGGTAACCGATTTTCAGGCACAGCAGAACGCCACAGCAGCTACAGCTTTATCAATGACGATTGCGTGGCTGAGTCAACTCAGACATCGACAACAACAATCAGCCGTCACCTGCTCGACTCCATCCCGAGTAATACCAACCATATGCTTCGTGAACAACATCCCCACCCCATTAGAAGCTGAGTGCTTGACCCATCATCTCAAATCCAATATCAACGCCTCTTGGATACCAGATAATATCGCGGTGCTGGGCATCGCTCCGGCCAACGATGGGCCGACTATGGCACTCCGCAGCCATCGCAGCACTGCTCACTGCAGGCTTCGTATCCGGCGAAGCTTTCACCCCAAAGCATGAGGCAGGGCGATGTGCCATGCGCGGACACTGCGGCAAGACAGGTTTCTTCTCACCCGAACTGCCTTGTTCAGACAACGGGCTGGCAGAGGAGCCAGAGGACGATGTGAGGAAGCAGCTGGTGGAGCTATGCGGCCCCAAATGGAATACTGGACCCGTATGCTGTGGGAGCGGACAGGTATGGTGTCTTCTCATGAATACAATGCAAAACGCTGATCGGTCGTGTAGCTTGACTCGCTGGCGGAGAATCTCAAGAAGGCAAATCCTTTCATATCCTCCTGCCCCGCATGCAAGGAGAACTTCTACAACCTATTCTGCACATTTACCTGTTCTCCCGATCAGTCGCTCTTCATCAACGTCACTCAAGCCGACAAAGTTGGTGGAAAGTTCAGGGTAGCAGAGATCGACCACCTTGTTTCGGACGAGTATGGATCTGGCTTCTACGACAGTTGCAAGGACGTGAAGTTCGGGCCCACAAACAGCAATTCTATGGACTTCATTGGTGGAGGTGCAAAGAACTATACGGACTTTCTGAAGTTTATGGGCAAGAAATCCGCGTTAGGCTCGCCATTTCAGATCAACTTCCCCAGGCCGAGTGATTATCCTGAAGACGGAATGGGAGGCCTGGATATGAAACCGAAGAGATGTAACGATGAGGACGAGCGCTTCAGATGTGCCTGTATCGACTGCCCTGCAGTTTGTCCCACATTGCCAGAAGTTAAAAATGGGCGCTCTTGTCATGTTGGATTACTACCCTGCCTATCATTTGGAGCAATCCTGACCTATAGTGCCCTTATGGCCTTGCTTGCTACAGCTTTATTTGGCCACATCGCCTGGGCGAAGCATTCTCAGAGAAAGTCTGAACGTTTACGATTGCTCCAGGACAGTGCACCAAGCGATGATGAGGATGAAGGGGACATGGTCGACAACGCTGCTATGTACGATCGGCCACAGAAGAATTACAGGATCAATAGCTTCTGCGATGCCGCTTTCAGCCGCTTGGGATACGCCGCAGCCAAATTTCCCGGTATCACTATTGGGATCAGTGTCCTTGTCGTCGGACTTATGAGCCTGGGTTGGATGAGATTTGATGTCGAGAAAGATCCGGCTCGATTATGGGTCAGCCCAACCTCTGCTGCTGCGCAGGAAAAGGCTTTCTTCGATAGTCACTTCGGACCGTTCTATCGTGCCGAACAGATGTTTCTGGTAAACGACACGCACCCCGAAGGCCCTGGTCCAGTGTTGAGCGATGACATCCTCAGGTGGCTGATCGGTGTTGAAGATCGCATCAATCAAATAAAAGGGCCCAAAACCGGTGTCTCACTGGACGACGTTTGCTTCAAACCTACTGGGGATGCATGTGTTGTCCAGTCAGTATCGGCTTATTTTAACAATAACCCAGATTCGGTCAAGCCAAATACTTGGAAGGATACGCTCCGGGGTTGCGCTGGTACGCCCATCGAATGTCTTCCTAAATTCAGTCAGCCTATAGATCCGAAAATGATCCTCGGCGGCATTCCAAGCGGCGATGTTGTCGATGCGTCCGCACTGATCGTCACTTGGGTTCTCAAAAATGATGTTGAAGGGTCACCCGAGGTCGAAAGGGCCATGGATTGGGAAGCGGCTATGAGAGACACTTTCTTTGATTTGCAAAACGAGGCAACGCAACGTGGGTTGAGACTATCCTATTCCACTGAGATCAGTCTGGAAGAAGAACTCAACAAATCCACAAACACAGATGCGAAGATTGTCGTGATAAGCTACATTATCATGTTCTTCTACGCATCTCTAGCTCTTGGGTCGACTACTTTGTCTATCCGGTCTATCCTACGTAATCCCGCCACGTCCTTCGTCGATTCGAAATTTACTTTGGGAGTGGTTGGTATCCTGATCGTACTGATGTCCATTTCTGCGTCTATTGGTCTATTCTCCGCGGCAGGTATCAAGGTGACCCTCATCATTGCAGAAGTCATCCCCTTCATTGTACTTGCAGTCGGTGTTGATAACATCTTCCTCATCGTCCACGAGTTCGAGAGAGTCAACGTCAGCCATCCTGATGATATGGTAGAGTTCCGTATTTCGAAAGCTCTAGGACGAATGGGACCCTCCATCCTCTTGTCAGCGATTACCGAGACGATAGCATTCTCTCTCGGTGCATTCGCGGGCATGCCTGCTGTTAGAAACTTCGCGATATATGCTGCCGGCGCGGTGTTCATCAACGCCATCTTACAAGTCACTATGTTCGTGTCTGTCCTCAGTCTCGACCAAAGACGAGTCGAAGATCACAGAGCAGACTGTTTCCCCTGCATCCAGATAAAGAGTGCCGGGGTATATCTTAGCGGCTCGAGTGGCCCCGGGTATGCGAGACCATACGAAGGTCAGGATGAGACCAGTCTGCAACAATTTATTCGCAAGACTTATGCTCCGGCACTTCTTGGCAGGAAGATGAAGGTTGCTGTCGTAGTCATCTTCCTTGGGATATTTACGGCTGGCGTTTCGCTGATGCCCAAAGTCTCTCTGGGATTAGATCAACGAGTCGCAATTCCTGACGGTTCTTACTTGATCCCCTATTTCAACGATCTCTATGATTATTTCGACTCTGGACCCCCAGTGTACTTTGTCACCCGCGAGTTGAACGTCACTGAACGCATACACCAACAGCAACTCTGCTCCCGATTTACTACTTGCGAACAAGAATCCCTCACAAACATTCTCGAGCAAGAGCGGAAGAGACCAAGCACATCTTACATTGCCTCCACCGCGGCAAGTTGGATCGATGATTACTTCCGCTGGTTAGATCCAGAACTTGATACATGTTGCGTTGAGAATGGCCAGACATGCTTCAAGAACCGTGATCCGGAATGGAATATTACCTTATACGGTATGCCAGAAGGAGGGGAATTCATACACTACCTCCAAAAATGGGTAGATTCGCCTACAGATCAACTTTGTCCTCTGGGTGGAAAGGCTTCATACGGTGATGCGCTGGTCATCGATGCCGAGAGGGAGACGATTCCAGCAAGCCATTTCCGCAGCAGTCATACACCCCTCCGCAGCCAAGAGGACTTCATAGATGCCTACGCCTCAGCACGTAGAATCGCAAGTGGATTAAAGGAAAGCACGGGCATTGAGGTCTTCCCATACAGCGTATTCTACATATTCTTTGATCAATACGCTTCCATCGTCCGCTTAACCGCAACACTACTCGGCGCCGCTCTCGCCATGGTCCTCGTCGTCTCTTCTATCCTCCTAGGGTCCGTAAAGACGGGAGCCGTCGTAACCACCACCGTCATCATGATCGTCATCGACATCATCGGCGCCATGGCGGTCTTCAACGTCTCTCTGAACGCCGTCAGCCTGGTGAACCTGGTGATCTGCGTCGGCATCGGCGTCGAGTTCTGCGCCCACATCGCGCGCGCCTTCATGTTCCCCAGCCGCGCAGTCATGGAGCGCGCCAAGATCAAGTTCCGCGGCCGCGACGCCCGCGCCTGGACGGCGCTCGTCAACGTCGGCGGCTCCGTCTTCTCGGGCATCACCATCACCAAGCTGCTCGGCGTCTTCGTCCTCGCCTTCACGCGCAGCAAGATCTTCGAGATCTACTACTTCCGCATCTGGCTCTCGCTCGTCATCTCCGCGGCGGCCCACGCCCTCATCTTCCTCCCCGTGGCGCTCAGCCTCGTGGGCGGCGACGGCTATGTCGATCCTGAGAGCGATGGTGGGCTGGAGGAGGACCTGGCCAGTCGCAGGTATAGAGCATTATTACCGGATGATGGAAGTGATTCGGATGATGATTATTAGGCGAAACCCCTTTCTTTATATGAATAGCGGTTTAGAAACGTCTCTACGTCTGTAGATAAGATTGAAATTAGCAGAGAATTAATCGGATAAATGAATCAGTCTCAATAAATGAATCAGTCTCAATAAATGAATCAGTCTCAATAAATGAATCAGTCTCAATAAATGAATCAGTCTCTATAAATGAATCGGTCTCTACAAATGAACCCCTCTCTCTTCTAGCATCTCCTAGCATCACTTACCTAATCCCCAAGTATACTCTACCTACCTACCTACCTATCTTATACAAAACCGCAATATGTCCCTATCTTGACGAATAATCTAGAATGCTGTCGAGGCAGAATTTCAAGTATGAATGAAGTACCTAATCTGACCTTACCTTATCCTATCGTAAACGTGAATATTTATCTAGGTAGGTAGGGTAGGTATCTGCTTAAGGAGTTTTTTTCTTGTTTTGTTTTGTTTTATTTTATTTTATTTTATTTGTTCTGTTCTGTGCTTACTCCTTCCTATATTTCGTCGCTTCTAAAATGAAAAGAAAAGAAAAGAAAGCCCCCCCCCTCCCCCCCCCCCCTGTCCAAAAATTAAAACAAGAACAAAAAAAAAATCAAGATGTCACAAGTGACCAGTCTGGGGTTCGATCCCAGGACCTTTTGCGTGTTAAGCAAACGTGATAACCAACTACACCAACCGGCCTTGTCTTATACTTTCCTCTCATTATTCTCTCCTATATGCAAAAACCGAAGTGGGGCGTTTTAGGAGTTACGTAAGTTGTAGTATGGTGGGATGGGATGGGATGATGTGATGCGTGGGTTGGGGTGGGGGGCGATTACGGAAGTTGTAAGGAGAGGGGTGGTATTTTCCACGGAGCTTTAGGTTAGGTTAGGTAGGTAGGTTGTTGGATTTATGGAAATGAGATGAAGAAATATAAAATATAATTTCCACCTACCTAGATACACATACCTACATCGGCCATACCCTTTGAGCGGCATCAGGGCCTGCCGTTTGGACTAATACTACTCGCTGGGCGAATTTGATGCAGCATATTCGTGGGAGGGAGGGAGATGATTCAAGGAGAAAGAAAGGAGCGGCCCGCCCTCTCTTGACATTGTGTGATACGTAATGTTATATAACGTGATGGAATAATGGTGAATCTGGGCTTATTTTGTTATTATCATTGTTGATTGTTCTGTATGGATCGTATGTACCTTGGGCTTGTACTGTAGAAGCAAAGCACATTAACGGTCGAGAGAAGGGGGATAAGCGAGGTAACCCCTTTTTGTAAGGGTCCCTTTGTACCTAAGCTGGCCGAGGGAGGTGTACAGAGCACGACGACATATGAACAGTAGGTAGGTATTCTATAAGCCAGACGAGATTGTCCATTATCATCACTTGCTCTGTTATCTCATCCTAACGCAGCGCTATGAACCGATGCGAAAAATCACCGGATATGACCGTGCCACGATACTCCACGAAGAAACCGTTATCCATTCCGAATCCCCTAAGCCAGGTAAAATCAAACACCACAACTGTATGCGTAAAGAAATAGCGACCAGCCGAGATGGCATTGTCGAGGGGTCCTGTTCCCGCTCATCGCGAAGTCGATGCTCAAACCTCCTCCATTTGTCCAGCGGGTTCTTCATCCTCTTCATCTCCGAAACTCCCTACGGATGACATGTCATCGTCCTCATCTGTCTCGGCTCCTGCATCGTCTGCGGCATCTTTACTCGCGTATTTGGTCACATATTCTACTCCAACTCAGCACAAACTACTCCTTGACTTACCAATCTATACATGGTAACTATACGATGACTCACCCTTAACCTTTGCCTCGTAGCTCTTCGGTTCTCGCATCAGTAATGCAGCAGCTTCACCATTTAGAGGATCTGTAGGGTTGGGATAGCGGAGGAGTTGTGGAAGGAACACTTCAAAGATATTGATCATGTCGAACATGGGGGACCAGGTTTGGTTGATGACATCGAGACAGACGGAGCCGGATCTGCGAAGCATTAGCCTTCGACTTGCCGGCGGGGCATTTCAGCCAAGGGAAAAGACATACAACTCGTCGATATTTGGATGGAAGATTCGGTTGACGAAGCCGATGCTAGGTGATTTGTACGGATATTGATCCGGGAGCTCGACGTGGACTTTCCAGAGACCGCCTTGAAATGGTGCTGCATACTATTAACTCCGTGCCTCCTCTCAATACTGGACTGCAGAACTGACTCTCTTCAGGCCCCTTGAAGCGGACATAGAACTCCTGCCTGTATCCCATTATATCAGCGACTCGTCGGCAGATGGCTGCGGCGGGAGAACGTACACTAATGAGAAGGCGTGTTAGCCACGACTCCATAAGTTGAGGGAGGCAACCTGACTTACTGTTATCATTGACTAGAGTAACTTCATAGTCACTCATAAGCCTGTCGTAATGTAAGCATTGTTCGAGAGCGCAAGCGTTGGAGGAGCGTACATCCTAAGCCCATCGTTAGCAAATGCCCTTTGCCACACCTAGATTGCTATGACTTACTTCATGACCTGCAAAGAGAAATGCTCAGTCAGTCTCCCACTGTCTAAGAGCCCAGGCAGAGTGCACTCACATCTGTCTCGATGCGACGTCGAGGACTGGACATATTGACGGCGGTTCTTTGTCGTCGTAGTTGTCTTGTAGTCGAGAAGGTCTGGAACGAATGATCGATCGATAGACGATAGACACGCGATAACTGAGGAGTCGTCTGGGAGGTGGCCTCTGCCTGCTTTGCGTGAGCAGGAAGACGGGTGGCGGTGTATTGAGAGGGTAAAGAGATGCGAGGAGATGCGAAGGGAAATGACGGAAGTCACGAAGCCGATAAGCTCTTTATCGCGGCCCGGGATTTGGCGATGATTCAGGATATACTTTTTTGTATGTACATGGTCTATTGATAATTTGATACTGCTATAGAAAATCCTCTTATATTATTTCATAATTTCTTCTAGAAACTTTTGATTTGCAGTTACTTAAGACATATGTTAGAGCTTCGGACCCTGGAGAGCTATTCACGCAGTAGGGGTCATCAGACGTTCCGTTCCGTTACCAATAAAGCTCTTTTTAGGCCCCTTTGGGCAAATCACTGTATGGCAATTTGAGCCGATGAAGGCATGGAGGAGCTATATCCTTTGCTCAAACCCTTTGTTGAAGAACCATGAGATTTCTGAATCCCATCTCCAGCGAATTCCTCTCCACGTGACCTCGCTCTTGGAGATATTTTCCGGTCTCGTGACATCCGAGGGCCCGGACGAATGCGGTCTAGCCTCGTCAACGACCCCGAGGTTGACAATTCGGCATGAGCATCGTGGGCTTCAGCAATCGCCCACGAGTACGCCGAATTGCGACCCTCTGTGCGATCCGACCAGTATCGGATCGTCTGTGAAATGCTTCATCGTCGCGGGATTCAGCAATTGACCGTTTGGCAGCCCGCGGACGTGTGCGCTGCGCCCGCGATTACTCGTCGTCTTTTCGACCCGCCAGTATCAGATCAACTGCGAACGCATCATCATGACCTGACCGAATAAATTGTTCTTTCATTCCGAGGCACCCTTTGATGAGACTTCACCAATACATCCATCGGGGCCACCACCACGATTTTCCGCCATGTCGCGAACATCCTCCGTCGTGAGAGCGTCGCGTGCCTTGCTTTTCCAATGTACTCGTCCTGCTGCCCCCGCTATGGTCAAGCTTCTTGCCCCTCCATTACTGAGTAGGCATGGGAGGTTCAGCTCGCACTCCCCTATGGGATCTGCGCCGCCGACCCGAAAGAAGGTTACAATCAATTCCTTACGATCAATGTACAAAAACGGCGAGCCAATAACCATGATCACGGCGCATGATTTCCCTAGTGGCTTTGTTGGAGACGCTGCCGGCATGGAAATTATCCTTGTTGGAGACAGCCTGGCCATGGTAGCCTTGGGAATGGAGGATACTAGTGAAGTGGTGGTTGAGGACATGCTGCTTCACTGTCGCTCTGTAGCTAGAGCTGCGAGGACGGCTTTCACAGTAAGCATCTTCCTCCCCCTCCTGCCCCGCTCCAAACCAGCTAACCAGTGTGCTTCTCTAGGTCGGAGACCTGCCTATGGGATCATACGAGATATCGCCCGAACAAGCGTTAGAAACCGCTATCCGGTTCATCAAGCAAGGTCGCGTACAAGGCATTAAACTCGAAGGCGGCACAGAGATGGCACCGACCATCAAGAAGATAACAACCGCCGGAATACCAGTCCTAGGACATGTAGGGCTTACACCCCAACGACAGAATGCTCTCGGTGGTTTTCGAGTGCAGGGCAAAACTGCTGCAGGCGCAGTCAAGCTCCTGGAGGATGCCTTGGCCGTCCAGGAAGCTGGGTGCTTCGCCGTCGTTCTCGAAGCGGTACCGGCCGAAGTCGCAACATTGATCACGAAGAAGCTCTCTATCCCCACGATCGGTATTGGCGCTGGAAATGGATGCTCTGGCCAAGTGCTGGTCCAGATCGATATGACGGGCAATTTCCCTCCTGGTCGCTTCCTCCCAAAATTTGTCAAGAGATACGGTGATGTGTGGGGTGAAGCGTTGAAGGCGATAGAAACTTATAGAGCTGAGACGAAAAGCCGCGCATATCCTGCACCAGAGCATACATATCCCATTTCAAAGGAGGAGCTTGCGGAATTTGAGCGTATTTTGGAGGCGTCCAACAAGCCGGCTGATGATTGATTTGCGTAACTTGGGTACGCTCAAGGATAGTGATAAAAGTTTTGGCACCCCATCCCAATGGTTTGGCTCCATCTTGATAGTTAGCGTTCTTCCTGGATTATATTCCGTTCGGAAGAGCAACTGAGCCATAGAGAGAGTAGCAATACGAGATCTTTCCCGCGCAGATATATTTCCTGTGCCCCTTTCATCCAAAAGCCGGAGTCATCGAATAACTGACAATAAGCTGATCATTCGAATCCTTGAAGCACTACCCATCAAAAAAATCATGAACATTAGCACACATATCCCCCCTCACCCCCATAAGAAAGAAAGAAGGCAGAGCTCATTCCTCAAACTAAGGTAACTCACCCTATGCAAATTCCCCACCACCTCATCGAGCGCCGGCGCAAAGCTCGAGTTCACATACAAGAACACGCTATCCCTACCACCCAGCCTCAGAGTCCGACGCAGATAACTCACGACCTGCTCGAAGCGCTGCGCGCTACTAATGCGACACACCTTCTGGCGCAGCGCGGGCGCGCTCCCGATGGCCACGAACCGCACCGTGATCTTGGGGCTGGGAAACTCGCCGGCGGCGCGCAGCGCTGAGGCCGCGTCCCGAGGTAACGAGGTCAGGATCATGGAGGAGGCGAGGGTGAGGGGGAGGTCGTTGGGGAGGTGCTCGGAGTCGGGAATCCCTGCTGCTGCTGTGGGAGCGTCGGGTGGAGGAGGGCTGGAGCGGGATGGGGACGGGGTGGTGGACATTTTGGACTGAGCGTTGTGGTAATGGTGCTGGTGGTTGTTTGTGTTGGTGGTTTGTTTGTGAGATGGAGGGAGAGAGGAGTGACCGGTGGTGGTGCGAACGAGGTTGGCAAGGCTGAGAGTTTGGACGGGTGTCGTCCGTCGCCTACCTTAGTCGAGCCGAGTCTCGGGGTTGCATGAAATGAACCTGGTCTTGTACCTCTGTCTAAGTATCACATAAGACGTCTATTTGAAAAGAGATTGTTCTTCCAGCTAAGTAAGGTAAGGTAAGTATATAAACCTGTGCGATTCCGTGTTTTCTTTTTCTTGCCATCCATAGATAGGTACACAGTATTTCTCAGATTTTTATACAGTACTTAAGGTAGGTCAGGTCAAATCAGTCTTCCCCTTTCAATTCTCTATACCACCAAAAGCTACTCTCTATTCTTTCCATGAGTAATCCAAGTCCTCGTCAAGCTACCGCCGCTGCAATAGTTGACAGAAGGAAATCATTCACGGAGCCCTCGCCTGCTGCTCTGTGCGGTTTTATCTGCGGCTTGTCTGAGAGTTTTGTGAATGGGCGTGAACAATCAGCAACCTCTGAGGAAGGCCGAGTAGTAGTGACTGTATATAAAGTTTCTCGCATCCCCAGATGTGATCTTTGGGGGAGGGGGGTGGGGACATGGACTTTTATTTACTGAGATCACCTTGACTTCACTAGAAGTCACATGCTAGACTTGCTCGAACGATCCAACTCCAGGACGGCTGAGTGAACACGGTCCTCATCCCTGATGAGGTCCCGCAGGTGCGACTCGTGTTCCCGGTAGGAGAATGCAATATCCTGTGCGTAGTCGATCCTGGGGCGTATCTTGATAGATACACAGAATCAATCCACTGTGATCGACCCCTATCCATCAAAGCTTCAATCTCAGGCACCGTGTCCATCGAGAGCCTTCTCCTCCTCCTCCGCAGCCTCCCTTTTGCATCTTTCGCACATACACCAACCGCCCAAACTGCCCTTTGCCCACTCTCTCCTTTCCTGGACTTTGAGATCGATATCACAATAATGGCTCAGGATCTCCTCCCCCTTCTTAATCCCCCCCACAACCCCACCAACCCTCTTCTCCCTACACCAGAACTTCATCTGCCCGCCCCACTCCCACTGCACATTCGGATCACAATCATGGTTCGCCAAGCACCAGAGCGGATGGACGGCCGCGACCTCCACGCGCCCATCTCTCTTATTGACCCGCGCCGATGCCGTGCCCCGGAACTTGCTATACAGCGTGTTGAAGATCCAGAGATCGTAGCGGTCGACAGAGGCGAAGATGTCGATGTCCATCTTCTCAAGGACGTGCAGGGGACCCGAGATATTGGATGCGAACGAGAACGGCAGCGTCCAGACGGGCGGCGGGCAAGCGTCCAGCGACAGCAGTGGCACCGCGTTCGCCGCGCTGGGCAGGAAATCGCCCCAGATGTATTTCACCTCGGTGAGATCCAGAGGGTGACGCTCCTGCGCGTCGGACATGGCCAACGCGCGGGCGAGCAGCAGCAGATAGAGAGCGTTGGGTGCTTCTTTTGGGTCCGGATCCTTGGCGATCGTGTCGATGTCTTTGTCGCATATAGAAGGGTGGTAGCACTCGGCTCTGGCGAGGCAATCCTCATCGCAGAACATGGTGTCGTCGCAGTCTGGGCAGCCGACGACCGTGCTTCCAGGTTCTAGAGGGGGCAGTTCAGTGCTGCAAGCATCACATAGAGATTCTTTGAGGCGGTTGTTGACCGTCAGGACCGAGTTTTCCTGGAGAATGGTCTCTCCAGGCTGGATATCGTCCTTTGCGAATAGCCCAAGTTGTTTACACGTGGTCGGAGAATCTTGTCCTTCTGTATCACCGGGGACATCGATGAGGAAGGGCAACTCGGTGACTTTCACCTCGCATTTTGGCGCCACGGCCGCCAACTCAGAATTTAGGAAGTCGAGCGTCTCCTGTGAGAACCGATCGGGCTCATGGTCATTCCATGGATAGATTTCCCGCCGTACCAGCCCTTGGTCAGGCAGATCATTGATATCCACATCGTCCACCTTCAATCTCCTCCGCGCAAGTGTCTGGATATGTTCCTTCTTGAACAAGAGATCCTCATCGCCGGGCGCAACAGCCAGACCCCTCGTACAGAACTCATGTGCGCTTTTCAGACAGCCGCACAGCAGCAGGCTGGTCGCAAGCTTTCGATAGCATTGGATGGAAGCCTCGTGCGCTATGTCTGAGGGATCGCAGTCGCTCGAGCCCTGATCTCGTAGAATCGCCGGGACCCCATCGGCACAACGCGACTGCAGAGCTTCCAGTGCCTGCTCATGATACTCAAAGCCCTCGTTTAGCACCTCGTCCGTCAGGAGAAGAGCGCGGTATGCATCTCCAGCTGCGAGATCCGGATACCCTAGATCGGTGTGCACGGCGGCACGTTCCAGATATGCTATTAGATCATAGGGAAGTTGTAATAAAGCATCCGTTAAATCATGTCGTTTTTGCAAGAGTTGCGGGGTTGTCGTCCTCGTGGGCGCTGCCAATAATTCTGAATCTAACATTTTTGGCCGGTTTTTCCAGGGGGGTCGAGTATGCGAATACTCCGGAAAAATAATTCTCAGGGCTCTTGCTCACCCACAAACGGAGGAAAAGGAACAAAAAAACAAAATTTTGCGGTGAGAAAGTCGCGGAGCTTTTGGTCCGTGGAAATCAAAAGCAAGGAAGATGTCTGAACAGCTTCTCCTTTATGCACAGAGGCCTCGCGCGACCGAGTTTAAAGGTTTTTATTGAAGTCGGAGAATGGCTTGGCCTTGAGGGATGCTGAAAGATCGGAATAACATCGGAATATTATGAATTAGTACGGCATTTAAGCTTCTTCTACGGCCTTTCGTGATCAAGCCAGGGCTCCCTTAAAGGTTAAGTCCTCTGAAAGGGGGGGAATGCACGTTCTACCTCTGTAACAACGCTTCAATTGCTACTTATATCCCTATGTACTGCATTGGCTTGAATAAATGAACCAGGGAGTGAATATGGTATCTATGTAGATATACCCGGAAGCCACCCCGAGGGATGGGGAAGTGAGCACAGAACATACAGAGATTATCAGAAGACCCACGATTAACTTGAATGGAGAGATTCAGACCATGCAGCTCTTTTCATCTCCAAATTCTCCAAATTCTAGCATATGAGCAGGGCTGCAAGCTCCTCTTATTGATAGACGGAACTCATATTTTCCCAATATAATATCTATTTCCTTCTTCTATTGGACTGCGTAATTCATCTATGCATCTCTTCTTATCGTGTCGTCTGGAACCCTTTGCATAATCGTAATCCCCTATTCAAAATCCATCTCTCATCAGCACAGCAGCGTACAAACCGAGACTCTCCTTGCACAACAGCGAGATACCATCGTCGACGGTTGGGACCTTGCACTTCCTCTTCAGCCCATCAAGTCACTCAATTTATCCACGTAATACGCTGGAACAATTGGGGCCCCTTCAGCCTCCCATTCAGACTTCTTACTAACACCTGTCAGGACGGCCAAAGTCCCGCCAAGCTTCCCTTCTATACCAAATCGGATATCTGTGTTCAATCGATCACCGACCATACAGGCCTTCTTTCGATCAAATTGGAATTTCCCCTCTATCGAATCCATCATTGCCTGGCTTGGCTTTCCCAGAACGATGGGTTGCTGCCCTGTCATATTTACCAAAGGGATCGAGATCGAGCCTGCTCCGGGAAAGAACGCATGGTTTGATGGGAGCGTGCTGTCTGTGTTTGTGGCCAGGAATTTCGCTCCCCGGGTAAGGTAATGATAGGCATGCGAGAGCTTCAGGTAGTTGATGTGGTAGTCCAAGCCAGCCAGGACTATCCCAACATTTTCATCCAAGAGTGAGCCATCGGCAATTCCTGCGTAGTCCTCAGGTGTGATATCCCGTCGATAAGCCGGGTCCGTTCCACCAATGAATTCAATCCCCTCGGATTTGAGCTCAGTCTCGATACCACTTTCGCCGAGTACGAATACTTTGTTCTTTGGTGCTGGAAGCTTCAGGATTCGCGAGATGTAAATGGCCGAGGAGTATGCTGATGCGAATATTTCGTCAACATTGCTCGGTATCCCCATACCCGTCAGCTTCTTCTGATAGTCAGCACGAGACTTGGTCGAGTTATTCGTGACGAAGACAATCTTCTTCCCTGTCTCTAGATGTTAGGAAAAGCAAGGCGGGATATGCATCGCTTGGGTTGAACCTTTTGATCTTAACAGCTCCAGCGTCTCGACCGTTCCAGGGAATAGATGGTCCCCGGACCAGAGGACGCCTAAGTACGTAATCAGCACCAAGATGGCTCTGCATCTCCAGATGTATTGAATGTACCATCGCAGTCAAACAAGAAGATCTGAATAACGAGTCAGCGTTGGCTGGCACTTCTATCTGCGTTCCGGGAGCGACTAACGCACGTCGAATTGATCGAGGAACTGGTTGATGGCAGCCTGGTCTCCTGTGAGACGTTTGGGAAGATGCGCCATGTTTGTATAGGTTGAGTCTCTTCTGATGGATGGATTTGGTTGAAGCCTGAAGGGGAGACGAAAGGCCTTCAGCCGCGCGGAAATCGGCCGTTCCTCTACGATGGGTTCGCGGGGCGGGGCTGCATACACGTGACCGATGCGACCCCTCATTTCCATTCCCACGGAGTATTTGCGGAGTACATATTTTAATTTATTTTTTTATTTTTTTATTTTTTCTTTGCATTTATTTATGTCTTCTTTTCTGTGGCGATTTCACCGCGTGCGTAGACGGTACAGCAATGGCAAACACGTTCTCTACTACAATAGCAGTGAAGGTGAGTCGAGGACCTACAAGTATGGGAATGGCATAATATCATCAGTGGGATATGGAATAGGAGGCAAGGGAAGTAGAGCCGTCCAAAGATGTACGAACGGGGGATTCCCTCAGTTTCCACGGATGAATAGGGCTTAATCAAGGCTTTGAAATCCATTCAGCCTTGCCTTTACGTATTATTAAGGAAAGGGATATGAGAAGACACGGAGTAATAATCAAGTTATGATCCATCATTTATTGGATGACCCGCTCTTCCCGATTAATCAACACGGTAAGAATTCCGGAGCACTGTATTGAGGTGTTTTTATATCGATATGCATTCGAACAGAATGCCTCATCTGCAAGGTGATCCGAAGTCGAATAAGGTGTCCAACGGCGTTGATCTTGCATCTGATATCACAACTCCTTTCTCACTGCCTCAGGCGCCCGCCCTAGATTCTTCCACGGCTATCCTCCACGGAGTACGCCCGTATCTCTTACATATTCCGTATTATTACCTACGTACCCCACCAAAGCACTCACTCACCTCGACCCGCCCATCAGACAATAATTACTTTACTTTACTTTACCTCCCACTTCATCTTCCCTGCTTCACTCTATCAGGTAAACGAACAATCTATTTCAAACTGTTCACAAACCATTCCACATAGAACATCTGCTCTATCCTCTCCTCTCTGCTCGTTCACAACATCATCTGTTGCGCTGCTCCCCCCCCCACCTACAACTCCCATACTTGCATGTCCATCACCCATCTGCGAGCAGCCTCACACCAATTCCTAACCTCGTTTCCACACACCATCAGCTAGGTCATAACCAGCCTTCTACCTACCTGTCGATAGCGACCCCCCCCCGGCGCCCGCCCATCTCCTCATTCACCATGGGAAATCGACAGCCAAATCTACTCGCCTTCCCTACCGTCGACGCCCTCGCGACCAGTCTGCGAACATACATAGTGCAATGTCAGAATGCCGGCATTCAGCGACATGAGGTCTTCAAGGTCGCCGTGTCGGGCGGCTCGCTGCCCAAGACCCTGGCCCAGGCGCTCCTGACCCCGCCCAGCTCCCCCGAAGACGCGATCAAGTTCGACAAGTGGGAGATCTTCTTCGCCGACGAGCGCGCCGTGCCCCTCGACCACGCCGACTCCAACTACGGCCTCCTGAAGGCCGAGCTGCTCGACAAGATCCCCGCCGACATGGGCAAGCCCGTCGTGCACACCATCGACGTCGCGCAACTGGATGACGTCCAGGAGCTGGCCGATCAGTACGAGAAGCTCCTCGTGAACAGCTTCGCCGCGAGGGATAGCGTCAAGCTGCCCGTCTTCGATCTGCTGCTGCTGGGCTGCGGGCCCGATGGACATACCTGCAGTCTGTTCCCTGGACATGCGCTGTTGAGAGAGACGGATGCGTGGGTCCTGCCGATTGAGGACTCGCCGAAGCCGCCGCCAAAGCGGATCACGCTCAGCTTACCCGTCGTGACGCATGGTGTCAAGATCGCCTTCGTGGCGACGGGCGGCGGGAAGAAAGAGATCATGAAGAAGATCTTCGAGGAGGGTAATGGCTTACCGTGCGCGTTGGTGAATGAGGCGGCCGGCGAGAGATGCACCTGGTTCACGGACAACGCGGCGGTCGATGGAGTGAGCTTTCCACGGAGGGGTAGTCTGATCTAAACCGGATGGGTTTTTCAAGGAGGCGAGAAAAAGGGGAGGAGGGGTGGAAAAGGACTATTCCGAAATATTGCAACAATCTCTTGGAGTTTTGTAATTGAGAAAGGTGTTTTAAAAGGGATGCGACACTTATTCTAGCGTATGGATATATGGGCTGGGTAGAAGTACCCCAACTTCTAGCATTTTATGAGATTCGGAGTTTTCTCTTTTTTTTTTTCCTCTTTATAGATCCTGGCACGAATATTTCTCCCCCTGCCGAGAGAGATTTATTCTGTCGCATTCAAGCCTGCTCTGGCGTGATGGGTAGCAATTGAGAGAGAAACACACATCCATGTTGTTATCTGGACTCCGCTAACTGGACATTGGCACCTCCAGCCCGAAGGTTTTCCTTTTTTTTCCCTCGAATACTAGATATGTTTGGAATGCATATGATGCAAGAGGTCAGAGTTGATTATTGTACCTATTGTCGTGCAAGGGGGTGTTTAGCAGTGCGTCGAGTACATCCTCACATACCTAGGTATGCGGGTGTTATATACTAAGGTACTTTCTAAACCCGCCAATGCTCGATCACGGTTCTTGTTGTTGTGTCATTAGGGGAGCTCAAGACACTCTATTACTCAACTGCGAGCTTCCTTCCTGTATCCCTTTTTCTTCCCATGTACACAAGAAACCCCTCTTGGGTAAAGCAGTCAAAACCAGGCCCCATCAACCGCGAAAGCCATCCATCCCCTAAGTCATGTTCGTAGAGTAAAAACGCCCGCCCTCCTCAAAACGCCGAACCAATCAATCTATTATTATAGCTCCTCCCTTTCTTCCCAGCCCTTCCCCCTGATCCTCTCTAGACAGACAGCCAAATCGCGGCCCGGGATCGAACTCAAGACTTGCATGCACGAGGCACACGCACTCAGACAGCACCACGTGCATCGCCACCGCGGCTCCGTGTCCTTGCCCTCACAGATCATGCAAGCTACCGGACACAGCGTGTTCTTCGCGCCGCGCATGAACCGATGCGATTGGTAGCACTCGAGATGGACTTTCTCCACGCGTGGCCCCACGAGGATGGTCCCGGGGGGGAAGATCCCGGAGCCGACGCGAGGTGTGAGGGATGAGACGTTGTCTGAGGCGCGCGACAGTGACGAGTGCGAGGTGAGGATGCGAGATCCGAAGGCTCGCCGGGGCTGCGGGGAGCGCTTGACGGCCGGTTCAGAGGTGATTGTGAGTTCACTTGACTCGCGAGAGCCAACAACGGGGAGGAAGCCGGGACGGCTGGTGAGAGTGGAGAATGCGGTACTACTCCTGCGAGAATCGGCTCTGGGAGGGACGACGACGTCGGGAGGTTGTTCGGTAGGGACAGGGTCTAGGGATATCGATGATAGATCTTGAGAGATCGAGGATGGCTGCGTGTCGTCGTCGGCCTTTAGATGCTCCGGCGTGGGGATACGCTTGAAGGGAGGGTAAGGTTGGGTCGTCGCTTCATCATCGTTACGTGGATCCTCCTCCTCCGACGCTTTCGTGGTTTTGGTCCTCCGTTTCGAGACCTTGTTTCCCATCAAGCCGGGTTGTGGAGGTGCAGGCCGTTGAGGCACTGGCTTTCGTCCTGGTATGCTTCGAGGCAGTTGGGAAGGAACGGGAGGGAGTGAGCGTTCCCGGGACGGTTGCTGTGGGGGAGTCGTCGACGACCCGTTACTCTTCTCCAATTTGAGCTCTGTGATAGATATGTTCCGGCCACTCTTCATATGCCGACGTTTCCAGATTTGCGGTTGTTGTGGTGGGGAGGATTGAAACCCCAATGTGTGAGTCGCTAGAACATGTTCTGGTGTTTGCTTGTCCCCCACTGGTAACACAGACGTTGCTCCAATCTCCGAATCAACGCTGCTCAGTGAATCCTTTGTTTCCCTACTGGTATCCGAGAAACTTCGAGAAGATCGCGGGGACGCCGAGTAGACAGAGGAGGCCGTAGCTGGCTCTGAAGGCTTTGAAGGAATAGTTTGGACTCTAACGGGGCGACGGGTTATTGATATCGTCGGCTTCGTCGACATCGCATCCCGTGGATTAGCGGGCAGCATAAGATTCAGAGGCCCGGATATCAACACCGGCTCCTTGTTCCCCTCCATAGAGAGGATTGACGGTTCAGGCCCGGGTGGGACTGGCAAAGCTTTCGAGATTTGTGATTGACCTCGATTAGGCGTGTTCGCAAATATTGCCTTCATCTCGATCTCGATGTCCCTCTGGCGGGCGAAGGTCGAATACTGGGTGAAAGGTCATGGTGCACAAGAAATGGACGCGGGGTGAGAACAGATGTTTAGGAGAAAGGCACACAAGGATGGTAAGGCTGGACGGTCTGAACTGCGGGCAACCCCTGGAAAGCTGAAACCATTCGAGTTCAGTCACGACAACAACCTGGGCGTCCAGTGTCACAGATGTAAAAATGTAACGGACTAGCAAAGAAACGATTCGAAAGGGGCAAAAAGCAGAAAATACTTGCTTTGAGGGGACGCACATGATACTATTAGATGAGCTCTGGCTACCAAGAGCGTCGTGCTACGGTTGGAGAAGGGGGATGTCGTGCCGCTATCTTACCTCACTCAAAGGATATGGCGTCTGGGAGATCTGAACAGGACCTATTGTGAATTCGAATTTTGAATTTTTCACTTTGTCGTTCCGAGTTCAAGAATTGGAAGGTTGCAAGTTCCCGCATGGCTGCAGAAGTTGGATCACAGCGGATCCGCACCGGGATCACGTTGTTTCGTGGAGAAGGCCGGTTCTGCGAAGGCTGGATTCCGATTTGCGTACTGGGCAGAGCTGGTTCATGCGACGAATTGATCGATAGCCGTCAACTTCAAGCAAGCGATATGATGATATCAACGATGATAAGAGATAAAATAAGAGATAATAATAGCAATACTATGATACAGTAGCAATATATAGAGTTTATGTACCATTATTGTCGTTGAAACACCTCGGCTAAACCCCTGAACCCCTGAACCTCTAACCCCTGAATCCCTGACCGTTGACGTGCCGCGTAAATCGTAAATCGTAAATCGTAAACCGTAAATCCTCCGTACCTTAGCGCGTGCACCGCAGTTTGCTCCCCAAGCAAACAAACATCCTACCGCTCTGTATCAGAGCAACAACACCTTAAGAGAATACCGCCAGGTATCCAACGCTGCGAAAACATGTCGAATGTGCCTCCACGGACACGTTCCCTGCGCAAGCCAGCAGAGACCAGCACTCGGCTTGGACCAATTTCTACGGACAAGAACAGTACGCGACTACCAGAACCCCGATCGAAAACAGATAGAAACAGCCCCTCCTCTCCCAGCCGACTCCCCATCAAACCTTCCACGCGAAACGTCTCATCGGCGACGACAAGGCCACCAAGCTCAACTGGTAGCATTGCCAGCCTTTCCAGCAATGCCTCCTCACTGCGTCCGCCTGCAGCTCGAGCCAACATAGGCAAACGTACCACGGGCGGGTTACAGAGGACAGCCTCAACCCGACCACCAAGCACAAGCCAGAGCACCGATCCCGTCAAGCAAGACCGATCCCGACCCCCAATCACCACCTCTCGCCACCTCCGGTACCCCTCCGCTGGCTCTGGGTCTGCGGGCCCGCAAGCACCAAGCCATGCGCGTGCGAAATCTTCCTCTGCAGCCGTAACTGCATCCACGACCCTCCGACCACCAACTCGCGGGTCCGCTGAAGAGACCGCCCCGCGGCCTGCACCTGCCGGATCGCAGCCCAAGAGGCCTGCTTTCTCTACCCTGCAGCAGCATTTCTCACCTGCTAAGAACCTCGCCCCGAAGCCTCACCCGGCTGCTTTCCTGGCGCCTCCATCGCCAAGCAAATTACCGTCCAATATCGCCATCTCGGCTGAGACTGCGAAGCTGCAGAATGAATTGCTGCAGTTACATCTACTGCATAGGGACGCGGCGCGGGTGGAGAAGGAGTGGAGAGCCAGCGCGAAGCGGAAGCTAGGAACGCGGTTCCAGTCGGTGGTTGACCGGAACGAAGCACTGATCGACCTCGAAGTTGAGGAGATGGGCAAGATCAACGCGGCTGCGCTCCAGAAATGGCGGGATTCAGGGGCGCCGGGGTGGGGTTTAGAGGAGAAGATACAAGTGATCGACGAGGTTGTTGGTGGGGTCTGGAATCTGGGGGAGGCGGGGGGAAAGCACGCCCGCCTTGTGAGGAAATTTGAGAGGTGGCTTGGCAAGTGTCAGGATGTCCTAGAGGCGAGGGTACAGGGTGATGGCATCGAAGACGAAGATCCCGTCTTTCTAGAGCCGCTGGATGCCGGCTGGAAGGACGATTGCCTGGTCCTCGGGAGGAAGTTAGAGACATGGCGGGACCAGCTGAGAGACCTCGGGACCCCAGATAGCGGATCAAGCCTGGCCGCCGTGGTCGACGGCTGTCGGCGTTTACTTCGAGGGATGTTGATGGAACTGAGTGTGATGGCGCAGGTCGAGAGGGATGCCATGAACATGGAACTGGAATGGATTAAGAGTATGAATAATGATGTCTCAGACGATGATCAAGATACACCCACCGCTGGTGCTATTTGGAGGTCTCAGTAGACAGACAGACTACTTGTCAGACTTGGCTCTGCTACTGCGGGATAATACAGGGAAATAAAAACCCTATGAATCTACGAATCTGATGAAAATATCCCCCCCTCTTTTGCCCCTGAGGAGAACTATTGCATATTCGTGCAGAGATGTATCATAATGCCCTCGCATGTCGAATACGGTATATAGTATAAAACAATATGATCGCAGACGATCTCCTGTGTCCCATTCATTTTACATGTTCCCGTATGTGTCTACGCCTACGCTGTATATACACCTTACCAGAGAGGCAGATCCACCTCTTTTCCCCCGCAAAAAAAAAAAACGCCTATCCAGAACTCCCATTGTCCAGATACGTATCACCCTAATCGTCCCATTCTTCATCGAGCTGGTCAATCAGCCGGTTTTCATCGTCCGCTCGGTGTCGTCCTCTCCCGGCATTGGCCGAGGCCGAGAGGGCACTGTAACCTCTCCTCCTGGGGACGAACCGAGCACATGATGATGTAATGATGATGAAAATATCCTGCAACGTCTGTTGTCAGCATGTCTGAAGGAAGAAGAACATAAGCCAAAATTCGGATTACAGAATGGGAATGCAACTATCCAGGTTCATACTCCCCCTGCGCTACCTGAATGCACACAGCTATTCAGATCAATGTGAAACGAGTCCGAAAAATGGTTGAAGTCCCTCTCTGGAGCAACCCAGGGTATTTGCGAGTTCCCAAAGGAATTCGAAAGGCATTTCCACCATAGGCAGACTCGTCTCAAACTGAGGCGAGAAGAGGAAAATATGTGCTTCGAACTTTCAACGCATCTTCGGCCGACCTACCTTGATAAAACTCCCAATCCCCGCCCACATGCTATAATTCGGCAACTGCCTCCAACCTCTAGCATGCGCTACATTGCGTTGATAAACTACACCTCCTAGGAAGTATACGAGTATTGCAATAAGCCCGATGATAGCAAAGACTGCCGCCGGGCCAACTCCTTTTTGAGTAGGCACCGAACCACCACAGGCTGCTGGCGAGAGGATTTCGAAAAAGTAGGCGCACTCATCCGGATCAACGCTCGCGAATGTGGCGGTTGCTGTAGTGGCTAGAGGGTCTTTGTCGCAATGGAAAGATATTGTCGCTGACTTGCGGCGAGCGCCAGTTAGAACTGCTTGTGTATGGTATTCTCCCTTGTCATTATCAGAGCCCTCATCATAGTCGTCCCAGCTTGCTTCTGCCCCTCGCTTTAATCGCGCCTTTCCCTTTCCTTCACCGCAGGGAGAGCCATTTATATATTGGAGCACTAGTCTTCTTCCCCGGAGTGTCAAGTTGGATGACTGCTGTCTATTTCAACAAAGTCAGCGCTGGGTTTTCAAGCAAATACTTGCGAGAGCGGGACTTACCCTAGGGAGTATTGCTTCGATCCCACCTCATAGAAGGCGCTAACATTCTTCCACAGGTCCTTATCAACTCCCTGGACATTATCTAGGGTTTCTACAACGGGCGCGCAGACATTCAAGGTAAAATTGGACTTGTAGTCGTATCCCTTCGCATGCCAGCTATCCGTCTTCTGATTCTTGCCCGGAGTCGTCCCTGGTGGAACCGGCTGTATCGAGAGTGATCGCAGATCAAAGAACGAGCCACTGGGCGAGGAAATAGTACATGGGTCCACGGGTTTCGGTTTCGGTTTGTCGTCCGAGGCAGCACTCACTCCGCAGAGCAGCGCGAACGCAAGGATATTTGGAAGTGATGAGAGAAGCATGATGGAAACGAATTGTTTGCTAGTTCGAACGTGAGAGATAGAGCGCCTCGGGCGCAACAGTAGGGAGGAGTTGACACTCTCTGATGGAAACGAATGTGGAATTGGTGGGGACTGGAGCTGGAGGCTGGAGGCTGGAATCTGGAGTTGTCGTTGGAGCTCGGGCGACTCTTGCGACGACGATTGGCCTTGTCGACGCCCCCGCAGCGGGATTGGGGGGCTAACCGGATGGGGATGATCACGTGTTGTCCGAAATGGGTACCGCAATAAGGTATAGGTACCTTAGGCACAAAGTGAGGTAAGGGACCTAGAGATGTATATCTGGAGATATATATCTTCTCTGGACCTAATAATGATAGATCAAGATACTGTGCGGATTTCTCCCTTGAATCCTTGATACTGGTCCATCAGTGCTTCTCCATCTCCGCCAGTCTGACGTGAGCTAGCTCCATACGTAACATACGTAACAAAGTAGCTGGGGTATCTGACACGCTGAAATCTAAACACCACGGGAACTCGAGAGCCGAGTGGGACGACTTTACTCTTCTTTACTCGCCATTCTCCTCCCATAAATCAATCTCCTTTCTGCTTTCCACTGGTTCTTCCAGTCGAAGCTTTCTGCGCTTTTCAAGATGGCGCCCAAAGCCGCGTCCAAAGCCGCGAAAACCTCTAATGTGAAAGCTGCTGAAGCACACGGTTACGAATTCGGAGGACCGTAAGTACATGGACAATCACGGTCCTTACCTGCTCTACCGTCTTACTGACAATTATTAGACTCGGCGCATTTGGCATCTCTTTTGGACTTCCAATCCTCTGTTACCTTACGACCTTCGTCTGCAACGACATCTCTGGTTGCCCAGTCCCATCCGCCCTCTCCCCCTCGACCTTGACAATTGAAAAGCTGAAGCAAGAAATTGGCTGGCCTGCAAATGGAATATGGGGTCTGGCAAGCTGGGATGTGTCTGCGAAAGTCTTGGGATACTACCTACTCTCGTTGATACTTCATAGAGTGCTGCCAGGAGAGGAGGTGATGGGTACCGAGCTTTCATCTGGAGGGAAACTGAAGTATAAGTTCAACAGTAGACCTCCCAGTCTTTGTATCGCATGACCAATGCTAATAAGACGCAGCCTGGTCCTCTACGATATTTACTCTCGCAATCTGCGCAGCTGGAACCATCGCTCAAGGCGCAAACTTCCCAGTCTGGACTTTCATATACGAAAACTACCTACAAATCCTAACAACAAATATTATCATATCATATCTCCTCGCAACCTTCGTCTACGTCCGCAGCTTTAGTGTGAAGCCGGGCAATGCTGAGAAGCGCGAGCTCGCAGCTGGTGGTCACTCAGGAAACATGCTCTACGACTGGTTCATTGGTCGCGAGCTGAACCCCCGCATCACCATCCCTCTTCTGGGCGAAATTGATATAAAGGCATTCTGCGAGCTACGACCCGGTTTAATGGGCTGGATTCTCTTCGATTTTGCCTTTGTCGCACACCAGTATCGGAGCTATGGCTATGTGACAGATAGCATCGCCCTCATCACCGGTTTCCAAGCCCTTTACGTATTGGATTCTTATTGGATGGAACCTGCGATCCTCACCACGATGGATATCACGACTGATGGGTTTGGGTTCATGCTCGCATTTGGAGATCTAGTCTGGGTGCCGTTCATCTATTCTCTCCAAGCGCGTTACTTATCCGTCTACCCCCTCTCTCTCGGACTCTACGGCACAGCTGGAGTCCTAGCGGTCGTGGGTGTAGGGTATTACATCTTCCGCGGCGCCAACAACGAGAAGAACCGATTCAGAACCGACCCTACCGATCCCCGAGTGTCCCATTTGAAGTACATGGAAACGAAATCAGGATCGAAGCTGCTGATTTCCGGCTGGTGGGGAACCGCAAGACACATCAACTATTTCGGTGACTGGATCATGGCATGGGCGTACTGCCTCCCTACCGGCATTGCAGGCTATCTCGTCCAACACAACAACAACAACAACAACTCCTCCACAGCTCCAACAAGCCACCCGTCTTCTTCTTCTTCTTCTGCTGAGCCATCATTTGCCTACGGCGGACCCGATTCTCATACCCAGATCGTGCAGGGCGATGCAAGAGGATGGGGCATGATCATCACGTACTTCTACATCGTATATTTCGGCGTTCTGCTTATTCATCGCGAGATGAGGGACGAGGAGAAGTGTATTCGGAAATATGGCGATGACTGGAAGAGATATCGGGAGATCGTGAAGTATAGGATTATCCCGGGTATCTACTAGATATATGTGGGACCTGGCTCGAATGATATGGATGTACGATAATAGGTGAGGGTATTAATATCATATGTAACTAATACGTCCCTTTTCTTTTCCGCCCCCCCTTCAAGAGGATCGCGTTTAAATAGTGGAATAAGAGTAAAAAAAGTAAAATAGAACTAAACTCACAACCTCATCATACTCCTATCCCACCATATAATCTCCAATCAAAGACCCCATCATCTATCTACCCTACCCTACCCTACAATTAAACATCCCCTATATCTCCCACCCCAAGATTCCGACACTATCCCATTTCTATATACCTTAGCATCTTAGCATTTTCAGGTTTCCCGATCCCTGGTACTTTTGTGCTTGAGTCTTTTATCGTCATATTCCTGATATGAGGCTGGACTGACTATGCTGCTCTCGCTCTTGACCATGTATGTCTCCACGGTTAGTTGTCCTGATAATGAACAATATATCTCTCTGATATATGCGGTAGATGGATAAGCAGCTAAGCTAACATCATTATTCATTTCCCCTTTTTCATTCTCCACGTCGCCTTTCGTAAGGTAGGGCCGCTGAAGAAGCATGGAGCATGTGCACGGCGTGTATATTAGGAGAAAGAACTTAAGTTGAGACCCCGAGTTCTATAGTAAGCTAATCGTGACTACTTGAGATATGAGGAGGGATCTAATGCAAGAGTGATTTGGACAAACGACGTCCAGGATGCCATTTTGAAAGCATGTTGCGATTGACAAACTCAGCAAACGCCATAGGAGACCGAACCTCTGCTAATACCTCCTTCAATAGTTCCTTGCTGGTCATGATACACCAACGTCTCATCCCGTCCTTGCATTTCACTTAGTAGAAGAAGTCTCCTTTAGAAAAGATAGTTAGCAAGAAAGCTATGTACGTGAAGATATAAGAATCTCGAACAAATTCCGCTTTCATAAAAATTGTGAAGAATTGAGATAAAACGAAGAAGGATTCACTCTGAAAACACTGACCTCTGATAAGGACCAAGGTTGTCTTCGACCATGACTGTCACTTTCGGTGCGTCCTGTTCAGGTCCGTTATATTCCCAGACCCATCGAAGATCGCCAGGAGGAGCAGCAGCCGGAGATGTTTCGGGTCCCCAAGTGGCATTCCATGGTATAGGATCATGAACTCGGATTGGCCTTTGTTTGGGTTGCCACGGTCCTTTTTCCGTGAGAGCTGGACATTTGTATGGGCCGTGATCGTCGGGACCAAGGCCTGCAAGTTCAAATCGGATGCGGACAGAGCTGTGAACCCGCTCGTTGGTGCAAGTCATTGCGACGGCAGTGGGCTGACCGGTTTTGTGGTCTAAGCGTTTGTAGAGACCTGGGGTTCGAATAGCCTTGGGAAGAAAGTGGTATACGCTTATGTCTGATTCGTATATCTTCCCAAGTCCAAATGGACGAACAGGCCTGTGCTTGTCATAAACAGACTTTGAGGCCCACCGTCTGTTCGGTCGGCGAGAAAAGACAGTAGAGGGGATTGTAGGAGATTTACGAGCATTCTCGTAATACTCCACATTCTGCTCGAAGATTTTGTCAATACATTCGTCTCGAAATGCAACACCGATTGAGGCGAGCTGATCCATCATCCTAGAGCCGGTCAGCGGGAAGCCAATCAAGTAAACTGTAAATATCCAACTACCAAGCAAGCGTAATATTGGCAATCTCTTGATCGTAGTCTCCACCACCCACATTAGAATGGGTTCCAGGAAACCAGACTTGTCGTAAGTCCACCCCGACCGTGTTCTCATCTTTCCTCTCCCAGACAGCTGGAGTAAAAGTAGCACGACGCTCATCGAGGGCCAGGGCCTGAAAAGCGTGTCTAGTATTGCTCGAGAGGTTGGTATCAAAGAACTTGTATTCCTTCTGATAACGGGGGATCCCGAGATTTGCGAGGATGGGAATCTGGGGTATGCCTAGAGCTCCCACAGTTTCCCATACGGCCACAGCTTGCACACTGATCTCACTCCCATCCGGGTCATTGACTATGGTGAGTCCATCCTATAACGAGTAACGAGTCAGATCAATCAACCCCAAAAATTGGCCTAGGGAGTTTTGGGCTTGCCTGCTCAAGTCTTCGCTTGTACTCAGCAGCAGCGTCTGGGCCTTCGGGTTTATCTGGAAAAGGAAGATTGGGAAAGACATCATTGTAGTCTCTGTTTCTGAAATTCTGCTGGTCTTTGAAGATTGGGTAGAAATATTCCATGCCATCACCAGTCAGGAGACCGATATCTTGGATCATGTTCGCAACACTTCTTGCCGTGAATGCACCCCTCGAGAATCCCACGAAAATGATTTCATCGCCAGGAGTATAGTTCGCTGTGATGAAGTTATAAACTTCTCGAATATTCTCACAGATGCCTATACCGAACACGCCGCCTGCAATAGCATTGACCGTATCCGAGCCTGCACCGACACCACAGTGATAGTAGATGATTTGAGGTTTTCCATCTGGTGTCGTTTTTCTGAATGCTCGAGAAATGCGAGTGACATTACTGGGAACCTGCAGGGTAGCTGTTGGTGAGTATGGGATCAAGCAGGGACCTTTATATCCACCATTACTGATTTCAATGTTAGCAAACAGAAAAAAGTACCAGATATCACGTATTTGACCCACCTATCCGACCACGTTCCATCACAGCAAAGTATGAGACGCTTCACTTGATTGGACATGGCCTGGTGGTACCCTCTGGAGATGGTTATCCTGACGAAAGTGTACCACTGTATCAGGCTTTTAACGAGACCGAAGCTAGGATCGGCGAAACAGCGTAGGAGTACTTCTGTGACGAGTCAAAGTCTGCCGGCTCATGAGATTCTGCGGTGCTAGAGTTCTATGACTCGCAGTTTGTTGGGTATGGGTCTGGATCGAAATGGGTTTTCCGATCTATAACAGTCGAAGGGAACTGCCTATGAGGGTACGGATAGGTTGACGGGCAATTAAGCTCAGGAGACGTATAGTTTGATAAAGGAATCGAATAGGTATGATAGAAGTTTTGTATGTCTTGCAGGTCTCAACTGTGAGGAGGAACGTATATAATATACTTTAGCTTTTGACGAGTACACCCATCCCATATAGAAGGCAAGCGCCATGCTCTCTCTGCCTTCCTGCTTATGTTCCTTCTACCTCTGTCCAAGCGATATAGGTACCTTAGGTAATAGGAAGGTTCATGGAGCACATAAGATACTTCTGGTCTTCTGATTTCTTTCAAGTCCTGAGACAAAGGTCTCCTGACAGCTTTTTTGTCAAAGAGGACAAGGTACATGTCCGGTAAGCACAACGCCATCTGGATTCTTTATCCAAACTAAAGAGCAAATGGAAGCATTGTAATGTCTAATATGAGAATTGAAAGAAAGAATCTTCCAGGAGCGTATGAGTTTTGACGTAGTTTGTGGCACTTGTCACACCTCTTGAAGCACTTGCTAGTTGATGCCTCAAATCTTGAGAGATGGGTGTAGTCAAGTAAGGCAAGGTAGGTACATAGCACTATTAGGAAAATCAACTTTTGGATCTTGCACAAGTGAGAGTCAGTGGCAATCGCCAGCCGGAAAGCATTCAAATGATGAGAAGTGAAGCAGAACAGGTAGATATAAAATAAAATAACATTGAACGTCAACCTTATAAGGATTTCGTCTATTTAAGCTACCTTAATAATATATATATTGATAGCAGGGTTTCCATTGGCCACCCCCCACCACCCACCACCTCTCTCCTCCTCAGACTCCAGGTTTATCATAGGACGACACTACAACGGTTGCATTTTGGTCGTTTATTATTACTTTGTGCAATATACAATATGATAATCATGGCGTGGGGGCCATGTGTGACCGAGTCTCTTATAACCGTTCTAACCCGCCCCCTCTTCTTATCTACAGTACATCTCCCCACCTGGTCCATCCATCAGGATACACGAAGCTCGAGAATGGCGGTTTATGCGCAATAATGCCAGTCTTATCATGGCCGAGGGGCAAGCCTTACTCGATATGTCCATCAACGACTTCTTTCTTCGATGTGGACTGACTCCCCAGGACCAACTCGATTGCTACACTTTCATTGAGCGCCTGTACCCCGGCATATCATGGGTAGCAGCCTCATATCAAGGCTACTGCTCCATGACTATCTTCGTCGGCGACCATGTTGTCATCCAATTCCGGCCAGACAACTATCGCCTGAACCTTCAGATCGCTGAAGCTGCGCGGGAAGTCTACGGCGCGTTCGCTCCCGACACCAAGCATATTGCAACTATCCCGAAGTCTGGTCTGCTTGTATATAGCATGAACAGAATTAATGGTGCGCCTTTCAAGCACTTCCGAGAGTCTTGCACAAGCAAGGCAAACTCAACAGAATACCGTGCGAGACTGTGCGTTGACTTCGCGACGTTTCTATCAAAAGGATGGCACCATAGCTACAGCGAAAGAATCCCCCTGGGAATAGTGGGATGTTCCATCATACCTCGCCTTAAGTCACTCAGCACCGACCTGCCCATGAGGTTTCAGGCCAAAGCACGGCTCATTCTTAGGGAATTGCAGCAGATCGAAGCATTGCCGTGGGTGTTGTCACACGGAGATATTGCAGCTGGGAATATCATCGTAGATCCGTCATCCGGCCGGCTACGAGGGCTCGTGGACTGGGCTGAAGCAGAACGTCTACCTTTTGGGACTTGCTTGTACGGACTCGAAGAGATATTGGGACATATGACAACCGACGGATTCCAGTACCACCCCCATGTGTCCCATCTCCGAGATATATTCTGGGCGGAATTGAGGAAATGGATACCAGAGCTGCATCAGACTTCTGTTATGAAGGCCGTCAAACTTGCAAGGGACCTTGGCGTACTCCTATGGCATGGTATTGCTTTCGATGATGGGGTTATTGACCGAGTCGTTCAAGAGGGTAGGGACGTGGATGAAATTCGACGATTGGACGCTTTTCTGGATCTTGAAGAGCAGGAAAGCGTGGAAGGAGTTTCGAAGATCTAAGTGACCTATACCTTTCCCCTGTTTTATAGATTTATGCACACTCTTCCTTGATCACCTGAACCCCCACCAAAAGTCGGAGGTGGATATATTCAACATAAGCAACCCGACTAACCCACAATACTACCCATGATGTTTGATACTCCCGGGCTGGACCCCAATTATTCAATGGGATAATTTCGAGTAGTCATCGACGAGGCCTTCCAGTTGTTGTGACGAAGTAAGCAATCTGGATATCCATTGACATTTCTGGAATATAGGTTACACTGGGAAGATGAGATGGCTGCTGGCCGGTATCTATAATACTTGAAAGGATCCGAGCATTCTAGCAATTGTTATTGCTGGTAGATTGAAGAGACCAAATTCTTGTGTCCATCATTCGGGGGTAAAGTCTCTCCCGGGCTGCGAAGGAAAGGTTAATGAACATGAACATCATATCCGAAGAAGGGGTCAGGAGCTTTATTGATAGTACTTGCTGCCTAGAATAAGAAATATATCATCATTCAAACGATCTAGAAAGACTTCTTCACATCTAGTTACGGATTTCAAAACCTATGGCCTCATAAACAAGCTTCAGCTCTTCGTGCTGGTCCCCGTTGGACAACATGGCTTCTCATCTGGACGAAATAAGAACGCAGCAGTCAGAGAAATGAAAACGGAATGGAATCGAAGAGGACCTAAGATGAGTGCATCGGGATTAACTCATAAGTTGCACAGCTATCGCTACCAGCATTGTCTTATCTTGGTATTTACCTTAAGGCGGCGTACCAAGGTATATCAGAGGCAGTAATAACCTCCTAACAGGCCCCTGTCTCGATTTGGTTATCTTACAGGTAGAAAACAACGTACGCGGCATGGGTAGGTAATTATAATAATAACGTAGCCGGTTCTGAGCATCTAGCTACTCTGTATACCTAGACAAGAAGGTAGGTATTAGGTAGGTCGATAGATGGAGAACCCAGGTAGGTATCTGTATCTCAACCTCCAGGCCCTCCCTGATTCGTGGGCAACCGGGCTCTAGAAGTAGGTGGCTTCCGTCCCCTGCCCATTCCCTAGTGAAAAGAGTACAGCCAGATGCGAAGTTTGCAGTGTTCGATATGTCGATCCACGGACTCTAGTCCAGCTAAGAATACCTAACGATGCTGGTCCCATTATTCTCTATCATTGGTCAATGTTCACCTCAATATTGCTTTCGAATGGGTGCTCAGAGTTCATGACATCGGGATGTCCTCATCAGCTGCGCCTTCCATATCCTGAACGGGCAACTTGAACACCTTGTAATGCAGTCGGTCTCTCCCGACAATAACTATTCTCCCTGTCTCGTTGTCCCGTGCTCTGCCCATTCGCTCTCTGATTTCCATCTTCTCGGGCACGAAAGATTCCTCACTGGGGATTCGGTACTTGGAAAACCGTTTCACCACCTCTTTGTCATTGAACACCGTAGGTTTGGGATGTGACGTTGGAGTAAGTGGAGAATAGGACATAGCATATTTTGCAAGATTCCCATCTCGGTCACCCCTGTAAGGGATGCTCAAAAGACTTGTCGTGCCTGATCTCTTGTTAGATACCGATTTGATGTCGTTGGTCATCGAACAAAGCTCACCATTTGACTCCCATAACACTAGCAGTGTATTGTTATCTGCAAATTTTATGTCTTTGATTTGACCATCACCCAATTGCAGACCTAGAGACTTCACATTATGGACGGTGCTGATGCCGCTTTCGATACTTAATGTAACTTGAATGATTTGGACTGGCAGTATGGGTTAGCTAACGTGAGAGGTGGGCCAATTTAAGCAATTCTTACTTTGATTTAATCGTCCTATTGGCACGATAGCAACATGAGTATAGAAAGAAGAGCCATCCTAGACAGTTATTAGCGGGGAAACGTCGCAGATTCAACAGGGATTACGTACTATTGGACTGATTTTCATATCCAGCGCACCGCTTCGTATATTACCAAGTTCGATCGCCTTCCCAAACAAAACGTTTCGTTTTTCCGCCTCTGCAATCTGGCCAAAGACAACGTTGGCCTGCTGAGCTAGATTTTGATAAAGGAAATGGACTTGTGGCAAATGCCTCATATAAGGAAGTCCTTGCTCCTGCTTTTGAAGTTGACTATGGAGTAGAGCAAACATTGGGACGCCTTCCTCAGCATGGGCCGAGTCATTATTGTGAGTTTCAGATGAGACGCCGTCAAAGAACACAGCCAATGGACTTTTTGTCATAATCCTCTGAAGATATAGCAGGACCTTGCTATGATCAATCGATGCTTCTTTTTCAGCCATCTCCTCGGTTGGGGAAGAAGATGATGTATCGGAAGCGAGCCTGTCAATCTCATAACGCATCCAGGCTGAGAATGAGGCGAAGAGATCAAGCTCTTCAACAACTTGGATTAAAATCCTGGAAGAGACGAGGTGTAGGCACGCGACTGTGTCCATAATGAGGCTAATCTGATGACTCGAAAAGCCAACAGAGTCATTCGAACCCTGAAACTTGGCGATACCTGAAAATCGACTCAAAATGATAGAACAGCGCTCTAGCGCTGGCAGCATGTTCTCGTGCACAAGTCGTTTGAGATTTTCCAGTCCAGTAACTACAGCTTTGTCCCATCTCTTGTGACCCTAAAAATAATCAGCGAGGGGTTTGCAAAATATTGGAAGCTGCCTCACCCTTTCCGACAACTCATCGACCAGCCATTCCCGCACAGCCGGGAAGGTATGGCCAGTTGCCACTGAATGGTATAATGCTTGTACAATATCACGATTTTCATTTTCTCCAAGAGTTTCATTGATGTTCCGAAGAAACCTAGCCGGCAATTCTTGCGTCCCTTTCCATTCATTGACCATGAGAATCTGCACTTGCTGAATATATCTCAGGAGATTTTGTAGCGCTGTTGACCGAGACGCAAGTATAGAGAGATAGTCATTTGATGCCGAGATGAAGCGAAGATCCATTGGGATAAAGTAAAGCCTCTCCTCGGAGTCCGATGATTTCATAAGCAAAGCATGCGTAGAATACCGCTCGTGAGATGCATGGAGAACGAGATGAGAAGTAAGAGCTCCGTTGGTAGCTGGAGACTTAAATGACCCTACGACGAACGAGCCGTAGATACTGAGATGAATGCTGCCTTCCCTCGTGCCTACAACCATAACATCCACGGAATCGTTATCCTTTGGATCAAAGGGGCGGAAGAGGGCATCTAATGATGATCTGGAGCAAAAAACATCTTCTCTGGAGACTGTCAAAACATAAGCTGTATATATGATGGACCTGACTTACGAGCTTCCAGCAAGTACACTTAGTTTTGGCAAACTTGTCTCAATATCGATCAGAGAGAGATCTCGAGGCAAATCCAAAGAGGGTCTGCTGTCAGAGAGAGCGTTGCCGTCTGTTAAAAGAGCCTCCCATGGCTCTGGGCCCTTGTTTGGCTTTGCTGATCCCAGATGCTTGCATATACGGTTGGATGTCCATCCCATGCATGTGACCCCTGAGCTTTCACCGCCCGTGGAGAATTGATGTACTGTTTTGCTGCTCTCAGCACCAACCAGTCGCACGGAGCCATCGCTCCAGGCAATGGCGAGGAGCTGTCCTGTGAAAGCGTCAGTCCTCAACGCCAATGGTTGATTGGGGGGCTAATATACCGTTCGGCTTCCAGCTAATACTCTCCACTCGTAACGTACTGCCCTTTTGTGATGCCCCGTAAACACGCTGGCCGTTCAGACGGTATATCAGAACTTGTTGGTCGGTGCAACCAAGAGCCAACAAGTCCATGGACGGACAGTACGCTATGAGTCGAGGGTCTGCCGTTTGATGCAGAGCCTTCTCGCTCAGTAATTCAAGGCTCAACGGTTCCTCCATCTTGGGTACGGCCTTTGAATCTACATCTACATATCCTGGATCGATCAAAGCTGGTTCACATAGTGAGTGGTTGACATGCTGAATATCAGGAAAAGTCGTCCTTTGCGAAGCAGCAACGCGACGCGTTTTGACGCTAAGCGAGCAACCAACCGCTACAACCGTAGATGAACTTTGGCGATAAAGATATGGATGGCAGTGGCTTATGGTTAGTGTTGTAAAGTCCTGAGAAAGTCACTGCAATTGCAATCTTATAGTGGGGTATGTTTTTGCATTTTGAGATCTATGATTTCTCTGCTTATGGCCGCAACACTACATCAACCAAGCCTAGGGATTCCCATCCATTTCACGCCATGCTCTCAAATCCCAAATAATGTTGTTTCCTTACTTGCCGCCTTCGTTCATTCCATTCACTCAATTATATACGAATCAGCAATGGACTTGATTTCCTTCGAGAAGGCCACCGCTTCATTCATTTCAAGGAGTGTTACATCGGTCACCTATGTTCAACGTCAGTTTAATACGGGGCCGGAAACTGGGACATGCTTACATCGACATCAATAAAAGGCTTCGTCTTTCCAAATTTGACCTGCATTGGGAAGAATTCGTTCTCATCTCCGGCTTGAGCTTCGAATTCGAAGGTACCCGTAGCATTGTCTCCATCCACCAAGCCAATAGTCCATTCCAGGCTATCACCAGCTACTTCGTACGTAGCATCAAAGCTGGAGACTGCAGGCTCACTTGTGACAAACGGAATGGTGACAGTCACATCCTTCAACGGGTCGCCCCCAGTAAGTTCATACTCAACGGTAATGTTGTACGTATCATCCGACCCCTTATTTACCCACACGGTGAAGGTTATTGGAACAGCGCTTGCATCGTCATCCTTTGGTGTTGCTCTCCAACGTAAGACCCCCACCGAGTTATTAACAGGGAAACCCTTCGCGATATTGCTCATCTGAATCGCTCTTGACATATTGAAAAGCCCTTTGTCAACGTTGGGATGTGTCCGGAATTGGACGCCGTGGCTCGTTTTTGCCACCAGGTCCAACTTTACTTTGGTTAATGAGGGATCTGAGATGCGCAATTGTAAATCGCCTTTGACCTCTATGGAGTTGAGAGAGCCTTCTCTTGATAGCTTTGCGTTGATGGTCTCAGAAATCGTCACATGGACAGCCTCGCGATCCAGTGATGAAGAGACTCGAGAAGATTGTGCGGGGGCAGCAGCTGTTGTAGGGTGATTCGGTACAAGAGGCGACGAAGCTGTTTCCTCAGCCTCGGCTCCCAAGTCTCCTCTGACACGTTCAAACATATCTGTGGTCTTCGACTTCTTGCCCAACTGCATGCCTTTGACTTTAGGCGCAGTTGCTCTACCCAGGGGTCAGTATAGGGGTTAAGGGGCGAAACAACACGACGTACTTGTAAGACTTGTTCTTCTCGGCTTCATATGTATCGTATGTGTCTGTGACAGCAGGACGTGCTGGGGGGTTGTAGGTGGGATACACTGGCGTTCGTGGCACTGCACTTCTTCCAGTTCTTGAGACTTCCTTGCGTTGCATTTCCAGTTGTTTTGCTTTTCGTTTGCGCTCCTCAGTAGCCTCCAATTCTTTGTTCTAATCATCATTAGTATGCAAGCATAGCTTAAAAACCACAAGGATAATTACCCTAGAAATGATTTCCTGTATCCTTTCCTCGTGACTCTCCATCTCCAAGAAAGTCTTGATTTGACTGATCGTGAGGTTTTCCCGGTACCCAAGCGTAACGAGCTCATCAAAGGCGCTAAGAAGTTCATATGCATTTCTCAAGATTTCCCTCTCATCTAAGGTCTTGCAGGTGCTTGTAACAACCTGCGCGAAGAGGTGCAGGGAGTCAATGTCTTGAAGGATGTTGGACTGTCGATTGGTGATGAGGACCATGTACAGTTCGTCCAGCGGCTGGTACACAAATCGCACATTGTCTTGCTCCACTGTTGTATGCTGTGTCCCAGTGTCTGCGAGCTTCGGGAATGAAGCAAGAAGGGCCTCAATTCTGGATCGCTGCATCTCACGAAACTGCCTGGAGAGGACAGCTTTCCCGCCCCGCGTACAGATTGAGGCGGCCAAGACAACCTAGACAAGGCTGTTAGCTGTATAGAACAGGGTAGAGGCATACAAGGAAATGCGCACCATGTTTGCGAATCTGGATCTGGTCCTCTTGGGAATAGGCTTGGTGGATTGAGGTTGAGATGGGTGATTGAATTTGGCAGTCGATGCGTCGAAGTTGTGTGCCAGGAGGTATCAATAGGAGCTACGGTCGGCCACATGTACAATCAGAGCAGCCGAGATAAAATTGGGAGAACGCCTCGAGAGCCACACACTTCATAATTTCTCTCAGCAAGTTGGAAAAAACTTGATTCACAGCTGGTAGCATCTTCTTTCTCGACAACAAATAGCGTGTTCGATCTGTTATTATCGCACAACACCTCGCCCCGCGTACATCCAGATTCGGCAGACCATGTTACTACAGTCATCTAACGCGTTCTAACCACCCGGCGCCCATATCACCTTTGTCCTCTGGACCAACCTCTTCTTCATTCTGCACACCGCACTGCAATTACGCTTCTCTCTGGAAGCCTTCTAAACTGAGTCTGCAGTATTTGAAGCATCATCAAAACGCTAAATCTAGACTCCTTTCTCCTTCCTCCCTCCTAGGGTTCCTAGGGTTCCAGCCAAATCTGGGTTGCCACTGACCAGCGATCTCACACCCGCCCCTTCGGGATCGATACTCTTGATCGATTTTTCGAAAATCTCCCATGCTTGCCGCAGACATTTTGGCCGCGGCAAGCCCCCTGACCATGGCGGACGATAGTATGGAGATCTCTTCGGAGCATGGCAATAATGATGAGGACATCGACATCGATATCGATCTCACAGCTGGTCAGGCCGATGAAGACTATGTCCTAGAGGATGCTGCCTCTTATGCACCCCTCGAGGACGAACCCCACCATCAGCCCTCTCCAGCTGTTGGCACCGATGATGTGATGGTTGATGAGGATGACCAGTCCTATGAGATGAATGATACGGATACCATACCAGACGACAGCCACCAGAGCATGGATCACGAGGCTGCTCCTATGTCTTTTACCATGGTTGATGAATCCGAAGCTCGATCTGACCAGCACGAAACTCTGGGCGAAACTCATTTTGTCGATGCTTCGGCAAGAGAACCCGAAGTTATGTGGGAGCAGAATGATGGTCCTAACGAAGCCTTAATCGAAACAGATGTGCATCTGGAGGACCCCGAAGAACACGTCGATCATGATCAAGCAGACCATGTAGACGATCTAATTACGCAGGAAGTTGAGGCTTCTACAGCAGATGCCCCCCAAAATGGCACACAATCCAGTACTCCCCGTAATCGCAGTCCTATAGGTGCTGAGACTAGCGAACCTCCTAAAAGCCCTTCTGGCGCTCACTCAAAGCCCGCTGATGCGTCCCCAGAAGACACGGTCAATAAAACCGACTTTGGTGCTACGACCACCTCCACTTCAAATGAAGATGGTCAGGCATTAAACGGCGAGACAGAAGAACCATGTCCTGTTAATGAGCCAAATGCTTTGCCTGCAATCCCTGAGATTTCAGTCCTATATCACAATATGGAATATGCCTTGTTCGCGACATCCGAATTGGATGATCCAGATTCTTTCTTTCTTTCAGATGTTTCTATTATCGAAAAGCCATTTGCCAACTTCTTCAAAGCTATTCGCGATGTCATCAATGAAGATCTAGCGGATGAAGACGAGCTCTGTATGTCGATGACAGATCTGGGTATTGAAATTGAGGAGGTCAGCTTTGCCCACATATCTCATTAAATTGGAGCTAACTCTTTCCTCACAGACGTCTGCATTAACTCAGGATATTACACTAGGACAGATTCTGACTCTGCATAACAAGTTGCTTGAGAATGACGGGATAGACTCTCCTCATCCCTTCAGTATCCAATTTGGCGTCAGACCAAGTCTTTCAAAGAGACTCGCCAACCTTGCGGCAGGGGCTGCAGAGGGTAAGGGCTTGTCTGAGCTGATCGTATGGGATGAACATAGTGATAGCGCCAATGACTCAACGGAAGCAGCTGAGATTAACGAAGGCGAGGATTCGAATGTTGAGGCCTACGAGCCAGAAAATAATAAAGACGAAGCCGAGGAGAAAGCTGAGGAGGTACACGAAAGTTCTGATACCTCCCAAGCGCCAATCCCTGGCGAGGGTCTAAAATCTGATTCAGAGGCAGCCAACGCGGAGGCTTTGAATGCATCGGATAGAACAGATTCTCATGAGTTTGTGGCCCAGGGAAACGCTGCCTCTGTTATCCAGCCGTCACCGAAAGCCGAGACCCCTGGAAACGATCCTGCCACTGGCGAATTTGATGAAGACGGTGATATCATCGACTATTCAGAAGACGAAGCTGAATCCCCTCATAAGTCAGGGAACGATGCTAAATCGCGCGCTTCCAAGCTTGAGACTGATGGCACCAAGACATACAATGGTAATTTGGACAATTTCATATCACCATGTTTGTTACCCAATACATGTTTCTGTTCTAAATGCAATGTTCTTCTTTTAGTAGAATACGAAGCGATAAACGAAGAGCTCCGACGGCGCTCTATATCCCACGCGGCCGGTGATAGTCGGCTCGAGAAATCCGCTGAACAGATAGCGGATGTTGAAAACGAGGATGTAGGTCATGAGCCTGAAGTCGAAAACGGTGTTGAGTATGATGAAGAGAACGGCGATGGGAATTATGGGCTTGAAGACGTGGGCTCAGAGCACAAAGAATCATTTGATGGTAATGACGAAGCCGAGCATGACGAAGTCGAGCCTGACGAAGTCGAGCCTGATGAAGTCGAACCTGATGAAGCCGAGCATGATGAAGCCGAGCATGACGAAGCCGAGCCTGACGAAGTCGAGCCTGATGAAGTCGAACCTGATGAAGCCGAGCATGATGAAGCCGAGCATGACGAAGCCGAGCCTGACGAAGTCGAGCCTGATGAAGTCAGGCCTGATGAAGTCGAGCATGATGAAGTCGAGCATGCTGAAGTCGAGCCGCATGAACATTACTCTGACCTTGACAGACCATCCCTCGAGTCCCGGAATGGGCTCGGGTCCGAGGGGGAGACCCGAAATGGCGAGACTGGCTACGCAAATCCAGAGGAAGAGATTGGATTTGAGGAAGAGGACGATGTGCAGGCCCAGAAGCTTTTCAGCCTTTCTGGTGGAGAATCAGGCATCGATATCTCCCTAAAGGATCCTTCAGGCGATGACCTCGCAGCAGATAGCAGCCTTGGATTTGGCGACGCGGTAGCCTCGGAAAGTGGTACGAGTGAGAAGACGCTCGAGGCTCCGACAGGAGTTGGGGAGGCGCCTGAGGACGAAATTGACTATGATGATGACGACGAAGAGCAAGGTACTCCAGAGGCCCACGACCCTGTGTCCAACACGAAGGAGCTACCTGTTCCACTTGAGGGCTCAGGTAAGAGACAACGGGAAGAGGCAAACTTGGACGAAGGCACAAGTGTGGGAACCAAAGGTGTGTTTTGATATTATAGTCTGAGAAGAAGCATCTACTAACCAAGTCAACAGAAGCGAAACGCCCCCGATCATGATATTGCTTGGAGCAAGGCCGTTGGTTCTCAAGCTGTGGTACTGCCATCACCACAGTATCACTTGGCCTCGTCTCAGCCTCTACCCTTGGATTTCCCTTTATCCAAGATTTACCGGTGATATCTCCGTCACCGGAATCGACCCCTTTCGGATACCACTCGCCTTTTGCAACTCAACTAACGCCACTAACAAACAGAGTTAATATCAAGAGTTCTCGACGGTAAGTCCATAGGTATACCCGCATGAGCCCCTTTTTAACTTGAGCCTGCGCCCCGACCCTTTGATGCCCCTGACATTGTCCGATTTTACACCCCAAAAAACATTGCAGGATCTGGTGGATTCACCATAGCACACGCGTTTGCTTTTCTTTGTTGGTTGCATAGCGGGCAGGAGGTGAACAAAAAAAGTTCTTTTGATGGGGGAGTTGCACTGGCTTTGATACTGTAACATGCATATAGATACCCGATGAGCAGGACTCGCAGCGATGGGAGCGCATGTGCGCGAGGGTTTGGGGAGGTGGGGTGGGGGCCTGGTGGTAGTCGGTCGACATTTTCACGTCTTCAACATGTAGGATTATTCGGAAGCCGCGCCTCTTGCGAAGCTTTTCGCGGAGGGAGGGGCCGCTAATTTCAGACGAGATGAGATCCCGTACAAAACGCGTTCCCGTTCCCGTGAAATGCTACCGCCGACGGGTGGTGGAGCTCGCGGAGTGACATGCTGTGCCGATGTTTGTAAGTCGACGCGAGCCCACGCGCGTAGACATACGTATATCCTGGGTGTATATACGTACTCCTGGAGGTCCTCTTAGGGATTGGTTAATACGCGGTAAAAGAAAGGGGATGGATCTGGAAATTCGATAGTGCTTTTCGGTGCAAAATATACGATCAATGATCCAAAGCACACTACTGGAGATGCCCCTTGCAGGAGCGCCCCACGCAAAGAGCGGTGCGACTCCAAGGCTTTCTTAGCTCTGATGCAGGAGTCAGTCAGTTACTGGGCGAGGGCGAGACGACTGGATTGGACGATGACGACGGACTAATGAGAAGAGGAGAAAAGAAGAAGAGGAGAAGAGAAGAAGAGAAGAAGAAAAGAAGAAAAGAAGAAATAGGGGGGAAGTTTTGAGGTTGAAATGTGACTTGGCTGAAGTCCTTGAGTCTCTCGCAGTGGAGAACTGGAGTTGTCCCAGGGGCGGTGCGCGGCTAAAAATAGAGTGGAGAGAGCGAGTAAGGGAGAGAGCCACAGTGACAAGTGTTTCCCCTAGAAGCTGGTTGAACAACAACAAAGGAATCTATAGTTGACCCAACGCCCAGGATCGTCAACGGCCACAACGCCAAAGCCAAAAGCCTCTCTTCAGGCTCTTCTCGTGATTAATTAATTCCTCCATCTCTCCATTCGTCGCCTTGCGCCACTGCCAGATTAGCCGTTTCATGAAGAAGAGCCTCATCCCGCCCAACCCGCCGACAGTACCGCCAACCCGCCGCCCGCGCACCTCCGGATGCTCCTGAGCAGAAAAGCTTTTGTGGCCTCAAGTTGTTCATCTGTCAACTCTTCTCTCTCTCTCTTTCTCTCCCTTCCGCTCTCTTTGCCCTCTCCTCCTCCTCCTCCTCCTCCTCCTCCTCCCCTCCATCCCCGACCGCCCACTTATCGCGATCCTCCCGCACCATCTATGATCTATCCCACATTCGCGCCTCGGCTTTGATAGCAGATCCCAGGATCTATCTGCGGTGCAGGGGCCTGAAACTCCGTGCTCTGTACTGTTCCTATTTCACCACCTCCACGCCAGCTGCTTGCGATCACCGCAAATTCTCCACAACCTTCGGCCCATCCAACGACCAAAACGCGCAAGGGCGAGAGCCCTACCAGAACCACCATCGCGATACATTGATTCCCCCACGCATTGGAGCCGATAGCTGGGCGAGTCCAGCATCTGCGCGAAGATGTTGGAAGACAAGTACGTCAGTGTGCGGGAGGTCGGGAGTCCCAATGGCTGACGCGCGGCTTGTACAGATACATAGGCTTGGTCCTCGCCATCACTGGCACAGTGGCAATAGGTAGCTGCTCCTTTCCATCATGAGATCTCTCGCTCCTCTTCCGAGGCTGATTATGTTCTGCGACTACAGGAACGAGTTTTGTCATCACAAAGAAAGTATGGCGCGCGATCCCCCTTCCCGGCCGGCGGCTATATCTTGATATACAACCTGTTGCCCGCTGAATTGCTGCTGATGGTCTCTCCAGGGTCTTATGGACGCGGGGGAAAGACAGGGCTTCGAAGGAGATGGATTTTCATATCTTAAGAATCCAATTTGGTGGGGCGGAATCATAGCATGTATGCTCGCCTTCAAGTCTCTCGTGGAGCTTATGCTAATGGCGTCGACAAGTAATCATCGGAGAGATCGCGAACTTTGCCGCATACGCGTTTGCACCTGCGATTCTGGTAACCCCCCTTGGGGCGTTAAGCGTCTTGATAGGCGCCGTGTTAGGGGCATATTTTCTGAAGGAAGAGCTGGGTATACTGGGGAAGCTGGGGTGCGCTATATGCCTGATAGGCTCAGTCATCATCGTCCTTCATGCCCCTCCGGACAAGGAGATCTCGACGATCGACGAGATCTTGCACTACGCTATCCAACCTGGTAAGTTGGCTCCTGCTCTGTGCCGGACTTCCAGCTGATCAGCCCCCCAGGGTTTTTAATCTTCTGCGGGTCCGTTGCCATCTTCGCGGTCGTCATGATCTACCGGGTCGCGCCCATATACGGGAAGAAGAACCCTTTGGTCTTCCTGTCGATTTGCTCGACTGTTGGATCCGTGTCTGTGATGTCAGTCAAGGCGATTGGTATTGCGATGAAGTTGACTTTCGCTGGCAACAATCAGTTCACGCACCCTTCAACCTATGTCTTCATCATCTTGACAAGCGTCTGCATCCTGACACAAATGAATTATTTCAACAAGGCCCTGAGCCAGTTTCCTACTTCAATGTAGGTTCCAACAGGCCCCCAGCACACCTGAGCTAGCTAACCGGCCGTATAGAGTCAATCCTTTATACTACGTTACGTTCACAACAGCCACTCTGTGTGCTTCGTTCATTCTCTATGGCGGTTTCAATACCGTAGACGCGGTCAACACTATTTCCCTCCTCTGTGGTTTCCTAACGATCTTTACGGGCGTCTATCTCCTGAACATCTCCCGTGGGGATCCAGATGGACGCCGGATGATCAACAGCCAGACGCAAGATGGAATTGCCACCGATATAATATCCGGAATCCAAACGAGAAGGAGTATGCAATCCCGCCGGAGTCTCGACCCTCACAGAATGAGCGTTGGTAGCAGCGGGTATGGAAGGAGGTCTGCTGGAGACCGAGAAGGTCTCATCCGAGCCTACGATGAAGAAGAGAACATGGGGTTCGGCCTCACCGACCTGGCGAACGACTCTGACGACGACGACGATATGACGTCCTCGGGCGCGAACGGGAAGACGAACGGCATGTCAAACGGCAACGAGAATGGGAGTGTCGACAAACGAAGCTTTAGCGAACCCGTCGAGCGGCCCAGGAGGTGACACGAGATGGGATCGATCCATCATCTCTCATCATCATCATCACCCTCGACATCATTTTCCTAAAATCATTCAACAACAACATCTATACATGATGGGGGTTTTCACGGCTCGAAATCTTTTTTCGTTTCTGGGGAGAAGAGGGGGGCAGGCCATTAACACCACATTTTTTTTCCTTTTCACTTTTATCTTAAAGAGAAAGCATCAGGTTCTGGCATAGCCTGCATGTATGACTTACATGAGGCAACTTCGGCGTTCAGGTTTTGCTGTTGTTATGTATCTATGTATGTATGTATGTACCAATACCGGGAAGGAAGGGTTTTCGGTGGGGGGGGTAGGTAGGTAGGTAGGTAGGTATGTATGATATATATATCTTTTATTTTTTTTTTTTAGCTTGGAAGGTTAGGTAGGGGGGGTGGCAGGGCCGGCGAGCGGGAGGGGAGGGGGAGGGGGGAAAGAAAGATAAGAAAGAGATATGCAGATGCAGAGATGCAGATGCAATTTTGAAAATGAAGAGATTATATGAATTGAAAGAGCCTTGAATATGTATAAAGGATGAGATATGTATGATTCTTTCCTTCTCGGTGAATTGAATGTATAGGAGGGATGGTGTATGATGGATGGGTTAGTGATTAAAGAAAGGGGTAGAAGGAAGCGAGAGATCACTGGGATATATGGGATATGTATCACTCCTTTTCTTCTTCACACTACTCTCTGATTGGGTTTGCACTTTTTGGAAAAGGGCAAGTAATGGGGGAACTGGTCATGAAACGTTCTTTTTTTTTTTTGGTGTCTCGCTTTTCCTTGTGCCGCTTGTAGTTTGTATGTAGAAAGCCGTGATATTTCGAGGCTATGATTACAAGCCCGCAGCAAGCAATGCCGAGGAAAAGCTTCTCGCATGCAAAAAAAAAGATATTCCCACACACGCACGCGCCCCTTTATCTCATTCCGAGTTAATCCATCCCCCCGACCGTCAATCTATTGCTCCTCCACAACCGGCTCCTCACCAACCTGCTGCTCCTGCGAACGCGCGGCCTCCGCAGCCGCCTGCGCAGCAGCCGCCTTCGCACCGTAGTCCTGGCTCATGGGCTGGACCACGCTCTGCTCCTCCTTGGGCTCGATGATGGTGACGGAGTCGGGCAGCGACTTCTGGGGGCCGGACTTTCCGTCGGGGTCGGAGCCGCGCATGATCTTGACCTTGATACCGAGGACACCCTGGCGCAGGAGGACGTGGCGCGTGGCCGAGTCGATGAAGTCCTTGGCGGGCTGACCCGAGTGGATCATGAACCCGTCGGTGAACTTCATGCTCTTGGCACGAGCCGCACGCAGCTTTCCGGAGACCACAACCTCGCAACCCTTCGCACCGCTCTCCATGATGAATCGGAGCACACCATAGCAGGCTCGTCGGACGGCGAGACCGTTGAGGAGCTTGTATCGGAGGGACTCGCACTGGGCGACGGCCGAGAGACCACGGTTCTGCACCTTGGCCGCGTAGAGGGAGACGGAGTTTTCGGGGAACTTGAATCGCTTCTGGATGAGGGAGGTGAGCTCGCGGATTCGGCGGCCCTGCTCGCCCAGGACTTCTTGTGTGTGCGTGGCCCGGATGATGATGTCGGTGACGGTGGGAGTGACCCGGACCTCGACGCCAGAGTATCCCTCCTCAGCAAGCTCACGCTGGAAGAACTCGTTCAATTCAGCGTAGAAGACACCATCGGCGACGAACTTTCTCCGCTTCGAGCTGTGTGTGGAAGTTGCATGTCAGCCTGCTGAGAACTACTGCCGCGAGATGGGAGATTGCCTTACATAGCGGCGCCTGGAACACCGGAAGCCATTTTTGCGGTAGTGTGTCGTGAGATTGAACCTGGTGAAGAAGGTTCAATGGCGTTGTCGTCGGCGTTGTTGTGACTTGGATTCGCGATTAGAAGCAAAAAATGTAGGGTTTGAATTTCTGTGTGCGCTTTAGCGGGGTTTCTGGTTAGCCTTATCGCTTAGTGTTTGTGCCTGAGGATGTCGTAGATATCAGATTACCTTACCTTACCTTGCCGACGAGCGAGAGTTGTAAGTGAGGACCGCAGGTAAAGAAAGGTAGGTAATACTTTTGGATTCAGACCAAGCACCACTCGCGAGGCATCACAGCACCATCTTGCCAGTACGGGGAGACAGGTCAGGACCTGACATGTCACGGAGGCATCTAGCTCCATGATGATCTGAGTGCAACGTCAGCAGCATTGCAACAAGATGGCCGACAAACTCAGGATAACCAAGGTCAGCAATCATTGGCGAGCTTGCGCATTGAAACTCTACTCACCTACGTGCCAAGGTCGAAGATGTTCAAGTGTTGAGCAGGGGAGAGATCTCTGTTGTGACTCTGCATTTGACGCCGCACCACCTCGTCCTGGTTCAGACCCTCGGCCCACCTTCAGCGCGTCAAGCTCCCTCCCCCAACCACCGTCCGACTCCGGTCAGGACTCGAGAATCATGGATAGCGTATCCTATGATAGCCTTCTGTACCTTCCGCCCAACTCCCCCGGGCTCCGCTCTCTCTTCTTCAATCCGTCTGCGGTGCCGCGATTTCAAGTTCTTGACGTTGAACTTCGGGGATGACCGGCAAGCTAGAGATGTTTTTGAGAGCATCAAGGGCGCAACTTGCAGACTGGGCAGTATAGAGAAGCTTTATGCTTTCAGCTACAAACCTCAACCGCCCGAGAAGCGAATATCTGGGTGGGAGATATACGATGCCAAGGCGGAGTGGAAACGGCAGGGCATCAGTGACAAGGGCGTGGATAGAGGTTGGCGAATATCAAAGATCAATATAGATTACAGCTTCTCGCCCACGTATCCCGCACTGCTCGCAGTCCCTTCAACAATATCCGACAACACTCTCAACTACGCTGGCAGGTACCGCTCGAGGGTACGGATTCCGGTCCTAACTTACCTCCATCCGGTGAACAACTGCTCGATAACCAGAAGCTCACAACCTTTGGCTGGTCTTCGCGGTAATCGGAGCATTCAAGACGAAAAACTAGTCAGCGCATGTTTTTCCGCCTGCGCAACAGTCGATGATGGTGATACAGCTACCTCCTCGACATCCAGAAGCAGCCCGGCTTCGAGCCAGGCTGATCTTGGGCCGTCCAGTGCAGATGGAGAGCTCTCTGAGGCAGAGCGCTTAGAGGATGAGATGATATCTTCCTCGACCCTAGAGGTAGTTTCAGAAAAGCCACACGTGTATGGTGCACAACAGCACAACCTAATCGTCGATGCCCGTCCAACCGTGAATGCATTAGCCATGCAAGCTGTTGGTCTTGGGTCGGAAAATATGGATCACTACAAATTCGCTACCAAGGCATATCTTGGAATCGACAACATACACGTGATGCGAGAGTCCTTGGCAAAGGTAATAGAAGCTATCAAGGACTCCGACGTCTCGAACTTACCACCGAACCGAGAGTTACTAGCCAAGAGTGGCTGGCTCAAACACATTGCCGGGTTACTCGACGGAGCAGCCCTGATCGCCCGGCAGGTTGGCATTCAGCACTCTAATGTTCTAATACACTGCTCTGATGGATGGGATCGAACGAGTCAACTGAGTGCCTTGGCGCAGCTTTTGCTGGATCCTTATTACCGAACTATCGAAGGCTTCATTGTATTAGTTGAGAAAGATTGGCTTGCTTTTGGACACATGTTCCAACACCGGTCGGGGTTCCTGAACAGCGAGAAATGGTTCTCAGTTCAGAATGATGCGCTTGCTGGTTCTGCCATACAGCCAGGTGGGAACGGAGATGGGCGAGGCGATGCCATTGAGAATGCTCTGCTAAGCGCCAAACGATTCTTCAACAAGAGCAATCACAGCCAGGATAATATAGCAGATCCCGACGGAGAACTGCTACCGTTCGATGACTCGCCCAAGGGCAAGAAAACATCTATCTCAAAGGATAGTTCTGCAGATAGCGAGGCCACAAAGCCAAAAGAAACCAGTCCCGTGTTTCACCAATTCTTAGATGCTACATATCAGCTTCTTCGCCAGTTTCCAACACGGTTTGAGTTCAACGAACGCTTCCTGCGAAGATTACTCTATCACCTTTATTCGTGTCAATACGGCACGTTTCTGTATAACAACGAAAAGTCTCGTAAGGATGCTCGTGTTCAGGAGCGGACAGTTAGCGTATGGGCATATTTCCTATCCAACAAGGAAGGCTTTACCAATAATGATTACGACGGCGGTGTGATTGATGACCATGTCAAGGGCAAGGAGCGTCTTATCTTCCCGAATCTTGATAAGGTTAGATGGTGGCATGAAGTTTTCAATAGAACTGATGAAGAAATGAATGGCCCCACGAATACCGTTACGGAACGGTACTTGGGTAACCACACTCCCAGGTCGGGAAGCCCTCATAGCGTTCTCACAGGAGTCGAGACATCTGGGACAGCTACGACTACTCGACAAGTGTCGAATGGTAATACGGGCGGTTTTGCAAGTCTCCGGGAAGGAATGGCTGGCTTAGGCTTTGGAGGGAAGGGGATACAAGGGAACAAGCGGTCGAGAGATACCAAGAAGGAAATGGAAGTCGAAATGCAATAACGTTGGAAATGGTTGGTAACGGCGTTCGGAAGAGGGTCGGTGCACAGGCATTGCAGGAGTGTTGGGGGGTCACGGTCTAAACACTCAAATGTATAACGTTTCACGCAGACGATTTCTTTTTCATGTGCAGCTCATCATGCATGCCATCTATTGCATTTGATGAGGAATCTATTGCCAACTGCCGTCTCAAATGATATAAATGTGATCATAAGAAGACTTCGAGGTTGATCTCTAATGTGCTGACAGGATATCTGAAAACCAGTTAGCACAAATCAGAAACGTCCGCAACAATCGATTCGACTCACCTCAACTCAAACTTGTCTAGGACAGTAGGATGCAAAATGCCGAACTCGCCAATCCGCACTTGTTTTCCGTTCAGACGCAAGAATATCGCAGCAGCATGTCCTTCCAAGAAGGTCGGCTCGTTGATCTCCTCAATCCAGTACCCATCGGGCTTCGTAGGCTCCTCCCGGACCTCGTAGTTGAGGTCTTTCCCTTCGAGTCCCTCCTCGTGGGTCAAGAAGGCTGTCTTCAGCATCAACAGGACTCGGTCCAACAAGCCATGGACGTTTTCAAATCCGCTGGTCTTGCCGTACCAAGCAGCCGCGAAATGCCTCTCGTTCCTGCTCTTTCGCTCCAGGGTCATATCCTTGAAAGCTACGTCGGAGACTTCAAAGACTTTGATAGGGACGCTGTGCTTTTTGTTCTCTCTGATCGTCTTCAACAACCCAGGTAATAACGACGTTCGCACGACTTGGTATTCCGCTGTCTTGGGGTTTGCCAACTTCACTGCAGTCTCACCATCGTCCTTGCGGTTCAGCCAGCCGAAGTTCTCGTCATGAGAGCAGAGGATCAATGGCATGACCTCTGTCCAACCGGCCATTGCTGACTCCATGCGAACAATATCTCCCAGTCTGTTTATCATCACTGGCTGCGCGATGGTTGAGGATTTGTTGGGGGATGATCTGGGCAGATTGTTGAATCCGTATGCAATAGCAACATCTTCCATGATATCGCACTGGTGGAGAACATCTGCACGTGTCGGGGGAATGAAAACGTCAATCAAGTTCTTATCTTTCGATGAAGGCTTAGCAGCGTAGCACATCTTTGTGAGTAGCTCGCATATTCTCTCAGGGGACTCATTAAGTCCACAGCAGTTATTGATGTAGTCAACTTCCGCTTCAGCCTTGCGAGGGGTCAAATCGGGGGTTTGTCGAGTCTCCTTGTTATGCTCTGAAATGATCTTGACCGGCTCGATTGTGAACGGCTCCGCACAATACTGAGAGAACATGGAGACAATAATGTTATTCACAATCTCAAGCTTCGTGCGATCGGTTCCAGTCATTTCAATGAAAACGTTCTTGGTGTTCAGGGTGATTTTCGAGTGGTCGCCGTTTATAATAGGGGGCATCGAACAGACAATGCGCTGTGAATCGTATATGACAGGATACACGGGCTTGTCGCGAATGATGTGGAGATATCTTCCCAGGTGCTTGTCATTCTCATAGAACTGCATCAACTCCTCCGCATTCATCTTCTTCGTCTGGTTCAGAGGTATGAAGTTGATGTCCTTCGGAGGTAAAGCCTCGTAGGTGAACGGCCCTTTGATCGTATCCAGATCATGCGTACCAATAGCAACCAGCGTACGTTGCCTGGCAAGGTTTTGGTGTAGCTTGTCTTGCAAAGATATGAAGGAATCATAGGATTCTTGTGTGAACTTGATATTTCGCAGGATTGCCCCGGAGACATACGGCCGCACCTTCAATGTGTCGGGGTGCACAGTGATCGTTTCCATCTTCCCACTCGGAGGTGCTACCAGTCTGTAGTTTGGCATCGGCGTCTTCCCCCTGAAAATGTTGAGCATGAGAGCAATGCCCTCGAAGCAGAGCATGTCATATCGATTGGCGGGGATCTCGATCTTGAGCTGCGCGGGTTCTTGCTTGCCATTGACGATCGGCCGTTCTGTATTTGAGGTGTCCTCGTCCAGCTCAATCCCAAAGTCGAAACACAGCTCCTCGAATTGTTCGGTGGTATACCTGGAGTAAACTGTCAGTCGTCGCTCTGGAGGGGTCGCTGCCAAGTGCTTACTCCTGCCCCAAGGCCTTGAAGAGCTCAGCCTTGTCGACACTGATCGTAGGCATTTTGAGAGCAGGAGAAGGATGTGCCGGCTCTGGAGAGGATCACAGCGGCCTTGCGAGACCCAGAATAAGTGGCAGTAATCGTTGTGGGGGATTGGCGCAGAGCAGAGCGGTCTATGGGGGAGATATTGTTTTTTTATAAATTATGACTCCCGTGGCGGCCTTGGAATTCGTTTTTGTTTTTGCGCATCCAGCCAAATCCAACACCGTAGATTTTCGGGCACGCCAGAGAGGTGAGAGGTGAACCGCTCAAACCCAGTCCAGTCAACACCAACGCAACGTCAAGACGTATAATTCCCCTCCACCACTCGCCCTTCACCGCCGCCTCGAGTTTCTCGCATCCGCGATCAACGGCCGTGGCAACATCTTGCCCTGGAGGTACGTTCAATTGAGATCCTCCGTCCCTTCTGCGCAGTGGCCAGAGGAGCTCCCCGTGGTAGCTTCTCCGTCATCCTCACGGTTATTCCCCCCCCGCCATACCATGTATCTCCAACAGCGACGGCCTCCATTCGTGCGCGCCATGGGATTTACTAACCGTTACAGACCGCAAGCCTCTTCTCTACAACTCAGTCCCGTCTCCTATCGTCGCAGCGCCCTGCTTGACCGAGGCACAGCGAGCCAACACGCGATCACCCTCCTACAATACCAACACGGCCACGACATCATCAGGGCAGAAGCTGGCAGGCTGACTGTCTATTGAACCTCTCTCTATCGCCTGGGCTCTCTCGAACCTTTCGCCATGTCGGACGGTGTAGATAAGACCGACGAGCTCTATCCCATCGCGGTGCTCATTGACGAGTTAAAGGTACATGGCCAAATTACCATCTCCTTGAGAGAAGGCCCCCGTTCGACAACTCCTGCTTACTCCATATAGCATGACGATGTCCTTTTGCGATTAAATGCTATACACCGGCTCTCCACAATTGCACTTGCGCTGGGAGCGGAGCGGACTAGAGACGAGCTGATTCCATTCTTAGACGGTATGTTACCGTCCGGCATCTCTCCATAACCCTCTGCGTACGCTGACTGGCTTCTGTAGAATCCGTTGAAGATGAAGACGAGGTTCTCACGGCTTTGAGCGAAGAGCTGGGCAATTTCGTCGAATATGTAGGAGGTCCAGAATGGGGCCATGTGCTCCTCTCACCCCTCGAGAACCTCGCTGCGATTGAGGAGCCTCTAGTGCGAGAGAAGGTGACGATATACAGAACTCGGCTTATTGAGACTCTACTAATGCGGAGTAGGCTGTCGAGTCTCTGAACAAGATCTGTGAGGAGCTATCTTCCCAGCAAGTCGAAGAATACTTCATTCCTCTCACAATTCGACTTTCAAAAGCCGACTGGTTTACCTCAAAAATCTCAGCGACGGGTCTTTACAACGTGCCGTACAAAAAGGCCTCCCCCCCAATGCAGGAGCAGCTTCGACAGCAGTTTGGCCTTCTCGTTCATGATGAGACCCCCATGGTCCGAAGACAGGCCGCAAACAACCTGGCAAAATTTGTGAAGGAGATGCCTGCCACAATTGTTGTCGAGGAGATGATACCCCTTTTCCAACATCTTGCCAGTGATGACCAGGATAGTGTACGGTTATTGACGGTGGAGATACTGATAGCGATTGCCGAGGTCGTGCCAAAGGAACAGCAGTCAAGTCATGGAGTTCTTCTTACGGCGTTAAGGAGTTTGATCGAGGACAAAAGTTGGAGAGTTAGGTATATGGTTGCAGATAGATTCGAAAAGGTTAGTAGGCAAGCTCGCTGCACGAGGGGACAAATTGCTGACATATCCCAGGTTGCAAAGGCCGTGGATGATGAGGTCGTCTCAAGAGATCTTGTACCAGCATTCGTAAAGTTGCTTAAGGATAGTGAAGCCGAAGTCCGGACAGCTATTGCAGGGCAAATTCCTGGTATTTATCTACCTTTTCTGAACTATCAATCTCTGCTGAACATTTTTAGGCTTCTGCAAGCTTGTTGATCGAACCACGTTGCTTAACGATATCATGACCACTGTCGAGGATTTGGTGTCAGATACTTCCCAACACGTCCGAGCTGCTCTTGGCACCCAGATCAGTGGTCTTGCTCCTATTCTCGGCAAACAAGAGTATGTCTCTGCCGTTCCTTTTATGCTCGCTGCTAATATCTGCAGGACTATTGATCATCTTCTTCCTATGTTCCTTCAGATGCTCAAGGATGAGTTCCCTGACGTCCGTCTACACATCATCTCAAAGCTAGAGCTAGTAAATCAAGGCATGTAGTCATTAAAGAGGCTCACCCGGAACCTTGCTAACAAGTATAGTCATTGGAATCGAGCTTCTTTCACAATCACTCCTCCCAGCCATTGTTCAGCTTGCGGAAGACAAGCAATGGCGAGTTCGTTTGGCCATTATCGAGTACATTCCTCTCTTGGCGAACCAACTTGGTGTTAAATTCTTTGATGAAAAGCTATCTGCTCTTTGCATGGGCTGGTTGGGCGACACTGTGTTTTCTATTCGTGAGGCAGCAACCCACAACCTCAAGAAGCTCACAGAGGTCTTCGGTGTCGAGTGGGCAAACGAAGCCATCATTCCCAAGGTTATGGCTATGGGGGGACATCCAAATTATCTCTACAGGATGACGACTTGCTTCGCAATCACTGTAAGTACCACATATCTTGTGGCAAGGATCGGTACTGATGGTTTTCTAGACCCTTGCACCTGTCGTTAGCCTTGACGTGGTGTCAAAATCGATTCTCCCCATAATGGACAAGCTCGTGGTTGACGAAATCCCTAATATCCGGTTCAACGTTGCCAAGTCATACGCCGAATTGATCTCTGTGCTCAAACGGCTACCCAATGAGGGAACAATCTACTCCTTGGAGAAGTCGGGTAGTTCGGCCCCACCTTCTCCTCGGGGTCAAGAACTCATTGAAGAGAGGATCCTACCGAATTTGGAGAAGCTACAGAAGGATGATGATGTTGATGTTCGTTTCTTTGCCACTACAGCTGCTGCTGCTGCCTCTGGCGAGCCAATGATTACATCGCCATAGATAAGATAATAAAGCTTTTCAATGGGAAAATGCACGGTTTTTTGGGTTGGGTGTCGAGCCTTAACTGAAGGCCTTTCTGTTGTTTTAGATCGGAGGCAGGAATACCAAACATAAAAAGCATATAGTACTGCCCACCTATTACGTACTCCTGCACCCTCTTTCGTGAGATTCTATTACACGTGTAAACTACCTTGCCAAGCTTGGGTTGAACTGATTACCCTTGACAGTAAGTCAATTTGTTCCTAGAGTACACATATTGACGACCCTACATGGTAGGCCTTACCATTATAGTACACAGGCTACTATAACAGGGCGGGTTTACAAGGTGACAATCTCCTTAATTGCCTAGATCACCTTACCTAGGACGGACAACAAGCCAAGCCCCTCCTGCTCTCTAATAAAAACCAAGACTCACTGAATAATATCCCATCCACGCGTTTAATACTAGGTACCTGGGTATCTAGATAAGTTAGAATTACTTGTTGTTTAGTTCACGTGATATTACCTATATTAAGCCTGTTGTATCGGCGTTATCCCCTCACACCGCCCACGAAAGCAGCATATCGATTACATACAGGTCATGATACAGGGCCACCCCCTTATTGCTATACGACGCATCCCCTTCCGACTGACGCATTAGGGAGGGAGTTTCTATATAACAATCCGGGGTGTCGCATAACAATACGAGGGGCCAAAATTCATAATTTCGAATCTTGCTCGAACGCGACATATCTCAACTTCGGACACAAGATTGGAACCCAGTCGCAGTGAACAAACCTAGGGGCCTCACAATTCCCGACCATGGCATCCAACGATATCGCCAAACCCAACCATCTGGAGCCCTCTCCGCTCGGGACCAAAGAGTAGTGAGTTATTCCCCTCCTCCCTCTCTCCCTTCATTTTACCCCACATCCCATCACGAGAATCCACAAAACAAAAAGCAAACCATTCAATTATGTTAATAATGTTCCCACAGCTGGGACGAGTTGTACGCGCGCGAGATCACAAACCACGATCTGGACCCTACGGACGAAGGCACGATCTGGTTCGACGACTCAGCAGCCGAAGATAAAATCGTCGCTTTCCTGTCCTCTCAGATCCTCCAAGAAGACGACGCACAGCAGCAGCAGTTGCTCGGTCCTGAAATCGGACGGCATAACTGTAGTTTTCTAGATCTCGGGACCGGGAATGGACATCTTCTGTGTCGACTACGCGAGGGCGAAGAAATAGAGGAGGACGAGGAGGGGGAAAGGGCTTGGATGGGTAGAATGCTCGGCGTTGATTACTCGCAGAAGAGCGTCGAGTTCGCGAAGCGCGTCGCGGCAGATAAAGGGTTTGGCGGGCCCGATAGCAGCAGTAAACCAGCGATCGAGTTCCGATGGTGGGATATCATGACTCAGAATCCTGAGGGCGTGGTGCTGGAGGGTCCCAATGAGAAGGGTTGGGATGTGGTTCTGGATAAGGGTACGTTTGATGCGATTAGTTTGTCGAAGGAGAAGGATCCGGATGGGCGTCGTATCTGTGAGGGCTATAAGGAGAGAGTCGTCCCGCTGATTAGAGATGGTGGGATCTTGCTCGTTACGAGTTGTAATTGGACTGAGGAGGAGCTCAAGGCTTGGTTTGTGGGCGGGGAGCTGGAGTTTGTGGATACTATCAAGTATAAGAGCTTTAGCTTTGGGGGGAAGAAAGGTCAGACGATTAGTAGTATTTGTCTTAGGAAACACGCTCTTCGATGACTTGTGCCTGCCTTCTATCCATACTGTGAATGAATGATCTTGTGAGGGATTGCGTCCCTCTACAAACCTCAAGTCCACCTACCCTGGCAATATACGGAGCGGTTCTTCGTTGGGACATTTGGGCCATTATCTAGGGCAAAATGTGTCTAATAAGAATATAATTAATTCTAGGACTGTATAGAGCCCAATCATTACTCTAACTTTTCTAGGTGTCGGCAAATAACGAGTGACAAGTTTATCCTCCTGATGAGTTCGATCCAGCTCTCCATCGTCTCTCAACGACTAAGCTTGTGTCTCCGATCAATCACATTATGCAAAGTTGAATTGCCCAGCGTCTGGTTCAGCGCCTGGCCTAGAGGCATGCTCAGGGGTAAGTTCCTTGAGCTTGGTCCAACATAAATGGTCTTCGGGTAGGATGAGATGAACCAGTCCTGCTTGACCGGATCCCAGTTGCTCAAATCTCTGCGCAGGATGTCCGTTGAGAATGTGGCGGTCTGGCCAGCGTCGATACTCAGACGATCGAATCCTCGCAAGACGAGCTTCGGGTCGTCGGGTCCACCAAGAGAGACATACAGCTGGGGAACTTCTTCTCCGTTAAGCTTGCCCGTGTTCTTGATGCTCGCGGTCACGGTGTAAAGAACGTCATACAGTTCAGGGTTCCCGCCGGGTGCTCCTCCAGCTGGCAGCAGAGGCTGAGGAGATCCATCTGTGGCATTAGGCGGGAGAAATTCTGCAGCCGTCTTTCCATAGTATGGATCTGCTGAAGCAGCTTTGGCGTCAGTGGTATTGAGGTAGGGGTAGATGAACTGCCAGATGTGTGGAAAGCTGCCATTAGGGAAGAGATAGTCGGATAGGTTGGTTGAAAAGTTATTACCAAAGACTGGTGCCGGCGCTGTCGTGCCAGTTGTGGGAGTGTATTTCCCAGCGTTGGCACAGGTGACCACCAGGTTCGAGTATTCGAAGGTGGTATAAGAGAGGCCGAACCCGAACTCGTAAATCGGAGTGATGTTGTGCTTGTCGAAATAACGGTAGTCGATAAATTTACCTTCAACAAAGTCTTCCTGAGGAGCACCGTGGCCATTGTTCGGGGTATAGAGGATATCAGTGCCATAACTTTCTCGAGTAGGTCCCCAGGTAAACGGCGTTCGTGCGGCTGGATTGACCTTTCCATACAGAACATCCGTGATGCTGTTTCCGCTTTCTTGGCCAGGTACACCGGCCCAGAGAATTGCAGTGATGTTCGGGCTATCATACCAGTCCGCGACTAATGTTGGGCCTGTGCTATGAATTACGACAATGGTGTTGTTACACTGAGCGGAGACGTTCTTGATCAAGTCATCACCAGAATTCCAGAGGGTGAGATTGTTGCGGTCGCCCTCGTTGCCATCGACGCTTATATAGCCTTCACCCGAATCCGCGTTGACGAACACGATGGCGACAATGTTATCCTGGGATACCAATGCCTCGATTTCGGAAGCCGCATGATTATCTGCAGCACCTCAGTCAGCACGATGATCCAGAGAAGAGTTAACAAAGGAGAGAAATTATCAGCCAATTCGGAGTGAGTATTGAGATGAATTCCCCGCAAGACTTGTAGATCCAAGGAAGGGTCATCTCTGAAGCTGACGTACCTAATATACTCTGGTAAACAGACCCGTCGGCCAGTGCTTGGCTCTGGAGGGCTGAATCCGGAGTAACAAGATAGGGGAAATTAGCGCTTCCAGAACCCCAACCCATACCCAGCGTCCCGTTATCACAGCCACGGTCAGAGCATCCGTTTGGTCCAAACTTGTTTGGCCCTGGGAAAAGTCAGCGTTACTCAACCAATCCACAACCCTTCATAGGAATGGACGTATCTGCATCAAGAGTCTACATACCTGCATCCTCTCCAATTACCGCAACGAACTTTGGCTTCGAGAGAGGAAGAGCGTTGTTCACATTTTTCAGAAGAACCGTCGCTCTGGCACCGATGTTTCGAATGACTGACGCATGATCACCGCGTACATCCACATGCCAATTAACCTGCTGGATATCGCCTCCAACAGACGCGTGTACTGGGCCATATGTCTCCAAGGTGAAAGAGTTGAAGTTGATAGGAGGTTCATCGAGAGTTAATCCAACCTTGAAATAGGCGGCCATAATGCGCATAGCCATGTCGTCAATTCTCCATTCAGGAACCGTACCATTGAGGACAGCCAATGTCAAGTTAGTGCCCCAAAAGCTGTCTCCACTGTTGAAAACTGTGTCTCCGGGCATAGTCCTAGATAATCGAGAAATCAGTAATTGCTCAATCGGTGTACAAGGATTGAAGAGCAGGCTTCATGAGCTTCATGACATATCTGATTGAGTAGAATATGTCTCAAGGCTCATGATTCAGTCTGAAAGAAGGAAATTTTGGAAAGTCATCAAAGGGGATTCGTACATGTCCAGGCCAGCTAAAGCTGACGCCTGCTCTTGTCAGATACAATCTAAATAATATAGGGTGATCAAGAATTACTCACAACACCAGTATGTTGAGCCTCCCAATCGCTCATGACAAATCCCTGGAATCCCAGTTCATCTTTGAGGAGGTTGTTAAGAAGCTTCGAATTTTGACAGGCGTATGAATTGTTGACCTGGTTGTAGGAGCACATGACAGACCCGACACCCGCGCGTACAGCATCCGCAAAGGGCCACAAGTATAGCTCATGCATCGTCACATCATCGATGTTGGAAGAAATGGATTCAGTGATGTTGTATCCGAAACCTTGGGCTTCACCACTTTGGCGGAAGTGTTCCTAATGCCAACAATTAGCTACCGAAACCACCAACTGTGAAAATTATGAGAGCTAGATATGCTGGACTTACCTGCTCGTAGCCAATAAAATGCTTTGCACAAGCAATCACGCCGGCGTCTTGAATACCTTTAATAGTTTGCGCCATCCCAACACCAGCCAAATCTTATATGGTCAGCATATTTCCGGTTGCAGAAAGCAGACTGGTTTGGGACACCAACATGGGTCTGGGCCAAAGCCTTCCCAGTTACGACCACCTTCGGGGGTACGACCAAGAGGGCCAGAAACAGGTCCGAGTTGAACGGTGACCCCCTTCCCTTTGTGCTCACTTCCCATGGCATACCCTCTTGCGTACAGGAGGCCACGGTCAAATGTTGCAGCCACGCTCTGGCCAGAAGAAAAGACGCTGTTGAAATCCGTATCCCGAACTCCCACAGGGCTGTCCTGCATACATAACGAGCGGAAACCGAGTCGTGGAATCGCCCCAGCTTGACCAACGCACTACAGAAACGGGATCATTAGCGGGAAAGGGGGTAGACTCGCTTCGAAGCACCCACCTGTTCACCCTCCCATCTATAAGCGGTCAGCAGGGGAACTTTTACGATGGGGTTTCAAACCAGTAATCAAATGCCAGGAGATACAGAGGTGAAGAAAAAGTGCTAAACCAAAAGAATAAAATCCGGGAAAAGCTTACCCTGTCCCTGTGGTCAGGTTGACTTTCTCCATCAACGTGAGCTGGGAGACAAAATCCTTGGCCTTCGCATAGGCATCCTCCCAATCAAGAACTCCAGGATTCATCCATGGTGAAGGGTAGAAAGGAGGAGAGCTCTCCAAGGTTTTGGCGCCAGCTTGGGTAGCTGGGTCGGCAGCTCCTGGATAAACGGCGTCGGGGGGTATCTAATTTGGAGGTCAGTCAACTCAGGCTCTTGACCAGTGATCAATCAGATAGGCCGAAGCTGTGTCGAGGTCCCAACAGGTCGGGCGTTATTGATGGATGACAATTATTGAGGCTTCACAAAGGTCTGAGAACGGCTCCAGCAAGCCACATTTTATTTGCTGGTGGGGTAGTGCGGGACATGATGTAGAACAAGAGAGAAGGGGAAGCTCACCCCGGTGTCTTGACGAGCAGGCAGGGAAGCACCCGCGCAGCTTGCCAGCAGAAAAATGGCAGCTATTGAAGATACCATTTTGCAGGGCAAACAAGAAAACACGCAAAAGAGAGGACGTCGAAATTCGACGGAGATCAGAGACGTCCGGCAGAAAGGGCTCTGGTTCTTAAGTACTCTGATATACGAGGGATCCTCAGTACATCAGCCCCTCTGCAAGGTAGCTCGACTTCTCCTTTACCTCTCCCTTCGAGCTTCCCCTGTCGTTCTGTGGGGAATCCTGTCGGGCGGACGGTGGTGAAGAGTAGTTAGGACAGAGTACCGAGCACTAACTGCGGTGTTCTGGCGATCAGCGTCCTCGCATGCCCCATACGGCAGATCTCAATCATCGGCTCCAGGGCTGCGGCCCGGTTGCGGATGTCATCAAGAGCGCAAGAGTAGTCGAAAGTCAAGAGTCAAGAGTCAAGAGTCAAGAGCCAAGAGCCAAGAGTGAAAGAGTCAAGAGGAGCACGGAAGATGCAACGAGTGGAAGTGTCCGACCGAAACGAGAGAAGGCCGGGCGACAGCGGATGTATGTACAGTTCGGAGAGGACTTATCTCGCAGCAGCCACGGAGGTTATTGATATGATAAAGACTGTACAAGTAATGGAATGAATGTATAGATGCAGACTTCATGGTTGTTGAAGGTGGAGACCGGTTGTCCTTGGAGGGATTACGCGGTACGTAGTTAGCTTCTTGTGAGAGAGAGCAATGCAAGATGAGATCAACAGGGACATACGAGGACGATGCAAGTGCGATTCGTGCATCTTTTTCTGCTGGTCGGGACTCGGCCGCTCATCCATTATTACCTTACACCGCAAGGATTCTCAGTACTAAGCACCGAGTAGAGCTTCCAAGTCCCATCTGTTAACACGTTGATAAATTGGTAAATCATATGCGATTGGAATGCGTGGCTTGCGTGTCCATTGTAGATTTGTTCACCCACGAAATGCGGAGTACACCACACGGTCAACCCCATCACCGCCATCTATGTCCATTGTCCGTACACAGTTCACACTTATACTGTGATTCTGTGAAAAGATCCGAAAGTCCCTGCAGAGTCCAGACAAGCTTCACGGCCAAGGACGGACCAGCAGCGGGCGTCTCGATGTGCCCGAGACCTGCTTTGGGAATTGAGAGACGCATCGTGAAGACATATCTGGAGCGCGGAACATGATGCTCCGCGCACCACAATTTGCGGTGGTTTCTCCCAGGTCGTCGGTCTCCATTATTCTGCGGGAACCATACAACTAGTTAACGGGCCGTTACAGATTATTCTTGGAAAAAAAAGCACATCTTAATCTCGGGAGTGGTTATGTCATCTTCTATTTTTATCTTCTTGTGTTTGATTCGACTTGACTTGATTTGATTTCATTTGATTCGCTTTTGATTTAGTCTCTATCCGCTCTCCCCTTTCTGGCTCCCTCCCATCGAAAGAGGTCGAGGAGAGAGATCCCAAGCAGTGAAGTTTATCTACAGATATAACTCTTCAAAATACACTGTGTAGGAGTACTTGACTTGATTGATTCATTTATTCGCAGAAGGGAAGAACTGCTGCCAAATTGCTAATTGGCTGTTTCCTCACCCCCCCCCCCCCCCAAGTATATCTTTTGATATTTGCCAGTAGGTTTGGACGTTAACAACTCAAACAAATCTCCAACCCTAAGCACAATGCCGAAATCCATTTGTACAACAATGAAATAAAAGCCAAGGTCCTCGAGTCCAAAGAACCCGCGTGAGCTTTGTCCGGACGCAGAGTGTCTGGGATCCAGCACAATACCCTGGATTCTTTCACCTTAGAATTCTTTGAGCTTCGTATCCTTGCTTCCTATGGCTACGTAACAAAGAAAAGGGTGCTATTCAAGTCGTGGACCTTCTCTTTTGCGCGATGGAAAGAAAACTTCTAGAAAGTGCAGAATGGGGGGTTTATTTTCGTATGATAAAGAGAAGACTTTTGGATTAAATAGAGGGATATAAATCGTCTGTCTATTTGGCTTCAAAAGATACCTTAGATACCGAGTTTTCTATTACCAATTCCAAAAAGCAACAATCGCGACCATGGAGTCAGCCTCCACCATCGAAGATTTCTCTCCAAGCGGTATGAAACTCCTAGCCCAACTCCTCTCCCTGCCCCCCGGAAACCGTCCAAGCCCAGGCTGGTCACAAGAACAACAAGCCCACCGCATCGCTTTCCCATTTACACTCAGAAGTCCATTATCACTCCTCTCACGCCGCACCATCTCTCACCCCTTCACCCCCAAGGACTCGGACCCAAACCTCTGCTATACGCACGCCCTTCTCCGCCCTCCCCTGATCCGCAGAATCTCCCTCCTGATCTCCGCCGAATGCACTACGCGCCTAACGCGACTCATCGAGAATCCGCGCCTTCCCAAGAACATCGCCGAGTTCACCAGCCGGCTCTCTCAAACGCACCACCAGCTCTGGCTCTCTCCCGCGCGCGCGGGCCAAGGAGGGAGATGCGAGGCTTGCATCCTGGCCCGGTTGGGAGAGGACCCGCGCGTGCTGTCCGACCTCCGAGCTTCGATCATAGGGCGGAAGAAGAAGCGCCGCCCGCTGGGCGAATTGCTACCGTTGGTCGAGGCGTGGATCGAGAGGACGGGACGGGAAGGGTCGATTCGGGTCCAGAGTGATGCGCTGGGGCGCGAGATCCGTAGGTGTAGACGGGAGATGCAGAGGAAGAGGAGGGAGAGAAGGAGGATTGGCGCTGAGAGCCCGAAGGGAGGAGAGGCTGGGAGTGCGACGACGACGCTGGTGGATGGAGATGGAGATGGAGATGTGCCTTTTGTTGGAGGTTGGGATGGAAGGGAGCGGGACGAACATGATTTCGAGGGCTCGATTATTGATTTTTATGCGAAGATGAGATCGAATGTTGACTTTAGTGCCCAGGAAGCGTCTAGGGATGTAACTGTGGCTCCTGGTGCAGGGATATCTCGTGGACCTGTTTGCGAGTCTCTGGGACCCCGGTGTCACACTGTGTACTCGGAGAGCAATTATAGCAGCTCGTCCAACCAGTCCTCGACATTGGAGCCGGAAGGGAGAACATGCAGCGAACGTGCCCAAGCATATAGGAAATTGTTAGGGATGGATGACGGGGACGGGGCAAAGCGTGAAAGCAGAGCCCGACGGCGTGAGAAAATACCAGAAGACAGAATGACGAGATGGAGTGATTTTGAGGGAAAATAAGAATTTTGAGGCTTGTCTAGGACCGTCTTGCCGGTATCGTCTAAGTAAGTAAGTAGTAATTAACAATATTATACAGCTGAGCACTTAACGGCTTTGCGCCGACGCCTTGCCGTCTATGCTCACTTGTCTTCCTTATCTTCATATAGCTTCATCAATGCGGGCTTGAATGACTCGACCTTTGCAAAATCGCCGAGCTTCGCCCGCATATAATCAAAGGCAACAATCGCAACCTGATCTGTGCCATCATCCATGACCGGGATCTTCTGGTATCGTTGCGAGAAATGGGTCAGCAGGATTCGTCTGGCGTTCATCTGCTTGCCAATGCCCAAGGCTTCGGAAGTCGTCGAGTGTTTCTTAAGGAGTGCATCACCTCGGAGCTCATCATCAAAAGTGGCTTCGTGAATCAAGAGAGTAGCACCGTATCCAAGCTCTGCAAACGTTTTCGAGGGTCTGCAGTCACCGGAATAGGCAACTTTGAATCCATTAGGAAAGTTAAAAACGGTGGCCATGGCTCCATTGCAATGCTCAACTAAGCAGGACTGAATGGATGTAAGGCCGTTTAGCTGTGTCTGTTCAGGGGTGAATTGGTGGTCGTAGTCTTTGGTTGAGCGACCCATCGTGATTGGCTCAACTCGATCGTAGCCATAAGCTTCCACTTCCGCATACTCCCTCAGCCATTCGAGCATGCCACGATCGGACGCTACTATAAGCTTTCTGCTCTTTGTCACATCATTATTTCGCGTCTCTTGATCCCAGGCCTTGATCACAGATGCCGTACCGAGGTGGTGATCAGCATGCAGATGGCTAATCCAGATTACTTTAAGGTCACGAAGTACCTCTGGCAACTCATCTCCCAATACCCTCTTTAATTGACCAAGTGTATTTTCACCACAGTCAAAGAGATAGTTCCCAAAACCAGGAACTCGAAGCAAAGTTGCCGAGACGTTGCGATATTTCGATGGCAGGGCTGAACCCGTTCCAAGAGTGATGACCTCAGCATCCTTGCTTGGGATGTCTTCTTGACGCTCTGCCAGTCGTGCTAGATATTCTGGGTTTGTGACTTCCATTCGCGCCGTTTCTGCCAATGCCTTGACCTCTGGTGAGGCTTCCCGGATAACCTTGGCGGTATCTAGATACGGGATTATCTTGTCATCTTCCACCTCGAATTTAGGCTCCAACACAAAGGTTTTGCCAACTCTTGCATCCTCGTAAAGCGGCGGAGCTGATGCCTTGCTCTGTAGAGTCGGTTCAAGGCTATGAACTGGGATTGGGAACCGTTCAGGATCCAGTAGATGCAATCGAATGGCAGCTTCAGCAGGCGATTCGAAAGCAATGTGATTTGGAGAAGTGTCGGTAGAGGAGACAATGTGTTTCAGCTCCGTGTGATCTTCCATGAACTTCTTCAACCTTGGATCCTCAACGACACCAGGTCCGAGGATCCAGATCGCCATCTCGACTCCGCTCATGATATCTTTTGATGACCATTCTTGACGGTTAATCATTGCATCGACATACTCAATACTTGGGAGATCGATGATGGCAAAGCCACCACCTTCCTTCCCAGGCTCAAGTACCTGCTCCGGAGTGACAATCGTACCATCAGCTAGAGTTACAGACTCTCCCGTGGTCAATGCGCGAAATTGAGGCCCAGGCTTAACTCCTAACTTCTTGGCTACATCAGGGAGAAATTTGCCACGTTGTGGATGGCCTTTGATAATATACGAGACTGAGCTCGTGGCAGGCGCAGTGGGTGGGAGGCTCTCAATTAATGCACCGGGCCAAGGATTTCGCGTAAGAACCTCGATATCAGGAACGTCCTTCCCTGAGCCTGGCAACGGCCCCTGGTACTTCTCGATCTTCCCTTGCTCATTCCTGATAAACACTGTTGCGGGCATCACAACGTCCGAAAGCTTCGTTGTGATGAGGGTATCCAGGCGCCATTTCGACTCGAACATAGCAGCTACAACGCCCTTTCGAATTTGGTCGTCTCGGTCATTCGCTTCTTCCGCATTTTCTTCTTTGCCATCCAAGGATACTGGTAAGATCTCGGTGCGAAACTCTTCATGACTTCGTTTCCTTGAGCTAGCAGCAGCTGGACGCTCAGGCTCGAGAACCATAGCCCACACCTTGACAAGATCATCCTGCCACGTCGGGTCCGCACTGGGAGGTCGCGCGTCCTTCCCACCTCTGAACTCTTGCGTGTGGACCGGAAGCCCTTTCCTGAATATGAATCGCCTCGCAGTCGCTAACAAATGCGTCAAATTCTCCCCTCCGTGTATGTTCAGCCATTGTTTGTCCTCCTCCGCTACCTTTTTGCCTTTCTCTTTGGAATCTTCCCTGGAGCCTGTGACCACATCTGCGAGCGTCAAGATCATGCCCAATATACCTCCCGTCGTTCCCCACCCAACCCTCCCCGTCAAGAAGATATCGGATACCTTCACCAGTCCCAACTTCCTCTGCACCGCGGCCCTCTGAGTGCCCTCCGCAACATGTCCAATAAGGTAACGCTTTGAATCAAAATGCAGCAGCAATGTTGTGCCAGGAGTGTCCGCCGAAGGCGTGGTCAGAAACTGCACCCAGCACTTCATCTTGTTATACTTGTAATTCCGTCTAGGAATCCAGATGGGACCGACGCTATTGACGCCGCCGTTTCCCTCCGGCCAAGGCTTTTCGTAGGCAATGGAATAATTGTCACCGCTGACCGAGTGTCGCAAACGCGGTCCTGGTAAGACTCGATCCCGTGGCAATTCCCTGGCGAAAGTCGCGTCAGCGGGAGGTCTGAATTTTCCGGGGCGTCTCTGGGCGCGGGCTTGTCCCAGTTGCAATGGCGTTAAGATGGGACCATTCGATTTGGGTGCCTTGAGTCTCGAAAAAGCCGATTTCCTAATGACGGGTACGAATTCGTGCATGGAGTAGGAGAGAATTACTCCATACGGGTACTTTTGAGTTGCAAACTTTGAGGCTCCCGAGGCTATCCAACACGGCAAAGGAAAAGTTGAACGAGGCTGCACTGCTGACTTATCAGATGCCGCACCAGGTACCTTGGTCCGGTCATGTGGGTAAGACACCAAGCTTGAAGTGGGAAGACGGGGTTTGGAGGCGAGGCGGCCTCCTCGCTTAGTGGTCGCCCTCCATCCACCTATATAGCCTCAACATCTGCTCCGAAGTCATCGGCGCCATGGAGAACAAAATTGAAGTCAAATTCTCGCCTGCGATACCTATTCCTTTTCTTTATGATGTTCAGAAACATCTCGAACAGCTCTGAAGTTACCTAGAGCCGAACGATCCAAAATATCAGCGAGAACAACAACATACTAATATCAGAGCCGCTATCAAGCTTTACGAGGATAGGTAGGGAAAGCCAGGATCGAGAACTTGTTCAGCACGAATAATATGTGATTCTGTATATCGCTCAACCATGTCAGACCGTGGATTTGGAAGATCCTGTATCTATTTTCCCAATCATTACTGTCCGGAAGCATGCCTAAAAGCATATCACCACCAAGACATCTTAGAATAATCACATTACAGTATCACGCCCATATGCATTGAACCAACACTTCAGTGATCCAATGATAAGAATGCATTGCTCCAGTCCCCGTACGCCGTCATTTTTCATGAAACCCTCGCCTTCAGTGACGATACCCATTATGCCTTGCCGGACCAGCTCCAGATGCGGCTGCAGCCGCGGCCGCTTCTTCAGCTTGGAGCTGCCTTTGCAATTTAATCTTCGTAGCCTCAGTACCATCATCTGGAGTTGCGGCTTCTTTGAACCACGGATGCTGTAGTGCTTGTTTTGCAGTGATACGTTCAGCCGGATCATAGACGAAGATCTTCTTCAGGAGATCGAGGAAGTTTCTGCAAAACTTATTGTTGTCGGGAATGATTTCCTTCCAAGTGTTAGCCGAAGCGCTAGATATTGAGCTTCTCTATTGACTTACATCTAGCCTCTTCATCGCTTTTACAAATCTCCGCGAGGCCCTGCTCGTCTCCGGTTGCGGGTAATCCAGCTTGAATCGTTTGAAGAACCTGGAAGATGTCAGCAGTTGATTCTCTCGATAGGAAATTTGCAACTTACTTGACTGCTGAATTTCCGCCATGTCGCTTAGCCATAGCATTGACCTGTTGGATAAGATGGGTGTCCATTCTTCCCCCACAAACACTTTCCATCATGGCAAGATGCTCCAGGTTATCATGGGTCTGGAATAGAGCGTCGCCCGTAAAGAACTCGACCAGAATGCACCCAATGCTCCAGATATCACAAGGGAATGACCATCCAAGGCCGAGAATGATTTCGGGAGCCCGGTAATGCCGGGTAGAAACAACGGAGGAATGGTATTCGTCCTGAAATGTTGCCGAGCCAAAGTCGATTAATCGTATTTCGGTGTCAAGTAATACTTTGCGTTGGGCGGCTTGTCGATTGACGGTGGAGGATGAGGAAGGGATTCTGCGGCTGTATGTAAATGCTTGGTAAGAACTGTCACATAAAAGGATATTTTCCGGCTTCAGATCGGTGTGAATCAAGTTAAGATCGTGTAAGACTTTGAATAGTTAGTCGTCAGAACAGGGAAAGTTACTCGGTGGTGAACGTACAAGCAACACTGGTGAAGAGCTGCCGGGCAAAGCTCTGGATTTGGCTGTTCGGAAACGGAACAAATGAGTTGGCCTTCAAGAAATCAAAAACGCTCTGTCCGAGCAAGTCCATAACGATACAGATATGACCTCGATAATCAAAGCAATCCCGAAGGTGTATGCATCGATTTCGGTTCTCTTGGTCATTCGCTTTGAGGGTCGCAAGAACTCGCAACTCTATTCGTGAAGCATCTCGATACTTCTGGACGGATCTGATAATCTTGATGGCGACAAGTTTATTCCTCTTTTTATCTCGGGCTTGCACGACCTTTCCGAAGGTTCCTTGCCCAAGCAGTTTCGTTACCTGATCTATATTATTGTTAGTAAAAGGTTGCTCAGTTTTTAAGACCCAAAGGCTAGGACTCACATCTGTCTGTCAAATCAGAATCCGGGACCACAATGTAGTGTCCATCCTCATCATCAACCTTGCTGTTTTTTGTGTATGAATTCTGAATTTATCGTCAGTCGTGATCGCAATCGATGGTTTTTTTTAACTCACATCAGGAATCTGCTTGACATGGACCTCTGGTGCCTTGATTGGCGGTTTTGGGGGGGGCTTATAGTTTGAGAATGCATCGCCGTTGACTTCAAGCTCCTTCCTCTTCGCCTCGTTGGCAATTTGAAGCCGAGTGGCAGTTCTCTTTCGTTTCTGACCCGGCTGGATGTCTTCAGTCTCATACCCGTTTTGTCCGTTCGAGGAATGTGAGCCTAACGACGTGGCAGCGGTGGTGTGTATCGCCGATGTGGTTCGATCAGTCGAAATGGTTGAGCCAGAAACCGAGTCTTTATACTGCGGGGTCTGTTCGTTGGAATCTGGCCCGAGCTGGTACACAGGATCATATGCGGACCCCACGTCGTCACGCTTTCGTTTCTTCACCGCGTGTCGACTGTTTCCCCCCACCCCTGTGTAGTTTGCCGGGCCATTTGAGACCACGGACGCTGATAACTCGGGGGTTGGAGAGTCATCGATGACGATGACCTCTTTGGGAAGTCCGTTCTTGTAGAATGAGGGCCAATCTGGTTCTCGATGTTCCTTGGGGCGCTGGCTTCTCCGCGCGGGGGGCTTGGAGACGGCTGAAGAGGCAGGCATGGCTACTAGGTTCGATTCGGACCTTGAAGAATGTGTCGTACTTTGAGCTGGTCGCGGCGGCAGATCGGCCACACAAGTAGCGGTCGATGATGTGCCGTTACTCGAAGGAGTCGGGAGGTTGTATGAGGCTCCCAAGCGGCTCGCGCCGTTCAAGAGGGAGTTGCTCGTTCGATAGGCGGCGGGCGATTGATAGTTCTGATGATGAGAGTATCCGTGATTTGGATGATGCGGAGGCAGGGTCGATGGTGTCGACATTGCACACTGGGGAGTGCAATCTGTTTCGCAGCCGGGAGGGCTCAGACGAGAGAACCTGGGAATGGGCTGTCTGAAATGAGCCCGAACGGCAGAATGACTCTGATTCCGCTTAAAGCATTGACCTTACAGTGACAGGAGGCCGATCGAGTCTTGTTATGGAGAGTATTGCGCGGTGGATAGGGAAATAATCGTGATGATGTTCGTCTCTCGCCGACGGGCGCGGGGGGCGAGGGTGGACAAATCGAGACGTAAGGCTTTAAGCCGGTGTCATTTGGAGGGTAAAATCTCCGGAGTCAGATGGATCTGGAAGCGTCGAGGATGGCTAAAGAGTCGACGAGTCTGGGAAAACGATGGTGGACGAGTAGAAGAACAATCAGTCGAGGGAGGGTGCTTTTCCTGTAGTTGGGCCTTCGAAGGTTCGGCAAGCGAGGAGCGAGGAGCGAGGAGAGAGTCGTTTGGCGAACCCTTTGGCCCCCCTCGTCCTCCCGTCGTTCCTTCGTAGGCACACACAGAGCGTGCTCGCGTTATTTGGCCTGAGGACACTTAATCTACTGGACAGGGAAGTGTGTTGAGTTGCCTCCGGTTACGAGAAAAGAACATTGTTCTGGGGGAATGGCAAGATGATCACGTGGGACAATATAGGGAGGCATGGCAGTCCATAAGTCAATATTCTCAGTCGTGTTCGTCTTTATTTACATGGCGGGCAGAAGATATCAACTACGGTACCATCAATCATCACGTCCTGAACCCCTGGGAATGGCTGGATGCGCCTTGATTGCTGGGTACACCGTCACCTGAGATACCTATGTAAAATAAGGTAGATGGTAATAAGAGTAAAACCAGAAGAATGGTAAAGTAAAAGGTAGATAATTCGGGAATATCAAATAGCAAATACTGTAGCTCCCCATGCACTTAGTCCACTATAGTCTATGGGCTGATGGTGCTTTACCCAGAAGGGTCATGAAGATACCAGATGTTGCAAGGGGGGCGGATTGTCATCTCTGATCGATATATATCAATAATACTACTGTAATCCATAATGATAACCAGAACAGCAATACGGTTATAACCTGTAGACTAGGTATATGTCACTTATAAGCCAATCATAAATAATAAGTACCACGTCAAGAAATCCCCCAATTCACAGAATGCTAAGCAATGTTCCAGAGCCGGCCTCCCGCCTGCATCCAGTCATCCGCCCGCCCCCGAGGTCCTGTCCCTTACCCATACTACGAGGTATAATCGGGAGAGAAAGTTTTATTTATCATAAAAATACATATCTACCCAAGGTAGGTATATATGCAAAGACGATAATCACACCATACCTAGAAAAATCCCAGCCTTTATATTAGGGAATCGGAAGTTGATTGAACAGGGTTCAAGTCTTAAGCACCAAGCCCCAGAGCGACCCCTCTCCAAGTCTCACCTCACCCTACCAAAGGTACCTTTACCTTCTTACCCTACCATACCTGTTTCTAATCAGTGTGGCAATTTCACAAAAACGCGTGCGACCTAAGACAATAATAAACAAGTCAAGCCCCTTCGCAGTTCAACCATAAAACAACTGTACAGTAACATCGATCTGCTTTGATATGGACGTGCAAAGGATGATCGCCGTAATCACGCGCTCCCGAGTCCTGCTTTCATGGGGAACAAAGTACTCCGTACGGGGAACAGAGTAACCTAAGGTAATCTTGGGCGCCTAATAGGTAATAAGGCAATGTGCTGGGTGGGCCTTCTCAGTGTCACGTGGTCCACAGGGCATTCCGGGGTCGTATCGTAAAGAGTGCAGCCCTTTGAGGAGAGAAAAGAAAGGCGGCAAATTGTGCACGGTAGGAGCTTCTAGATAACTTTCTATTCTCTGCGAAGAGGCCTTTATCTTTCCGAATTCCAAGCTGTATAAAACTACACGCACTACGGCTTTGCCCCGAGGCAAGCCTGTCTCCTGCTTCGCTTCATTCCGGAGGCTTTCTTCTCATGTCATTCGCATCATAACCCAAACAAGTGCTATATACCGTCGACTCCTTTTTAAATTCCCCTGTTGAATGCCACCTTTCCTCCTTCTCCGCCACGTCCCCAGAACTCCTCTTCTAAACTCGAAGCATCGACACTCTGTCTCTGCGGGAACGCTGCCAGGGCCAATGGCAAAGCAAACAGACTCGTTCCCAGGATTAAGCCCAGGTTGACGGGCAATGTAAGTCTGGGGTTCCTCTTCAGCCACTCTTGCTTCTGTAACCGGACCAGAATCAATGGCGGGATGACCATGATTGGAGAGCTGTTCAGCACTCTACTAATTGCAGTTTCGGAGACGGCAATCGTAGCCGCTTTCTTGCTCTTCCCCAAGGACGCCACAGAAGATTCGGATTTTCCCTCCGCGGCGAGTTTGGCTTTGTCCGCCTCGGAAAGAACGGGATAAACATCAATACCTTGTCTGATCTCTTCACCGCGCATCAGGAATACGTTCAAGGCTCCGGCACTTGCTACAGCAGCGAACGGTACCAGTCTCCCGAGAATTGTCTTTGTAGCCGGGCTTACTCGCTTTAGCCGTGGGACGAGAGCATTAAGACCAAGAGCTACAGAGCACGAGGCGCCCACTGCAAGGAAGTAGGATTGTGTCATCTTTGAGAGGGACAAGGTCGTGGATTTGTTAGCGTTGGCGCTATTGATCGCGACATTGAGAGATTGGTTGGTTATTTGCCAGAGGAGAGTGCCGGTGGTCTATCGCAGATGATGATTAGTATCTCGTATGAATTCGAGGGGAGGAGGCTGTGATGTGAAAGGAACTCACCCCCAAGCCAGGTGTAAGCATTCCGGCAGTGACCACTAAATTTGACAGGACAAAGCAGGACATTCGAAAGGGGAGAAACACTGGTTCGCCGGTATCTATAGGGTAATTAGCATAATGCCTAATGGGCCTCAGACTCTCCAGAGCTTACCAGGATGCAAGGTCGAATCAACAATCTTCTTCGCCTTCCACAGATCCGCGTTCATCTCACCAACCTTCCCCTGCTTGTATGCAGAAATCAGGCTCTTTGCATGTTCCAATCCCTCCTTGCCAACTAGCAGAGTCCTAAGAGATATCAGCATCCGTCGCGGTGATTTGTGGCCATTGCTCAATCTCAGACAGAAATCGGAATTGCATGCACCTTTTGATGCAAACAACCGAGCATATCCTCCTCACCTAGGATCAGAAATATTTGCTGCGTGCCGTACACGTCCCCAGTATGTGCTGAGATCATATTGGGAGGCCGGCAGCTCACGATTGCCTGGTATTGAGGACGACATTTCGAGGTCCTTGAGGAGAAGGGAGGACGGAGAGACGTTGCAGATTGAGAGGATCTGGGCGTTCTTCCCACTCTCCTCAAGAAGAACTGGGGGATGCGGCGGTTCAACGAACTGTACAGAGCGGTGAAGCTGTGAAGGATGAGGACTCTGAGGAGAGATAGAATCAAGCTCGAGAAGACCCCTGCAGAATATTTACAGTAAAAACTGATAAGGACTCCGATCTCGCTACGCTTTTAGTACGAACAAAGCCTTGCAGACGACAGTTTACAGCATTTACCTCTCTCGCATTTCGTAAAATAGTATTCTGTTTTATGCATTCAGCCAAGTCCTCAAGAGCCATTGAAATAAGTATAAGTATATCTCTATTATCTTGTAGTGCCAAACAACCCCCTTGTGCCTGGGGTTTTAGACGATTTTTCTGTTCCAATCTTTTAAGCACATACTAGCGGCAAGGCTGATCATGAACTAAACGTACCCGAGAGCGTGGAAGGCACAGCCCTCCCTCACCTTAGCTCACCAAGCTCCAAGTCCCAATCTCTCATCGCCAACCCCACCCAGGCGGGCATACGCAGCATACGGCATTTATATCCAGCTATGCCTGACTTCAAAGAGATCACAAAAGGAGGTTGGCATCCAAAGGGCAAGGATGGAAAGTCAAAAGAGAGCTGGAGAGGTGATTTCAAAGGAATCGCTCAGGTTTCCTCATGGTTGGGCAAGGGGGACCAGAACTCTTCGAATACAACAGAAGCCAGCGAACATATCTCACGCCCTCTGTCTAGCCTGAAGGATCCTGCTGCCTTTGGCCCACCTCCGAAGCACATCCATTTTCATGGCGGTGCCGCTCTGCCCAACCAGGTGATTGCACATTCCATCCGTCAAGACATACGTTCTAACCAAATAGATCACTCCGGATAGACGCGGCCTTGGAGCACCATTATCGCAGGAGGAAATACAAGCGAACAAGAGACGGGCAGACGAGGAGGAACAGCGAAGAATAGCAGAAGAAGAAGAAAGGACGAAGCCCAAACCTCCGCCAGCTCCATTCCGGGCTGATACAACCGGCCTGTCGACATCCCACCTACCACCGCCTCCAGTCCGAAGAGATATTGCTGATCGACCTCGTCCATCACCAGCGGCCAAACCAAAGCCTCCAAGTCTTCCACCGCGACTACCGCCGAGGCAGAATTCCAGTACCATTGCATCTCCACCTTCAACGTCTGGCGCTGCCACGCCTGAACCTGATGCCCACAAGGGAATTCTAAATCAAGCTTCTTTGAACAGATTGGGTGCTGCTGGGGTTTCTGTCCCCGAACTTGGCATTGGAGGAGCTTCAACCCCAACGCCCCCTCCTCGAAGCCCAGTCCCTAGCCATTCTTCCGGGCCAAATGCATCTCAACTCGACGAACTTCAATCCCGCTTTTCGCGTCTGAATTCGTCGGGCTCACCAGCAAAAGAAACCCCAAGCGAAGGCACGAGTTTTGCTCAAAAACAAGCAGCTTTTAAGACTGTTTCTTCTTTTCGAAATGACCCTTCTTCGGTGTCATTTAGCGACGCGAGGAATGCTGCAAGTACGGCAAACAACTTCCGGGAGCGGCATGGTGATCAGGTCAAGTCGGGATGGCAGTCAGCGAATAAATTCAACGACAAATACGGGATTACAAATAAGGTGGGATGTTATGCGGGGATTGGGGCTCAACAGCCATCAGAGCCTGCAAGTCCGATGATTGAGATGCGAGACAATACATCGGAAGGGCAAAGTTCAATCGTGGGCAAAAAGAAACCACCGCCCCCTCCAGTCAAGCGAGCAGAATTGTCGGCTTCTGGGGTCTCAAAAGATACCGGTCCGCCACCAATTCCGATGGCTAGTAAACCTAAGTTTCAAGTAAGTAGGTAGTTTTATTTAGCAGCAGTTTATCCTTTAGCCGTCCTGTAATACTCTATTCTGCATTTCTATTTCTATTCTGTTGGGTGACTGAGTATTATAAATGCTTTCGATGAAGAACGCCATTACCTAGGTACGGTATGAGCGCGAGACTTCTAGTCGGTATTAGGTATCATCGTGATCATAATCCAGTGTTTTGAGGGATTTCATCAAAGAGGTGCAAGGTCCATGCCAGACTATTCCAGATCACTTTAAAACCCCTATATAATGCTGCTCTTGATGCATGTCTTGCTCAGAGACGTGAGCGAGCTTAGCTTCAACTAGTTGCTCCTCAAGGCAGAAGCAACTCGATATGGTTGAGTACTGGCTCAGAATGAGTATCGTGACAAATCACTGGCCAGGCAGAAAACTTGGGAATACTGCGACCTCACTTGAACCCTATCTTGTCTTTCTACTGTACGAGTTAAAAAGTCAACTCTTCTGCTATGTCTACAACATGCATCGGTTCACAGACATCACAAGACACATCCAGGCTGGATTAGTCCATGATCATTACGAGCCCTGTCAACCTGAGAACGCCTACTAATTCCGTAGCCCTCTAGTCCTGAAGTTCAAGTTCAAGATCTAGACCTCGACCTCAAATCCGAGTGGTTTGCGAAATCTCCTCCAGCATTCCCGCCAGCATCGATCATCCGCCTTCCAGGGACAAGGAGCTATGCCTCCACGTCAGGTTGGTCATCGACTGGAGTGAGAAAGATCCATACCTTTACGGGTGCTATCCGTGACAACGGCACCTTAGCAACCACCATCATCCACCTGACCTGGGATAGCAGTAATCCGGGCCTTACTGTCAAGGCTCAGCAACGGCATCTACCTCCACCAAGAAAGCTCACTAGGAGCGAGTTGGAAAGCTATCGAGAACAGTAAGACCCTGCGAACCTCATATCTTATCTTGTAAATACCACCTGACTGACCCAAATCATCTAGATACTCAGACGCAATAGCTAGATGGAGCGAGTCGAAAATGGCACAGCAAGTTGGAGATGGCGAATGCTGGACCTTAGCAAACGAGGCTCTGCTAGCCGTAGCAGCAAACTGCTCCTCCCGAGGTGAAGAACCATGCATGCCTTCACAATCCCTCGTCCACGGATTCCTCATCTACTCCTACATCCCATCCGTATCGCCGCATCCAGAGCCTCGAGGAGGTACCCTCGAAGCCGGGGTCGCCAGAGGAGATATCCTCCAGCTTCGCACAGCTCACTTCAAGGCCAAAGACGGCATGAGCGAGAAATGGGCAGGAGCCCCCGATCACACGGCGGTCGTCGTTGGCGTCGAGCCAAACGGCGCTGTGAGGGTAGTGGAGCAGAACGTCGGCGGTGTCAAGAGAGTGCGAGAGGGATCGTACGACATGTCGGAGTTGGTGAGGGGCGAGGCGAGGATATTTAGGGCCGTGGGCGAGTCCTGGGCTGGAAAGTTGGAGCCTAGATGGTGAGCTGGCGCTCTTCTTGTAGTGAAGGTCTTGTATCAGTATGGGTATACGAATCCCCCCATCTATCACCGGCAGCACGGCTGGCAGCATCTCGCACTCGGTGTTGAAAAAGTCTAGATGAGAGGCAAGACACAGCTTTACATTATAGACTTGTACAGCAGTATAGTGGCTCAAAGTCTCTATTCGAATATCGATGACTTGATACGGTGCAGTTCCATTCCAACCTAGGTACTGAAGACTAACCAACTTCCATTCTATCTATCTATCTATTTGCACATACGTCGCTTGTCTCAATAAATTCAAATCCAGATATAGGAATCTTTCCCCGTCCAGTAATTCCTAAAGAAACTAGGCACATTGAGGAGTAGTATTGATATTCTTCTTCATACATAGAACCGTAGCCGGAACCCCCCC